GCTTACTGGGGGCGCAGGCGGTCTCATACATAGGCTTTTGCGGTACGACAAAGGATACCGCACTCGAGGCATCTCACAGGAAAGGTCGTGTTCACGCCCCCACATGCGCAATATGCACCTGCATTTGCCCACGCCAACCCCATATTCTTTAGGACTAGTGTGTACTCTAGAACTTCACGTGGCATTAGGGGCGGGGCTGTTGGCGATGGCAGGTAGAAAGCGAACCAGGCAAACGTGTGCATTTTGGCTGTGAGACCGAACTTGGCTCGGCCAGTTGTTTGGTCGCTGCTAACAATTGCGGCTTTTACCGAAAACGCAACTACGGTATTCGAGATGCTAGTTGAGTTCTGAGTACAACGACGCTACAATGGGCTCAGCCAAAGCTATGTTGAAAATGCCCGAAAGGCAACTACCGACCCCACGGACTTCTGTGGCGTAGTGTCTCTGTTAGGCGCTTGACAGTAACTTTTCCATCATCTACAGCTATACGTTCTGCAGCTTGTTGCAACGCAAGCAGTTGATCATCAGTCCAGCGGCGTTTGCCCATGCTGCTTCATAGCAACACATTCACATTCAGTATTCTAACGTACTGTGAAGGCTTCACTTGTGTGTAACTACAACGACTATCCGTGATCAACAAGGGATGCCAAACAGCGACTGTAAGAAAGCACGTGTACGACAGCCCCTTTCCGAACAGCAACGTTGCACCTTAACAACACACAACAGGAAAACACATTCGGTCGTTGTTTCGAAAATTCACAGTAGCAACACTTAACACCAACTTTATGTTCATGCCCCATACCAATGTTGTATGCGCGTTCAAACAACTGTTCTTCATGGTACCGTGGCTTACACCAAGCCATAGTCTGGAAACATTTCAATGTTATGGCTTCGAGCGCCATATTACCTAAATAGGAAATTTTGCGTGGACCTTAAGTCCCGGTATTCCCTATGGCTTTTCCCTTGCTTCCACGGCGCGGCCTATCGGAGCGCCTAGAACCAAGGGCAGGCCAAAAAACCAGGGGGGGTAGTTTCGCCGCAAAATGATCCCATGCTTCAATATTTAAGAATCCAGAGGCAAAGCAAGCAGCAGGGGCAGGGGCTAACGTGGAAGGGGCCCAAAGAGGAACCAAACGAATAAAAATGCCAAGGGGGAGGGCACGCAACAGGCGTACTGACGACACACCCGTGGCTGAGGGAGGAGGCGCGGAACTCCCGCGCCGGGGCAGGGGGTATCATGCGTGGTTCTGCATCTGGTGCTGAGGGCGGTGGGGTGCAAGCCCAACCTACTACCCGGGGGAGGGGGCGCAGCCGTACCGATGGCGGGGTCATGTGAGGGACGTAGTGGCAGGTGGGCTGGAGCACACTTACCAACGCAACCGTACACTTAAGCATTACAGCAATGCATGTGAGGTTTAAAAGCGAGATGTGTCGGCTGCATACCAGAGGGCATTGAATCTGGCAGCCTGCCTGGGGTCTCCCCCCGTGTGGCGAGCGACTCGAACATGTTGCCAAATGGTATGCCTAACGTGAGAATGACGAAGATCTTGTAAAATGGAGTCAAATGGTGCTTTTCGGGGGCGATGTTGCGAAGCTTACAGCGTTGTCGTACAGCAAAAACGGTACTACAGGGTGGGTGGGTGGGTCCGGCACCCCTTCCTTGACTTTTTTAGCATCGGTTCTGGCAAAGACGTTTTTAACCCCCCTCCCCCCACAAAACCCCTGTATTGGCATTACCCACAAATGGCATAATGGAATTGGGGACACTTAAATGGCCCCAATCACGCTTTCTGAAGAGGGGTGGGCTTCACCATACAGGATGCCATAAGGCTTGGCGTAGTTGGCACTCTCAGGTGAGACTTCCAAAGCATCCTCGATGAGTGCCACGGTACGCTCCCGACCCTGCTCCAACCCAGGCACCCTAACCCTAGACACCCAAGCCACGCACCGAAAAGCCGGACGCACGTGTCGTACGCCCCCAGGTGCCCCCACCCCGCAGCCGCACCCACACAGACCCCCTTGCTTACCCGGCGCCGCTCTCCGCTCCGAATTCATACCGCTTTCCCTTGCCTCCCAGCGTGTGCACAGCATCTTAGCAGTTGGCCCTGTGCTGTGTAGGGGTATGACACTTGAGCCGCGATGAAACGGACCGTGACCAGAACACTGGACGATGATAGCGTCACATACGTCCAGGGGTGTGGGGCCGCCAGAGATGGTTCCGGTGAGGCAGTCTCCAGGGAAGTCCGGCAGGCGGTGAAAGAGCACACGGGTCTCAGGCCGGCCATCCAGTCGTGGTGGGAGTTGCAGTGGTACGAGGAGGGTTGGAGGGGCGCCCCGAGCAGGGTCTGGTGGAGGGGCCTCGCTGCAGCTGCCCCTCTAACCATTTCTGCGGCACCTGGTTGGCCAGTAGCAGGACAGGGATGGGTAGGGAGCCGGAAGGCTTGCTGTGGAGGAGGCATGTAATGATGGGTTATGAGAACAATGGGCGGTGTCGGCGGCCCAAGGAAACCCAGGACGTGAGCATGTGAACCTGCACTACCGACGAGAGTTTAGTTTAGGCAATTAACACTCATTCCACTTATCGCCCGAAATCGTGTCACAAACCGCCTAGCCCGCGTCTCATCCATGACCGGCAGGGCGCGTGCCTTGTGTGTTGGTGTACGCACCACCCGCCAACCCGTCACACCAACCCACTGTACTTTGCCATCGTCTCTTTGCCAACTACTCAAGTCGTCCAGTGCCTCGTCCGAAATCCTTTTCTCGGTCCCGCTTACCCTGTGCAAAATACCAGGCACTGGTGCTGCTCATCCATGCTGGCAGGATGAACAGCGGCTTGCTTCGACGTATAAATTCCATTATGGACAAAATGCCAACCTACAGGAGTGTGTACACGACAGCCCGACCAGAGGTGCGTCGATGTTACGATTACGATTACAGGGTACGGTGTAGTGCCCTCCCTCCCGCCCTATCGCACAACTCCACGAACCATTGCGGTCAAGAGGTGCGACGACAGCGACTAATAGCAAGGAGCAAGTACTGAGCTGAACGTAAGTCGTCATGGCAATTCAAAGAGGGAAGAGGAGCAAGAAGGTTGGGTGGGATTTGGACCGAATGTCCCCATCCATGCTCACTGAGCTTAGCCGTCCTAGGCCGCTCTCCTCATCACTCCAACCTGCTGCTCACCGCTTCCGTCCTGCATGCAGGCACGGCACTCACGCATCACCTCCTTCGCAAGATCGCAACCTCCATTCGTGACAAGCCGTACCAAGCAGCCACTGACGGTCCTGGGGACGGATCGAGGGAGGAGGACCCCGCTAATGCTGGTGAGGAAGGCGTCAGGGACATCCCGGCTAAGGCCTTCTCCCCAGCCACCTGGCTGCTAGCTACCTGCATGCCGCCCACAGCCGCCGCTGCCGGCAAAGCATAAGCAGGCCCTGGCAGCAGCAGCTCAGCGCTCCCTCTGCCCCCCCTCTAACGACCGCCTCACAGATTGCCCTCCGCGCCGCTACCCGCCCGGGGTCCGCAGCCAGGGCCCCAGAGTCGCTCTTGCAGCCCAATAGGGCCGCCTCCTGCAGACGTGGCCTCCGCTGCTGCCGCCTCCGCCACCGCCACCGCCACCGGCAGGAGGGATGTCCTTCTTGAGCCCCCAGCGAGGGCTTCCACTGCAGGTTCCTGACCGGCTGCTACCGGCATCAAGTGCAGCACCGGCGCTTGCTGCTCCTGCGGTGACGGTGCCGTAACTCGGACAGGACAGGAACGTTGGGTGCAAGTGCGCCCGTACTTGGGCACGGCAGGACTGCTAGTTTGCATGGGCACATGTGGTCTGGCAGGATGGCAGGATACACACACGGTTGTGTGTTCAGAAGCAACTGAGCCGCGTTACTGTACTGGCCATAGCCATTGCGGACAAATGCACGGACTGACGTTTGCTACATTGGCGACTGGTGACGACGGGAGGAGGTGTACGGTAGTAGTGCAGTGGTAGTAGGATCAGTACTCTATAATAACGCACAGGTACCAGTACTTCGGCAGGACACGGCACGGCATGCGCACATACGCATGAGCACCAGTATTCGGGCGGATAGGGCGGGGTTTTGCACTCCACCACCTGTATGTCTTGATACCGGTAGACTGCGTGTTTCTTTGGCCTCCTCAAGCCGTTTGTGCTTCCTACCCGTTTGTGCATGCTAGCAGCCTTGGCAACGATCGCTGCCATTCTTTCTGTGTTTCAAGCATCCTTCTGCATCCTCAAGCTGTACATGCGCGCAACCGCATCTTCTCAACATCACCTCCCATTCCTACTCTTAGTCCCGCCCGCCCCGCGAGCTACGGGTAGCTCCCGCCAACGGCGCTCCCGCCAAAGGTGGGCCTTACTAGTATCGGTGAGAAATAGCGAGCTTGCGCAGGTGCTTGTTAGCTGTGACGGCGAGATGACCCACGGGTCACATGGCGACACAGGAACGTCTGGTAGCGACCATGTACGCTTCGGATGTTGCCCAGGTACGCATGGGGGCGGGCGGTGGCGCAACGTGAGGTAGGTTGTTTCAGTTTGCCAACGTTATAGCACACTGCACACTGGGCGATGACATATACGACGGAGGCCCCATACCTATCCCGTCCATGTCACGCCCGATTACCGGCAATAGCCAGATTACCGTCACAGGGTGTTTCGGCAGGTGGTGGTTGCGGACTAGGGTTTGGGTTGCATGGGTCACTTGGGTCGTTCCGCTCTGGGAGATCTTCCGAGTAGCAATTGGATGCCTGGATTTATAGGATGATTGTTATTATGAGGCTTTGGTATGATTATTCTTGGTGGGAGATGCCTTGGAGGCTTCTGTAGCTCCAGGGATGGTCAGTGCTAGTGCATTTAGGTGTTGCTCGGCCCCGGTTCGGTGCCTCATCGTAACATGCAAGCGATGAGGCACCGATGGTAGCTACGCAGCTTCTCAGTGACAGCCATGCAGGCGCTGCAGCGCAGCCGTGAGCGCGCCATTGTGCTCGTCCATCTTCGCCTTCCACACGCCTCCTCCTCCGTGCTCCTGGTGTCCAACCCCTTCTTAGTTCCTACACACACTATCCTTACCACATTCTTGTTCTTCAACCCATTCCTGTCGCGTCCAGGATAGCCAGCAAGCCAGTAACATGGCGTGACATCCACACCTTCCGGATGCCAGGTGGTCTACCTGCCGGTAGAGGCCGGGCCATGACGGATACTTGGGTGTGCTTTCCTCACAAATACATGGGCAGTGCTTGCTCAGGACCACGTGAATGATATAGATACAAGTGTTTTGTAGGACTGTTACAAGCACCGCATTCCTGTTCCTGTTTACCATTGCTAAGTGCTTTGGGGACAAAACCCCTTGACCGAATGAATAACCGTTGCAATGGTTCCCTAAAAGGGAGCACTAGCAAGATCCGAACCGTACAACCGTACCAACCCTACATTGCAAAAGAAACGGAACAAACCGTAGAGACAGCACCACAACGGGCCAACAAGATGGGAGACACAGCCCTAAAAGAAAACCACAGGAGGGAAACAAGAGGGTAGAAGCCAAAAAAGGCCCCTCAGCAAACCTCGACAAACCTCATCTAGGGCATAAGACAACCCAAACCGGAAGCCACGAACACACCACCCCAAGCAATGACATCAGGGCCAAAAACAGGACGCTCAACGGCACACAGAAAACCGCCCGCCAACAATACGTAAGAAAGGATGAGAAGGGCCAACCCCAGCCCATCCCCGACGGGGAACACCCAAACAAACCCCGAAGCTGACCCCAGAACCAGGAAACAGCAGACAGGGCCACCACATCAGCAAGCCCAGGCACAACACCCGCAGAACCGGACTCACGTACACGAGCCCGTAACAACCGCCGACCCTCCTCCATAGCGGACAAAGCAGCCAAAACAACAACATCCCAAACGCACTGCTGCACGCCCGAAGGAGGCAACGCCAACCACAAGGCAGCCCGAGGAACCGCAACACCCAGCGAGACCTCAAGCTGCTCAACCACAGCACGAGCAACAGGACAAGCCCAGAAAAAATGCAACCGCGGAGACACCCCCAAGACAACGGACCCACAACCACAACATTCCGGACGAGCCCTAGACATATGAGAATTCCCCAGCAAGGGAACCCCATCAATAGAAAGACGCCAAAACGCTTCCTTGAAACCATTCTCCCAACGAATCGACCAAAGACGCTGGAAAGAATCACGAAGGCCATCCAAGACACCCTCAGGAAGCTGCTGGGTAGCAGGTAACCCCAGGGCCTCCCTAATAAAAGCCGCATGCAACACAGCACGTTCCTCAAACACACCCCCAAGCTGAAGAACGGTAGCCATCTGAATCGACAGATTCCTCAAAGGAACGGCGCCAACATGAGGCAACTGCCACCCCAAACGTGGAACCAAAACCTGCCAAGCATCAACCTCAGAAGCCGGCGGAGGTTGGGGCGGCAAGGCATCAACAAGAAAAGTCTCAGCAGCCTCCACCCAAGCCACAGGCACCGCACCCAACAACGACTCAAGAGACGTCAAAAGATCACGACACCTAGGCAACGAACAAAGAGCACAGGCATCCGGGGACGCCGGGTCCAAAAACCGACGTACAAGAGCGGACCAGCACCTCTCCATCACCCTGCCCTCAGCAACCCCCGACACACCGTTCAACAACGCTGAATCCCACGTGTCCTCAAAACAACGAAGTTGAGCCAGGGCAGCCACACACATACCCAATGAACGCAGGGCATGGCAATGAACGAGCACCGGATAGTGGTGTTCCAAACCCAACACACCAGGTTGGCCCGGCAGCCCAACCGGCAGGAAAGGGTTACCCCACAACGGAACACCCCAACACCAGCTACCCGGTACCAAAGGCTCCGACCCAATGTCAGTAACTGGCGGTAAAATTGCCTCAACACATAACCAAGAGGCATTGGATAGGCCTAAGAAGAGCACAAGTTAAGCCAAACAAGGAACGAAGAGGGGAACGGGTAGTAGCCACGTAGTAGGCCCTTCATACAACAGTACGAGATAGCAGGAGTTCTGTCGCCCAGCAGTACTAGACAGGAAGATCCGACAGAGCGACAAATACACTCATGTACGGCAAGACCGAGACACAGCGCGGAAACGCTCAAAGGAATCACAGCGCGTGTATAGATTGATTACCAATACCACTAGCCATAACCATTTGCGTTTATGTCGAGCAGGCCAAACCGGGCGAACCGGCTCTTTTAATTACTGCTGGAGGTCCAAACCAACAGCGGCCAGCACCGGCAGATCCGCCTTGTTGTTCGTGGTCTGGTTGTTGACCCTGATCCGCACAGCAACCACCTCAGCCGTGTTGAGTGCATCTGCCGTCATGCGCGGCCGCAGCACGTCAGGTACCAAGGCAATCTGGTTGAGGGCCGCGCACGTCAGCGACTGCTGCTGTGCACCCCCCGTATACATCGTGACTTCCTGCGGGGTGTCATTCTGCGGAGGTGGGAAGCAACAACAGCGGAGGGTGGAAGGTTAGCGAACTGCGAAGAACGAAGTTGTACACGATAATTGCTGTTTAGTTTTGAACACAGCAGCAGCGTGAAGGCGCTGCTAGTGAAAAGCCCGATGGCAACCTAACGGGGCGTGCGGCTGCTTCCATGCACCCGCCATGTGTATTAACGCACATGTGATCCCGGCGTCCGCAGCAGCAGCTCGATGGAGGAGATGGCGGGGCGGAGGGTTCCGCTGCTGAACACGTAGAGCTTCACGGCAGCAAGCTGGCTGACCCGGGCAGCCGGGGTCTGGTTGAAGTAGGCCACCACGTAACGAGGGTTCTGTACGAAGGATGCAAACGTTCAAAGAAGCAGACAGGGTGGTGACAAAGCAAGGAGACATGTCGTCTAGCTAGTGCCTACCTAGGCACATCGACAAAGGAGGAAAAGGCTGGCGCGAGTGGTCTTAGCGCCCTCGCTCCTTCCCGCTCTTTTATTCTTAGACCTAGCGCTTGTATATTCGTCAGCGCTGCGGCTATTGGGTTCGTTGTCCCGATCCCAGCCCATCAAGCACCCCACCTTGATGGTAGCCACCCAGCCCAGCGCAAGTGCAGCCCTGCAGGCCTTGATGTCAGTGACTTGGGAGCTGGGAGGACCCACGAGCTTACTCACGGAGCCAGGCGCAGTGCTGGTTCCATTGACATCCTGTATAATGTGAATTATTGTACAGCACATAAATTACCGTATGCAACAGTACTAGTAATGTACCGTATTACGCACCGCACCATAGCGGGATTTACTGAAGGGATGGAACAAGGAGGACAATAAAACACGGTGTGAAGTTCGTTGCAGAGGTGCATGCATGGGGGCGACTACAACCTTCTCGCACACAGCCGCTAATCCCAGGACTTCTTTCGTTTTAATACTCACAAAGGGTCCAAATGCGGATGTGGCCCAGTACGTGGGCGCAGGGGGTGGCGGCGAGGGCTGGCTGGGAGGTGGTGGGGAGCGCAGACGACGAGGCGGAGGACTTAACGACTTAGTAGGAGGTGGAGGAGGCGGCGAGGGTGGCGATGGGGATGGGGAGGTGGGAGATGGGATGGGAGGTGGGGTACGGGGCAGTGGCGAGCTGGGCGGCGAAGACGGGAGGGGGCTTGGGGAGGTGGATGGAAGAGAGGAGCGAGGTGGTGTTTGTGGGCTGGGGCTTGGTGAAGGATGCGTTGGTGGGCTAGGTGGCAGGGGAGAAGGGGGATGTGATGGCTGGCTGGGGCTGGGAGGTGGGGTGTGTGGGCTGAGGGCTGCAGCGGGAGGTGTCTGCTGGTGACGAGGAGGAGGGGGTGGTGGAGGAGGGGAGGGGCTGGGAGGGGGCGGCGATGGAGGGGAGGGGCTGGGAGGGGGCGGCGATGGAGGAGAGGGGCTAGCTGGGGGCGGCGATGGAGGAGAGGGGCTAGGTGGGGGCGGCGATGGAGGAGAGGGGCTGGGAGGGGGCGGCGATGGAGGAGAGGGGCTAGGTGGGGGCGGCGATGGAGGAGAGGGGCTGGGAGGGGGCGGCGATGGAGGAGAGGGGCTGGGAGGGGGCGGCGATGGAGGAGAGGGGCTAGGTGGGGGCGGCGATGGAGGAGAGGGGCTGGAAGGGGGCGGCGATGGAGGAGAGGGGCTGGAAGGGGGCTGGGACAGTGGCTGGCTGCTCCACGGTATGCAGTCTTTACTCGGGGCCTCACCGCCGTAGATGTACAGGACTGGAGGGGTTGGAACGCGGGGGCGTTTCAGCTTTCCGTGCATGAGAGCTCCTGTTTACAAGCTTCAAAGGCGAGTGAGTGCAGCGGGTACGTTCTTACCTACCCCACTTGAATACACTCGCTCTGACGGGTCAATGTCGTTATAAAGCCACCCAGAATCGCCGCCAGGACCGAAGGAGGCCACTCGCACGCCGAGCGTCGTATGATAAGTGTAAATCTTCCCCAGATCTGTAAAGCTTTGCAAAATACGGTCCTTTCTGCATAAAACATAAGAGTGGGCGCGAAGGAAGGTCAAAGGCCCGCATGTAAGTCGAAGGAAATTGTGAAGACGCTGGATGATGATGAGGGCAATGTGAGTGCATGACGGAAAGGGTCTGCTGTCCCCCTATCTCGTTCGGCGTTGGTATTGCCCCCACCCCTTTGCCTTCGGGTTTGGGCCATAACCATGCAAGTACCCAATAAAGTGACAACAGGTACGTGTCTTCACGGCGCTACGAGCGAGATAGACGCTGGCCTGTGATCACGCATCTGTAACTCCTGACAAAAAGACTCTCTCTCTTGTCATTTCGATAAAAACGTATAGGCTCCATCCAAGATGATAAGGGTAGCAGCAGCAATGCGCACCGTGCACAGCAACAAGGAACTTACGGGCCATCCGAATCCTGGTAGCAGGTCCATTGGAACATTTTCAGGCCTGCACGCATAACAGACCGAACGGGGTTGGGACCGGCGGGAATGGTGGACATTCATGTGCACGTTGTAAGTGTAAAGGCCCCACACATAGAACTGCAAAATGCCACGGTGTCAAGCAGCCAGGGAGCATGTTCTTCGCTGCATGAAAGCCGTCCCAGTGACGTGGGCGCAGGAAAGGCAAGGATGTAGCGGAAGTATTTGCATGCATGTACGGTATGCATATATAGTCCAGCTCGGAGGATAAAGCGCCCAAGGCTTTAGTTGACTTTTGGCCTATCCACTAAACATTAGCACCGGTGGTGATATGGGTATTTCGGGCGCCCTTGGCGAGGGGGAAGTGCTAGAGGAACGGCGGCGGTCACCCTTGCAGCCTTGCTGGCAGTTGCTCGTTGAAACGGCAAACACAGGTAAGCCGTAACGCCAGTTGTAAGCAAAGACCAGGGTTCCAGTTCGCGCACCTTCGGGATAAGCAAGCCTTGCCGAGAGCAGCAGAGCCCTGCGACCATAACATGTCCGCTTTCACCACCGTGCAAAAGGCACTAAAGTAGTCAACGATGCTTGCGCACTTACGTCAGCAACAATGTAAGACATATCCTGCGTGAGGGCATTGCACCCAACCGCGGTATCCTAATAATGGGCATCCTTCGCCGGACTATAACTGCTGAAAGTACAGTGTTCGACTCTGAAGACAGGCATTAAGATATTAACGGAGCTTCGTTGCAGTTGGTTGCGTTTAACGGAGCTTAAACTCGGCTACTGACCGAAGGCACACAAGGTGCCAGGTACGCTACAAGGTAGGCCTTTTCAGTACCAGTTGTATGGTTAGCAATTAGTGACACAAAACCTAGAACCAAGCTTTAATGCCAAGCAAGCCTTCTGTTTCAGCCTCTATTGAAACCCTTACCACCGCTTTAGTACGGCATTATTCGCCGCCCACCTTTCATGCCCACCTTTCATGCCCACCGACGCCATGTTTTCGTGTATTTGTGCTCGCGATCCATGAGCCTTCTGGCTCGGACGGATCTTACGAGCTCGGTACGAAGCTTGTAACATACATACATACATACATACCCCTATGGAATATAATCACCCTTGGTAAGGAAACCAACCTGTTATTAGTATGGTTGCTGCTACCAAGTAAAATGTCTGGTTTGGAAAACTGGGTTGGTTACCAGGCTGGTAACTAAGTCGGTTTCGTGGAGGTACATCCCATGGTTACAGCATTACTAGGCCTGGTAAACAACCCCATGACAGGTTGTTAACAGGCATGGTTTCCGTCTGTCATGCAAACCAACCCTAATATCATACCCCTGCTATCACACTGCGTTTAGAGTCCTCACACTAGTCATAACTATCAAATAAATCAAATAAAACAAGATCTGTGCCTCAATTGAATACACCCCTACTGATGTAATACCTTATATTGCTTCCTCTCTCCTATGAAATCTTCTCCCTTCGTCTTAACTTGCTTCCTCTCCTATGAAGTTCTCTCTCTCCGAAGCACATACCGATCAAAATGCGCCCAACCGGATGAAACAGTCTGCACACCTGCAGAACTGGCCTTTCTTTCAGCCGTCACTTCCTTCCCTTGCCCTTGCTGCAGCTCTTGGTGCCCCTGTTGCCGTCGTCTTTGCGGCTGCTGCCCTTGCTGATCCCGTTGCCCACACGTCCGCCCTTGCCCTTGTCAGCCTTGTCCTCCGCCGTAAAGGACTTGACGACGAGTCCGAAGGCCTTCTTGTCCACCGCCAACTTGTCCATTATGTTGGTGCCGGAAACCGGTTGCGAAGGTGCAGACGTCTTGTGCTTCTTCACTTGCTCCCGCTGATACTCCTCGGTCTCCGCCTGCTCCATGGCCTTCCTGGACGGCTGTCGTGCACGCTTGGAGCGGCCCGTTGGTGCTACCTCCTCATGCTGCGTCCCAAGCTCCATGGCAGCTGCATTGGTAAAGGGGCAATGACATGCATTTAACATTATACCACGAATTTACAGAATTGAAAATCATATGCAATGAGCAAAGCGCTGATCTCTGCTAAATGGAAATCCTCGGCCGTTGTGTCGTACCGGCAGCGGCAGAATTGCCGTACACATCCCTAGCGGCTGCGGCGACGCCGGCGGTGCAAGCCCCGCGTCACATGCACATGCACATGCTGTGTAACGTGCGTGTATGGCGGCGGCCGCCGGTAGTCCCGAAACACCCACGGGTAACCGCCCCCCTTACCCTTGCGGTCACTGATGCCATCGCGGCAAACCTTCTTCTGGCGATCCTTTCCTGCACATGGATTTGTCTTATCCTCAATTCCATACCATGGGTTAAGCATGTAAGTGCCGTACAGGTCACGTACAGGACTGATGCGTTTCGTTTAAATCTTATTCTAATAGTGATATAAATGTCTAGATATGCTCATAAACCATTACCGATTCGGCCCTATCCCCTTTCTTACCTTCCTCGACGCAGACCAGCTTGCGCTTGGCCGCCTTTCCCGCAGGCGAGAACCCTCCGCCCCTGCTTCCATCGCCGCGGTGGCCTCTTTCATCGCTTCTGTAGCTCCCGGTGTCGCCGCTGTCGCTACTGCCGCTCGCATCGCTCCTATCGCTGCTGCCACTTTTGCCGCTACTCCTGTCGCTGTCATCATCACTGTCGCCAGAACTGCTCTTGCCGCTGCTGCTGCTGCTGCTGCTGTCTGTCCTGGTGCTTGCAATCCCTCCTTCAGGCTCAGGAGACGGGTCGGCCTGGGTGAGGGGGTACTCCTCTTGTCCGACGTGAGGCGGGGTGCCGCCGTCGTTGTAGCGGCCGCCGTCCTCAACAGCGGCGCGCGTTCCCTGCTGGCGCCGCTCCACGTCGCTGCTGCGGGTCTTCTTCTCCTCCTCCCAGTGGCGGCCCTTGGCTGGCGGCTGGGTGCCGCCATCATCATAGCGGCCGCCGTCCTCAACAGCGGCGCGGGTTCCCTGCAGGCGCCGCTCCACGTCGCTGCTGCGGGTCTTCTTCTCCTCCTCCCAGTGGCGGCCCTTGGCTGGCGGCTGGGTGCCGCCATCATCGTAGCGGCCGCCGTCCTCAACAGCGGCGCGGGTTCCCTGCTGGCGCCGCTCCACGTCGCTGCTGCGGGTCTTCTTCTCCTCCTCCCAGTGGCGGCCCTTGGCTGGCGGCGGTGTGCCGCCGTCGTTGTAGCGGCCGCCGTCCTCAACAGCGGCGCGGGTTCCCTGCTGGCGCCGCTCCACGTCGCTGCTGCGGGTCTTCTTCTCCTCCTCCCAGTGGCGGCCCTTGGCTGGCGGCGGTGTGCGGGTCTGTGGGGCTTGGCATGAATGTCCTACCACTCTATTAGCCTAATGACTGCGCGCTGGGCTTTGTCGGGTGTTGATGAGGTTATCTGTGTTGTCGTTCGGGTCCCTGCCTGTCCGTTATCGGTGTTCATTGCGTGCGCAGCGCACATGGAACGATTGTCGTAGTGTAAGGGGTGGCGCCCTACAGCTTTAACCCCATTCGTATATGCAGTGGTTACGTTGGGATAGATATGGACGGCGACCGTGTGGGTTTAGTTTGCAGGATGAGCTTGTGCGGCTTGCACTCGATGCTTAATGACACACGGCAATTGTAATGTTCACGAAGTTTCGAGGGTACCGTTACCAAGGACCTCATCGCACACAGGCCGCACACAGCTCGCATGCATGAAGGCGTCGGCAAATCTGACATGCGGTTGAGCCGCAAGCAGTATACAAAGGATGACTATTACAAACCAGAGCTTCTTTGGTGTTACATGCAGGCTTTCTAGCAGCGTAAACGAGAATGCTCTTCAATTATGCAGCTCATTGCTCGCACCTCCACGGACAGCCAGGACGAACTTTGGTCTATGCATAGAATAGCCAAATGAATAGAAATAAGCAATTACAAAGTAGCTTGGCCCATGTGGTACACGTGCGCTGGAAAATGCCCGTACTGGACAAGCCTCTTTGACGGCATCCGGGGAGCTAGCGGGGACGAGCGCAAAAGAGTGCAACTCTACTGGCAAGTTAAGAGAACAAATACAACGCTGGGTAGCAACACGTACCGGTATTCAGGCAAACAATGTTGCTGCTGGTTTTGCCCGTAACAACTGTATGCGATGGCTGCCGGTCGTTTAGCTTGAAGAAAAGGTGTAGGAAAATGTATAGGCAATAGTTGTTGGCGATAGTCATAGGTGAGAATGCTATAGTTGTTGGCAACGCAGTTCAACCTGCTGACAGGCATCGGCACCATGCATACAGCTAGCAGCATCGGCTGCTGCCCTGGGCCTGGCATCAGCACCTGCGCCCACGGCGCGTGTCAGCGGCATCGGCATCAGCAGCACACAAGGGTATGGTTTACAAACCTAAAGGCCACAATTCCGCCTAGCGGCCTTATCTCAGGCTTTCCGAAGGGCAATTCTTGAGGTGTTTATGCTGCTACCTAGAAGGTAGGAGTGCCAGGGTACTGTATTGCTTCGTGCTGTGGGCGGGTGGAATTATGGACACCAGACCGAAGCGATCTCATGGCCTTGTGGCAACCTGCCGCTGCGAGGCACGTTACACCATGAATCAAGTCGGTCCGCGGCAGGTCACAGCCGTGGTTTTTATTCAAATATACTAATGCTCTTTATGATGAAGACTTACCGGCGCAGGGAAGGGCGAGTTGAGAGTCGCGAGTTGGGTCATGAGTCGTTTGACGGCGTTTTGCCAGCAACAATAGAAGGAAGAATAAGGGATTCAAGGAATAGTGCAGATGCTTAATTACTTCACGGTTCGCAAAACAGATAGTGCGGCTGACGGTCTACGATTGGCGACCGGTCTAGCCGATAGATGGAAGCGTATAGACGGTTACGTAATTGATTACGAGAGGGCTCTGCAGGGCTTGTCGAGTCTCCTATGCAGCCCCTTTTCGAGTGCTGGTTGTATCTGGGCGTTTGGGATGATCAGGGCTTTCAATATGTGCTGGCAGGGCTTCGCCCAGGGTAGCTGGGTGGGCTGTAGGCCATCTGATGACGTGTGAAGTTGAGACATGGCGGCGGATGACGTAGCCGGCAGAACGTCATGGCCGTACAGAAGCTTCTATAGGCTTAGGCTATATAAGCCCGTTGTTTGCTACTGTTGAAAAGTCCGTGTGCAGGCTGGAACTACGTCTAGTTCAGCCTTTGAGACCAGTGCCAGTGTCAATCGTCCACTGTTGTGTGTAGTGTCGACAGCCATGTGGATGTGGTGGTGGTGGTGTTCACAGCAGGCGATGTTGTGCCTAGCTTTGGAGATCAATGTAACGCAATAGTATGGCACGCGTGATGCTTAGATGCAGCCTTGGATGCGGGGTTGTGGCAAGTACGGCACACCATTAGGGTGGTTTTAGGAGGTGGATTTAGGACAGTGACTTAGGCAGGGTTTAGGACAGCTTGCGCGCCCTCTTGAGGGGCGTAGTAGACAAGGGCAACGGTGGAAGGAATATGGGTGGAGGTGTTACGTGCACAGGGGCGAGGTGTCTGTAAAGGTCCCGCTAGGTGTTGGTAGGCAAAAGGACGTTTGGAGGGATGTGGTGGGTCGCAAAGCGGATTTCAAACCGTGAAAGCAGTGTTGGTGGCAACCCTGGCAAGCAGCTGGTGGGAATGAGCTAGGCATGCAGCGGCTGGGTTTTGCCTTGTCACGGTGACAAGCAATGACCTTGACGACTTGGGGAACGATGCTCATGGAATGGTGAGCGGTGCTAGGGTAAAGTGTAGGTGTGCCTCATTGCTTTAGTTGTACTGTACAGGCATTCCTGTCGTACGGTTTGGATGAATCGCTTTACAAGCTGTACATTGCAGTCGCTACAGCTGTACGGATAGCCGTACGGTTCCCCAGTAGTTTCAGGAGCCGCAGAAGCTGCCGCACACTCATTTGAAGTTCCCACAGCGCCTGTGCGGTCGTGAAGTATATCGTATTCGCAGCGACAAGTGCCTGCAATCACTTACCGGTACTCGAGGGCGGCAGACCACATGCGGCGTCATGCTGCAAGTGAAGAGGAGCCCGGATCAACATCGTTACAGCTTCACGTAACACACCTTCACATGGCAGACCCGTAACCCAACACATGTGTCCATCAGGGGGCGACCCCGGCGGCTCTGCGGTCTGCAGCGATGCCTCCAAGGTGCTTCATGATAGGACCACCCCCCGTTTCCTCTTTACCCCCCGTTGGGAGCGAAACCGCAAACCGGGTGCGGCTTGGGTGGCTCCAACACTCGAGAACGGCAGCAGCAACATGATGGCTGACAACACCGCTACTTACTGAGGAGCATCAGCCCTGAACCTTCAGGCGAAACAACTGGAATCCGCCATCCCCCCCTATTTCGGGAGGTGGCACGGGATGCATTGCAACTAGTGCACGTGCATACACACGCACGGTGGGGACATCATCTTCCGATAATCCAGTGCGCTCCCCTACTCGCGGCCAGTTCTTTTAACACGCGCAAGAAAAACGCTTAGGTCGACGACCATGCGCCACACCCACACCACACTCCGACTGACAAGCCTCCAGCCAACAGCGCATTCCAACGGAGAACACCCGCGCGGTCAAGAAGATGCCAGATAGAACAACAACACCACACCACCACAACGAACGGTTCATGCGCCTAGGAGCAGCAAAACACCCCTTGTCAACGAGACACCGGGCATATGCGTCAAAGTGTGATCACGCGGCATCTGAGGCCAAAGCCATTACCTAGGGACAAGTCAAAACCTACCGCTATCCTTGCAGCCCATACACTCACTTCATCCCCGGTCCAAGCCTTCCCAGCCCTTCACACCCCCCCCCACCTGCACCCCACCACCCCTCCCAACCCCGCCCCCACACCCCTCCACACCGCCTCTACTGCTGCGGGACGACTGTCAGGGTGCCCCCAGGTCCGATCGTGGAGGCGATCTGCACTCCCGGCGGCAACTGCACCCCCGCCGGCAGCTGCACTCCCCCCTGCAGCTGCACCCCCGGCGGCAGCTGCAAATACATCATCGGCTGCCCCATCAGCGGCTGCGTCAGGCCCATGGGGGGCAGCATGAACTGCCCCCGGTTGAGCAGCATCTCCATGGGGAGGCCCATGGCTCCGGTGGGGCACACGATGTAGTTGGTGACGGAGGTGCCACCAGCGGCCGGACTGAAGCCCTGCAAGAGGGGGGTCGTGGGAAGGGTGGTTCCCGCGGGCTGCTGGCCGGGGGACGCGGCCTGCGCGCTGCTGGGCGCTGAGGGAGACGGGGCAGTTGGCTGCTGCTGCTGGGACTGCGGTTGAGGCGGCGGAGATGGCTGTTGTTGTTGTTGTTGTTGCTGCGGTGGCTGCTGTTGCTGCTGACTCCCCGCGTTGCTCTGTTGTTGTTGCTGCTGCTGTTGTTGCCGCTCCTCCGCGTTCTGAATGGCCTGGTCCAGGTGGAGGTGCAGTCGCGACCGCAGCTCGCTCGCCTGCACTGAGGTGCGGGCAGGCGCGCTGCTGTTGGCGGGCTGCGCGTGACCCGCGGGTCCGTCCACCTCAACTGCAGCCGGGCAAAAGGGAGAGAAAGGACACATGCGTGCTTAGCTCGCCGTGAACTGGAACTGGTAACGAGCTAAGGACTGAACAACGCATTCGGCAAGGCAAAGAGCCCGCTTGCATGCAGTACAGTTACTTACCCACGGCGGAGTCAGTGAGTGCTAGACCCAGCGTGGAACGAGCCTTGGCGTCGGACTCGTCTATTTCCTCAACAACCACAACGGCCAACGCACGTCCAGCCGCCTTGCCCTGCACGGACACACACCCACAGGAGTTTGTAGGCTGTCTTTGCAAACGAGAAACGGAGGAAAACATCGACAAAGCGGACAGCCGCTTCAGAACAGAAGTGAGGCAAGGTACTATCGATTTGTCAGGGAGCGCCGACGCGAAGTAAGCCAGGGTGCACATACACCCAGTTTTCTTAATACACCCTGCCAACGTCCTACAAGGCTACAAAGCGGCGCCATTACCGGTACCCTACAACGCGAACCGCTCTACCCGGGTCCATACCGGTACACGCCCTTACCTCAGCCTTGCGCGGTGACGCCACAGCGCTGCTTCCGCGTGTTCCCGGGCCGTTCTCTTCGCGATGCTGCTGCTGGTGCTGCGGGGCCGCAGGCGGGGGCTGCGACCCTGCAGGAGGGGACATCGCGCGATCCTCCTGCTCTCCCTCCTCCTGCTCCCTGCCGCGCCTGCTGCCCAGCCTCTCCGCCGCAGCAGCCAGCGCTTCCAGCCCTCCGCCGCCCTTGTCGTACGACCTGAAGGCCCCTGCGCTGCCCCCCATGCGCACGTCGCCTGCGGCATGCAGGGTCAAGTGTTGACTCGATATCGATGTTTTCATGGGCGAGTTGCATGCGCAAGACGGCATGCGTGCTTACAGTTATGGCGCATACGTACGATGCCATTGCGTGTCGCATGCTGCAGAACATGCATGATGTCCGTGGGTAGCTTGCAACTGGACCTTATAATGCAACTAGCAACCCCACAGGTTCCATCCAACCCCTGACCACAACAACACATTACCACCACGACCTCTACCAGCACCACGCACCTGGCTTGGCCTGGACCTCCCTGGCCGCCTCCTTGCCTGTCTGCTGCCCCTGCCCCTTGTCGGCCATCCTGGATGCCTGCGGGTCGGCAGCCGCCGAGCCTGCTGGCTTCCCGGTGCCGGGCGCCGCTGCATGGCTCCCACCGCCCCCCGCCGCGTTCGCTGCCCCTGAGCCTCCTCCTGCCACCTGCTGCTGCTGCGGAAGGCTCTGTTGGGTCTGCTGCTGCGACGGCTGGGGCTGCGAGGGCTGCTGCTGCTGCGGCGGCGGCAGCGGTGGAGGCAGTTGTAGTAGCAGTTGCGGAGGGTGCGATTGTTGCTGCAGAGGCTGTGGTGGAGGTGCCGTCGGGGCATGCGCTTGGCTGAGTTGCGGTGCGTGGCTGGATGTGAGGGGGGTGGTGCTGGGCGGGGCCTGCTGGACGGTGGTCTGTGAGGCCAGCGGGGAGGGCAGCGGTCCGCCCGACAGCGGTCCGCAGGCAGCATGCACCGCGCCGCCGGATTGCGGCTGCGGCTGGCCTTGGGGAGGAGCACCTTCACAGAGGGGATGGAAGAGGGAAGCAGGGAGCAGGCTGAAGCAACGAGGAAGGGAAAAGGAACGAAGCAGACTTTGTTGTGTGGGTTGGGATGGCGCTGATGACGCGGTAAAGGCGGCGGGTTGCCTCCTACGTGGTCGCGAACCCAGGTTGGGTTCAGGTGCGTCAGCGGCCATGATGTGTACATACAGGTGGCGCCTTGTCGCGGTGCTCTGTCCCGAACACATAATCACTGCTCCCGTCCGTGCCATCGCCCCTGCATGCCATCGAGCGATGACACCCCTTACCCCGGCCCTGTACCTCTGTAGGCTCCAAATCGAACCGCTTAGACGACACCAGGTGTTGAAGCCCCAGCACAATTTCGGGCCTTAAGGCTAAGCGCATCAGGGCGGTTTCGGTTCTCGCCAAGTCTGGGATTCCAAGGAACGCCCAGGCTCGCCTCCAAGCAAGGACTTTGCTCCTTGCGTGAGAGGGTCAAAGCAAGATCCTGGCTGCACACCCCAGTGTGCGCCTGACCGCCCTTCTGCTGGAGGTCGTCATGACCCATCAGTCATGTGACCACCAGGAGTGTTGCTCGTTCCGTTCGTTCAATATTGTTCGTTCGATTCGTTCAATTCGTTCGTTCGATGCGTTATTCGATTCGTTCGTTCAGTTTCTGGTTCAACGTTTCTTCGTCAGCGTCTGCACCTCATCGACATTTCAGGTGTCCCTGATTCACAGATCAAATGCGACAGGATCGGTTACGAACGTTGCGCATTCAACGTCGTCAAAAGCATCAGGTTCTTCGCATTTCGTCAGATCGTCAGCCCCCGTCTGCAAGAGCTGCGGTTCCAAGTGCCAAGCACCATGACAACCACACTCCTCAAGTGACATGGGGGGAAAGTCAGGGCAGGTAGGCTCATCACATGTGTGCAACAACTGCACACCTTCCTCACCTGCCACCACTGCCGCCTGCTGTTGCTGCTGCACCGGCCCCGGTGCCGCGGGCGGCTTGGGCCAACAGCCCGCCCCGCCCAGCGTCTGACCCGCCTGTTGCAGTACCTGCATCATCGGGCCGCTCTGAGAGCCCGACAGCGCGGCACCCGGAGGCAGCATGCCCAGACCCACGCCCACACCCCCCAGCGGGTTGAAGGCGCCGGAAGCCAGCCGAGCCTTCAGCTGCGCAGCCGCCGCCGCATCCAAGCCTTGCACGGCCGCGGGAGCCGACGCACTGGGCACAGCGGCCGCCAGCGCCGCAGCTGTTGGGGCGGGACCCGAGTTGCGCTGCTGCTGCTGTTGATGCTGCTGCTGCGGGGGCAGCGGCGGCTGAGGAGCAGGATAGCCGGGAGGCAGGCCGGGCATGGGGGCGGCTCCCGGCTGCTGCATGCCGCCGGCGGAGGGCACGGGAGTGCCTGGTGGCATGAGGCCCGGCGCCGCCACGAATCTGTTCACTGCGCGAACCACCATGTCGTGCGTCCACTGCAGGTCTCCCAGCAGCTCGGGCGGGGTGGTGTGGCGCTTGTTGAGCGCCTCTAACACCACCTTGTGAGCCAGATGCCACATCTCCAGCTCCGAGTACTCGCTGAAATTGATGATGCTGTCGCCGTTCGTCTTGCGGCGGCGCTTGGCAGGCGGACCCGGAGGGCCCTGGTAGTAGCTCATGGGGCCTGCTACGGCGGCGCCCGGCGGCGCTACGTACATGTATGCCGACTGCTGCTGCTGTGGCTGCTGCTGCGGCTGTACGAAGCCGGGCTGACCGGGAGGAGACGGAAGCGGCGGTGCTGCAGTGCCCGAGTGCGGCAGCGGCTGCTGCATCTGCGGTCCCGGAGGATCACCCGACAGCGCCCGCTTCGGCGCCGCATCCGCCTCCCTGCCTTGGGAGGGCTCGGTGTCCACCGCGGAAACAGCACCCGCGCCACCAGCTGCTGCTGCGGCGGCGGCAGCAGCAGCGGCGGCAACGACTGCGGCGGCGTCCTGGGGCCCCGCGACGCCCTCCATCATGGTCATTCCCGCCGGTGCAGAGGCGGCGCGAGGCGCAGCCGGTGATGCCCGCGGAATGGGCGCGGGCAGCTGACCGGTCTCCTCGTACTTCTTCTGCACTGCGCGCACCGCCCCCTTGCGGAGCGGGAGGGGCCATGCGGCTGGGCACAGACCTGTGGTGCGGGGATGTAATGAGGCCCATTTTGGGGCCCCCAGGAAGAAAACGGCAAAGAAGAAACCATGTAAACCCGAGTAACATGCCTTAAGGACCAGGACTACAGCTAGGCAGCTCAGATGCATCTTGCTCCATACAAACAGCAGCACTGGTTACCATGAAAGGTTTGATGGATCAGGGGCAAAGCGGCTGCGAAACGCCACTGCAAAAGGACTTACGCAACTTCTCAAGCTCCTCATTCAGCGTCTCCCAACTTCTCCCAGGCAAGCGACGAGCGCAACGCAACGCCTGATCCGGTGTGATGGGTGTCCCCCGAGCCCAGGTGAACAGCTCTGTAAGAGCATTTCAAAGCAGGGGAAGATATGATTTTCCTGTATGCTCCCAGCACACAGCACAGCATACCGTGCACAGCACATTGCACGACAAGCTTACGGCTAAGGTATGCAGCCCAGCCGCTCGCCAGGCCCCAGTCCGGATATGGGGGAAAGTCGTCTGAGGAGTCCTGGCCGCGTCCAAGGACCTTGGTGAGGTAGTCCTTGATGTGCTCCTCCTTGACGCGATTGCCGCCTCCACCCTCATCAGGTGCTGTCAGGAAACGGCTGGATTCTGGCATGAGTTTGGACAGAATCCTAACAAGCTGACGCATTTCGTCCATAGGACCGCGCCGAGCCGCTTTGCTGCCTGCGTGCTCCTTCTTCAGGACCGATGGATGGCGAACGGTCATGGACGCTGCCCGGTTATCAAGAGGTGGACCAGCCACCATAGCCGAGGGATCCATAAAGTATCCCGGCTGAGGAAACATCTGCATTGTTCCGGGAGAAAGTCGCCCAAGAGCCGTTTGAATAGGGAATGTCGACGTCTGGGGCGGAATGACCAGGTCGGGAGGCGCCGGCAACTGCATGCCAACATTCTGCCCCATGCTGTCTATCTGCTGGGAGTCCGAAAGAAACTGAGAACTTGGCTGGCTGAAAGTCTGCTGCGATGATGGCCCGTCATGCTGCGACGCCACGCCACGCCACGCCACAGGCAATGTCGCAACATCTGGAGGCGATAGATTTGGTATTGTTAAGGGTGCTAACGCCTGAATCAAGTCTTGCTCCTCGGAGCTCATTTTGGGCGTTGTTGCATGTGTCAAACACGCCGGTGCTTCGCAGCCCCAGAAGCGTCTGAGGCAACTGAGTAACAACCAAAGATTGTACCTAGTGAATTTGTAAAGCTAAGTGAAGAAAGATGCAAGCACTTGGTGCGCTGCAGTGAAATGAGGCCCGGGTGCGTGAAATGGGGCAGCACGTCGTCGCAGCGCCGGCCAGTAAACATATATACTGGGATCCCCACTAAAACGAATTCCTATCTCTACATATATGTGCAAAATGTTCCGGCAAATCGTATGCGTCGGTTACATTGGCACAAGCTCGTCCCAAGCTTGGAGAAGGCCAGGCGTGATGGGACCCGACACCGGCAGCATCTCAGCTGTTGCCGCAAACAGGTTATCTAAGGTGCGACGATTTACCCGGTTGGGCGTAGCGCGGCGCATACCCGCCAGGCACATCAGGATGCGAGCAAGGTCGGTAGCTTCGGGGCTAGCAGAAGCTGAAGGCCCCAAATTTCCCCTATCCCGTGCTGTCACCACCGCCACCCTCTCCGACATAAGCTCCAAAAGACTGCCCAGCTGGTGCTGTTTCACAGGCACGTCCAGCGCGCTTAGCGCAGAAAGTCCCATGATGACCACATCAGCGTCCATGGATGGCTGGAACAAGTCAGGCAGGGCGGCCCAAAACGCGTCCACCATGGCTCCCAGCCACTCCGCCGCGGGTTTCACCTCCAGTGCCGCCAGCGCTGCCAGCAGTCGCGACAGCAGGGGTGCGGGCAGCTCGGCTTGCCTGCGGGCGGCGTGAGGACACAGGTCACAGGAACGGGACCGGGCGCCAAGAGCGAGAGCGGCACCTTACAGATACACCGGTAGCTTGGGATGAAGGCAGGAAGTAGTAAAGCACACCCCCAACCCCTCACCTCCCCTCCCCACCTGCCGTACAGTCCCGCCAGCGCTCCCTCCATCCAGCTGTCGTATGGGCGCACCCGCATCTCCGCCAGCGCCACCAGCAGCGCTGCCAGGCTCACGGGGGGCAGCGGTACGGCACCGCCTCCGCTGGTGCCCCCTGCTGGGGTCCGACCGCCCGCCTCCGCGCCCCTCCCTGCAGCAGCCCCGCCCCCGCCGGGTGGTGTGCTGGCTGACAAGCGGCTCGCAGCGGGTGTGGGGTGCGGCATTGCGGGGGAGTGGGGGTGGGTGTGGGGTTGGGGGTGCGGCCTGACCGCCCGCAGCAGCTGCGCAGCCCAGGTGCGGCTGGGGGTGTGTTGGAGCCGCTGGAGCGCCAGGGCCAGCGCCACCGCCTCCTGGGGGGGTCAAAGACCATACCAAATGGAGGGGGGGCGGACAGGAGCAGGGCGGGGCGGTGTGGTGAGGAGTAGGGAGAAGGGAGGGAGGGGGGAAACGGGGAAGGGGTGCTGTGAAGCGTTTGCAAGGCCCAAGAGGAGCCAGGTCTTGCACTTTCCTTGCATCCATGCATGCATGCATGCATCCGTGGATGCAAAGACACGCACACAAGGCACTCGCGGCCAGTGTTCTTAACACGAGGCGCAACACGCGCTGCCGATGCACGCAGGAGCCACATGTCGGTAGCGGGTTGTGAGCGCGCAAGGGGCAGCGGGCTGACAGCAATACAGTACTAATCCAGTGAACGGCATGAAGGCCCCCCCGAGTGTCAATGTCCTCTTTCCCCCACCCGCTCCCCGCCCCCACTGTCGGCTAAGTCCGCTGCCAAGTGCCAACACTTCCCAACCACCCCCCCCCAGACTTGTGGTCTCCTATGGTTTGGTATGGTCTTTGACCCCCCAGCCCCTCGCTCCACAGCCGCCCCCTGACCCCACCTCCTGTCGGCACCCCTCCAGCAGCGGCAGACTGGCCGCCTCCGCCGCCCCCAGCCAGCCGGCCCCGGGCGCCAGCTGCAGCGACAGCACCGCCAGCAGCAGCTGCAACACCGCACCCAGCGCAGGAGCAGGAGGGGCAGGAGCAGCCGCGGACTCCGGGCTCTCAGAGCTCCGAGGGTTCCCCCGACGGTGGGGGTGAAGGGGTGGCACGTCCGCCGCCGCCGCTGGCACGGCAGCAGCAGCAGCAGCGGCCCCCTCCTCCAGGGAGGCGAAGAACGCGTGTCGTGAGGCGGCCAAGAACGCCTCGCCCCACTCCGCGGGCGGCGGGACGCCCCACGCAACCGCCGCCTGCGCCGCCGCCAGCAGCTGCCGCCGCCGCCGCCGCTGCCCCCAGCACCCCTCCACCCCCTCCGCCCCCATCTGAAGCATCATGGCACCCGACTGGCACAGCATCAGCACCCGCACCCACTCCGCGGGGGGTGCCACCGCAACCACCACCACCCCGGCATCCGCTTGCTGCTGCTGGGGCGGCAATCCCTCCACGCCGCGACGCCCATTCGAGGAAGCGGAGCCGTCGCGGACCGCCGCAGCACCATTACGACCAGCGCCCGCAGCCGGCGCCGCCCGCCCTCCCCCCAGCAGCTCCACACAGCCCGCTGCCAAGCAGCCAGCCCAGGCCGCAATGCCCTCAGGCGGCAGCTGCTGCAGCAGCGGCACAGCTGCTGGGGGCTCCCGCACCTGCCCCCTCTTCTGCGGCTTCTCCACCTGCCGGCCTTGCCCCCCTTGCCCATACACCTCCTGCAGGCCACCATTCTCCTCCTCCTCCTCCTTTTCCTGCCGCCCCGGCTGCTCCTTCACCCCCTCCCTCGTCCCCTCCCGCAGCACCCGCCAGCGCAGGAAGCGCCGCAGCAACCGCACGCCCTGCCCGCACCTGCCGTACAATCCACCCTCAAAGTACGGCAGATCCAGCCTGGCCAGTTCCTGAACGACAACGTCGTCTGGGGCGGCCAGGGAGGGGTCCAGCAGCGGCACGTGGTGTGTCCAGTAGCGCCAGAAGGGGCCGACCCGCGGGTCACTGGTGCGCCTGCGGAAGTCCGCCTTGCGCCGCTGCACCGCCTGCAGGCTGGTGCGGCGGACCTGTGTGGGGGCAACACGTGTGTGTTAGATAAACGGGAGGTGGAGGGAGGTGGAGGGAGGTGGAGGGAGGTGGAGGGAGGTGGAGGGAGGTGGAGGGAGGTGGAGGGAGGTGGAGGGAGGTGGAGAACAGGGGCTGGGTTGGGATTGGGTGCTGGGATACCACTGGGATGCTAGGAGTGCTGCTGCTGAGAGGCGCAGCAGGTGCGAGGTATGAGCGTATGACTGGAAGCGCATGTACGGCCAGGGAAAGGGTGAGAGGCGGCCCGCCCCGCCCTCAGCGCACCCCCCTTTGTGCGAACACGGCTGCCCCTTCCCTCTCTCCTCTTCTCTTCTCTCCACCCCCTCTCCTCACCCCCTCCCCCCTCCCAGCCCCCCTCCCAACTCACCCGCCGCTCCCCCGCCTCCGCCAGCACCAGCCCCTCCGCCGTCAGGTGCACGCTGCTGACCCGCCAGAACGCCCGCAGAAACGCCTCCGACACCCGCCCGCCGCCACCACCACCCGCTGCCGCCGCCGGCACTGCTGCGCCCTCCCTTGCGCTGTCCTCCCCTCCCGCTGCTCCACCTGCTCCTCCTCCCCCGCTCCCGCACTCCCCCTCGCACCCCTCCGCCAGCACCAACACCCCCTCCAACAGGTCCAGCAGGTCATGCGGGTCGCATGCGTCGAGCTTGGAGGCGGCCGCGCGCTGCAGGGCGGCGACCCATGGGTCTTCAGGCTGGTAGCCCAGTCCGGCTAGGCCGTACGACAGGCGGGCCAGCTGGGGTGCGGTGAATGCGGCGAGGGAGGCGCGGGAGCAGCCCTGCAGCAGCGCCGAGATGAAGTCGGGTCCTGAGGGGGGTCGTGGGAGGACAAGGGGGTTCGAGTTGTGTGACTTGCATCGGACCGACGGATGCAGCGAAGGCTCCTTCCTTCACAACTGCAACCCTGTAGACGTTCCGCCACCTACAAGCGTATAAACGTTTGCACCCTCCTCATTACTCCCGGTCCATCCCTCTCCCTGCTCTTATCTCCACCGCCGCCCGCCACCCCACCTGGGTCGTATCCCAGCACATGCAGCCAGTACGGCAGGCCCCCCAGCGCCCCCGGCTGCCCCGCAGCAGCAGCCGGCAGCAGCGGCACACTCGCAGCCACCAACGCACCCACCCACTCGCTGCTGGTGCTGCTGCTGCTGCTGCCCGGCCCCGCAACAACAACGCTGCCGCTTAGCCGGAACCACATGGCCTCAGCACCCAGCAGCTGCTCCAGGGAGGCCACGGTAACCGCCAATGAAGACCTGCTGCCGGCATTGTTCCATTCGGCATTGGCGCCAGCGCGGCCGCTGTGAGTGCCGTACAATTGTGGGTGCCGTACTTGCAGTTGCTGTAACGTTGCTGCCGCCAGCGCGGCATGCCACTCGGCAGTCGGTACAACCCATGCAGCGGCCATGGCTTGCGAGAGCGCGGATAGCTGGTGTAAGGGAGTCTTCACTGCGGGTCGGAGAAGCGGAAACGTCGCGTCGCACAGCGCAGTGACCCACGGGTCACTCGGCCGCAGCAACAGCCGTCCGATGCCGGCCAGCGCTGCGACTAGGTCTTCCACTGAGGCGCCGCTGAAGGCACAGCGCTGCAGGTAGGACAGGAGCGGCAGGGCGGCACGACTGACGGCGGCAGCGAGGGGCAGGGTGGAGGCCAGCTGGGCTAGCCGCGGCAGCAGCTGACACACTGCAGATGGCGGCAGCGGCAGGTGCATCCCCCGCGATTCGCACTCTTCCGCTGGCCTTTGCCGCTTTTGCTGCACGCCTTCAAGCAATGCCCCCAGGCGCTGCAGCAGCGGAAGCACGGGTAGTGCAAACCCAACCTGAGGCGCCGAGGCCGCGCCCGGCTCCTCAGCACTCCCAACCCTCTCCACCTCAGTCGCCAACGCAGCGGCGTCAACCGCCGCCTCCGCCTCCACATGCGCACCCGCCGGAGCCAGCTGCACCTGCACCCTCTCAAGCTCCATGCAACCCAGCAACAGCTCCAACACGATTCCCGCGTCCGTAAGGCCCTTCAAGCCCCCCGCCAGCGGTGCCGGCGGCTGCGGCGGCGCCATCACCAGCACCTCCGTCACCGCCGCCACCCACTCCTCGCGCAGCGGCGCCGCCTCAGCCAGCTCCGCCGCCGCCGTCACCGCCTCCGCCAGCGACTCCGCCGACATGCCGTACATCGCGTCCGCCACGGCGCATTGCACCGCCTGCCAGTCCTCAGCCTCCGGCGCGCCGCTCCTCCAGCCGCCGCCGTAAGCTCGTACACGGCCCCGCCGACCTTGCGCCGCCTCCACCGCCACGTCAGCTTCCAACCGCGCCCACTCACGTGCCGCCGCATGCAGTTCCGACAGCGCCGCCGCCATGTCGGCCGTCTGGTCTGGGTGCAGCTGCCGCCACACCGGCGCTAGGGCTCGCAGCAGCCGCAGCAGCGCCGCCGGCGTGAGGCCCGCCAAGTCAGGGCTGCCGCCGCCGCCGCCGCCAGCCCCGCCGACGGCAGCCGTTGGTACGGCAGCCGCCGCTGCTGCTGCTAGCGCTGCCGGCGACGCCAGCGCCAGCGTGCCGTCAGCCAGGGCCGTCACGGCGGTGTGCCATTGCTCCGCTGTCGGCGGCGGTGACGGTTCCCGTCCGCGAGTCGTACATCTCGGCTGGGGTGAGGAAGCCGACCAGCGGCGGCCGCCCGGCGGCGGTAATGCCGTAAACTCGTTTTGAAGTGGCGGCAGCAGCGGCGACGCGTCATGCGTAGCGCCGTACATGTAACCGGGTCGGTAGTCAGATGACGCCAGATCGAGCAGCTGCGCCAGCCCGAACGACAGGACCGCAGCGGCAATCGGATCCGCACGCTCTGCTACTCGGGCCCGCTCCACCGCTGATGATGATTGCGGTTGCTGTCGCTGCTGTTGCTGCCCTCCACGTTGCTCCTCCTCAAGCCGCTGCAATTCCTGCTGCCGTACTTGTGACGTGAACCGTACCTGGCGTTGCGATGCTGCATGCAGTACGGCAATCAAGTCATCCGTATCCAGCAAACGCAAGGTGCCTGGCAGCACAGCCGCTGCTGCCGCTGCCACAGCGGTGTCGTACTCAGCAGTGCCTGCTCGGGTTACCCTGGAGCCACCTAGCCCGCCGGTGCCACTGCTGCCGCCGCCGCTGTTGCCCCGCCAAGCCAGATGCGCGTGATGATCCGACTTCTGCCGCAAGGGGGCGGACAGCAACGCCAACAGCACTTCGCAGCGGGCGGATGACGTGTCGAACAGATCTGCCGTACAGGGATGCTGTATGGCAGCAACCAACCGCAGCAGCTGCATGGCGTCCAGCTCCAAGCGATCCAGCCCCGCTAGCAGGTACGACAACAGACGCTTCGCAAGGCTGCCGTACGCGGCGTCACATGGCTGCTGCGGTGTGTGTTGTCCTACGGCACCAGCGGAGGCACCAGCGGAGGCGCCAGTGGAGACAGAGGCGGGGGCGGGGGCGGAGGACGTTGCCCTTGCAGCACGTGCCCTTGCACGTGCCGCCTGCAACGCTGGCGAGCAGAATCCTGACGGCGTTCCATTTGCTGCTGCTGCTGCGTGGGCATTCCGTCCCGCGGGTTCCGCCAGAGTAATCGCCGCACTTGGTGATGATGACAAGCTCACATCTCTCATCGTCCATTCCGACAATCCCTGTGGCGTTTCTGCTGCTCTTGCATGTACTGTTGCTTCCATGCGCCCAAGTGAGCCGCCCAGCTCCTCCGGCCCCCGCTGCTGCCCCCGTTGCTGCCCCCGTTGCGGCTGCAACCCCAGTGCGCCCTCCAACACACGCACCGCACCCTCCACACGCGGCAGCCACACCAGCTCCTCCGGCCCCACCCCGCTGCCACCGCCCGCAGCCGCCGCCGCCGCCAGCAGCGACTGCGACAGCAGCTGTGGCAGATCCGCCGCCAGCACCGCCAAGGCGGGTGCCGCCGCCGCCGCCGCCGACGGCGGAGCTGTCGCCGCCGCTGCGAGAGCGCTACCCTCCGGCGGCTCCGCAGCAGCAACGGCGGCGGAGGCAGGTGCCGCCAGTGCCGCCAGGGCTGTCGTACAAGCCGCCAGCTGCACCCACGTCAGCTCCCCAGCGGCAAGCCTCCGGCACAGTACGACTGCTGCCGCCTCCGCCAGCAGCAGCCCCGCCGGCCGTTGCTGCCGTACCCGGGCGACACGGGTAACGCCAACACCAGCAGTTGTCATGGCGGGGTACATGCCGTACTCCCACAGTTGAGCGGCGGTTGTGATGAGGGCCGCGAGCCGGGCGCCGGGAGCACCGCCGCTGGCAGCGGCGGCGGCAACGTAACTCTCCAGCTGGGTTGACAGTTGCACACAAAGGGTGGCGTAAACATAGCCTACACGGCCGGCCGCTGCCTCCGCCGGCGGCGCAGGGGTGTCAACTCCGGCAGGTACGGCAGTTGCTACCGACAGCGGCGGCGGCGGCGGCAGCAGTCCGGCATCGCCGTACCACGCCAGTTCCGTCAGCGCCTCCACGCAGGCGCCCGCGTCAGTGGCGGCGGCGGCGACCTTTCCGCTCACCTCCGCCCACACCGACTCCACCCAGCCCCGGGGCAACAGCATCTCCCGTCCAACCTCCGCTGCTGCTGTTCCGGCCGCCGTCGGCTCCACCTCCGCCGCCGTCACCGCCAGGGTTTCCATGGCCGCCAGGGCGACGGCGCCCTGGCAGGGTGTCAGCAGGAAGATCTGGTTCCGGAGCTCCGAGTGCAGCAGCGCCAGCCAGGGGGCGGGCAGCGGGAGGCCGCAGCGGGCCGCGGCGGCGGCGCACACGCAGAGCTCGTGCACCGGGGGCAGCACCAGCTGGGCGCGGCGGCAGAGGCCGTTGAGCACCGCCGCCAGTACGGCATGCGTCAGGGGTGTGTGTACGGCACCCGTGGGTGAAGGCGGGTTTGCGGAGTAGGCAGCGGCAGTGGCCAGGCAATGCAGCTTCGGTAGCGCCGCCGCCAGGGATACCAGCGCACCGGAGTCCGCAGCGCCGTCGGTCACCCAGGACTCCACCGCCGTCGCCGCCGCCGCCAGCAGCGGCGCCGCCAGCTGCCATGCTACAGCTCCCCTGCCGCTGCCGTCGGCAGTATCCCCGTCCGCTGCGCCGGCGGCGAGGCTGCCGAGCAGCCCTAGCGCCGCTGCCGTACCCTGGGCGCTCATGTACGGCGCCCTGGCGGCGACGGCGGCGCGCAGGGCCTCCAAGCAGCGGTGCCGAGCCACACTGCTGCCCGTCAGGGGCTCCGGCAGGGGTCCAGCGCCGTACGACACGTTGGCAGCACTGGCGGCGGAGGCGGCGGCAGTTGTAGGTGAACCGTACGGCTGCTGCTGCGTGGATGCCGTTGCGGCAGGTGGGAAGGTTGTGTTGGGGTTATGCTGCCACGGTGGTGAAGCCGCGGAGGGGAAGCCGTGGAGCAGCGGCTGCTGCTGCTGCTGCAGTGGCTGAGCCCAACCAGGAAGGCGCTCCGGATACGGCACCGACGCCGCTGCCGGCGGCAGCGGCGGAACGACCGACAGCATCCCTGGCGCCCCGCCTCTCGCACCGCCCTCGTCTCCCCCCGGCAGCAGCAGCGCACCCACCACCCGCCACAACACCGCCAGTAGCTCAGCCTCCGTCAACACACCGCCGCCCGCCGCAACATCCTCCACGCCTGCCTCAGCCCCCGCCGCCCCTCTCGCGACGCCCGCGCCGGCCTCACAACCCCCCACCACCGGCCCCCCGACTCCCCCGCCACTGCCGCCGCCGCCAGCGCCCCCCGCCAGAGGCGGCAGCAGGTCCGTCAGCTGCCGCCAGTGCCGAGTCGTCAGCAGCCGAGCTTGCAGAGCTAACACGGGGCCGGCAGTGGGGCCGGCAGGAGCCTCCGCACCGCCCCTGCTACTGCCGCCGCCATGTTGCCAACTGCCGCCTCGCCTGGGGCTGCGGAAGGGAGAGCTGCTGCCGCTGCCGCTGCTGCCGGCCCCGCCCACCCTCCCGCCGCCGCTACTGCTGCTGCCGTTGCCGGGCCACTGCTGCTGTTGCTGCTGCTGGCGTGCGGGCCCCCGAGTGCTGCCGCCGCGACCTGCCTGGCTAGCCGCTCCGGAGCCCTGTGGGTGGGTTACCAGCGGCGGGGGGGACACCCAAGAGAAGCGTGAAAGAGGAGTCGTGCCGAAAAGATTGGGCAAGGGGGTGCATGTTGGGGCCGGTACGCAGGACGCAGCATGCATACCTGCCCCCAGGCGGTGGCCGCTCAGTGCTACAGTACCCTTCTACTGCCGTACTACATGCCGTGTTACATACGCCAAGATACACCATGCTCTGTACAACTATACTACCACCGCGAGCCGCTGGTGGACATGAGGGCATGAATGTGGCGAGCCTCAGCCGCCGTGTTGCTGACTAACGGCCGGTGGTTCCCCTTTCTTCCCCTTCCCCCACCGCTTCCCTGGTAACCTAACGAGGAGATCACGTGAGGATTGAGTGGCAAACGGGACCGAGGTCGCGTGTGGGTAGTGCCGGTGTGTGGAGCAGCACACACCACATACTTGAGGAGCAGCTGGTGCCGGTATCGCTGTACGCTAGTGGCCCTGCAACCGCTTACCCTTGCTGGTGAGTGCTCGCCGGCGCTCCGTCCACCGTTATCGCCGTGACCGGTCGCAGCTTTGAGAAGGAGATTATAACGGAAGTACTTAGCTGGGCCTTTATGGGGGCATGGACACCTTGCAATTGGCCTCCCAGCTATTGGATGCGATATCCGCGGCAGGCCTTTCATGTGTAACCAATTTCTGAATTGAAACGTATATCCAAATTGGGAATCCAACCTGCCACAGGCTAATGCTTTACTACGGCATCGCCGTACTCTGCCTTATCGTCCGGATTGGTAATATAGCTGTTTGTTCTCATCACGAGCCGTGGGCTAGTCGCAGCAGAACGTTAAGGACTTGGGAATAATTCTAGTGAAATTCCTGGCCGTGTAGCCTTTCTGAAAGTTAAGCAACATGCAGTCGCGGTTAAGGGCCACTCGCGTAGCCGGTGCTCGCCGCGCAGTTGCACCAGCGAGCCGTCGGCTTACAGTGAATGTGATTAACGCGAACGTACTAATTGCTAACACTAAGGGCGGTGGTCATGCTTTCATCGGCCTCTATCTCGCTAAGGAGCTTTTAAGGAAAGGCCATCAAGTCACCATTATGAACGATGGCGATGAGGTAAGTGCGATAGAAGTAGCCGTTTGGGCATCGCTTATAGGGGCTGTGGCTGTGGCTGTGGCCGTAGGAGGTTGCACAAAGCGACAAAGGCGCGCTACCTTATCAACAAAGAAGTGATGTCGCTTCCCTGATAGTATTGTACGCTTCATTACGTATGCTAATGTTGCATGTTTGTAATGCTCGGCGCGCTGGGCGCAACCCGGTCGACGACAGCGTTACCATACCATTCGCTCGTCAGGATGCATATGTATTGCTTGCAACCAAATAGGGCATACCATAAACCTCATTCCCATACGCTACTTCCTCCTTCAGGCCAAGCTTACCAAGAAAGCTCCCTTCAGCAAGTACGCAGAGCTTGCTCACGAGGGCGCAACCATCGCATGGGGCGACCCTACCAACCCCAGCACCTATCCTCGCGGCAACTTCGATGTCGTGTACGACAACAATGGCAAGGACCTTGCGAGCTGCCAGCCCCTGATCGACCACTTCAAGGTGAGCTGACGTCGGAAGAGCTTCACCTTCGGTTGAACCCAATGGGGCGATGGAGGAAAGCCTAAACATCCTTATTCACACTTGCTTTGACCAAGCGGTTGCTGCTACCTGAACAGGCAGCAAAACAGCAAAACGCACACATGCACAAGTGCTCTAGCAACATGGTTAGCATGTTAACACCAGAGGCTTGACAACGTCCTTCGAATACCGCACAAGTACGAGAACACATAACCAATTCATCATCCCTTCCCCCCTCCTCTCTTCCCTCCCTTCCCTCCCTTCCCTCCCCCAGCACCGCGACCTGTCCCACTACGTCTTCGTCTCCTCCGCCGGCGCCTACTCCCCCCACCCGCTGCACCCGGAGCACACAGAGACCGACACCCGCAAGCCCTCCGCCGGCCACACGGCGGTGGAGGCCGCACTCGCCGCCGCCCGCCTGCCGTACACCGTCTTCCAGCCGCTGTATGTGTACGGCCCGTACGGCGCCAAGGACTGCGAGCAGTGGTTCATTGACCGCATCATCCGGTAGGGGGGAGGAGTGTGTTTAAATAACTGGCCGCGAGGCGAAACGTGGGAGGAGTGTGTGTGTGTGTGTGTTAAGAAAACTGGCCGCGAGTAGGAACATACTGTGATTGTCGGAAGATGAAGTCCCCACAGAACCGCCGCAGGAGCCGAGGAACATTGTAGCGTATGTAGATATAGAAGTCCAGTACTGGTGCTGAGAATAAGTAGGACGTAAGAAGCACTCTCGTAAAACGACCGGACCTAAGGCCCGTAGTAGTAAGTTGATATGTATGTAGTAGCTGACAGTATCGAGGATAGTAGGTAGGTAGATAGGCTGGAACTGCCGCTGAACAGGTTGCAAAACAGGGGAGCATGCCGAGACGTCGCAGTGCATGCGCGAGCAAAACAAGACAAGCAAAGCAAGTGCAAGACCACTATGTGCGGATGTTACCGTAGACTGACCTGCAGACAGGAACGAAAGCATCCGGCAGCCAGTGTGTGTGTGTGTGTTGGGGAGTGAGATGGTGCAAGGGAAGGGCGAGAGAGGATACAGGGCTCGCCGACGGGTGCAACAAGAGAATGGCGCGGCGGGCGGTCTTCCTCGGCACTTCCCACTTGCGCCCCGTTGCGAGTAGCCCCATACACGTCACCCCGCTTCTCAATCCCCCTCCCCTCCCTTCCCCCCCTCTCCTCCCTCCCCCCCCAGCGACCGGCCGGTTCCCCTGCCCTCCCCGGGCACCCAGCTCACCAGCCTCACCCACGTGGCGGACCTGGCGGCGCTGCTGGCGGCGGTACCGGGCAACAGGCGCGCGGTGGGGCAGAGCCACAATGCATGCTCCGACCGCTGCATCACCTTCGCAGGTGGGAATGGGGGGGGTATGCTGGGGGGTGGGGGGCTTGGGGGGGGGGTGTGCGGAAGGGAGGGAGGCGCATTCTGCTTACGCCGGGCGAAGGGATGGGCATAAGCCAGCGGGAGGCAGGCAGGCTAGGGAGGCGCGCTAGGTTGGAGGTTGGGGGGTCGGCCGCAGGCCACCCCCTGCTCCCGCCTCCGGCCCGCCCCTTCAAGCCAGCTACCGCTCCGCCCTAGGCTGGGCCACCACTGCCCCCCAGCCCTGTCTCCATCCACAGCAGCATGTTCAGCATCCCGCTTCACGGCATCCTCACCACAATCACCACCTACTCCTACTCCTCCCGCCTTACCAGACAAATTGAACCCTGTCTGCTTTGGACAGCTGTTGTTGCGGCAAACACCCTTCGTGGTGTTCTACTCCTGCAGCACCAGCAGCCCCCGTGTTTGCCAGTAGCTACCCCTGAATTCCACCCCCCCCCCTTTCCTCCCCAGGCATCTGCCGGGCGGTTGGCCGGGCGCTGGGCAAGCAGGCGGACATTGTCTTGTACGAGCCTGAGCAGCTGGGGCTGGGCAAGGGGGGCAAGGCGGAGGGCTTCCCCTTCAGGTGAGCGGGGGAGGAGGTGGTGGACGGGGAGATGGCTAGCCCACTACCCCATCCACAGACGTGTCATCATCTCCCGTGTTCTTATGCCCTCCCTGCCCGCTATACACTCCCCAACCCCTCCCCTCCCGCTCACGCAGCTCGATGGTTGCCTCGTCAGTTTCCTTACTTTTACCCCCGCTCCCCTCGTACCTCTCCCCCCTCCCTCCTCCCGCTCCGGCCCCCCCCAGGACGGGCCACTTCTTCGCCTCCTGTGACAAGGCCAAGCGGGATCTGGGCTGGCGGCCGCAGCACTCCTTCCTGGCGGACGTGGAGCAGCGGGTGGAGGAGTATGTGGCGCAGGTGGGGGCGGAGGCGGAGGGCGGGAGGGGGCCGGGAGGAGAGCGGGGAGGGGGGCCGGGAGGCGGAGGGCGAGGTTCTTCCTTAGGCGGCATGGGGCGGGCTAGCCAAGTGTGAGAAAGCAGTGGGGGGGGACATGGGGTTATAACTTGTAAGGCGTGGGGTTAGGAAGCGTGTTGGCGAACCATGTTTATCAGCAGCTGCTACTTGGGCGTTGTACGCGGATACAGGCGCCCCACTACCCCCTTGCGTCCCACCACCCCGCCCCACCTGCCGTCACCCCTCTTCCTCTCTCCTCCTCCCCACGTCCCCAGGGTCGTGCCAGCCGGGAAGTGGACTTCTCCATTGATGACAAAATCCTCGCAGCGCTGGGCCGGAGCACGGCCGCAGCCCCCACCACTGCACATAGTCCCGCCAGCTCCCCTCTCAGCAACAGCAGCAGCAACAGCAACGGCAGCTCTGATGCTTCCCGCTTCACCCGCGTCTCCAGCCCCGCCTCCTCCGCCTCCTCCGCCTCCTCGGTTCCCCGCCGCCCCTCCCACAGCCCGCGTCGCGACCTGCGCATCCACCGCACCCCCCTGCCGCCCAACTGGCGCGAGCAGCTGCAGGGAGGGGAGGGCGGGCAGGGGCAGCAGCAGGCAGCAGCTGCGGGTGCGGGGCGCCGTAGCGCCACCCCTGGAGACTGGCGCAAGGGGCTGTGAGAGGGCGGGGAGGGTGGGGAGCTGCAGTGCTGCCAGCGGTTCCTGGGGCCTAGCAGGATACCGGCCAGCAGTGTGACCCGCCCGCATGGGAGGTAGGGAGGAAACAACTGACCTGCAGGGAAGGGTTGCTGGTGGGCACTGGTTTGGGGGGTGGGGAGGGGGGCGACGTGGGGGGAGTAAAGAGGAAACAACTAACGTGGGGGGAGGGAGGCGGCTGGACTGGGCGAGAGATGGGGAATGGTCCCTTCGTGATTCGAAGCCACATGATTAGGCAAGAGGAGCGGCGTTGTAGAGGTGTCTGTTGTGGGTTCGTTGGGGTGTGCGAGAGGCGGGAGTTAGGTCTGTTTACGGAGTAGGAGGAGGAGCGCGGTTGGGTTCGGAGAGGTTCGAATGCATATCTCGACTGAATGGCTTTGGCTTATCTATGCTGTATATTAATTGATATTGCTGAGGCAGAGAGACCCTGGACCCCAGGAGGTGTGTGCAGGCTGCAAAGCGTTCCGCAGGCTACCGGTAATGGTGCCCACTGCATGGGGCTGCATGGGACGCAATCCCGCATGCAGGTAATGCGGTTCACCCCGCCGGCCGGCTGGCACATGAGAACCCCAGGGACCACCCGGGCAGGGAAGGGTTGCTGGTGGGCACTGGTTTGGGGGGTGGAGAGTGAGGTTAAGGTTGAGACGAACCACGGTGCCGCAAGTGGCTCCACCGTGTGTTACATGACGGGGTGGTGGTGCTTGGTTGGCGGTGAGGTTCGCCGGTAGCACTAGCAGCAGCAGCGGGGGGGTCAAAGACCATATCAAACCATAGGAGACCACAAGTTAGGGCAAAACAATGGGGGGGGGGGGGGGGCTGCTGGAGCCTCCGGGCTGCTGGTCGGCTGCAGCGCTTGGTGGGGTGTAGTCTAACTGAGGCATGGGGATGCGTGTGAGAGAGGCCCAATCGTATGTCGCTCGATTTTATGTTACAATGTTTGAATGCGGCGGCATGTGTGCGACATGCCATCGTAGCGTTGGTCGGAGTTGCGGGGTGAAAGAGATCCAGTGAAGGCTGTACGACGACATTACAATGTTGGTACCGGCGGTGTAAAACACACCGGTCACCGATAGACATGCGCAGAGTTGCGAGTTGACTCCGCCACTTTGCAATGTAATACTCCACGCAGTGTTGTCAGGTTTGTTGGTATTTCACGTCATGCCTAGAGCTAGGAAGTAGCCCCCACACGGACACGCAGTTCAAGCCGAGCCGAACCCCAACCTCAGGCTGCTCACAATAAAGTAGGACAAAATCGCCTGGTCTTAAGCTCAACCCTCCAACTAAAACTCCCATGTGTGAGGAAGCCTCCCACGTACGGAAAGAATGAAAAAGCTACCTTGACGTACAATATCGTACATCCTCTACATCCATCCTATCGCAACCCTTGCAAGGCAGTGCGTCGCAAGACCTAAAGGATCGCTCTGCCACCTCACCTCTGCCCAATTCTTATTGTATCCAAACGCTAATGCTTGCTCTTTATGGACATGTTAGCATTGGCAAGGATGTGTCATGCTGATGAGATGACGGGTTTGAAGGTGAGCACCTTGTCGGTTTGGCCACGGAGTCGTACCGTGCATGGCTGCTGCTGTGGGCTCTGTGCTTGCTGCTCCTGCTGCCGAGCGCGTTGCGGTTGCGGCCGCTGCCCTTGCTCTGGGGTTTGCTGCTGCTGGTTCTGCCGCTGCTGTGCTGCCTCTTCTGCGCCCCCGCCGTTCACAGCGTTGGCTGTGGTTGCGCCAGATGCGCCCGGAGCGCTCAGCGGCTCCTTATCAAGAAGCAGGATGTCCCCAAGATGGTCCTCGTAAGTGCCTTGCAGCACGATACCATTTTCCAACTTGATGATCGGCTTGTCGCTATCTAAAGCCTGCGTTATGCAATAACATCTTTAGGGCTATGAACGTACAGCGATAGTATGCACAAGCGGACTTCATACCTGGATGACCAGCTTTTCGCCTGGCCGGAGCCATACAGCCACCTCCCGCGGAAGGTCCAGGAGGACATACTGGACGTCCTCGTTGCCTGCAATGGAGTCACGTGACCCAAGTCGGCTGGCCGAAAGTAGGCAGTTGGCAGTCGCTGATATCCTCACCCTCCGTGAGCACGACCTCAGGGGGGCCCTCCACGCAGGCCATGGACATGCGTGGCGGCCACCGCGTCAACTTCTCGTAAGGAAGGATAAAATATGGATAAAGCAAGTGTACACTTCGCGCCACATCGGACAACTGTCGTACAACAATAATGAGAAGCGATCAGCTTTGGTCCTTTGGGTAAGCAATATGCATGCTTATTGTTCGACACCTTTGATATAAGACCACAGATCTGCCCGTGCGTGGTGCATGCTTTTATTAGCATAGACTAATTACAGCTAATTCGGCAACTTTGAGCTTTTCTAGCTGTTAAGTATTGCCATGGCGCAACCAGCTACGAGCGTTGAGCCACCGTCAGTTACGGAAGACATGGATTCTTACGTTACGCCGCACGCACGCAACAAGATAGTCATGAAGCTTTCTCGCATTGGGGAAAGGAAATGCCAGTCATTGATTGAGGACTTTAACATGTGCTGCAAGGGACGGACTCTCATGATGCTTTTCTGCAAGGGAAAGTACAACGCGTCTCAAGACTGCATGCACAGATAGTAAGTATGCTTATCGCGAAAACCTCTGCACGCATGCGGTCTGTGGTGTTTGCCGGTAGCGTAGTCAGTTGCGCGTTGTGGGCCCTCGTGCGGTGTGTCCCCATCCTCCTTGGCTTTCCTCTGCTCCTTTTTCAACCACCGTTTCTGCTTCCTTCCCCACCCCACCTCTCTTCCCTGCCCAGCCTCAACGACGAGAACCTGCACCTGGTGGCCCGTCGCTGGATCGCCATGGGGCGGCCGGCCAAACCCAACTGGAACGTGCTGCTGGACGGGGTGGAGGAGGCGGGGGAGCGCAAGGGGCAGCAGTAAAGCAGCGGACAGGGCGGCACGCCGCCTAACACTGCCAGCAGGGCATGACGCCTGATGCTGGCTCATGGGGCGAGGGTGGTTCGCAGCGGCATGGGAGAGGGCCAGCGGTATAGTGGTGTGAGGGCGTAGTGGGACCCAGGGGGCCTGGTTGCGGGGTCAGGCTACCGGCTGAACCGAGCGCGGTATTTGCTGTGTTTGGTGGGCGGCAGCTGCGAGGAGGCGGCGGCAACTAGCTCTGCGGCTTGGAGGCGGTGTTGAGCTGGGTGGTGGTGGCTGAGGAGGCAGGGCATGTATGGCAGGGGCATGCAGCGGAGCGGCGGCGGGTTCACGACTCTGGCCCCCTTGGGGCTCCTTGGAGGGGGGTTCGGCGCTGGACATCCGACTTGCCCCTCCCCCTTCCCCCGACCCACTGACGGCGCTGAGCCATCCTGTGAGAGCAGTCGGTGGGTGGCCAGCCACTGCCTGCTGCCTCGTGTCACAGCTCAGTGGGGTCGCTCATGTGGGTGCGCCAGCCCGCAGCGCTGCGGCTCCATCCGGCGTCATGTGGAGGGGCGGTGCCGCTGCTGCCGCTGCTAACGGTAGCGGTGATGGCGTCTCCAGGGAGGGGAGGGCTGGCGCATCGGAGAGGCCAGCGGAGCGGGCCGATGAAGGCGCTCTCTAGGACTTCTGGGGGTCGGGTCGGGTCTGATCATGGCCTCAGTCGGGGGGCCCTCATGGCTTGAATCTGCTCACGGCCGCATGCGGGGGACTGGAGTGGCTACGTTGGCGGGTTGTGGCAGGTGAGGAGCCGCAGCAGGCTGTTGTTTGCTACTATAGCTTTATGCGTGGTGTGTTAAGATAACTGGCAGCGAGGAAATGACGCCAGAAATGAACCAGACAGGCGGCTGTTTTGCGTGGCCGCGTGCGTTTAGGGTTTAGGTATGTGGACGTGCGGGTGAGTATACAATGCTAGTGCCTAACCGCTATACGGATGGGGCCTTGTTGGGCTTCGCATCTTGGAATGAACTTGTTTGCCGGGTGTGAACCTTTTGAAGGGTGAGACCGTAAAGGGTGAAACCGAGGCGCCGACTGGCTGACGCATGTTACATTGGCCGGCCGACAAGCACTGCCCCGTGAGCTCTCATAGCAGCTACCGTATTGTAGGTCCGGAAGGCACACCAGCGGCTCACGACGCCAAGCCATTATCGGATACTTCCTCGTTCATGCTGAACGGGTAGTTTAGCTACACACGCTACCGTGCCTGCCTGTCTGTTGCCGTGTAACCTATTAGACATTACGGACCTTCCCGCTACCCATAGGGCATCGCATCCCCTTCAGCCACCGGCTTAACAACACCGACACAGTTAGCAGTGCATGGTAAACAGCCGACAAACGCATGACCGGTTGACAACCGAGTAAGCTGCCGTATCACAGGCATGCGGCATCTCCAGTTCCCCCCGCCACCACCACCACACGCGTAATTACTACCCTGTCGTCATGTAAAGTTGTAGTACACCGGTGCACCCCTGGCAGCTTCTGCGGGGACGTTATGTGCAGTCAGCATACTATAAAAGGTTCTATGCCATCGACATTTTGGCATCCGTGCAATGCAAAACCCACAACATTAGCATACCGTATCTGCGCGCTCGCAGATATTCCATCTGCGTGCCATCTAGCTACCATGCAGCTGCTCGCAAAAATTACCGTTCTCCAATGATGTGTGTTTGCTCCGCAATGCCCTCCACGCGTCGCAGCAAGAATGCACACAGTGCTCAGATTGCTCGCACACCCTTCCTAGCACCTTCTTCAATACCCTACCCCCAAACACCCTATCGGCTCACCCCTTAATCACACATGTGTACTCCCCTAGCGCGCGCACCACCGCGCTTCACCCCTCTCCCCTACGCAACGCTCGAACGCCCGCGCGAAACCTTGCGCGATGCACCATCCCCTCCCGCCGTCCCCGCCGCTGCACTTCCCCGCCCTATCTTGTTGGATGGCGGCGGCGGCGGCCCCGCCGTGCCCCTCAGCACGTCTGCTAGCCGGTCCAGCACCGGCACCGACCTTCCCAGCCCCACACCCGTCCCCGTCAGCCGCGAACTCAGCTCATCCAACATGGCGGCCGCCAGCACATTGGCCCGCCGCGCCTGCAGCCCCCGCTCACGACCCGGCAGCGTCGGCTCCGGCGGCGGCGGCAGCGGCAGTCCGTACCGCCGCTCCACCTTGAGCCGCCGCGGCGTCAGAGTCTTGTCGTACACGCCGCCGCGGTATGCTCGTACGGGGCCGGGAACCTCCTCAGCGGCGCGCGCCGCCGCCGCAGCGGCGGCGGCGGCGGAAGCGCTGCCCCGTGCGCTGACGGTACTCCGCCGCGGCGGCGGCTGCACCGGGCCGCCGGCGCCACGTTGTACGACAACCACACCCTCCGGCACCCGCGCGTGTACGGCACCGGATGCATGCGCCGCGATGTCGGCCTTCATGGCATCGTAGGTGGCTACCATGTCGGGGTGCGGCCGGTGCAGCCCCCCGCCTAGGTAGTCCAGGTCGTGTTTACTGCGGTAGTACTTGATGCCATTGCGGCGGCGAGTGTAGAGCTGCACCGCGGAGGGCGTCTCGGGAGGGGAATCCGCAGCCGTGTCACCGTCGGCCGACGACCGGCCGCCCTCGCCATCTGCGTCAGTGTCGCCCTCGCCGTCACCGGAGGAGCGGCCGCCGGGGTCGCGGTCGGAGGCGCCGCCGGAGGCGGCGCCGCTGGCGCCTGCGGCGCCGCGCCCGTACGTGGCGCCCGCCGCTCCATGCACCCGAAGTTGAAACGCCGCGAGTCGTTCCTTCGCGGGCATCTTGAGCGGCTCCAGTCGGCGCGGCGCCATGACGGCGGCGGCGGTGGCGGCAGCGGCCAGTGCTGCATTGGCCTGCTCCCGCCGCAGCGCCAGGGAGATGCGCGGGCCGTTGAGGGAGTAGAGGTTGTCGATGCCGGGTCGGCGGCCGCGCAGTCCCCGGCCCGCGGCTCGGTGCAGGGCCTCGATAATGGCTGCCTGCTCCGCCTCCGCTTGCTCCTGCGGGGGAGCGAAAGAAACAATCGTTGTGTTGAAGAGGGAAGTGGGTGGGGCACGTCCGGGGAGCACAGGAGCGCCCCAGGTGCTCAGGTACAACCAATAACCCACCATGATGCATCATTTGACCCATTCACCCAACCTCCGCCACACCCGCCGCTCGCAGCCTATACCCCCACCATGTGCCTCCCCCCCCTCCTGATGCAAACCATGATGACGCCTTATCACACGGTTCCTTAGTCCTTCCCTCCCCTCCCCCCGCTCTAGTGTGCTGCTACTAACCCAACAAGTTTGACTATACGCAATCCTAAGATCCAGCCTAATGCAGAATAGATGTCCCTTTGTATCCCTATTGATCCCCCCTCCCTTCCCCTCCCTGCCCCCCCCTCCCCACCTGCGCCACGGAGCGGTAGTGCAGGTCCAGCTTCACCAGTCGGTGCTGCATGTGACGCACGTTGCGAGCCGCCGTCTGCGTGCGCGGATGGCTGCTGCCCAGCACCACTCGGAATGTCTCCACCGCGCCCGCCAGCAGCCGCAGCGCCAGGTGTGTCTTGCCCAGTCGGTCCAGGCAGCAGGCCAGGTTGTTGTGCGCCAGGGCGGTGTCCACGTGGTGGGAGCCCATGTCGGGGTGCTGCTCGCGGAGCACCTTGGCCTGCAGCCGGGGGGGCGGGAGGGGATGTACAAGAACCACAGGTCAGGGCAAAGCAATGGCGACTACAGGGAAGCAGTTTGCCACGAAACAAAAACATTAGCAAACATTAGCAAGCCGAGCCAAAGCCCCCTCTAAGCGGAACCCCCCTTGGTGTGCTTGCCTCCACCCCCCTCCCCTCCTCCCCTAGGCACCCCCCCCGGCCCACGATGTGCCCGTGTCAGCCGCATGGTTAGGCCGCCTCTCCTTCCTTACACCCCTCCCCCCTCCCTGCTTTGCCACAACCTGTGGTTTTGGTACATCTCTGCCCCCCTCCCCTCCCCCTCCCCCCCCCACCTGCACCAGCTGCTCGAACGCCGCCTGCAGCTGCCCCACGTGGTAAAGCAGGTGCCCCCGGCAGCTGTGGATGAGCGGCTCCGCGGGGTGACCCTCCGGCAGCCGCCGCATGTGCCCCTCCGCAGCGGAGTACTCGGACATGGCGGCGGAGTCCTGCCCGCAGCTCATCAACACACTGGCGCGGACTAGGCAGAGGTAGCTGAGGAGGGGGGGAAGGGAGGAGGAGGGGGAGTGGGGAGGGAGCGCATCGGAAATGCAGCGCGCTTGCACCGGTGATGCCCATATGCCAAGCCAAGCCGTCTGACAATGCCCGACACTGGCAGGGCGGTGGGTTATAGTTACAGTTACAGTCTGTACGCGTGTACAGTGTGTCCGTACGAGCCAAGGGGGGCCAAGGACCTTACACAGCATATCGGAGCTTCCGCATTGTTGGACGGCACTGGGCGGTACTGGGCGCAACACACCCACCGCACATCCCCTTTCGCGTTCGCATCTGTTTCATCGGCTCGCCGCCCACCAGCTCGCCGCCCACGACAGGGTCCCACCCTGCCTCCCAAACCCAGACTCACATCTCCTGTTCAGGCGACAACGACAACGTCGCCTCGAAGGGCAACGTGCCCTCCCCGCTCAGCGCCGCTCGCCACGCCCCCGCCGCCCTGTCGTACTCCGCGAGTGCCGCCGTACAGCTGCCCCGGTTGTGTAGCGAGGCGGCGTGCTGCAGCAGCATGGACACGGGCTCGGGCACCGGGGGGGGCGGGATGACCACCTCCTGCAGGGGGGGGTTGAGTAGGAGGAGGGCGGGGGGGGGGCGGTTGAGGGGTGATGGGTGCAGGGGCGAGGGGGTTAAGGGGTAATGAGTCGCCCGAGTGCCGGAGTTGATATTCCCGCACCTGCCACAAGCAACCTGTCCAACTGCACAAAACCCATGAGGTCCCATCTCCGCAACTCTCCATCTCCCAACTCCTATTGCCCATCCCAATACTCCCTCCCTAAACCCTAATGCCCCGTCCAGCCTCGGGCTGGGTATCATCCGTCTCCCCCATTCCGCCTCCCCCTTCCGGTGCTGCCCCCTCCGCCCCCCACCTGCAGCAGCACAGGTGCATAGTCCACTGATGACAGGAAGGACCAGCCGCCCGGCTTCCCACCACCACCACCACCCCTGCCGCCTCCTCCTCCTCCTCCTCCCGCCCCGGTCCCCCACGCGGCCTCCGGCTCGAACCGCAGCGTCCACCACTGCGCGTATGGGTTCACCACCGCCCCCGCACCCCGGGCGGCGGCAGCGGCGGCGGCTGCAGCGTTGTCCATGGCCCCTAGGTGGGTCACACGGGTCCTGTGGAGGGGGTGGGGGGTGAACGGGGGGGGGGGGGCAAGCATGGAGGGAGGGAGGGAATGCCGGTGGTAAAGGTGTACAAAGAGTCTGAAGCTTTCCTGCTCCTCCTTTGCGCTTCCTCGCCCTTCCTCTCCCACAGCTGGTTACCCCCCACCGGCCCACCCCCATAGAAGTCTACTCCTCGCCTCCCTCTCCCTCTCCCGCCCCATGCTTGTTTGGATTGGGACTCGTTGTTTCACTTATATAATTTGTTCCCCATGCTTGCCCCCCCCGGCTCTACCCCCTCCCTTAAGGACCGTCTGTTGCCTCGTCAGTTTCCTCCCCCTCCCCCCCTCCCCCCCTCCCCCCCCACCTCGCCCTCTTGAGCGAGCAGAGCTGCGAGAAGAAGGTCTCCAACATATCCTCCACCGTCATGGACTGCTCCTTGTACTTGGGGTGGTTGTAGATGGTCATGGCGGTCAGACACACCGCGTCAACGAACTGCGGGTAGGCCATGTTCTGGAGGAGGGGGAAGGGGAGGGGAGGGGAGGGGGGAGGGGAGGGAAGAGATGAGGAGGGGGGGAAGAAGAATGTGTTGGATGTGTTGATTGAGAATGCCAAACCAGGGGAGGGGGGAGGGGTAGGAATGGAGGGGGGGATGAAAGGGATGGAATGGAATGGAGTGGAGAAGGGGAAGGAGGTGGAGTGCCAGGGAGGGAAGTATGTGCGATAGCGACAGGAGGGACCATGCGGGGTCATCCTAGGGGTGAGGAGGGAGCATGCGAGATAAACAGGGGGCCTCAATCCCCCACTTGCGGCCCCTTCCCGCGCCCCAGCCTGCTGCTGGTCGCCACCTCCCCGCCGGCACCCCGGCACCCCCGTCCTCTCCTCCGGTAAGCGACACCTTCACTGGGAGTTCGCGTGCATCCCGTGTCTTCCGTCATCACTGCAGTCGGCTGCGTAACGCCTCCTACTCCTTTACTCGCCGTGCCCCTGCCACCTCCTCCTCCTCCTCCCCCCTCCTCCTCCGCCCTCCTGCCCCCCCAACCCCCTCACCCGAATATAGCTCTCCACCCCGTCCATGAAGTTGACCCTCCGGAAGATCTCCTCCAGACCCGCGGGCTGGATGAGCGCGGGGATGATCTGGGGGGGAAGGGGGGGGAGGGGGGGGAGGGGGGGGAGGGGGGGGAGGGGGGGGAGGGGGGGGAGGGGGGAGCAGGGGTGGTGAAGGTGGGGAGAGAGAGCAGCGGGGCTTTTGGTAAGGCATAAGACATGTCCCCCACCCCGCTAGCGCGTCAGACATGTCAATCAACCGCTGTTCCCAGACGATTATGAGGTTTAAGACATCAACGATCCCTCAACCCCCCCCGAGTCCTGCCTCATGCGGGATCGTCATCCCTATTAACTCCCACCCCCACCTTCCTGTCCTGGCACAGCTGCAGGAACTGCACGAAGGACATTGTGATGCGGCTGCCCGGGTCGCGGTCGCGGTTGGGGGTGGAGGAGCCGGAGCCGCGGGGGTCGCCGGCGCTGGTGCCGGGGCGCGAGCGGCCGCGAGCTGAGGGGTGAGGAGGAGATGGTGGGGGGAAGGAAGGTTGAGAGAGCGGGAAACGTATGTCGTGCAGCATGTGGAAAAGACCCATTTCCTCCCTAAAGCACTGTTGCCACAATGCCTGCCTTCCTCTCCCATCCTCCGCCTGAACCCCCCCTCCCCCCTTCCTTCACCCACCCTCCAGTGTTGAGGGGCTGCGGTTGTGCGGCTGCGGACTTGCAGATCGCCCCCCTCCTCCGCCCCCACCTCGGGGGGGTGCTGTGCGGCTGCGGCTGTGTCCGCGGTGGCTGCCGCCGCTGCCGCTGGCGCTGGTGCCGGGGCGGCTGCTGGCGCTGTTGGCGGTGCCGGGGGGGCGGCCCGTGGTCTGCTTGTACTCGTCCTTGCCGTAGATCTGAGGGGAGGGAGGGAGGGAGGGGGAGGGCAAAGGGCGAGGTCAACGAGCGACCAAACCAGGGGACAGTGCAGGTTAGGCAAAGCAATGGGGAGAGGAGGCGGCAGGGTGCAACAAAGCAAGTGGGGGGGGGGCGAGGGAGGGGGTGGGCGTGAAGTGCTTGATACAAAGGAAGGGGGGGGGGCCAGGAGTCGAAGGAGCGACGGACGGAGAGGAGGGCGGGGATGCGCTGCCGCGCGGGGGCGGCCCAGGAAGTGCGGCACAGGCTGGTGTGCGATAGCGCGGACACGACACAGCTCGGGGCGCCCCTCGCCCTCAACCTAATTCAGCGCACTCTCGTCCCTTCCCTCCCCCTCACCCCCCCTCCCCTCTTCCCCTCTCCCTCCCCCTCCACCCACCCTGAACAGCGCCTTCAGCTGCGGCTCCCAGGCCAGCACCAGGGACATGATGGAGGGGCCCATCAGCTCCTCAAGGTACCTGCAAGGGGGAGGGGGGAGGGGGAGGGGAGGGGGATTAGCGCACTGCGCCACAGCGCCAACGGACGCTTTGGGCAGGCAGGCAGACCGGCAGGCAGGCAGCAGCTCCCCCAGCTTGCAGCAGCCTGGGGCCGGCAGGAGAGCAGCTAGATGCAGGCGGTGACTGCAGCACACAAACCAGTCGGCACCTGCAGAGGACAGCCCAGCCCAGCCCAGCGCAGCCATGCCCAGCGGAACGTGCCCAGCCCAGCCCAGCCCAGCCCAGCCCAGCCCACTTGTACACAATCCGCACTCCGCCCCCACCTCACACCTCCCTCCCCCACCCCCCACCTGTCAAACTTGGTGGACCGTGTCTCCACCACCGGCAGCACGTGTCGCTCGATGAGCAGCCGCCACGCCGCCATGGGCGAGCTGATCTTGGAGTACTTGACCACCGCCAGCCGCTGAACCACCTCGCTGAACTGCTCGCGGGTGAGCAGCTTGCCGGGCTGCGCACTCAGCTTCTTGGCGCTCTTGCCGTCGCCGGCTGGAGGGGAGGGGGGGAGGAGGGGCAGGGGGAGGGAGGGGGGAGGGAGGGGGGAGGGGTGGAGGAAGAGCAAGGTAAAAACATGGGTGTTGGCATGGTGTTCAGGGGCAGCGGCAGTGGCGGTAGGCGTGTCTGCAGGCACGTGGCCTGACGTGCTCCTCCTCCCTCTGCGCCCCTCCCGGCCCCCCTTGCTGTCAGCAGCCCCCCTGGCCCCCCCCTCCTCCCATCCCTCCCCCATGCCTCACTTGTCGCCAGCGCATGCTTGGTGAGCACCAGTCGGTTGACGGAGCCGATGACGGATGAGGAGGCGGCGGAGTCGGGGCGCTGCACGCTGGGGCTGCGGGAGCCGGCACTGGGGGGGGAGGGTGGGAGGGAGAAGGTGTCGTCTATAAAGAGTTATAACCTGGCAAAGAAAGGATGAGCAATGACAGTTGGGTGTTTAGAAGAGCAAAACACACCCATGCATGTCCTCCCCAACCCTTCCCTTCCCTTCCAGCCCCACCTGTCTCCCCCCAGCACGGAGGAGCGCTGCGAGGTGCGCGAGGCGGGTCGCTCGCTGTTCATGCGCATCAGCATGGCCCGGTCCACCCCGCCCGGACTCGCGGCGTCGCGGGGCAACATGGGCATGGAAGCGACGCGCGCGTTGGCGCCGCTGGGGCCCAGTGGCGAGGGAGGCGTGCGGAGGCGACTGCGGTCAAACGACGTTGACCACGGCTCAAACTGCCGGCCGCCGCCGCCGGCTCGATCCGGGCTGGTATCCGCCGACGCGGCCCAGTCGCTGCCACTGAGTGAGGAGCTACCTTGGGTGACGCGAGTGGGACCGCCGCCAGCGCCGGCGCCGTCGGCCGCTGCGTCAGCGGCTGAAGTGGAAAACGGCGACCTCGGACCCCCGCCGCCGCTAGCCCGTGTGTTCTTGTTGGGGTTATGGCTGTTCCGCAACGGCGAGCCGCCGCGTGCCGACACGCCAGCACTGGCGGCGGCGCCACTCGACGCGCGTCGTGCGCTCTTGCCGCCCCGCGACCTGTCGCGACCGTCCAAATCCAATGACGCAGTCGACGGTGACGTCAGCTCCGGCGGCACGTCCACGAACGTTCGTCGTGCCGTACCCGATCCGAATGCAACCGCCACGCTCATTCCCGGCACTCGCCGCCGCTTCAGCACGGCTGACGGCTCCCGGCCGCTGCTGGAGCCCCGCGCGCCGCCGCTGCCGCTACCGCGACCCTCGCCCAACTGAGAGTTGCTGCCGCGTTCCGGTGACATGCCGCCGCCGCCGCCACTGGCGCGACTCATGCGTCGCCGGTCACGACCATTGCTAGAGTCGCCGCCGCTGCCGCCGCCCTCGCGATCCGACTCGTCCGTCAGCGCTGCTGGCGGCGGCGGCGCCGGCAGCGGCCCCTCCGGCGGCTGCAGTGCCGCAAACATGTGTTCCATGTTGCGCAGGCTGAGCTCGCTTTGCTCCGGGAGGGAGGGCCAGCGACCCGAGGATGACCCGGGGGTCGCTAGCTGCCGCTCCGGCGAGCGCACCGAGGCGGCGAGGTCGTTGGTGCTGCCGCCGGGGGAGGGTACGGCAGGCGACATGGCTCCGGTACCGCTGGTGCCTCCGGTGCCGGTGCTGCTGCACTGGAGTGTGGAGGAGGGGGGCTGGGGAGCGGAGGAGGGGGGCTGGCCGGGGCGGGGAGGGCTGCGGCCGCTGCGCTGGGGACTGGTGCGGGGTGAGCCGTTCTGCATGGAGGCGCGGGAGGAGGGGGAAGGTAAGTACATTGACGAGGTGAAACTGATCGGGAGAGGGAGAGGATGGAGGTGGGGGTTGCTGGTATATAATCGGTAGCCGGGTACGTCAGGGCGTCTGGGTTTAGGAGTTGGAAGAGCGGTCCGGAAAGGGCATGCTACATGTGGCTCTGCTACAGTTCCGTGCTGCATGATGCACGGACTGCGGTACGGCGGTTACCCACCCGCCCTGCATGTGGCCCATCCGTGGGGTCCCCCACCCCACCTACATCAGCACCAGCACACCCCAGCAGCCCTGCCCATCCCGCAACCCCCCACCTCCGGCCCAGCACCCCCAGCCCCAACCCACCCACCCACCCCAACCCCACCCACCGGTCCGGACGGCGTGCCCAGATCGCTGTCCCCAAACTGCTCCGTCGTAAAACTGGGCCAGGACAGCCCCAGGTCCATCTCATCATCCGTGCCGCACCCTCCGAACCCACTCGGCATCGCACCGTCCACCGTGGACTCCGGCCCGCCGGCTCCCAACAGCTGGGAGGCCGACCGGGACGTGGACTGCGAGGTCGCCACGTCCTGCAGCCCCACCACCAGTGCGGACAGCCCCTGCGGCAGCCCGCTGCTGCTGTCCATGGGCGCGAAACTGACCTGGGTGGAGCTGTGACGCCGGTTCCGGAGCAACCCCGCCAGGTCGCGTGGCTTGCCGCCGTCGCCGCGGCGGCCGCCGGGGCGGCGGAGCTTGCTGACGAAGGCGGAGGAGGCGGCGACGGCGGCGGCGGTGGCGGCGTTGGATACCGCCAGCCGCTGGTGCGGGGAGCCGGCGCCAGCCGCCACCGCCGCCGCTGCCGCGGCGGCGGACCCCGGGGGCGGGCCGCCCTCGGGGGAGGTGACCGTCCTGCCCGCGGCGGCGGCCGCAGCTATCCCCACCGCGCTGGCGAAGGGCTGCTGCCGGTGTGCCGTCGGCGGCGAGGGCGGCCCCCAGGCGCTCCTCGCGGAGTTCGGTCCCACGATGCCGATCGCCGCCTCGTCCACCTCATTCGCCGTACGCTGCGCCGCCTCCTTGAGCGCCAGTGCTAGGGACACAGTGGCTCCGACGCCGCCGGCTGCTCCCGTGGCGGTGCCGCCAGTGGGCGAGCCGCCGCCGGGCGCCATGAGGGCGGGCGCCACTCCACTGCCGCTGAAGCCGTGGTGGGGGGGTGCGGAGGCGGGGTCGCGGGGGCGCCAGGCCGCCATGGCCATCTCGCGCAGCTGCAGGTGCTCCTCCAGCTTGTGCTGGGCGACTGGGAGGGGAGGGAGGGGGGAGAGGGGGGAGGGGGGGGAGAGGGGGGAGGGGGAGGAGAGGGGGGGAGTTGGGGAAGGGGGAGGAGAGGGGTTAACGTGGTGGGGAGAGGAGGGAAACGAAGGGTCGGTGAGCCCACACATAAGACCGGAATCGGAATGTCCTGGTTAGGCGAGGGTGGAGGGTAAGAGGCTGTGTAATAGCGGATTGGGTTAGGGAGAGCATTTTGATGTAAGTATGAGAGTGTGGCGCCTAGTGTTCCCCACCCTTCACTCCCCTTCCCCCTCCCCTCCCCCCCTTTACCCCCTCCCCCTCCCCATTGCTTTGCCCTAACTTGTGGTCTCCTATGGTTTGGTATGGTCTTTGACTCCCCCTCCCCCCCCTCCCTCCCCCACCCGTGTACGCGAACTGCGAGGTGGACAGTCGAATGATCTGCGCCGCCGTGAGCCCCGTCCACTCCATGTTGTCGTTCTGGCGGTTGGGGTTGGCGCCGGTGCGCGAGCGCAGTGCGGGCACGGAGCGCACCCGCACCAGCGCCACCGCCGCGAACACCTCTTGGATGCGCTCCATGGTGAGCTGGGGGAGGAGGGGGGGAGGAGGGGGCAGGGGGGGGAAGCAGAAGAAGAATTTGCAACGGGGGAGGGGGGAGGGAGGGAGGAAAGAGGGGAAGGAGGGGGAGGGGGCAGAGAGAGCGGGGAGGGAGGGAAGGGGGGAAAAAAAAAGAAATTCCAAAGTGTGGTGTGGGGGGGGAGGGGAGGGTGTTAGTGGGGTGAAGAGGAGAGGGTGAGGTATGGCAGAGAGCGGTGTGCAGGCCCCCGATACCGGTAAGCGTGGAAAGGAAATAGGCATGGAGCTCAAGGTTTGGTAAGAAATGTTAGGTAATTGATAGTTTGGTAAAATAAGGATCGACGGGCTGCGACGCCTGCGTGTCTCTCTTCGTGTCTCTCTTCGCCTGCGTGTCTCCCCCTCCAACAACAACACCAGGCTGCTGCCCGCCGCTGCCCGGCGGCTTACCGTCTTGTCCGCCATGTCGGTGTCCCGAATGAGCTTGGTGAACTGGTAGATGTTGATACCCAGCGTCTGGGCCAGCGGGTCGATGGTGCAGTACAGGCTGAAGGCGCGGTCCACCTGGGGGGGGAGGGGGAGTGGAGGAGGGGGCGGGGAGGGGAGGGAGGCAAGGGGAGGGAGGCAGGGAGGGGAAGGGAGGGAGTAAGGAATGCAATGGGACGCCAGGGGACGCAGGGAAATAACCCGTATAAGTCGGAAAGGAGTGGGGAGGAGAGGAGAAGGGGCGAGAGCAGGAGCCAGCGCAACCGAGGGGGGTGGCGCAGAAGGCAGCCGACGCAGGCGCTCTTCTCCCCCTTCCCCTGCCTCGCTGTCCAGTGCCCGGCATCGGCAGCGTTCGGTATGCCCACCGCCATTAAACCCGTCTTGTGGCGGTCCGTGCAGTGCTGGTTACCCAGTGAAAACCCTCACCCTGTTTGTGTCCGTACTTACCGGGTATAGCGGGGTTGCTGCCCGCTCTCTGCCCCTGATTACCCCCCTCCCGGTCCCCAACGGCTCCACTCCCCTCCCCCGTTTTGCCCATTCGTCGTTTCCTGTGTTTTGGTCTATTTTGACCCCCTCCCCCCCCCCCTCCCCTCCCTCCCCCCCACCTGCCGCTGCAGCTCCACGTCGTTGTGCTTCACCCGGTTGAACTTCCAGGGGTACAGGATCTTCTCGCGCCACAGCCCCACCGCCTCCAGCAGCCCCGGAAGGTACTGCAGCGTGTCGCCCAGCGTGGGCAGCAGCTGCACGGAGGGCATCACGGCGCCAGTGGGGGTCTGCGTGGCGGCCTTGAGCGACAGGCAGAAGGCCAGGATCTCCACGAACTGCGGGTAGGAGACGGCGGCGGTGAGGATGTGCTCGGGGCGCATGTCGTGCGGGTGGTCCACACGGACCTGGGGGGCGGAGGGAAGGGGGGAGAGGGGAGAGGGGAGGGAGGGGAGTCGTAAGGATATGTTGCACAGGCATGTTGGGCTATGATGCAGAACGGTTTCGATGGAGTGCAGGGTAGTGGCGTGGCTAGCTAGCGGTGCTGTCGTCCTTGACGCCACCTTCCCCTCCCCCTTTCTCCCTGCTTCACTTCCCATTTACCTTTTTCCTCTGCCCTCCCTCCCTTGCACCCCATGGTGAAGCCGTGTCATACAGTTTGCCACCCCCCCCTCCGCCCCCGCCTTCCCCCCCTACCAGGTACTGCCCCATCATGTAGACCAGCACGTACGCCAGCAGCCGGTCCCGCTTGGCGTGCTCCAGCGCCACCTGCTCCTCGCTGCTCAGCTGGTTGCGGATGGCCTTGCGGGTGGTGCCGTAGTAGACACCCAGGATGTCAAAGTCGTACACAACACCCGCGATCTGGGGGGGGATGGAGGGGGAGAAGGAGGGGGCGGGAGGGGGGAGGTAGGGTTATAAGCGGGACACATCGGTGAATCGGAGATGTGCGCTACATCTCCACCCCTAACCCTACTACCGGTAATCCATAACCTGTACTCCCAATCCCCCCTCTACTTATCTATGCCTCCCCCTTACGTGTACCTCTCATGGGTCCCCCCCACATCACTCTCACCACTCGTATTCGCATACTGGTTACTGCCACTAACCCCAAAGGCACCAACCATATACGCCAACTCCACTTTACTGCACGCCATCCAGCACATTCTCAGCCCACTACGGGACCCGCCTCCCCTGCCCCCTCCCCCCCGGCCCCTCCCCTCCCTCCCCCCCCTACCGTCTCAAGTCCCAGCAGGTTCATTGCCGCAGGCTGCTGCCACATGGCTATGGTGTCGGGTCGCTGCCACAACGTGGGGCTGATGCCCACTCCCGACACCGCCGCCCGCCGGTCGCGCAGCACCTCGGGAGGCCACCACCAGGGCACCTGGTCGGCAACAGCCAGCCGGTCCAGGTAGTACTCGGCGTGCTGGGGAGGGGAGGGAGGGGGGAGGCGGGAAGGGGGGGGGTCGTCACATGGGGGTCCGGTGGCCCCTGGGAGGGTCTTCCTCCTCCTTCACTTGCCACCTCACGCCGCAAACCCCACTTACACCCACATATGAGTTTCGCTGCCAGTTATATTTACACCCATGGTTTTCTTTCTCGTCAGTTTCCTAAATTTACGCCATCCCCCCCTTCCCCCCCCCCGCCCCCCACCTACCTTGTGCATGTGCGTTATGAGCCTGCTGATGAGCTTGGGCAGCAGCCCCGACTGCCGTATGAACTGCGCCAGCCGCAGCAGCGGAACGGTGAAGGGCTGCTCCACCTGGGCCAGACCTAGGCGCATGTCCTGCGGGGTGGGGGGGAGGAGGGGGGGAGGGAGGGGGGGCGGGGGGAGGGGAGGGGTTATGTGAGGTGGGAGAGGAGGGCGAGGGAAGTTGGAGAGGGCTAGGCCCGATGGCGCTGCATCCGGACAGGAGGGAGGAAAGGGTACAAGGCCGGGGGGGGGAGAGAGTAGTAGTAATAGGTCAGAGGGCGAGGGAGACAGGAGGGGACACTAAGGCACCCAGGGCGGCAGTCCCGGAGCTGGCACTGCCAGAGAGGCCAGCCACCCGCAAGCCCCCCCTGCAGCGCCCTCCCCCACCCCCTCCGCCCAGCAACCCACCCCTCTCCCCCAGCCCGGGCTAGCTTCCTCCTCCCCCACACATTGGATTTACTTCTCCCCCCCCCGCCCGCACCTGCATGGACAGGTGCAGGTCCTGCGGCGCGGAGTGCTCGGATGAGAGGTAGATGTAGGCCTGGTGCAGTGTGAGGCTGTTGGGGCCGCTGTCCAGGGCGCGGAGCATCTCAGTGCGGATGGCCTGAGGGGGGGGAGGGGAGGGGGAGGTAAAAGTAAGGAAACTGACTAGACAATTAACGAGATGTGTGATAAGGCTTCCCCATGGGGGCGCAGGGAGAGGGGGGGAAGGGAGGGCAGGGGAGGGAGGGAGCCAAGAGGGTTAGGAAAGGGGGGCCCCTACTGGTGGCGCCTTGCTACCTCCCTACCACATCGCTGTCTGCTCCCTAACGCTGAGCTCCTTACAGTTGGTTCCATCCCATCACCCTCTCTCCACCTCCCTTATCACATGGTTCGTGGTTGTTTCCTCTGTACCCGCCCCTCCCCGGCTCCGGTTGCTTCACTTCCATTCATTCATCCCCCTCCCCCCCTCCCTCCTCCACCCACCTGCCCCAGCACCCATGGCAGCGGCGCCGCACACGCCGTGCGCTTCAGCCGCCCCACATGCTTGGCCGCCAGCTGCTGCATGAGCGCCGGCATGGGCAGGTTGGCCTTGGAGGAGGAGGCCACCTGGCGGTTCTGCATCAGGCCCAGCAGCAGGTCCAACACGTCGCTGTCGCGCAGCCGCTCGTCGGAGGCTGGGAGCGGGGGTTTGGGGGTTTGGGGTGGTGGTGGTGTAAGTAAGAAACAGGGTGGAGGATGGGGAAGGGAGGAGTTGCGGTGGGTTCAAGGGAGAGGCGTGTGTTGTTGCAGTATTGTTTGGCATTCCAAATCGGTGTGATGGTAGGTGGGGGAATCGATCAACACCCCGTCGTCGTCAACAACTGCTGGGCACAGTATTACCACATCCGCCGGCCAGCCGTTTCACGGCGAGCCCGGCAACCCACCATTACCACCACGCACGCCACCAATCGCCCCCACCTTCATCAAGCTACATGCATCCACCAACCGCCCACCTACAGCCCCCATCCAGCCGCAATCCGACCCCCACCTCCGCACCCCTCCCTGCCCCCCGGGCCCCACCTGAGGAGTCGTCCCTGCCACTCCGCGGCATGAACGCCCGCATGTCCACCACTCGCAGGCTGGGCGGGGCACCCACTGCCCGATCGGGGCTGGAGGGAGCGGAGCCCAGCCGCCCTCCGCCTCCCCCTGCTGCTGCTGCTGCGCCTGAGGTGCTGCCCCCGGAGTCCTCCCGAGCCAGCGGCACCGGCGATATGTCACCCAAGCCCGTTCCGCCCCGCCCAATACCCGTGGGGGTCACAGGCAGCGACCCGCCGGCAGCCATGCCGGGAAGTCGGAGCGACAGAGGACTCAACCGCCCCCCGCCCCCGCCTCCTCCTCCTCCTCGGGAGGGCAGGGGTGACGTCATGCCGTCTCCGCTCCGGCCGTACGGCACCGCCCCCGGCGCTCCCCCCCCGCTGATGCCGGGGGGGGAGCTGTGCGCGGCTCCGAAACCCACCTTGCTGGTCCTGCCGTCGTACTCGGAGGAGCGCAGCTGCAGGGTTTTTCGCAGGTCGGGTAGCGCGGCGTGCACTCGGACGGGGAGCATGTTGATGGGGCCGGTGGGGTTGTTGGAGTTGGCAGCTGCGGAAGGGGGAAGGGGGAGGGAAGGAGGGGGAGGCGGGAAGGGGGAGGGGGAAGGTGGTGAAGCCGCATGTCAATGAGGCTGCAGCCGCTGGCTACGGCACCGACCTTTGCGTGCATGCAGAGGGGACCACCGGTAACACATTGCACCAAACAGCACCGCCTTTTCCTCCTCCTGCTACCAGTACCCCTCCTCAACCCGCCCACGGCACCATGCTGCGGCTACCAGGCTACCAGCACCAATCCCATACCCTCCCTGCCTCCCGCTTCCTCCCTCCGCTTCCCTCCGCTTCCCTCCGCTTCCCTCCCCTGCCCGCCCCGCCCCTCCCCCCTCCCGCCCACCTGCCGCCGCCTCCGCCGCCTGCTGCTGGCTGGGCGGCACTCGCGCGTGCTTGTTGGTGATCTGCACGCGGTAGAGCTCGATGACGTCGTTGTACTCGCTGATGTTGTCAATCAGACCGGCCTGCCTGCAGAGGGGAGGAAGAGGGAAGGGGGAGGGAAGTCAGGGGAGGCGCTTTGGCGTGATTGGGCACATTAAACGCCTGCAGGGCTGTTCAATACGCGTACAGGCAGGAATGACATGCACCACAACCTTTCAGGCATGAGCCGCATGACGCAGGACTGCCGGGCGGCAACCTGGCCTCTGCTACCACCGTGTTGCAATGCAGAGTTAGACTGCTGCCCTGCTCCCCTCCGGCTTAGTTTGTTGGCCAACCCTTTTCTCTCCAAGTGCCGTTTCATGTCACCCCGTTTCGCCAGGAGAGTTACCACAGCCCCGCAGCAGCCCGAACACCGCACCCCCCATCACCCCACCACCACCCTGCTACCCATTGCGTTGTCTAATCCGTGGTTTGGTACATGCTTGACCCCCCTACCGGCTTGTCGTCTGGTTTGCCATCCTCATCCATTACTTACGGTATTACTCCCACACACACAGACACGTCCCGACTCGCGGCCAGTTTCCTTAACACACGCCCCAGCGCTCGCACCTGCAGAACACCAGCAGCATGTCCAGCGAGCAAAGCTCGTCCCGCGGGTCGGTGGGTCGCTCCTCCAGGTCGATGTACGGCAGGCTGCTTGCGAAGATCTCGTGCTGGGCGGGCAGGGCGCCCATGCGGCCCAGGCCGTGGCTGCTGCGGCCGCTGCGGGCACTGGAGGGACGCCTGAGGGGGGCCAGGGGGGCATGCAGGGGGGCGGCAGGCAGGGAGGCAGCGGGTTGGGTGTGTTAGCATCGCCCGTGTGGAGTTGTCGACCAAGCTAACCACCTCAACCACCGAGCTCAAGCTTAAGGTGCGGCTGCTTCACCTTCATGTGGACTGAGGTTTTACGGGCCCTATTCCGAACGCCCATTCCACACGCGCACATCCGCACCCCGAATACGCAGCAGGCATAGCACACCGACCGAGGCTGGGTTGCGAATATCGCGCCCATGCTCTTTTCACCCCCCGCACACTTCGCCTTCTTCTGCTTCACCCCACCATCCTGTTTCATTTCTTCTGCCTCCTCTCCCTCCTCTCCACCCCCCCCTCACGCACCTGTCCACCTTTTATCCCACCCCCACCCCCACTCCCCACCGCCTTAGTATGCGGTCAGTTATCTCCACGCACCTGTCCAGCGACCTCGATCGCACCCGGTTGGGTACCCCCCCCGCCAGCTTGGCCTGCACCGCCCGCCTGCACGCATGCCAGTGCCGCGCATACTGCCGCAGCACCAGCATCAGCGTGTGCCGCAGCTCATCCAGCGTCACATTGTAGCGAGTCTGCCCGCACAGACACAGCGTGTGACCCTCACCACACGCCACCAGCATCACCGGCTCCTCCCCGCTGAATAACGCTGCCGGACCGCCTCCTCCTCCGCCGCCGCCACCTCCGCCAGCTGCCGACCCAGGAGTCGCTACGCTGCGGGCGGAGGAGCTGCCCGCGAATCCGCCCGCCAAGCTAGCCTCAGCGGAGAGCAACGTGGAGCTGACGCGGCCGCCGCCGGAGCTGACGGCACCTCCGCCGCCGCCGCCGTACGCTGAGCCAGCGTAGCTACCGGCGACGGAGAAGAAGCTGCCGCTGGCCACGCCGCCGATGCGAGGCGGGCCCGGCCGGCGGGTGCGAATGGAGACGTAGACGCGTTCGTTGAAGGTGTGCAGACGCAGTGTGATGCCGTCGTGACCGTCTGCGGAGGCTGAGTGGCGACCCACGGGACTGTTGGGGCTGAATCCGCTGAAGGAGGTGATGGGCGGCGAGTGGCCGCCGGCGCCGCTGATGGTGACGTCGAAGCCCGTGAAGGCTCCGGAGTTCAGGGTGCCCAGGCCGTCGGAGGGGCGGGGTCCGTCGCGCGCGTTGAAGAGGCGGAAGGCGGTGAGGCGGTTGATAATGGAGGCGGATTGGACGTAGTAGAGGCCTTGGGTGCGTGGGTCGGAGGGGGGTGGGGGAGGCGGCGGTACGCTGCCGTCGAAGGTGGCTTCCGGCGGGGGGAGGGGGAGGAAGTCCTCGGGGGAAGGGGGCTTCACGACGAGCCTGAGGTGAGGTGGGGCCAGGGGAGGGGAGGAAGGGGTGAAGCTGGGGTTTGCAGAGCCAGACAGTGGACTTAACAGAGTGCTTTCCTGGTGGGAGGACAGTGGGATATACCGGTACACGAAATAGGTTTGTCAAGAAGCGCTATTGGCGTGTCCCTTGGGAGCATGAGAGGCCACGTGCTGTCCGACAAACACCACCATTTGCGCGGCCTGAACGGCAAGGGTCTTTCATGCAGCCCAGCACCCTCTGCCCCTGCCCCTTCCCACCCACCCCCAAACCCTGCAGCACTTACTTGGTGTGCTCATGGACAGACCTGTAGGGCAGCGGAGGCAACGACGGCGATAAAAGTCGGTGTAGGATATACAACTAACCAACTAATCGCAAAACATGCCGTACAATGCGGAACCCCACCACACCGCGCTTGCTCATGCGCGTGACATGGCACAAGTCCCCCACCTCCTCTGCCCACCCAACCTACACGCACCACCCCACTCCCGCCCCCCGGACAACTGCTGTGCCCTATTCGATCTCGTATACCTGAACGGGTTGCATAACCTTGCGTTCCCTCCCCCCTCTCTTGATTGATGCTACTAACTATAAAACAACTACAGTTATTTGCTACCCCAACTATCCAGCGTAATGCGGATTCTGTTTCCAAACTAACCTCCCTCTCAGCCCCTCCCTCACACAAGCCTTGTCACACAGCTCGTTACTTGCCTCGTCAATTTCCTTATTTATACCCCCCCCCACCTGGTAACTCCGTACTGCATGGCGGAGGGCAGCAGCTCCTCGTCTCCCCACCAGTACATGCGCTGGTGGGTGGTGACGGCAACCGCGTGACGGGCGCCCACAGACACGGTGCGGAAGCGGTGCGGACCCAGCCACTTCACCCTGGGGTGGGGGGGGGGGGGGGGGGGGGGGGGGCGAGGGGGTGAGGGGGTTTGAGGGGGCAGGGAAGGAAGGTGAGGGGAGAGGTGAGCGAAAGAGAACCAGAAAAGGATTACCCGCCGTGCCCAAATACCGGCGCACGCCCATCGTGTCCATTTAACAAGCTGAGGTACAGGAGGAGCCATGCAAGGACGGGTTATCAAGCAGCCTGAAAGCTGATGTATACCGGTGCCCTCCCTGGCGCCAGCTACACCCAGTCGAACCGGTTCTACCAATCCAAGCCGTTTTCTACGTTAAACCCTACGCCGCCCCCCCCCGCCTCGCCCCCCAGCAACCCATGGTAATCCTCTTCATACAGTTCGTCAGTTCCTTCTTTTCAACCCCCTCCGCCCCCCCACCTGTGTATCAGCGGCAGCGAGGCGCTCCTGGGCGTCATGGCCGTACCCGCCGGCCCGCCCACCCTGTTTCGCTGCACCCAGGGGTTCAGGTAGGGGTCGCTGCCCCACAGGTACAGCTGCCCCTCCCGACTGATGGCCGCAGACACCGACCAGGCAGCCAGCATGGCACACGGCGGCAACCCCGGCACACGCATGGGCGTGGGGCGGTCCCGGAAGTCCGGCAACCCTAGTGCCTGCACGGCGTTGCTGCCCCAGCCCCACACCGCTCCGTCCTCGGTTAGCGCCAGGCAGTGGCGCGTGCCGCATACCACCGAGGTGATGCGCACCCCGGAGGGGAGTAGTACGGGTGTGGGCGGGTGCGTCAGACCACGCTTGACATCATCATGCACAGCGTCGGGTGTTACGCCGGCGTGTGCGAGCATGGCGGCGGTGTTGGGAAGGGGGTCGCGGTCGCGCTCTCGGTCCGCGCCGAAGGGGCCGCGGCCGGGGGAGGAGGTGGGACTGGGGCAGGGCAGGCCCGGGGTGGGGAGGCCGGAGGTGGAGGTGGTGGTGCGAGCGGAGGGCGGCATGGAGGCGCCGATGCCCAGCCGGCCGTGGCGGTTGCTGCCCCAGCACCACACGGCGCCGGAGGAGGTGACGGCGGCGCTGTGCTGCAGGCCTGGAGGGTGGGGGAGTGGCGGGTGTGAAGGGGTGTGGGTGGAGGGACGCCGTACGGTACGTAAGCAAGGTTGGGAATGTAGGAAGGAATACACAGGCACACGTTACCCATTCCTCCGGCAGGCATGAGCCGTACAGCTTCCATATCATCGCCCACGTTCCAGGAGGAGGGAGCAACGCGCATCTCTGAACCCTCGCTACGCACAGAGCGAACGAACATACCCGCCTCCTCCCCTTCCCTCGCTCCTCGCCCCTCACACCTCCTCCCAGCCCTCCTCCCAGCCAGCCAGCCAGCCACCCACCTGCCGCCAGGGACACCACCTCCACATGGTCAAACTCCGCAATGCGGGTGGGCGACGTCACACGCACCCCCGGCAACCCCGCCCGCCCCACCGCCTGCCCCGACGCGTTGTCGCCCCAGCCCAGCACCCCGCCCCCCTCCAGCGCCGCCAGCGTGTGCAGCGCGCCGCATGCCACCGTGCGCACCGGCGCGCCCATCCACAGCCGGTACACCTGCAGCTGCTCGTTGATGATGGTCACGCGGGGGCCGCTGGGAGAGCCGCCGGAGCCGGCGCCGCCACCGGAGGCACCGCCGGAGGCCAACGGGGCGGCTGTGGCGCCAGCTGCGCCGGCGCCGCCGCCGCCTTCGGCGGCGGCTTCCGCCGCTGCTGCCGCGGCGACGGCTGCCGTGGCTGCGCCCGGCAGCGCGGGTCCCGCTGCTGCCGCCGCCGCCGCCAGGGAGGTGGTCTTGGTGTCTGAGGAGGAGGCCACGGAGTCAATCATGGACAGCGAGGCCTCCGCCTGCGGCCCCACATGCACCTCCGGCATGGGAAACAAGTGGATCTCCGTAGAACCCCCACCTCCGCCACCTCCACCCCCTGCACCGCCCCTGCTGCTCCCCCTGCCACTCCCCGGCCCGGCCCCCCCACTGCCGCTGCCTCCTCCCCCCGCGCTGCCGCCGCCACCGCCCTCATCCCCCTCATCCTCTCCCCCGTCTGTCAGCAGATCCACGGGCTGCTTGGGCGCCCCCGACGCGATGATCCCCTGCAGCAGCGACGCCGGCAGGTGCCCCTGCAGGTCGTCCAGGGAGGCTTCCACAGGCAGCAGCACCTCATGCGGCAGCTGGTGCGAGGCGATGTGCTGCGCGGACAGGCAGCCGCGACCCAGCTGGCCGCGCGAGTCGGAGCCCCACACGTACAGGTGGCCGTCCGCGGAGACGGCGGCGCCGTGGTGGGCGCCTGAGGGGGGGGGGGTGGAGGAGTGGGAGGAGGAGCGAGAGGGGGTTGGGGGGGAGGTAGGCGGACAGAGGATTGGCCACTTGGCCAACGGTATGCACTCTTCCCTTCCAACAAGCCGCACAATTACGCAGTGTCCTTAGCGCCCTTTGGCCAAACCCTTTCGGTGTACCCGTCACCCTAACCTACCGCAGCCCAGCCCACCTGCCCTCCCCGTGCCCACCGCGCCGCCTCAACCGCACCCAGCAGGTACGGTACCCCGGTGTCTTCCCAGGTGGCGTCCCCCACACAATCCCCACCCGCCCCACCCCCACCCCTCTCCACCCACCTGCCGCAGCGAAGCGGAACACCACCCCATTCAGCAGCGCCAGCGGCAGCGGACTGGTGTACACCAGGTCCGCATCCCCGCCCATCCCCGCACCGCCTCCGCCTCCGCCCCCGCCCTCCAGCCCCCCTAGCGCCGCGCCGGCCCCCAGCCCGCCCGCCTCCACCACCGCTGCACGCGTGCTGGCGGCGTTCCCGAAGGTCCATACGCGCTGCTGCGGACAGCAGCCATCCAGGAGCTTCCACAGGTCCATGCACCAGAGCTCCGGACTCAGCCGCACCTCCCCAATCACCCCTGGCGCCGTGGTGAGGATCTCGAACACGCCGGTGGGGTCCGCTTGGCGTCCGCCGCTGCGGCTGCTGAGGCTGATGCGGCTGCTGGTCTGCTGCTGATGCTGACCCGGGCGCTTGGGGCTGCGCGGCTTGGCGAAGCCGGGTGAGCGGCCGCGCGCGCCGGGGCTGCTGCGCCGCATGCCGGGGCCGGAGCCGGGGGTTGGGCTGCCGCCGCGGCCCTGTTGCTGCATGGCGAAGGGGAAGGGCAGCGAGCCCGGCGCGCCTTTCATGGAGGCACTGCCCACCGCGTTGCCTAGGAAGCTGCCCAAGGAGCCAAGGCGAGGGGGGTTTCCTGCCGCGGCGGCAGCGCCTGGGAACTGTGAGGAGGGGCCCAGGTTGGGGGCGCTGCCGCCGGCGCGGTCGGGTCCGGGGCTGGTGACGCGGGCTCCGAGCATGGCGTTGAGCGAATTGGGCTGCATGCGGCGACCGGGGCGGGCGGCGGTGGGTACGGCACCTGCGGGAGAGGAGGTACGGTGGGAGCCGTTGTAGACGGTGGCCGCGACGGCAGCTACCGCGGCGTTGGCGGCAGCCTCAAGGCCCGTCATAAGGGCGGGCGCCTGTCGGCGTGAAAGGGAGGGTAGGGAGGCGGCGGCGAGGTTGCCACTGCCGGCGCCCAGGTTTGACAGCCGTGGCGGCATGCGGTCTGGGCTCTGTTGGCGTTGCCCCTGTGCGGGCGAGCTGCCGCTGCCGGAGCGGGGCTGCCGCCCAGGCAAGGACTCAACCTCCGCTGGACGCCCTGTGGCACGTACGATGCGTGACATGCCGGGCTTCATGCTGGACTTCAAGGCCTTTGGCTGTGAGGAGCCGCCGCTGCCAGTCTGAGACCTGCTGCCTGTTCCGGCTGGTGACCCTTCTCGCATCGGCCGGCTTGGGCCATGGCTGTCGACATGCGACGAGTTGGCATCCTTCCAACCAGCAGACATTCCAACATCCAAAGATGCCCCATGCGATATACTGGTTGTTGATCGGTTTAACCCCGATATGGGTGGAACCTTCGTTGCATGTCGAGCCCCGGGGGCTTCACCCGGGGCCGTGACGGCCTGGCCTTGCCATGCTAAGTCCGGTCCAAACGCCTTGTGCTCCGTCTGCTGCCGCGTGCCCCCCGGCTCCAACTTGCTCTTCAGCATTTGCTGTTTGCGCTATTAGACGCGACCCACAGCATCCTTCAAATAAAGCTTGTGCTTTCCCTCGTTGAGTGCATAGAATACTTGTAAATATATAAATCGCAGGCAAGGTCCATGGCTATTGCGTGCCGGGTGCTATTGCAATGCTACCTTCTACCTCTGGTTACAATTAAGTACCTATAGATATTCAAAGTGTTGCAATAAATATATTCAGACTTAAAAAGACTACTGAATAGGCGTGTTCTCGAAGTGGGTCAAGAATTCCCGCAGGGCGGTTTGTCGTGCAGGACACAGGTCCATACACCATGACTCAGTATTAACATCTTGCAATGTTCTGAGCAATAGTTTATTCAGCTCTCAAAGGTTACGTGATTGGGCTACTGCCAAGTGGCATGTTGCAAGGAAATGGCACCGCGGCGAGTAGGCAACGCGGTCGTGCTCTTGCATGGCGTGAATTGGGTATAGCTGCCGCCCGTGAAGATGCGGACAAACGACAACGACTTCAGCGACGCGTGGAGCGGCGCGCGCTGCAGTATCAAGCGATGGTGGAGGCAACGGAGCTGGAGAAGACGATAGAAGCCAGGTGTGTAGCCCCGGGGCCTAAGCCGGATTGCGCCCTGAAGCGCATTATAGGTGAACCGGGCAAGGTGGCGGAAACCGTAGCATATGTCGCGCACATTCCAAGTTGGTTCTTGGTTGGCAAGAGCCTACCTGCAACATGTTGATGCATCCGCTTTAACGTTATCCGAAATCCCAATTAATAGTCATGGAACAACCCGACACGTTTCCAGGCGCTGCAAGCTCTGCGACATGTTGCGCGCAGAGGCCTGGGGCCTAGGCCACACCAACTGGCAGGAGCGGAGGTGTGGGCGTTGCTGGGTGGAACACGCAGATGAGCTAGCCAGGCAGCGACACGGCCTTCCAGTAGCAGCAGCAGCAGCTGACCCTGCTGGCGGAGCCGCCCTCGGCAGTGCTGCTGGCGCAACGGCAGCTGTGGAGGCGGAGGCGGCGGTGCCCCTAGCAGCGCTGCTTGATGCCGTACTGCCGGACCAGGTGGATGACGTCATCTCGGCGCTGCGGACCCGTGACGCGGACCAGCTGATGCAGCTGCTGGATGGCAGGTACTGAGACAGCAGCAGCCTGGGTGGGGAGAAGAACATGGGCACCGGGATGCCGCCGCTGTAACCCCTTCTTCCTGGTTCTTCGCGTCGCTGAATTGCATGCTTTGCCGGGAACAAGCACCTTGCCATCGCCCCTCCTCCGCATTTCGCCATCTTCCATAATCTATGCGTCCGGCTCTATAGCACCCATTAAGCGCATGTGTACGGTAACTGATCTGCAGGAGCCTGGAGCGGTTCTCCGGGCAGGGCGGCTGGGCACGTGGGGCTGCTGCGCGGCCGCACCTCGCCCCCGACCCGGAGCACCCGCGGGAGGGGTGGTACTACCATGACGCAGTGCTGGGGGCGGCGGAGCAGCCGGGGAGCCACGGGGAGGCACAGCGAGGTAGGAGCAGTGGTGGATGGTGTTCAGCCGCTAACTGTTCAGGTGGTGAGTGATGTTGAGAGGAGGAGGATAAGAGCTGAGCTTCCAATAGGTCAGGGGTCCCCCATTTGCCGGCAGTGTAATGTACGAACCACACACGTGCCATCGCACTTACACGCCATGCCAATGTTGTCCTCCGTGCAGGGGCAGGCGAGGCCACGGCTGCAGCGGCGGGGCTGCCCGGTAGAGCTGCCTCACCCACGCACCCACCACGTAGCGTTGAGCCGGACCAGGAATACCAGTCGCAGCAACAGCAGCAGGGGCCGCAGGGGCCACAGCGACAACGGCAGCAGAAACCGCACGGCACCGCAGCAACCAGCCCGGCAGGTGGTGCCGCTGCGGGTGGACCGCAAGGCAGGGCCGTACGGACTGCACGACAGGTAGATGACCCAGATGACAGTGATGGTAGCGGTACCGGGGATGGCAATTCGGAGCTTAGTTTTGCTCCAGAGGGACCGCTTGCTACCGAACAACCGCCGCCGCCGTCACCGCCACCACCGCACCTACTTACACCGCTATCCAAGCAACGGAAAGACCAGCAGCCTCACGCACCGCCACCGCAACAACCCCAGCAGCGCAGCACGGTATCGCCCCAGGCGGAGGCGACAATCCATGGCGTGAGGCGGCGGCCCAAGTCCGCAGCCGCCCCCAGCAGCAGCCCGCAGCACCCAGAGCCGCGGCCGCTGCCCAGCAAGCTGCGCCCGCTGCCCTCTGGTGAGGCGGCGCTGCAGGCGGAGCTGCAGGAGGCGGAGCGGCTGGTGGTGTTTGGGGCCACGCAGCGGCAGCGAAGCGAGGTAGGCCGTGGGTGCGGAGCCGCCTTACACGCATGCGCGCCGTTTCATTCACCGGTATTCTGGGCGTGGCGATAATGGTATTCCACACATTGCGCGTGCACCGATCCAACGTAATATGTACTCCAGCATGTACTCCCGGGATGTGATACCGGATACCGGACAGGCAGGTACGTAAGGATGAAGCCCGCTCGTCCGCAACGCTACCTCCTGCCGCACTCCTGGCGCTCCTGTTCCTTCCGTTTCCTGGTGTCCCCGCAGGCACTTTTCTACAGCCACCAGCTGCGCTCAGCGCTAGCTGACCTGCGGCTGGTGGACCGCAAGGCCGCCAGGGTGACTGCCGTACACCGGTACGACGTACGGCGGGACGCACGCGACGCGGAGGGCTGCAAGCGGGTCATTCGGGAGGGCCGACCTGAGCGGGTGGGTGGGCTGGGGGAGGTGCGGGGCTGAGCCAGGGGGGACTGCAGCGTTGCAGGGGCTTCAGACCTTGGCAGCAGCGCTGCTGGATGTCAGTGCCTTCACTCTCAAGGGGTTCGGTTGCAGGTGTTTGGTATACTGGGTGTTGTACGTTTGCAGTAGCCCTCTGCTCGCGCCTGCATCAGCTCGTGTCCCGCCCCTCCGCCACCCCTCCTCCCCTCCGCAGGCGCCCAGCCCCACCACGCTGCGCCGCCTGCTGGTTCCGGAGAGCCTCTACGTGGACCCGCCCAAGCGCTCCCCGCGCTGGCTGGAGCACATCCACCCCGACCGCCCCGACCCCCTGAAGGCGGCGGACGCAGTGACGTGGCGGCCGCCAGCGGGCAAGACGCCGCCGCCGAAGCACACTCCAGGCATGCAGTCCGCGGGTGGGTGGCGGGGGTCGGGTGGAGTCAGAGGGCGCCGTGGAGAGAAAGCTAGGGGCAGGAGTGTCCCTTCTGTTCTCGTACAAGCGTGTTTTGAGGCCATGCATGCATGCAACAAGTGAGGGGCACGGGTGAAGCACTGCTTCGTTGCTTCCAAAAGAAGGCGTGTGGGCACCTTGGTGTACAGGTGGTCGTGTAGGGAGGGGTGCCCGTGGCGGCGCGCGCACCAGGCGGGGGTGGGGAAACGGTTTGCTGCGGTTGATACATGCAGGCGACTGGAGCGAGTACCGATATGATTGGGACCTGGCGCGCATTCGCTCAATGCCGGTAGACGACTACATGAGCTCAAGACGGAAGGAGCGGGAATATCGCATTGCCTGGGCGGAGCTGCAGGTACGTAGGGCTGACCCTTGGGAGCAATGATAAGGGTCTGACGTTGCTGGGTGTAGGAGCCACGTACGGCCAGCACATGGTGGATGGTTTATGGCATTCCTTGTGGAAGGAAGTCAGTTGTTGCCACCGGCTTTGGAGTTTGCAACATGGAGTGAACACGTACAGAGAGTCATCACTTGCCCATGTTTTCGCAGGCACATGCTCACGTCTTTGGCGATGCAGCAGCGGGGAAGGCTGGGGCAGTGGAGAGCGTGCGCTCGGGCTACGTATGAAGTGTGGAAGCAGCTGAAAGCGCATTTGCATGACATTGAGCATCTGACTGTGAGGAGGACAGGCGATTTCTAGGACTACTACATCCATACCATTCTCGTGTAAGGTACATAGCCAAATGTTAAAGAACTGCCGTTAATATTGCTGGTAGCACCTAGCTGCAGTGCACACTTGATCCAGGACGGAATCCATAATGCGGATTCGAGAAGACAGTAATGGCGAGGGTTGAGACAGTCATTCGACATTTTATTGTATCTTATTCACGAATGTCAAGTTAGTCGCCATGAGTGGATTACCAGCCGGCTGGGCCGCTGGCATAGTTGTGACGACTAGTGGGCTTGCGAAACAGGACAAGCTATGGGCACAACAGGCTATCAGACAGGCTGGAGGAGGTCTGTTAGTATTACTGTCACAAAAATCGGTTTATGTTTATGAAGAAGCTCAAGTTGCGTAAACTGTGAAATGTCCCCGAACTGCAGACTACTCTCCCAACCTCTCAAGACGCTGTACGCACGTTCTTACGCGTGATGGAGTACGCAGCGACAAAATTGATGCTATCCGTAGCAACCCGCATCTCTGGCCACAGGCCATCGTAAGCGTAGATTGGTTGTCAGCCTGCGAAGCTTCCGCTGCGCGGCTCCCGCCTGAGCAGTATGCCTTGGAATCTCAGGTAAGCACATAACCACCCTTTGCAACGCGCTCAGGCTTGCATCTCAGCTGATGCAAGACTTACGCAGGGTCAGCGGCCACCGCTGGGTACCCGGCAGCAGGCATCGGGAAGTCAGCTGCAACGTAGCCAGGCTACCGGGCGAAGCAGCGGCAGCGGTCGCCGCATAAATGCCAACTCAAACAGCAGCACTAGCGGCGTTGGTGCTGTTGGTGCAGCACCATCTTCCGCCAAGCAGCAGGCAAATAAACCTTTCACGCTTGCCAACACTCCCTGGGTCCTGGGAGAGTCCCGCATCAAGGAGGAACCCCTAACGTCCTCGGGAAAGCAGCGAGGACCCTGGTTCCCTGAACCACCCCCAGCGCCAGCAGCCATCGTCCCACCTGCACCTGCCACAACCGCCCACAAGCCCGCGCCTTGGCGTGTGCACTTTAGCCAGGTTGAGGAGGACCCCCTGACCTTCCAGGCTCCAACCTCAGTCCAGGCAGTGGCTGAGGTCACGAAACGGCCATGGCGCGTGCGGGTCTCCACAGTACCAGAGGAGGGGCCCGAGGTGCCACCCGATGTGCCGGCGATAGGAGCAGCCGCCGGCGAAGCGGACGGGCAGCCTGCTCGACTGCCCGCCTTTGATGAAAGCGAGGAGCAGCTCGAGGGCGTTGGCGGTGCCGCTGGGCTGGCTCTGCCGGTCAAGCCCTGGCACGTACGGCACCTGGAAATGTCGGCAGATGACAGCACGGACCGGCCGCTGGCAGCAGCAGCCGGCATAGGGGCCGGTGCCGCTGCGGTAGCCGGCGCTCCAGTCACCACAGGCGCAGATCGTACGACATCCTATAGCACTAGCGTCACCGCCGCCGCCACCAGCAGCGCAGTAACCACTAGCCGACATGCACACCCCGCGCATGGCGGGCTGCTAACGAGCGCTGCAGACCATGTACTGCACATGGAGGTTGGCACGGGGCCTCGTGGGGATGCTGCTGCTGCTGCTGGTGACGACGGCGGCAACACGGGGTTGCAGCAGGAGCGGCACCCGGCCGCCATGGCCCTCCTGGAGGCGCTGGCGTCGCCCAGGTCCTCCCAGGGCTCGGTGCTGGGCGGCGGCAGCACGGTGGCGGGACATGCAGGTGCCGCGGGGGGCCTAGCGCACAGGTTGGTGCCGCCGCTGCCGACGGCATTGCAGGGCCCTCCACTTGGCGCCAGCGCAGCCGGAGAGCGGCAAGTGGCGCAGCGCGGTGCTGCAGCAGCTACCTTCCCATGTGTCCCGGCTGCGGACTGCTGGGCGACGAATGGCCAAGAGTTCTCCCTGACGCAGCTGGCAGCCGACTTGCAGGTGCTTCGCCAGGGCATGGATCTGCAGGGGGAGCCGCAGCAGCCGCAACGAGGACGGCAGGAGCGGGTGCAGCAGCAAGAGCAGCAAGTTGCCAGGCCGAGGGATGCCAGTGGCAACACAACCGCTGGTACGGACTTGCGCGGCACAAGTGACTACGGTGGCGCTGGGCAATGGCGTGGCATGGCCGGCCCCCAAACCTCCGGGCTGGGTTGGGCGGACGAACGGCGTGAAGCCGGCGGGCAGGCCCCTCGTGCAGGACCCCTGCCTGAGTTGCACGTCAGCGTTGACGAGGAGGAGGGCGATTCCTCCTGGATGGCCCCGCCTCTGTCGCAACTGGCGGCCGCGATGAGGGAGGCCAGGTGCGGACTGGGGCAGCAGCCAGCGCAGCAGCCGCAGCCATCAGACATGACGGCGGACGTCACAGCTGCAGGGCCAGGATTTGCCGCCACGGAAGGCCGACCTTCCTCGCATGCAAGCCTAAACACATGGCAGCAGCAGCAGCAAGAGCGGCAGGCGGCTGAGCCGGAATCACTAGCACCCGCAAGGGATGCCGGCAACAACACCAACACGCGGGCGGACTTGCGCGGCACTAGTGGTTATGGAAGCACTGGACAACGGCACGGCAATGCTGGTCCCGCAGGGCAGGGCTTGACTGCTGGTGGCCGGCGTGACGGTGGCGGGCAGGCGCCTCACGTGGGTCCCGTGCTGCACGGCAGGGTCGAAGACGAGGGGGGCGATTCCTCCTGGATGGCTCCGCCGCTGTCGCAGCTGGCGGTGCAGATGCGGGAGGTCAGGTGCGGACTCGGGCAGCAGCCAGCGCAGCGGCCGCAACCAGACAGAGAAGCCTTTGATCCTATCTCAGCACCGCGGGTAGGGCATGTGACCGCAGAAGACCCTCCCGCATCGCATGCAAGCCTCAACGCATGGCAGCAGCAACAGCCTTCTCCGGCCCTAGGTCTGGCTCGTTCGGATCCCGCATGGCGCCAGCAAGACCCGCCCCTGGCGGCAGCTCCTGTATTGCGCGACAGCTGGCAGGCTTTCCATCCGGCCGCAGACAGGCCTGGCGCAGTGACCAGCCCGCCCCCCGGCCCCGCGGCGAGACATCAGGTGCAGCAGCCCCAGGCAGAGACGACGCCCCCAGGGCGGCACGCCTGGGATGCCCCTGGCCATGCGGAGGGTCAGGGCCAGGACCAGGCGCCGGGTCTCATGACGCAGCTCATCAAGGGACTCCGGGAGGCTCGGCAGGGGCTGCAGCCCCGGGAGTCAGTAAGCAACGCAGCGGCGGCGGCGGCGGCTGCCGAGCAGCAGCAGGCTCGTGGTCGGGGAGTGGTAGAGAACCAACCTGCGGAGGTGGCCGGCAGTGGTATGCAAGTCATGCGGACAAGCGTCGCGTCGCCAACGCTGGCAGAGCGCTGGGGGCTGGCGGAGGAAGCGCCAGCGCCTCGGGTGCATGAGCGGGGGGTGGCAGGGAGAGAAGAAGCCTCCATGCAGCAAGCTGCCAGACCGGAGGTGGGCGTGAGCAGAGCCGTCCCGGGCGCTGGACAGGTCGGTGACCGCACCGCAGCCGCGACTACCGCCAACTGGGCTGCCAGCAATGCCGGAGGCTGGATGGTGGCAGGTGGTTCAGACGTTCCGTCCCTGTCGCAGTTCGTCGCAGATATGCGTCAAGTACGAGAGGGCCTCCGAGGCCCCGGCGGTGCGGACAGGGACGCGTACGTCGTAAAGGAGGAGGTGCAGATCCCTGACCCAGCCGCTTACGGGGCGGACGTGTCCTCGTACGGCATGGGCAGGCCCTTTCCGGAGGCGGAAGAGCCCCGTCCTGCCGCTTTGGTCCCCCGGCAGCGTGCTTCACCGCAGCGCCCGCAGCAGCCAACAGCTGGTGGAGCGTACGGCGGCGACGGTACGACGGAGCAGGTCGAGGGGCGGGTCCATCCCGCTTTCGGGGACCGGCAGACACTCCCCGAGGAAGACGAAGGCGCCAGCTGCGCCCATGCAGCCGCACCTGCGGCCCCGGAAGACGACATCAGCTTATCCCAGATGATTAGCCTGTTGCAGCGGCAAAAGCTGAACCGCCAACGCGACTGCGCCCCGCCCCCGCCCCAGCAGGCCCCGCGTGACTCCCGACTGGAGCCGCAGCTGCCTGCCCACGACCCGGACCCTGCTCGCGGATGCGGCATGCCATCCGGGTTGGCGGCTTGGGAGGAGCGCTTCGCAGCAGGTGCCAGCGGCGACGGCAGCCGCTCACCTCGGCACGGCTTTCCAGTGTCTTCGGCGCCAGGGCTGGTAGGCGGTGCTGCCAGCGGGTCGGTCATGCAAGCCCAGGTGGGCCGGGATGCATACCAGCCATTTACCGGCTTGGGCGGTGCCCTAGGACCTGAATACTCACCCAGGTTGTGGCCGTCTGGCACATCCGGCGGCGGCGAGGCCCCCGCGGCGGCTGGAGCGGAGCATGAACGGAGGGATGACTGGTTTTCTGGATTGCAACGGCTTGACGGGCCGTCTTGGAGAGAACAGCAGGGAGATCGGTACGCAGCGGACGTCAACGAGGGGGATGGCGGCATGGACTGGGAGCAAGGCCCTGTAACCGGGGTCACTGCTGCGCAGCAATTCCCAGCGGACGACGCTGGCATGGCCCTGCGCGCTGAGGAGAGGGTGCAGGTCGTGCACGTTGCGGCGGCGGATGGTCTGCCGTGGTCGGACCGCCGACCTGCGCCATCAGAGCCTAGCAGGCTCCCTGCAGCCAGCCCAGCCACAGCAACAGCCTCAGCAGCAGCAGCCGAGACACCCGAGTCCCCCGGAACTGCAACCCCAGGCGATGATGAGCCGGACTGCCAGGGCCTCCCAGCCGCCCATCAGGGCCCGTACGGTCCCGTGTCCGCGACAACGGCCGAGGAGCCAGCGAGGAGCTTCACACCCATGTCCTCGGAGGGCGGATCTGACATGACCCTGCGACCCGAGGAAGAATCGGATTCGGAGCCCTGCTTAGAGGCCACGGCTGCAGGGGAGGCGCAGGGGCACGCGGCTGCCGTCATGCCGGGGGCTGCAGCTGCCAGCCAGAGCCCCGAGCTGCGCCCCACGGCCTTATTGAGCCGCTTCGGGCAGCTGTCACCCCTGGAGCAGCCACCGTTGCAACATGCTGCAGCTGGAGGTGAGGAGGCAGCTGGAGGTGAGGCTGGGAGTGGTGCAACAGCTGGGAGGAACCTCGGGGCGGTGCCGCAGTTGGGACATGGCGCCTGCATGAGTCCGCTAACCTTGCAGCTGCCAGCACGCCAGGGGGGGCAGCAGGAGCCGGGGGAGCAGGGGCAGCACGGCATGCAGACGCCAACTGCAGGGGGCGCGGAGCTACGGACGCCAACCGCGGCCATGACGGCGGCAGGGTCGGCGTCGGAGTTTAGCTTTGGTGTGGGAGTGAGGAGCAGGCGGTGCAGCGGCGGCAAAGGCGGCAGTGGTGCGGGCGGTAGCGGTACTGGTACTGGTAGTGGTGGCGGAGTACGGGTGGACTCGAAGCGTGCAGCGCGCAAAATGGATTCTCGCACGCCGTCGCTTCTGTCGACGCAAGGCCGGCGCAAGCGGCGCGAGCAGCGAGGCACGCCGGTCGCTATGAAGGGGGCGCCGCCGCCATTGCGACTCCCCTCGCCTGACTGCTCGGAACCGCTGCCGCAGCAGCAGGAGCAGCAGCAGCAGCAGACGCGTGCCAGCGGGTGCGGCGTCCCGGAGCCTGCACGGGTATCAACGGATCCTCGGCTGACATATCCACAGGTAAAGGTTGAGCCGCAGCCTTCGCAGCCCCTGCAGCAGCAGCAGTCTTCACAGCAGCCCTCACGGCCGCAGCAGCGGGCGCAGCGGCGCACCTCCCAGCGGGCAGCGGCGCCCCCAGGGACTCTCAGGAGCCTGCTGCAACCCCAACAACAGCAGCAGCACTCCTCAGCTGGCTCCCAGCGCTTGAGTCAAGCCCACAGCGTTTCCTCCGTCGCTGCCACCGCCTCGCAGACCTCCTCCCAATACCCCAGCCAGGCCCCAAGCCTCAGCACCATGCTGCGCTGCACCTCCTCCTCCCAGTACGGCTCCGGTTACAAGCAGGAGGAGGTGCGGGTGCTGGGCCCGGAGCAGATCCTGCAACGCACCTCACAAATGCCTTGGGCCATGCACTCCCAGAGCCAGGCCAGTCGGCGGCCCGCTACACAGCTAGGTGGCGGCGGCGGATGCAGTGCCGACGTCCCGACCAACTGCGGCACCCAGGATCTGGATGAGGTCATGCCCACCACGCCGGGCCCCTGGACGGACAGCAGCGACAGCGAGGAGGGTGAGGCGCTCGACACGGGCGCGATTGTGCGAGCGGGCAGGGCAGCAATGTTGGCGGCAGGCAGCCAACGCCCGAGCACGTCAGCATGCGCTGTTGCTACTGCTGGGGATCCCCAGACCGGAGGCAGACCCGCGGCATTCGTAAGAGGAGCATGTGGGGCTACCGCGGAGCTCCCCAGGGCGGATGGCACGAACAGCGGCGGCGGCTCCTCTTCAAGCGAGGACGACAGGGAGGACAGCGAGGGCGAGCAGCCTGTGTGGCGGTTCGGTAAGGGCCGACCGCAGCCCCCGGTCGCTGTCTCACACCGGCGGAACAGCTCCTCCTCCGTCACCACCCCGGCTGCGGCCTCCGGGCTGCAGCAACCGCGGGCCCAGCAGCAGCAGCTGCAAGGCCACGTCATCGGCCCCAAGCCGCAGCAGCTCACGGCGCACGATGTGGCCCTGGCCGCCATGCATCCCCTGCCCCCGGGCTCGCAGTCCCAGCATGACGAGCTTCCTGAGCAGGAGCCGGCCACCGCAGCAGCGCCGTGGCAGGAGGGCGGCCTCCCAGCAGGGGAGCTGCAAACGCCCAGCCAGCAGTCCGTACCGCCGCTGGATCTCTCCCTGGGCGGATCCAGCTGCTCCGGCGGGCCGTCGGTACGGCAGGTACCTGGTGCGGCTCTGGAGCAGGCGACCGAGGCGCTGGGGTCTTTAGGTCTGCAGGGTGGTGAGGGAGCGGTTGCGTCGCAACGCGGTACCGGAGCTGCTGCCGGGGGTGTTGAGTGTGGTCAGGAGCGCGGGCTGGGGCTGGACGCCCGGACGCCGCCGCAGGGGCTTCAGCCGGGAGGGGGTTCTGGTGTGGATGTGGAGAGGGACAGTAGGCAGGGCTGGGGCCCGGGCGGCGGGTGCAGGCTGGCGGGTGCGGCTGTCATCGTGGACCGCTGCTTGGCGGAGCAGCAGGCAGCGACGTAAGTGCGGGTCGTGGTTGGGGCCGATACACATGTGCAGTGGTAAGATAGCTGCGGGGTCAAAGTAAGCAAAAGCAGGATTCCCACAACCTTGCAGTGTAAGGCCATTTGGCAATCGCTCCTCTTTTGAACGACCTATAGACACAGAGATGTGTATGGCAAATGTCGTGTCATGGGTCGCTCCTGTGCCCCCAGGTGTGCCGCAGCGGTGGAGGCGCTGGGCGGCCACGTCAGCGGCGCCTCCCACCTGGGCTGCGGCGCCGCGGCGGTGGTGTGCGACCCGGCGCGCGCGGGGCACTGGCTGGCATGGGGCGCACACCTGCTCTCACCGCGCAGCATTACCAGGTACGGTACCTCGCAGCGGGGCAGATGATGAGATGAGGCATGGCGGTCCTCAGCTCGGACCTTGCGGGCTCTCGCCGCTACACGAGGGGCGATTGGAGTACATCCCTAGTCCCGAGTCCTACAGGGACGTAACATGCTGCTTACAAGCGTTAGCCGCCTTCCCGTCACAGCCTCCTTTCCCTGGGCATGCGTGCAGGCTCGCCGGCAAGTGCCATGTGGGCGACAGCGGAGGCGGCAGGCCGCATGCCGCAGCCAAACCCGCTGAGCCCGGCGACTTGGTTTGCATGTCACGCGGAATCCTGCACGCGCTGCAGGACCTGGTAGCAGACGCATGCTCGGACGGTGGCACCGGGCGGACCGCCGGGCTGCAGCGCACTGACGCGACTGCAGCGGCGATGAGGGGCAGCGGGCGGGCGGGCAGCGGTGGTAGTAGTGGCTGTGGTGACCCGCAGGCGGCGAGCGGCGACCCCTGGCCCACTCGTGAGGCGCGCCGGCAATTCCTGCTGGACCTCAAAGCCACAGAGACGGCCCTTGGCACGCGCATACTGGGTAAGACAACAACAGCCGATCTGCGGATCTGCGCTCATCCCTGCGGCATTCCGAAGCAACAATTTCATACCCTGCCATAACCCTTGAAGAATACCGGTATGGACGAACCTGGTTAGGTCTGCGTGTGTAATGTTGAGAACTGGCGGGCATCAGCTGTCCTCGTCCCGTCCGCCCTGCACCGCTGGTTTACAGGTCTGGGCCTGGGCGGATCGAGTGGCGGCATCACCGGCGGCCGAGTGGCGCCCTTCGCCCCCCTGGCGCTGTTGGAGGACATCTCCTGGGCGGTTACGGAGCCGGCCGAGGCCGCACAAACCACCGCCCACAATCCGTTGGAAGGGGAGGAGGGCGACGGCGCGCGCATGGGCTCTGAATGGGCTGGCTTTGTGGAAACCGGAATGGGCTTTGCAGCGACGCAGAGCGACCCATGGGGCCAAATTAGAACGGGACCGGACGCCGCTGTCGAACCGCGTCTTGTACGGCAACATGACCTGGATGCGGTGGTGTTTGCGGTACGTACCGCCAGGTTGTCTTTGTCGGGGGTTAATTGCTTGTGCCGTGTCCGTGCTGTTTGTCGGGGTTTGCTCTCATACCTAAGCCATTAGGGCGTCGGGGTGTGTCGTTCCTACATGCAATCGCCACCTACGCTGTCCAAACCGCCCCTAACCACACGTGCTCATCCCTCGCATCCGCCCCCTCCGCCTCCCTGCTCCCCATGCTGCCATGCAGGGCCCCCGCCTCACGCTGCTGCTGCCCCAAGACGAGTACGGCGTGCTGGGGCACCACGCCATCACACTCGTCCAACGCAGCACGCCGCATGTACGACACAAGAACGCCGCCAACGGCAGCAGCTACGGCAGCCCAGCCATTGGTACTGCAGGTATCACTGTGCGGGACGTGTTGACCGCAGTGCAGCAGCACTATCAGGAGGAGCTATCGCCGGAGGAGATGGCTGCAGCCATGGCCAGTCACTCGGCGCTGCGGCGCTGCCTGCAGGTGGCCTGGCAGGCGCTGACGCCGGTGCGGCGGTCCGCACTGCTGGGGCGCAAGGTGGCGCTGTGCGGGCTGCGGCGGTGCAGCCTGACGGATACGGTCGCGGTGTACGAGTTGCAACTGGCTGGCTAGCCGCGCTGTGCGTGTCCGTGAATGTTGATGTTACCGAAGGGAAGGAGTTCGGCCGGCGTATGTATGGGTATGGAGGTGAATGTGTGCCCTGCTTAGTTGCAATTGGGGTGCATGGGTATGTGTGCATGCATGCTGTAGCGGGGTGCACAGGAAGCAATTATGGGGCATACTTTGGCTGTGTTTTAATCTACGTCACTGCATGCACATTGTCAGTGGCACTACTCCATAAGCATGATACATTGCTTTACATGTCGTTGCAGCTGTCTGCTACATACTTGGTACCCATACAACGCTACAAGTCTGATTCCTTACGACTCCACTCTCACAGTAAAGTGGAGTCGCATATGCACCCGTTCAAACAGCCGTAGATTACACTCTGCACCGACGCTCAAGCATCCAAAACAAAATAATCCAGCAGCGTCAAAACTCCCGCAAAGCAAAGCAGGACGACCCTCAGTCACTCACATGCAATAAATAGGCCAGGAAACTGCGGGCGCTTGGCATGTACGCCCTACCTCAGCACCGTTTCCATAGTACACCAAATTACCGCGCTCACAACCCCCGCTTTCTATAAACTTCCAACTGCCCACTCACCAGATTCCGTGTTTGCTTCCACGGCGCTGCAGCGTGCGCATGGGACTACATGCCACGTTATCTTATCTACATTGCCGTACATGGGTCGTACTCCCATGCATCATGTGTTCTAGTGCCGCAGCACAACTGCCTGGGGCCTTATGTTCACCGCAGCTCACAATACGCCGTGCCAAGCGTGACGCAGCCGGCGCTGCCTTATTTGCACCCAGCGCTCTCTCCGCAAGGTCTTCCCTAGTTCTTCTCGAAACCCAAGCCGTTATCCTCCGCGTAGCGGTCCATGAAGCGCAAGAAGCGATCCCACTCAAACTGGCTGCGCATGTTTAACTTGGCCTCAATCGCCTGGGGCTTGCCGTTGATGAACTTCGCCTTCACGTCCGTCGTGCTGAGCGTGCCCTCGTCGTCCACCAGGAACAAGCCAGTGATGTCGCCCATTTCCCCAGAGGCCTGAAATGGGTAAAAGATGGACGTGCGTCTCACTTATTCGCGAGGAGCGGGTCACGCACGACGGGCAACAGACGCTTATGCGTCGCTGGGAACAACACCCTCGGATAACAGAAACAAGTAGAGGGCGCTTATGCTAGGCGCTCGCAACCCGAAGTACCCTGGCTTACCTGAAAGACGCTTGGGTTCTCGAAAATGAAAGTCGCTGTTCCATTGGCGCCGGTGCGCGAGCGTGTAAGCCGCACCTCAGGCACCGTTGGCTCATTCACGCCCCTAATGAACTGCAAGGTGGCAGCATCGCAAGCTACGCTGCGGATGAGGCGTGGGGCCGCTGACTGGAACGGCCGAGCACCTGCATTCGACGGGGCGTTATCAGATATCAAACTAAGGACGCGATCTACACTGCGCTAACACCCAATCTCTTAGATAGACACCCTTATTTACGCAATTTTTGCGTTATGACCACAAAACTAACCACGAGTGCAGGGGGCTTGCCGAACAGCTTGCATGATGAATTGCTGTAGGAAAGGGATGGATGTCAAAAGTCAGGTGTATATGACCGTAGCGGCATGAAAGCTCTAACCCTTGCGGTGGCAAACGGAGACCTCTGTTCTCTGAGCCATGTACGGCAACATGTACGCCTCCCCCTGGAGTTCCCAAACAGTCTCTTGCTCTGTCCAGCCACTTTTCCAACTCGGCAAGTAGGCTTCTCACCAGACTTGACCGACGCCTCTTTCCCCTTTTCCACCTTTCCTCGTCTGCAACTTTCGGAACAATGTTGGGCGCACGCGCTCGTATGATGATGGCCAAGGGCGCCAAGCCCCTGCGGACGCCGCAGCAGATGCAGCAGACCCGAGGGATGGCTGGCGGCGGTGAGCTTTAGGCCTTGCCTGCTAGTAGCAGCAATCATCATCAGCATTTTGTCGGAACACTCTTTCCTTTCGGGGTTAGCACAACCAAAATTTACTTTTGAAGTACACGTGGATGACAAAGTTGCTGAGGAGACCGGCATTGTCCTGGTTGCAGAGGATGACGGCGTGCACCGCGTCAACTGGTGGGACGCGCCCGCGAACCCCGACATCTGGAAGAAGCACCAGCTGGCGTGGTGGACCGTGGCTGCCTACACCGGTACGTTGGGAAGGCCTCTGGCTCTGTTGTTGATGGCGCAATTGGTAAATGTGCTCTCCTTCCTCTTATCGCGAGCATATGCCTTTGTCCTGCCAGGTGTCTACATGCTGGTGGCTGGCGGCAAGAAGGAGTAAGGCTGCAGTTCTTATGCAGTGCGCTGGGCCGTGAGCAGCAGCGCTAGGGCACCTGCAGTATAAACACTGTCGAGGACGGGACAGCTGCAGCGCAGGCGGGCTGACGTGGGGGCGACCCGTTGCCACACAGTTACGACAGCTGCGCAGCAGTAAGGAGGATGGCCGACTCGTGGGGCATTCGTCGTTCTGCCCTCAGCGCAGGGACCATACTAGCTCGGATAGTGTAGTAGCCAACGTCCTCCAGGCGCTTTGGCGGTACCAAAGGAGGCGGCGGGGGGCGTGTTCGGATTTACAGCGGTCTCGGGCAGTCCACGTTGGGTCTGACGGGATCGCTGTTCAACTTTAGGTCGTGTGAGCGCAAGCCCAGTGTCTCTGGGTTTTCACGGAGCATTGGATTGTCGAGGAGGTTACATGCGGCATCGTACACTGTTATGTACGGGGCATGCAAGCAAGGATTGCATTGACGGGGACCCGTAGCTCAGTAGGCCTGTGTACAGTCATAAGGTTGGGGCATCATCTACGGACCTCTGGTGTAGTCCGATGTGGTGAGTGCTGTGCAAGGTCTCATGTAACGGATCAACGGTTCAATTGTCCAATACTCGTCCTCCTGCCTACTTCGGCGTGATCGAACAGTGGAGCTCACAAAGAGCGTACTCATGTTTTGGACGACACGACGCATAGGATGACACATACACTGACAGCTTCCCCATGAAACCTGGTCCCGGTCCCCCAGGGGAACACACCCGGCCCGTTAGATCTCGGCCTAAACGCGTCCCATCGCATCCGCCAACAGATTGCCAGAGAATATAGACGCATTGCGGAAAACAGCAAATATAATGTGATGTTACTAATTAGAGATGCGCCCCCCGAACGTCCCAGACTCGAGAGAATTAACATATAATCCCGAAACAAGAGCACAACATTCCCGCCAACTATATTTCCAAACGCCCGTAGTTGTCAACGGGCAGATATCCTTAAGCAAGGTAACGCAACGCCGGCGGGTAACTTAACAAATTGCACGAAACCCCGCCATTGACAATACGGAGCTCACAGTTCATCGCGCGTACGGCCCAAGTGCCCTGCTATTACCCCCGACCCCACTCCCTCCTGCGGGCTCCGCGCCCTTCTGGTCTTGTTGCTGCGGCGCCTGCTCGTTCTTGCGCACCCCGGGCAGCGCCAGCTCGATGGATGCCATGGTGTCCAGTCCGCTGGTAGTGGGCTTGAGCAGCTCCTTGGACTGGGTCACCGGCAGCAGGCCGCTGGGACCCTCGGGCAGCGCCATGCCGCTGGGCAGGAAGAGGCCTGCGCAGGATATCACACGGACAAGAGATTGCATTACTACGCTTGGTAACCAGACGCGGACGTAGGCTATGTACGGCTAGGAGTACGTCAACGCGCTTAAAACTGCAGCGACTCCACCAACAAGCACGTTCACGCCATTCCTCACCGTACGACATGCCCGTGTTGAGCGACGATGTCTCAAGAATCATGTTGTCCCCCAGCACCATGTCCAGCTGCTGGCTGTCAATCATCTGCAGCGACGGCAGCGGCGCAGTCAGCCCGCCGCCGCCGCTGCTGCCACCCGCGCCACCGCCCTGCCCCGCCGCCCCGCCGCCTCCACCCGGCGGCCCCCCTCCGCTGCTGCCCGGCCTGCTCCCCCCCGGCCCCATGGACCTCTGCCCGCCCAGTGCCGCCTGGAACATGCTATTGCTCAGCGGCAGGGAGGGCAGCGCAGCCAGCGCAGCCAGCGGGTCATCCGAGTCCGAGTCGTCCGAATCGTCCCCCGGGCCGCACAGGCTGGGGCCGTTCATGCGGCTGCTCTGCACGCGAGCAAAGGGATTGGGCGGCGGTCCGGCCGGCGGCGAGGTGGAGCCGGGCAGGGGCTGCCCCGGCACCGGCGGAGGAGCGCGCGGCCCGGGAGAGATGAACGGCGAGGGCGCAGCAGGCGGCGGGGAGGGTGCCGGTGCGGGTGCGGGTGCAGGAGCGGGCTGCTGCGGGGCTGGTGCAGGTGCCGCGTTCGCACCCAGGTGGCTCCTGGGGCTTTCAGAAGGACAGCTGCCGGCTGCGGCGTTCGCCGTGGCGGCCTCCATGGCAGCCAGGGCTGCGGAGGCGGCAGCGGCTGCTGCGGCCGCTGCGGCAGCGCTTGCGGCTGGTGTGGTGAGGAAGTCGGGCTTGATGTCGAGGTCGATGGGGTTCAGGGAGCGGCCGAGGGAGGGCATCTTGTGGGGCCGCGGGTTGGCCGACCCACGGGACTGCAGCGCGTCGGCGGTGTCTGCACAGACACAGACACACAACCCACAGGTAGTGTTAGCGCTTAACGGTACAGTACACTGAACAAACAGACAGCTGTTAAAAGAAGCCCGCATGAACAAGTTACACCAATTCCTCACGGCATGAAAGCAAAACAGTGCTGCACTGTCCGCCCAACTGGGCAGCGCAAACCATCAACCTACCAACCCGCGCCCCTTACTACCGCGCCATCCCCTACCGTCTGATATCCCGACCGAAGACAGCGGCCGAGAGCGCTCCAGCAGCGGCTGCACCGGCGACTGCTGCTGCAGCTGCTGCTGCATGTGTTGCGGGTGCGCCCCCAGGCTGGCGGACGCCGTCATCCGCATCGTGGCGGGCTGCAGCGGCGGCGGCCCCGCGTCACCCTCCAGCTCCGACCCCAACCCGGGCACCGGGGTCCCAGGCGGCGCTGAGAGCTGCGGCGGCCCCAGCTCGCCTCCCCCCTGCAGCGGTCTGGGAGCCGTGTAACGGTGCGGGAGGCCGTGCGGGTGGGGCGCGTGGTGCCCGTTAGGCAGTGGTGTGCCGCTCAGGCGCGAGTGGCTGGGGGCCTGGTGAACCCCTGCTGGATGGGGAAGTCCGCCTGCATGCTGCACAATGGACACCCCCCCGTGCAGCTGAGGCCCCGGCTGGTGAGGGTACGGCCCTGGCGAGTAGAGCGCTGGGTCGGGGGCCTGCGAGCGGTAGTGCTGCTGCTGCTGCTGCGGGTGTGGCGGGTGTGGCGGCGGCATGCGGAATGAAGGCGGCGGGGGCATTACCAGGGGCCTTGCAGGGCCCAGCATGGAGGGAGGTGGCGGTGGAGGCATCAGGCTGTGACCCGCTGGAACCGCCGAGGCAAGCTGAGGTGGCTGCTGCTGCTGCTGCTGCTGCTGCGGGTGGGGGTGAGGGATGCCGTTGGAGGCCGACATGCTGCTGGCGGCTGCCGCGGTGCCGTCTGTGCTGCTGAGCTGAGGGGTTGGCATGCCGGTGGGGTTGCTGAAGCTGCCGCCGCTGCTAGCCGCCAGGGTGGGGGTGGACGCCTGGCGCAGGCTTGCGTGCTGCTGCAGGCTTGGGGTCTGCTGCAAGCTGGGGTGTTGCTGTAAACTTGGGTGCTGTTGCAGGCTTGGGTGTTGTTGCAAGCTTCCATGCTGCTGCAAGCTGGGGTGCGGTTGAAGGCTCGCGTGCTGTTGTAAACTCGGGTGCTGCTGCAGGCTGGGGTGTTGTTGCAGGCTGGGGTGTTGTTGCAAACTCCCATGGGCTTGCAGGCTTGGGTGTTGCTGCAGGCTGGGGTGCTGCTGCAGGCTTGGGTGTTGTTGTAAACTCGGATGTTGTTGCAAGCTGGGGTGCTGTTGCAAACTCCCGTTTTGCTGTAGGCTTGGGTGTTGCTGCAAGCTGGGATGGTGCGGCAAGCTGGGATGCTGTTGTAGGCTGGGGTGACGCTGCAGGCTTGGGTGTTGCTGCAAGCTCCCGTTTTGCTGCAAGCTCGGGTGTTGCTGCAAGCTCCCGTTTTGCTGCAAGCTCGGGTGTTGCTGCAAGCTCCCATTTTGCTGCAGGCTGGGGTGTTGCTGCAAGCCACCTCCCGCCCCTCCGCCACCTCCCGGGTAGGGCGGCATCCCCGCTACGTGCCCCTGGAAGCTGGGGTGCGCCTGCAGCCCGCCCGACCCGCTGGGGAAGCCCTGCAAGCTGGGGTGCGCCTGCAGCTGCAGCGAGGACTGCGGGTGGGGCGGCTGCGGCAGCGAGTGGTGCAGCGACAGCGCATGCGCCTGCTGCTGCTGCTGGTGCGGCTGCATAGGCAGCGGTGCAGCCATGCGCAGGCTAGGCGGCGGGCTGTCTGTCATGCTGCCCGCCCGGCTGCTGCGACCCGACCCCATGCCCATGCCCGCGCCAAACGCTGTCGGCAGGCCGCCCCCGAACGCACTGGGCAGGCCGCTGCCGCCGCACGCGCCTCCTCCGGAGCCCAGGCCCAGCCCTGGTAGTGGGATATCGGTTGGCAATGTTATCGTTGCACTCGCATGAGCCGACTGGAGCTGCGGCTGCTGCTGCTTGGCGCCCGTCGCTTTCCCGCTGCCGCCGCCGCCGCCGGCTGCCGCTGCTGCACCTGCACCTGCTAGCAGGCTGTCCCCATCCGGCGGCGACAGCAGCACCTCCGCAGACTGTGAGGCGCCCGACAAACCGCCACCGCCGCTGCCCCCGTTGTTGCGTCGCGGCTGCTGCAGCTGCGAGGGCGGCTGCAGGGCGCTGAGGGAGACGGCGGAGGACTGGGTGGGCGAGGGAGGGGCCTCGTTGGTGGTGGCTGCGGTGGAGGTGCCGGGCCCCAGCCCGGCAGCAGGCACGAGGCCGGCGGCGAGGGCGCCCGTCTGGGGGAGCAGGGGGTGCAGGGAAGGGAAGGTGAGGTTGAAAGGAGGCGGACTAGACAAGTAAAAGACACATTGGCAAGGCGGAATGGTACGTTCCCCCCCTCCCGCATTCCCGGGGCGTAACTGCTGTGTATACGATGTACCGCACATAGCCCAGGAAACCATTCCCTATTTTACAGTCCGACACCTCACATACCAAACCACCTCCGAAACCGCATACGGTCGAAATGTGTTTCCCCTTTCCTCCCCCTCCCCCTCCCCACCCCCCCCCACCTGCAGGAATGCGTCCGAGTCCATGGGGAAGATGGCCCAGCCCGTGTGCCCCGGCTCCCACCAGGCGGCCACCGCCTGCGGCTGCATGTGCCGCAGCGTCTCCCGCTGCGTGGGGCTGAGCTGCGCCACCAGGATGGCCTCCGTCTTGCGCTCGCCGCCCTCCATGCGGGTCTGGAGCAGGCCTGGGGGGGGGGAAAGAGGGCGGTTATGGCCAGCAGGTGCGGTGCAGAAAGCACAAGACCGAGCTGCAACCCTGCAGTTGGAGGCACAGGGCGCTCGCCACGGCTCCGCTAGGCCGGGCTCTCCTCCCCGATGGGATCTCAACCGAGGGCACCACCCGGCAGTGCCCTCCAGCCGTTCCCGATCTCGGCAGTGCCTTCCCTCCCCCCTTTCCCCCCCCCTCGCGGCTCACCCACGGGTCGGTCCAGGTCCACGTTGCCCATCCGCGCAGTGAACAGCACACCCAGCTCGCAGGAGCGCCGGTCGGCGTACCTGGGGGGGGAAGGGGGTTGAGATGGGGGGGGCGCAGAATGCAGCGGCAGCAGCAGTGGCAGGGTCAGAGGATGGGAGTCATGCATCCAGGAAAGAAGGCGCAACAAGAACACAGGGCACCACAACGCGTAAGTCCAAACACATCGCAAATTCCACCACCTACACGGCCTCCCCATCCCCCCACCTGCTCCCCCTCCCCCCTCCTCACCAGGCCCGCATGCGGTTGTCCGCCACCACCGCCCGCATGGCGTGGTCCCTCGCCTCGTCCCACTTCTCCTTGCTCAGCTTCAGCACGTGCTGCAGCTTCTGCCGCAGGTGCCCGTCCTGGTCGGCGCGAAGCGCCAGCATCTTGAACTCGCCAACTGCATGGTGATGACGGGGGGGGAGGGATATAAATGAGAAGTGCAGTAACGGGGTGGGAGGGGCGTGACGGGAAGGGAGGAACGACGTGGGGTGGGTGGCGCACTCCACGCAACGTATTCGGGGTCGTAAAGGTGACGACGAGGTGAGGATAACGGATATGCTGATGAACACGCTGCTGTGCTAAGGCAGAACAACCTCATACTGCCCCCTGCCCTGCCCCCCGCCCTCCACTGTAAACTATATCTCCCTAACCCCTCTTACTACTCCCCTGCCCTCCCCTCACCCTTTTGCACGCAGTTCTCGGGGATGTCGATCTCCACGCCCGCCTGCTCCGCCGCGGTGGCCAGGTCCGCCAGCTTCTTGACCGTCTCCTTGCCCATGTGCTCCAGCTTGGAGACGGGGTCGTCCACGGAGGGGATGTCGGCCTTGCCGGCGGTGCGCGTGCGGCGGGTGGCAACCTGGGGGGGGAGGGAAGGGTGAGGGAGGAGGTGAGGGGGGGCAGGAAGGGAGGATAAGAAGTGGAGCACTAGCATCCCAACCCCATGACCCATGTCGGGGAGAGGGGGAGGGGGGGACTAGCGGGGCGGGGACTAGCGGGGAGGGGAGCGATGGGCATGCGGGTGAAGCACAGGGGCTGCCATGGTCCGACCGCATCCCAGCTTCCCCTGCCCGGAATGCCTGTCAAGCAGCAGCCATCCCCCCTCCCAGCACGTCACCTCCTGGAACCCATCGTATTACTTCGCATACCACCCAGCTGCCTACCTACCTACTTACATTCCTGCCCTTCATCATCAACCCTACCCCCCCGCACCACCACCCTCCACCCCGCTCCCCGGCTGCCCCCCCACCCACCACGAACCCCTCCGACACTGCATGCCGGATGTTGAGTCGCGGCGCCCCCGCCGGCAGCAGCGCCCGCACCAGCAGCCGGAAGGGCGGCTTGCGGCCGCTCAGGATGGCCTCCGAGCTGTCCGTCACGTGCAGGTCGGTGAGGGGAACCTTGCCGTCCTGGGGGGGGAGGGGGGAAAAATTATATAAGTGAAACAACGGGTCCCAATCCCATATCCCGACTCATGCAGTGAGCGCATGGGGGGGGGAGGGGGAGGGGAGGGAGAAGGTGAGGACAAATCCCCGGGCGGCGGCACGCATACACACCCACCACCACTGCCATCGCTGGCACCAAGTCACCATGATAACCACGCATGAACCAACCTCCGGCTCGCTATCCATTGCACCACCACCTTGATCTATATTTGGTTGCTGTGACGAATATACCATGCCAGGTATAGACGTTCCCGCCTCTCCCCTCCCAGGGCCTCACGCCCGCCCCCGCCTTTCCTTCCCCGCCCCTGGGTCACAGCAGGGAACTTCTCCCCCTTCCCCTCTCCCTTCACACGGGGAATGCCTAATGCCCTCATGCACATGCGGAATTTGTATCCCTATTCAGCCCCCCTCACCGCCATGCTCAGCAGCACGTATCCCGCCGAGTCGTTGGTGCCGCCGCTGCCGCACACCAGCAGCGCTGTGCTCTGGGGCGGGAAGGAGGGGGGGAGGCAGGGGGGAGGGGGACGCAGGGCAGGAGGAAGTCGGGGGGAGGGCGGACAGGAGCAGGGCTAGTGGCATGACAACAGGTGGGCCGCCTCTTACCCCAAGGGCACCCCAACCCCAACGGGTGTGTTCTCTGTCCCTCCCGGCCGCACCCACTTGCCCCACCAGAACATCTCGCAGTGGCTTCCCCCCCACGCAGTGGCCCCTCCACACACAGCCCCCCCTCCATGCCCCTCCACACACAGCCCCCCATGCCCCCCCCCCCGCCCCCCCCTGCCCGCACCTTCTTCTTGTTGTGCAGGAGCGCACACGCGTCCAGCTCCTCCGCCGGCTCCATGCCGCCCTCGTACTGCTTGCCGCTGTCCAGGAACCGGGTGTCGTACAGGTTGCCGTCCAGGACGGAGATCTGCGCGCGCGGGGGGGGGGGGGGGGGCAGGTGTGGGGTGTGAGGGGTAGCGGTACTACTTCCATGACAGGCAGGGTTTGGTGCCTTCCATGTTTGGGAAGGAGCCCCCCGTCTCAGGCCTCCAAGCCCATCCTCACCCCCCTTGGGCTCACCCGTTCGCATGAGGGGCCATGCTCACCCCTGCAACCCCCACCCCGCTCAACAGGCCCAGGGTCCTCCTCCGTCCCCATCCATCAGAGTGCTCAAGCCACCCGAGCTCCCACTTCCACGACATGCACCCCGCCCCGCTCCCAACATTCCCTCCACTTCCACCGTGCATGCCACCCCTGCCCCGCCTCCATGCCACCCCACCCGCCCGCCTCCCACCTGCAGCGTCACCACCTACTGCCCCCCCCCCCCACCTACTGCCCCCCATTGCTTTGCCCTGACCAGTGGTTTCCTATGGTTATGGCATCGTCCCTGACCCCCGCCCACATGCCTAATGCGGAGTACGTATCCCCCTTACCCCCCCCCACACACCTGCAGCGTCATCTCCGGCAGCTTCTCCTCCACCGGCTGCCCCGAGGCGGGGTCGATCAGCTCCACTCGGATGCCCGCCCCGCAGCGCGCCTTGAGCACGTCGTTGACCAGGTACTTGCGGTCAAAGTTGACGGTACAGCGGCGGGAGGGGTTGTGCGTGCACAGAGCGCACTGCGGGTCCAGGCAGCCCAGAGCGCTGGGAGGGGGGATAGGGGGGTGGAGGAGGGGAGGAGGGCATAAAGGAGAAGGGGCACGGAGGAGGCGGGGAATATGGGTGCGATATGAGGAGAGGCATGGCGGGTTGGGGAGGGCTCCAGGAGAGGAGGAATGAATGGATGGTGGGGTGGAAGTAACATGCGAAGTACCGTCAAGGAAAGTTTTGGGGTGTTCTTATCGGCTGCGGTCGACATGCGGCCACGACATCCCACAGGGGCCCGAAATGGGTTGCCGTATCTGGGTGGTTTACTTGCCGTTGCTGACACTCCCGCCCGGGTCCCTAGTCATTGCCGCAAAGTCTCCAACCACCTCCCCAAGAAGGGAACTGGACCCCGACCCTAAGCCTCCCCCCTCTGCACCCGGAGTGTGGCCCTTACAGGCAGTCATGGCGGAAGACGAGCTGCAGCTGCTTATCCTCCAGGCTCAGCTGTCCATGGTCGCCCGGTGGCATGTAGACCAGGGCCTCCTCGACGGCCCTGTCCAGCGCCTCCTTGGCAAAGCTTGGTGCATAGTGATTGAGCCGCTGAGATAGATACCCAGCGAATTCTCTGATACGCAAGCGGACATAATGCTGCACGAGGAAACCACGACGTCAATGCAGGCATGGTCAGCAGGAGGGCCCAAAACTCCCCTACCTCCAACACAGATGGCGGTGTTGGCTTAAGCTCGGTCGGAACGCGTGTACGAGCGAACATTTATAGCTCGGTAGTATCCGGGAAACGTGTAACTTCGCTGCAGCTGCGCATTAGGTCAGGAACCTCCTGCGCCTATAATTCTACAACCCCAAATCACCCATTTGTCCCTCGTATAGGTGTATAGTTGTTACGAGCATGAAAAAGAATGCAAGCGCACACCGCAAAGTATTCGCAGCGGTTGCTGCAGTGTTGTAGTAGTCTCAGGAAATGATCACGGCTTGTGAAAAACGTATTGTAATAACACTATTGCATATGCTTCCAAGCAGGAAGGACCAGTTTCACGCTCGAACGGGCAGTTCGTACGTCGTGCTAACCTCTGCGGTCTGCGCCCATGTTTGCCAAAACTTTTTCCCTGGTTGGCCGGTTAATCTCGTAAACATATAAAGATGCCGAACTAATGCAGGTTATGGGAGCTATTGTAGTTGCAGAGCTTGTAGGTGCTTTCTGCGACAGACCGGCACAGTGTACAGACAAGCTAAAGCATGTCAATGCTGTTCATACTGTTTGGGCAAATGTTGGACACCTTCATCACAGCTTTACTCAAAGAGAGGAGTGCGACGAACCGTTAGGAAAGGACGACCAACCAGTAAGGAGTCCGCACTGGCCTATCGTTAGACGTTTATTCCACAGAGCGTCGACCGCCCTACCCCGGAGGGCACACCGACAGAAAGGCCGCAAACCACCTACACCAAGCACTTGCAGCCGGACGACCACCGAGAGCCACAGGGCCCAGGAACCAACCGAAGAGGACATGGCAGGTCCCTGACGTTAAGCAGGGAGCCGGGTGCAAACCGACAGACCACCACCGCCCAACACCAAGCACGCATGGCTGCAAACCCAGCAAAAACCACACTAGGACGAGCACACCTAGACCACACGGAGGTGATGGGAGGCACTGGGTTGGGAGCACCTCCGCGCTGGCATCCAAGGGTGACGGCCCAGTGAGCGCCAGGAAGGGGGTTGCCAGACGGGCGACGGTTGTTGGGGCCAGGGCTGCCGTCGCGGTCACAAGAGGTGCTGCTGCTGCTGCTTTCAGAGGACCCCGGCAGATCAGCGCCAGCCGACACGGCTGGAAGGCGAGGCACCACAGCGGTCCCGGCATGGCCTCCCCTCCTACCGTAGCCTAATGCAGCTGGCTGGTACCTGCGCTTGCAAGTGGCCAGGCGATGTTTGCCCAGGGATGCCCTATCCTAGAACATGGCACCCTGGCAGAGGCGGTGTCCTGGCCCGATGCACCCCCAAATTGTCTTTCAAGGAGCGTTGGGCCGCAGCATGAGAAAATTTGAGAATGAATCCGCATATGCGACTTGGGATGGCAGCAGCTAGCAGGTCTGCCATTGAGACGTGTGTGCCCAGCCGCGCTGACTGAACCTGATTGTGGTGCTGCACCCAGGTGTTGTACGAACGATTGCACTTTCACTACGCCGTACGACAAGGTCTTGCCAACATGTTAAAAACGGTGACGTCTGTTAGTGTAGAATAGCAGACTAAGGAGGTCGGTAAGGACCATTCCACACATTTGCGTATGCTGGTATACACGCTGCTGGAAACAGCACACACGGTGTACATCGTAGCTAGCTGCCCCTGCTGCTTCAGGGGCTTCCGTCCTCGCAGCCCTCCTGCTCCTCAGGCACACCCCGCATCCCGCACCATGCATGCGCCCCCCCCCCTGCCACTATCACACCAGGACACCACACATTGGATATTCTTTGCTCATCCCCCGCCTGCCAAGCCATGCAAGCACGACAGCACCTCCTCCGGCTCAACACAGATCCCCACCTGCCTAGTCACTCGGTCTACACCCGCACCAGCACCGCTCAGGGCCCAGGCACTGCACCCAGGAAGTTGCCGTACGGGTGGCATAGGGCCCCCGGCGCTCCCTCAGGACAGAATCACCAGTAATGAGTTGCCGTTCCGCCAACGGTATGTCCCGCATACACCCGTGTAGGATCGCCATCCCCGGATCGCCGGATCCCCGGAGTCATAGACCCGTGTTAAATGCTACCTGTATGTCTTGAAGGCTTGAAAAGCTTCGAGAAAGTTGGCACGGCACAGCGCATATACCTGGAAACTGGGTACCTGCAGCTCTGGGCACAGCTACTTATTCCACACACCACACATACACTTCACCACATCCACAACTATACACTTCACCCCATCCCTTCACTCGTCCCTACCTCTCAGTCGCAGTTGCGATGTACACACTCACTCACACCTCCAACATTTACTACTCATAACTAGCCCGTTACTGGTTGTGCCTTGCTAGTTGGTTGGTTACACCGCCTTACACGTCCAGTACGGCAATGGACTCCAGTTTCCTGCCGTACTCCTCAATGAGGGCCTTCCGCGGTGCCACGTGCACCCCCATCAGGGAGGTGAGCAGCTGGTCGGCCTCCGACACGTCACGCACCGTCAGCCGGCGGAGCAGCCTGTGAAGGGGGGGAGGGGGGTAAAAGAAAAATATCCAACGTGTGGTGTGGTGTGGGGGTCAAACTGCTCAAACACTATACCAAACCATGGGAATATGGTACATATTGGTTAGGGCAAGGGAATGGGTATAGGAGGCGGCAGGGGGCCACAAGGCAAGATGAGAGGGGGTGGTGGAAGAGGGAATGTGAGGGAGGCGAGGCCAACAAGAGGAGAATGGCACGAGAAACCTGATGGTGTGGGTGGGGCAATGCACAGCGAAGCGGCTCAGCACAGCGAACGCAGCTTGGACGCACGGAGGAGAGGAGACGGCAAGCCGGGGGGAGGTGCAACAGGGGAACGGCGGAAGCATCATGGGGGATTGGGGGATTGCTGCCATGTGTGTGTTCAGCTGTTCATGTGTTGGGCCCCACACATCATCGCCACCCAAAGTGGTCTCCGCCCCACAGCCCCCATGCCCTCCATGCGCTCATACGGACTGCTGCTGCTGTTGTCGCATGAGCGAACCCATGAGCCCCACGAGAGGCCCGCAGAGGTGTCATCATCGGCCGCAACCACACGCTACAGCCGTGCCAGCAACATGCACTGCACTGTGCACCACACCGCAGTGCACTCCCTCCCTCCCGCCCCTCACCTTACCTACATGCCACACCCCTCCCCCTCCCCTTCCCCCCCGCCCACCTCGTCTCCGGATTGAGTGTAGTATCCCACAGCTGCTGCGGCATCATCTCGCCCAGCCCCTTGAACCGCTGCACGCTGACCCCGCTCCCCACCCCCGCCCCCGCCCCCCCCAGCCGGTGCTCCGCCAGCAGCTGCCGCAGCCCCGCCTCGTCGTGCGCCCACCAGGTGCTGCGGCCGCGCTCCACCTTGTACAGCGGCGGTACGGCAACGTACACCCGGCCCGCGTGGAAGAGCTGCGGACGGTACCTGCGGGGGGGGGTCAAAGACCATATCGGACCATAAGATACCACAGGTTAGGGCCGCGGGGGGTGGGGAGAGAGGGGGGATGGGGTGGGGGAAAAGAAGGTTACACATTGTGTTGAATGAGAATGGCAAACAAGACAACAAGCTCTTGGTGAATGGAATGGAGTGGGAGGAGGGTGGCGGGGGGTAAAGAGGAAAGAACTAACTGACTAAGGGATAAGGCGTCAACATGGGTTGCAACATGTGAGCCAGCCCGACCCGCCCAGCCCGAATTAGGGGGTAGGGGGAGGAGGAGGAGGAGGAGGAGGGAAGGGGAAGGGTGATAGGAGGTGCCCATGGGGGGCAAGCCCATACCCCACAGCGCTCCTTGTGGGTCTGTGAGGACGCCGGGGGGAGCCCCTTCAGGGCTGCGAGAAACAGCCCTCAGCCCCCTCCCCCCTCCCTCACTATCCTTTACATCAAGGTATTCCGCCTCCTGCCCCCCGCCCCCGGTCCCCCCCCACCCCACCCCCCCACCTGAACAGGAAGGTGAGCAGCAGCGCCCGAATGTGCGCCCCGTCCACATCGGCATCCGTCAGGATGACAACCTTGCCGTACCTGTGCCGGGGGGGTCAATTTTTGGACCAATTAAAACCATAGGAAAACCAAAAAAGAAAAAAGCAGGCATTCACAAGGCAGAGGGAGGGTTAGTGGTCCCTACCGAAACCGCGTCCGTCTTGGTGATGTACAGTTGAGTAGCCATCGTGATGCAGGAGGCTGACTATGTAGTTGTCTACTGAGATGATGTGATCCATCGCTTGAGACGGTCACCAAGGCCCCACAAGTGCTCGTGCATGGCAGGCAAAAGACAGGTAGAAAGGCAGAGACGAGGTGTAAGCAAATGAAATTGAAAAACAAGGAACGAGTGACTTACCTAGAGAGGAAACCGAACGCCAGAGAAGCCGCCATGGAAGCCGCCACGAGCGCGCCGGACGTGCGATAGGGAAAGGCAACACGAGGGGTCTAGTAATAAAGAAAAAAGTGGGAAAGGGAGGGATAAGAAGGAAAACGTGTGTGAATGGCGTGTAAATGCGAAGGGGCCTGCGAATGTGCAGGGGGGGAGGAGGATGGGGGAGGTTAGAAGGCAGAGGGGAGGATATATCGGTAGTGTACTGCAGCGGAGGCAGCAAAGCCCTAGCAGCATGGCAGCACATAGCATGGAAGGCTGGCCCAACATTGACGCTGGCGCAGGGGCCGCCACCTGCACAACCGCTCTGCACCGACACGCTCACCCGCGCATGTCACGCCACGCCACGACAGCAGGCCGCTACTGCCGCTCACAGCCCTCCTCTTCCCACGACCCACGTGGAACGTGGTGTCTCCCCCCCCCCCTATGCCCCTCTGGTGAAGCCTCGACATACAGCTCGTCAGTTTCCTCTTTTTGCCCCTCTGCCACCGTCCCACTTCCCCCTCCCTCCCTCTCACCAGTGCTTCCCTCCCCCCCCTCACCTCAGCCCCTCCAGGCCCTTGTCCGCCCCCGCCGCCTCCCCCCCCGGCGGCCCCGAGTACCGCTCGGTGCCCAGCCCCAGCGCCACGATGAGGTTGGAGATCTCCTCGTTCTTGTACATCTGGGCCTGTTTGGGGAAGGGAAAGGGGAGGGGGAGAGGGGGTGGAGGTTGTTGGCAAGACGGCGGGGTTGGCGTGGGAAGCGGGTGGAGCAGGCAAGGCGTGTGGAGTAGGAGTAGGAACACCCCCGGCGCATCTCGTGGCGGGCATCCCTCCCCCTCCCCCCCCCCACCTCCTCCCCCCCCGCCGCACCTCATTCGCCCCCGTCACTCGCTCCACGTTTAGGATCTTGCCCTTCAGCGGCAGCACAGCCTGCGGTGGGTGGAGGGGGAGGAGGGGAGGAGGGGAGGAGGGGAGGGGAGGAGGGAGGTGGGAGGGGGTGAGAGAGGGAGAGAAGGAGGGGAGAGGGCTACCCGCCAGGGCGGACTGCACAGCTGGCTGCTACAGGCCCGGCAGCTAGGATGGCGGCGCGGGATGCTGATTCCTGTTGCTGTGCACCGGCAGTCAGTGGACTGAGCTGGTTGGTCAATACACATGTCCCTCCCCCCCACCTTTTCCCCCCCCCACGTCTTTCCCCCCCACCGCCCCACCTGGAACCTCCTGTCCCGCGCCTGCTTGGCGCTGCCCCCCGCGCTGTCGCCCTCCACCAGGTAGATCTCGGTGCGCTCGCGGCAGTCAACTGGGGAGGGGGGGGGAAGAGGTGGGCAGGATGGGGGAGAAGACAGCATGAGGAGGAGGAGGAGGAAGGGGTAAACACACATGACGAAAGCTTCGCGCGACTGACCGGCCAGTGGCCGCACCGTTCCGTTTGTTACGGGCCGTACAGTAAACCGTGCACGGCCCCAGTCTGCAAGTCTCTCCTTCGCGCTTCCCCCTCCCCCTCTCTCCCCCCCCCCTCTCACTCGCGCAATCCGCCAGCTTCCCCGGCAGTGTGCAGCGCGTGAGGCTGCTCTTGCGCCGCACCAGCTCCCGAGCCTTGCGCGCCGCGTCGGCAGCCCGGGCCGCGGTGAGCGCCTTGGCCAGCAGCGCGGACAGCGCGGCGGGGTGCGCCTCCAGCCACTCGCCCACCGCCTGGGAGGGGGGGAGGCAAGAGGGGGAGGATAAATATTAGACCAAACCACTGGACACCACGCATTAGGGCAGGATAGTGGGGAAATGAGGCGGAAGGGGCTACAAGGCTAAGGAATCAAGATGGGGGGGAGGGTAGTGGGTATGGGGTGCATTGCTGCGCTCCCCAGGGCAGGGGGGAGGGGGTGGAAAGAGAGGCAGAGGCGGGTGAGATTTATGAGGCAGTGGGCTATGTAGTTGTGGATTGGACCCCTACTTCCCCCCTCCCTAGCGACGTTGACCACCCGGTTGCTCCTCTTTCTTACAACTTAACACACCAGCCCCCTGTACGCTCCCTCCCCCCTCGTCAGTGTCTCATCATATATATTTTTTATCCCCCCTCCTCCCCCCTCCTCCTCACCTCCGCCACCGCCGCCTCCACCAGCTTGCGCACCTCCGGGTTGCCCAGCCGCGTCTTGGTCTGCCCCTCGAACTCGGGGTTGTGCAGCTGCACCGACACCACACCCGCAAGACCCTCGCGCACGTGCTCGCCGGACAGGGGCGGGTCGCCGTCCTGGGCAGCAGCAGGGGAGGGGGTTAGTAGCTCGGTTAACTCCGTTCAGGTCACCAGGAGCTCGTCAGCTTGTTTGCTATCATCATTCAACACCTTGGAATTCTTCTCTCTCCTCACCTTGACCAGCTTCATCTTCCTGCCCAGCTGTGTGACGGTGCGGCTCAGCCCCGCCCGTAGCCCCTCCAGGTGCGTGCCGCCGTCAACCGTGTGGATGGAGTTGGCGAAGCCGCGCAGCTGGGAGGCGGGGAGGGGGGGAGGGGCGGTCGAGCCAAAGAGTCAAGAGGGTTCTCAGGCGCGTTGCACAGCATTGCGGGCCCGAAGCCATGTGGCGGGCGCCGCCTCAACTCCGCACCGCAGCAGTGCAGCCCAGCGCAACCCAGCCGCTTGCCGCCCCCACACCCCTTATGTCTTTTCTCCCATCCTCTCCTCTACCCCACCCCACCCCGCCTCCTACCCCCATTGCTTTGCCCTAACCTGTGGTCTCCTATGGTTTGGTATGGTCTTTGACCCCCCGCCGTTGCGTCACTTCTCATGTATCCCCCTCCCCTCCCACCTCCTCCCTGTACGAGTCCGCCGCCCACTGCAGCGCCACCTGCACCGCCACCCCACCCGACCCGGGGAAGGTGCGGGACACCAGGATGGGCTCGTGCAGGGGCGTGTGGCCGGCCTGGGAGGGGGAGGGGAGGGAGGAAGGAGGGAGGAAGAGGGGAAGGGAAGTAGGGGGGGGCCTGCGTCAGTGTGCGGTAAAGGGCGGCTCAGCCGCGGCGTTGTCAGCACGCAGCAGCAACAGCGCTGTTGTGTGGCGCGTAGCTGAGGAGACGGGCACATGTGGCAGGATGAGCCTCACTGGGCTCAGCTGGTCGTGAGGGCGGGTTGAGGTGCCGCCTTCCAGCTGCTCTCTCTCCGCCCTTGCGCCTGCTGCTGCGGTTGGCAGGTTGGCAGCCCACGGCACCCCCCTCCTGACCCCGCCAGCACCTCCCCCAGCTGGTCAAGTCCCCCCCCCCTCCACCTCGTGGTTCCTACGGTTTAGTCTTTTACAACCCCCCCTCTCCTCCTTTCCCCTCCCTCCCCCCTACCCACCCACCTGCAGGCAGCCCACGAACTCCCGCAGCCCCCCGCTGTAGTGGAACACCTGCCACCCGCCCTCGTGACGGACAACACCGTAGGAGGGCGCAGGGGGGGAAGCGGGCGGTGGTGCAGAGGACGTTGCAGCTGACGTTGACGCAGCAGCTCCCTCCTCCCCCTCCCCGCCGCTGTCCGCCCCACTGCCCTCCTCCTCCCCGCCGCTCCCCGCTCCCCCTCGCCGCCTGCTGCTGCTGCTATTGCTGTTACCGTTGCTGCTGCTAGTCGCACCGCCATCACCACCACCCGCCACACCATCCGATGTAGCAGCCGCACCCTCAACCCCCGCATCCTCATCACCCCGCCCAGCACCCCCCGCACCCCCCGCAACCCCCGCAGCTGCAGCAGTGGCAGCGGCCAGGTACCTGCTGCGCCCCGCCACGGCCCTGCCCCCCCTGCTGGCCCGCAGCCGGATGGTGGCGGCGCTGTTCAGGAAGGCCAGCTCGTGCAGGCGGGTGGCGATGGTGTCGGGGTTGTACGACACGTCGCGGGCGAAGATGGTGGAGTCGTACAGGAAGCGGACCTGGGCGGGGGGGAGCGGGGAGGGATGTGGTGGGTTACGGCACCCAATTGGGCATCCCGCGGCGGGTGCTGGGGAGGAGGGGTGTGGAGAGAGGGGTAAAGAGAGGATGAACCCCTAACCCCCAGCACCCTCCTTTCCCACTCCTACCCGCCCAGACAACCCCTCGCCGTTTGCCTACCGATACTTGCCCTCCTGTTCAAATCGGCGTTGTCGGTTACACTCACCTAACATGCGCCAACCACCACCCAACACGTACACCCCCTCCTCCAGCCCCCCTGCCCTCCCCTCTCCCCACCTCCGTCCCGCTCCTGCCCGCCTCCTGGCTCCCCTCCGGCAGCTGCCTCGCCTGCAGCCCCCCCTGCGCCGCCCCCCTGCTGAAGGCCTGGCAGTACTCCCAGCCTCCCCGCCACACCCGCACCGACAGCTGCTCGCTCAGCGCGTTCACCACGCTGATGCCCACTCCGTGCAGCCCGCCGCTGACCTGCATGCGGGGGGGGGAGGAGGGGGAGGGGAGTAAATGAGAAGTGAAGGGAGCGGGAGCGGGAGCGGGAGGGGGAGAAGGGGGGAGTGAGGGTAAGGGGGGAGTGAGGGTAAGGGGGGAGTGAGGGTTAAGGGAGGGAGGGAGGTGGAGGGGGAAGGCGCGGGTGCGGGTGCGGGTGCAGGTACCCAGGCCAACACGCCTAGGCGCACGTGCGGCTTGCACCTGCAGGGAGCGAAAGCTTGACTCGCAGGCCTGACACAGGCAAGCGCCGCACCGTCCCGCCCCTCTTGACCTGTTGACGGCCACGCCCACCCTCCACCCGGCTGCCCCGCACAGAGCCGCGCTGTTTCCCCCCGGGCAGGGCTGCTCCCCCCCCGGCAGGCAGGCAGGCAGGGCTGCTGCTGCTGCCCTGCTGGAGCGAGCAAGCATGCGGAGGACTGCTCCCGCACTACGGGTGACGGTGTTCCCTTGTTCCGGCTGCTGTCGTGCTGCTGTGCTGCTGTGCTGCTGTGCTGCCCGCTGCAGCTGCTGACACCCTCCTTCCCTCCCTCTCCGACCAACACCCAAACAAGCCCCTGGCCTCCCATCCACCCACCTCGCACCCAGCCACACGGCTAGTTAGGTCCTTTCTCTTCGCCACCCCCCGCCCCTCCCCCCTGCCCCTGCCCCCTCCGCCTCCCGTCCCCACCTTGTACCAGCTGTTCTCCCCCCCTCCCGTCCCCACCTTGTACCCGCTGTTCTCCCCCCCTCCCGTCCCCACCTTGTACCCGCTGTTCTCCCCCCCTCCCGTCCCCACCTTGTACCCGCTGTTCTCCCCACCGAACTTGCCCCCCGCGTGCAGCACCGTCAGCACCGTCTCAAGCGTGGACTTGCCGGTGGCGGGGTGCGGGTCCACCGGGATGCCGCGGCCGTCGTCGCGCACAGTAACCCAGCCTGGGGGGGATGGGGAGGGCGGGAGGAGGAGGGAGGGAGAAGGAGGGAGAGGGCAGCTGTTTAGGGTCAGGCCTGGCATTCCCAACACCTCATCACCACGCCCCATGTCTACTGTGCCCCTCCTCTGCCCTTTCCCCTCATTCAACCTATTGGGTAACGGTACCCTTCTTTCTCACTTTCTAAATTTTTTCCCTCCTCTCCCCTCTCCCCCCGCCCCCCCTACCCGTGCCCAGGTCCAGCTCCACCTCCACGCTGCCCGCATGCCCCGCCTGCACCTCGTCAATGCAGTTATCTACCACCTCCCACACCAGGTGGTGCAGCCCCTCGCTGCCAGTGCCGCCGATGTACATGCCGGGGCGCTTGCGAACTGGCTCCAGACCCTCCAGCACCTGGGGGGTGCGGGAGGGGGGGCGGAGGGGAGGAGGGGTGAATAGGGATACGTATTCCGCATGAGGCTGCATAGGCGGGAGAGAGGGGATTAATATGGATGAAGATTCCGCATTAAGCTGGATTTTAGGATTGCGAGGGAGCAGGAGGGGCTAAGCGGGCAGATGGGCGTGGAGTGGAGAGATGAGGGAGGGAGGACGGATGAGGGCAAGGGTTGGTAGTTGCGGCGGGGGGAACGGAGAAGGTGTGGAAATAGAAAGAAGGGTAAGGAGTTGGTGGCAGTTTGGGCGGTGGAAGACGAGGGGTTGCAAATGCCATCCCATCAAACGCGCTGGATGCCGTGTTAATATCCTAAACGTATGGGATGCAGCGACAGATTGGCATTACCTGGATAGAGCTCGCATCGTATGCTGCCTGGGATGGAGTTGCTGAGCTGCTGGGAGCAATGCTGACGGCATAGTTGCTGACGTTTTCCGCCGTCACGCTGCTTCCTGCGACGGCTAGACTATGTGGGGTGTGAACCTGAGGTCTCTGACTCGCGCAGGGCTGGGGATGCAAGGACGGACAAAGCTGCGGCCCATGGCGACGTGGTCTCCGGATGCCCGCAGGTGTCCCGCTCCCCAGCCGATAGCCCAACATCCTAACACGACCGGTGCCTCGAGCTTATCCTCGGCAAACGAACAGGTCTCTGCTTATTTAGCGTCCGTCGACGCTCACGTTTCTAATGACAAATATTTACCAGCCGCCTAGGCAACCAATCAGTAAAGCCACAAAGGCAAATTGAATTATACACGATGCTTTAGATCCAAATAGAGCTGGGCGAAAATACCGGTAGGTAAAACAGACCAAGAGTCCTGGCTAACACGACGTCTCGACGGGCCTATGATAATGGATCTTGTCGGTGTAATATCAATATTGAAAGATAATCGTATGGCGGGTATATATTCCTTTCGCCGAATTCCCTCAAGGGACATGGTTACAGTTAACCGCCACAATTTGGGCCTTCCTAAGCATTACTGAACAAGCTGCATTTTCAGACATCAGTTGAGTTGAGTAAACTTAAAGTGGATGTTACGTACAGGCTTCAAGAACAGCTGGAGAATGTTGCGCTGCACGCCATCCCTGCTATGTATCATGCTAGCTCTTGCAGCCGGCGCTCAAGCCGCTAGGGTGAACCTCCGCGGCCTTTCCATGGCCAACGATGAGGAGCTTGTGGTTGGCTTTCCAAGGTAGATTCCAGCTTTTACACCGTGATCGCTCAAGGAAAGCCCTTGTTGGACATGACATGCCTGACCTGATCAAAGTTTCACACACTTCCAGACCACCTCACGACCAGCATGCGCTTATGGCCCGTTGGCTTGTACACCAGACATCTTGGGGCGTTCTTTCGACCTTGGATAGGGACACTGGCGAGCCGATGGGGTAGGTAATGACAAGCTGCGCGCGTTTAAAGGCAGGCATACAACTAAGCGAAAAGTATAGTTAGATAAGTTGGGTTACTTGTAACCTCGGTAAGGCGCTGCATACCGAAAGGCCGATACTTTACAGACGACGACTGGCAATGGCGCATGTCCATCTTGCAGAGGAGTGCTATCCCACAGCGACGGGTCCCGGCATGACGCCAGCGGGCGCCTCTTCTTCTACATGTCGCCTATGGACGAGCTGACGCAGAACATTGTGGTGGGTGGGGCGAACTTGATCGAGTGCTGCGGCGGGTTACTGCCGCCCGGTTGCCCTCCCCCCTCCAAATCACCCTCACCTACCACCATCCAGTCCTCCACCTCATGCAACCCCCCTCTCCCCTCCTCTCCACTTCTCCCCCCCCTTAGGCCCACGCCAACTGCACCTTCACCGTCTCCGAGGACCAAATCCACACCTCCACCGACCCCACCACCTCCACCTCCTCCTCCTCCCTCCCCGCCTACCGCCCCTGCGCCGGCCTGGACCCCGAGGAGCCGCCCTGCGCCCGCGCCACGCTGCTGGGCCACCTGGCGCCCGTGCCGCCGGCCGAGCAGCCCCGCGCGCAGCAGGCGCTGTTCGCCCGCCACCCGCGCATGGCGGACTGGCCCGCGGACCACCACTTCACCTTGTGAGTGGGGAAAAGAAGAACACCCAATGGGTTTGAATGAGGCTGACAAACAGCCGACGGACGGACGGACTGACGGACGGGGGGGCGGACGGGTGGTGGTGGGGAAAGGCAAGGGAAGGAGACGCTGGAGTGATCTGGGTCGGTGTGCTTTCCCGCGGTACCACCGGCAACAGCGCCCACCCACCTCCTGTGGCGTCCGAGGCCTCCCTCCGCACCTATCCCCCCACACCTCTCCTTCAACACCTCCCGTCGTACCGCACCACCCCACCCGTGCCGCCCCTGCACCCGCTCACACCTGCCGCCTGAGCTCGCGTCCCACCTGCTCCCTCCCTCTTTCCCTCCTGTCCCCACTGCTTTGCCCGAACTTGTGGATTCCTTGGGTTTTGGTCTCTCTTCGACCTCCCTTCCCCTCTCCTCCCCCTCCCCCCCCCAGCTACGAGCTGCACGTGTCCTCGCTGCACCTGCTGTCCTGGTACGGCGGCATGGCACTGGTGGAGGGGGCGGACTACTACGCGGCGCGCCCGGAGGGGCAGCCGCAGCTGATGAGGTAGGGGGAGGGCGCGGCAGCAGCTGCCGGGGCAGCAGCTGTTGCTGGGCAGCACTAGGCAGCGGTGCATGCATGCAGCATCGGCAGCAGCAGCAGCAGCAGGGGCCGTCCTGCGGGTGCTGCAGCAGCGGGCACAGCAGCCCGGGGCCTGGCGTCAGAGGGGTGTCCCTAGGACGGCAGCAGCAGCGGCCTCAGGAGACCGCAGCAGGTGTGCGTGTTCAGGAAGCTGGCAGGTGTTCAGGAAGCTGGCAGGTGTTCAGGAAGCGGCAGGTGTTCAGGAAGCTGGCAGGTGTTCAGGAAGCTGGCAGGTGTTCAGGAAGCTGGCAGGTGTTCAGGAAGCTGGCAGGTGTTCAGGAAGCTGGCAGGTGTTCAGGAAGCTGGCAGGTGTGGCGTGTACCGTATGTGTCCTGCAGCGAAAGGCGGCCTGGGAGGCTGGGAGGCTGGGAGGCTGGGAGGCTGGGAGGGGCGCCACCCACCCAGCTGGTGCGGGGAGCCGCTGGGGGGTGCTGCTGCATGCGGCGGAGTGCTGCAGCCTGGCAGCACCCCTGGAGCGGCATGGCAGCGGGCAGGAGTGCCACCGCACTGGGCGCAACATTCGCTGGTGGTAATGCAGGTGTTGTTGACCTTGTTGTTGTTGTTGTTGTTGGTGTTGTCCTCCGATTGCCTTCGTTCCGGGAAAGGAGGAATAAGAGATGACTCCGGGGGCCTAGGGACAGGTCATTGTGTTTAAAGCGGGGAGGCAGTGGGTGCTGGGAGCAGCTGGAGCTGCTTCATGCGTGGCAGGTGTGCGCTGTTGCAGGTTGAAAGCGGGTTGGGGAGTGGCCGAGGCGGCCCAGGCCTCTTCTTGTATGCTTGTACATTGTTGTAATGTTGACTGTGTTGTATATGGCAGGCATGCAGGCTTGGGACGGTGGAGTGTGCGAGGCTGTACAATACATAATAGACGGATGTTCTCATCCGAAAGTAGACAAGGATGTTCGTGCTTACCGGAGGGTCGTGCTAACCGAGGTTGCATGCATGCTGGTTGCTGCACCACGTTGGGGCCTGAACAGGCGGGGCAGCTGGCCTTGAAACGGCTTGCTTGCAGTGTCAAGACGTGCCTTTGGCCCAGTTACCGCTTGCCTCACGTTACCGCTGTGGGGCACTGGCTGGTGGTGCGGGGGTTTGGGGGTGCCTAGGTGTGTAAGCAGGGCAATGGCCCCTCGTGGTGATCCAAGCGCTGAGCTGTTCTGCCATGTTGTGGTCAGGTTGGTCCCGATGACCCGAAGCTGGATCGCCTTGCGCTGAGTTCATGTAGTGCAGCAGCACTGCAGGATGGGGGGTTGACGTGAAGGAAGGGAATACGGTAGAACGAATTGGGTGCTATGTAACTCGTGCATAACCCTGCACTCTATAGTCCGGTTCGCGTCTTGTGAATTAATGGCGATATACCTGGCGCTTACTGCAAAGAACGGGCCCAGCGTACCGTTAGACCAATTAGGTAGACTTGGCAGTACTTTGCGGATCCAACTGATTGTGTCGTACTGCGTACGGGACAGCTACGGTCGACGTCGACTGCGAATGCAGCCAAAACCTCGGAAACGGCAGCTAAGCGTCAACATATTAGGATGTAGGACTCTTACTGCTAACTCTTGGGCATGTGCCTTCGTCTCGATTCGGCGTTGCCATTTATTCCCGTGTTTGTGATTAACCTGAAAATAAAGTAACGCATGGCTGGAAATGGCTGCGACAGGGATAGGATTTGGAGCTTTCAGAAACGCGAGTACTGGGATGGCAGATATAAGCAACGTTTAGACGGCAATACTGACTTTAACGAAAGCACTTTTGACTGGCTTTGCACATACGATGCTGTGCGTGACTTCATCGACCGGCACATTGCTGGAGCAACGTTTGCGCTGGACATAGGATGCGGCAACGCGGATTTTGCAGCGGCGGTTTGCGCTGCTCACCCCCACATGTTCATAACAGGCATCGACTATAGTCCCATGTTGTTTGACTTATGCACGAGCTCCATCCGACCACGCGGTGGATGGATGCTGATGGACGCCTGCGCACTTGCTTTCCGAGCGGGAAGCTTCGACGTCGTGTTGGATAAGGGCTGCCTAGACGCCCTTTGTGCCGGTTACGACCAGCTCGCTGTGCTACGAGGCTGGGGCCGCGATATTACCGAGCAAGAGGTGGCCCTGGAGTCAGCGGCCGTATCCAAAGTTGCGCAGCTGCTACGTGAGGTGGACCGCTGCCTTGCACCCGGCGGCAGGTGGGGCGCAGGGTTGGACGTCAACTCTGGTTGGAGTGGGTCGGGTAGAAGAGCGTAGGAGAGGCTGGCAAGGTCTAGCATGCAACGTAAATATTTATGGGAACGCAGCACCCTTTGCAAGCTGCCCATCATCACCCTCGATAGCACCGCATCCGCAGTACGCACTTCGTCTGCTGCACTTCACAGCTGCGCACACCGCCCACCCCACCTACCTGGGCTCCATGCGTGCCCTTGCCCCAACTCCTCCTGCCCCCTCCCCGCCTCCCTCCTCCACCTCGCTTGTCCTGCCCAGGTACATTTGCATCAGCTACGAGGGGCCAGCCGGCCGTCAGCGCTTCTTCTCCGGCGCAGCTGCCTCGCCTCTCTCCCTGGAGCTGGTTGAGAGCTGTGTGGAGGAGGCCAGCCACAACTATGTGTACGTGTTCAAGAAGAGAAGGGGCGTGGCAGCTCGGGCAGCCGGGCGGGGAGTTGCTTGTTAGCTCGTTAGCTGCCAGACGAGCGCGCAGACCTGCCTGCTGGGATAGGTGGCAGGTGGCGATGGGGGAAAACGATATGCGAAGTGATGCAGGATGTCACATGTCCGAGGGGCAGGAGGCCATGGGTGGCAGGTGGGCGCTGGCGAGGTGGGAGGTAAAGAGGAAATAACTAACTGACCGTGTGATAAGGCAGTGAGTGAGGAGCAACAGCTCGGAGGCACGCTGCATGTGAGCATGTGGTCCAGCGGGTGGTGGTGGGTGCAGGGGGCGCAGATGCATGGACCCAATATGACCCCGACCCAACTGCGAGGGTGGACTCGGAGAACTGCTCGAACGTGTGCCTGTGGCTGCTCATGTGCAGCGCTGCTCGTGGTGCTGTAGGGTGGTAACGATGTGGAAAGGATGTGCTAAGACGCGAACGTGCGCCGTACAAATATGCTAAGCTGTATACCTGGGCGGTGGCCTTGCCAAATGTGCAAACTGGCAAAATGGTCGGAAGTCCCTGCAGGGGGGCTATAGGCAGGATGGCTGTAGCGTGATTCATATGGTGGGACGACGGGGGTGCTGTTGGTGCTTAGGTGTGTGATGAGCCTGAGGAGGTGTTCATGGTCTTCTGTTGAGGTTGCTGCTTGCTAACGTTGACAGGGTTGGTCAGTGTGGGGGGTTCGGAGAGGTACCGGTGAACTGGTACCCATTGAAGCTACAACGCGGGGTAGCACACTGTGATATCTCATGTACGGTACCCTTGCAGTCATCCTGCACTGCCTGGGAGCGCGACCCAAGGGGGCCGTCAGACCCCCCTCACCTTCCCTGCACAGGCTCGCCTACCCGCCGCACACACACGCCTCATCAGCGCAAACCCCAGCAGCGGTCGTCGACCATCACCACAGGAGGGTGGTCAGCAGGAAAACGCTTTCTACGCTTGGATACTAGGCTAAAGCTCGCCCTTATTCTTCTTGTTCCAAGACCAACTCTTTTTATCGTCGGCCTTCTTGTCACTCTTCCCTGCACCCTTGCCATCCGTTGCTGTCTTGGGCTCCTCCTTCTTGCCATTGCTCTCCTTCCGAGGCGCCTCCTTTCTAGGCGCCTCCTTCTTCGCCTCCTTCTTGCCATTGCTGTCCTTCTTAGAACCCTCCTTCTTCGCCTCCTTCTTAGGCGCTTCCTTCTTAGGTGCCTCCTTCTTGCTCTCCTTCTTGGGCTCCTTCTTCGCCTCCTCCTTCTTGCCCTTGCTATCCTTCTTGGAAGCCTCCTTCTTCGCCTCCTGCTTAGCCTTGGACTCCTTCTTCGTCTCCTGCTTAGGCTCCTCCGTCTTCGCCTTCTCCCCCTCCTTGCCCTCATCCTTTCCGTTGCTCGCGCCCCCCTGCTGCTGCTGCTGCTGCTGGCTGCCGCCGTTAGCGTCCTTCGCGCCCGCCGCCGCCCCTGGGTCCGCCTCACCCGCCTTGTCGCCCTCCGAGCCGCTCTCCGCCCCCTTGCCAGCACCTGCAAGCACAGCCAGGCAGCAGAAGGCAGTGGTCTCAACAGCAGCAGGCGGTGCTAAGCACAGGGTGCAACACGGTGGGTGCCCCCAGCAGGCAACACGGTGGGTGACACCAGGGGGTCACCGCCAAGGAGGGGGGCTACCAGCCCCCCTCCCCGGCAGCCAACAATCCGGTAGCAGGAGAGCGACAGCAGCACACACAGTGCGATACCGGTAGTGCCCACCAGCCCTTCCCTCCCCGCCGAGGACTTCTTGCTTGCCACCGCGAGCCGACCAGCTCCACTACCGCCGCCTCACAACGCACGCCACCGCAACCCGCACCTCATTGCCCGCTACCCGCCCATCCCCTCCCGTCTCACCCTCCGCGCCCTCCGCCCCAGCTCCCTCCGCTGCCGGCTTCGCCTCCTCCGGCGGCGGCTTGGGCTTCTTCTTGTTGTTGACCTTGTTGAAGGCCTTCTCGAACCGCTCCCACGCCGCCGCCAGCTCCGAGGCGGTGAAGGCGGGCTCCTCATGCTCGGGTCGGCCCTCCTGGGCGGCCAGCTTGGCGGCCAGGTCGGCCTCGAAGTCGGAGAGCTGAAGAGAGGGGAAGGGGGATGAAGTGGGAAGTGAGAAGAGTTGTGAAGGAGCCCCCCTCCCTTGCTTTGCCACCCCATACCCATTAGCTCCCCCTCCCACCCCCCCTTATGGTATGGAAATAATGGCATGCCCTTGACCCCCTCCCTCACCAGCTTGTCCACCTCCTGCTGCTCCGCCTCGCTGATCCAGGGCTTGGTGGCGGGCCAGGCGCCGATGAGCGCCCGGCGCAATCCCGCCTGCGACCGCAGCCCCTCCACCAGCTTGGGGCGCAACTCCAGCTCCTGGGGGGGCAGGGGTGCGGTAGGAGCCGCATGAGCCAACAACATGGGGGCGAGGAAATGCAACACGCCGCCTCCACTAGGCCGCCTCCGCTAGCTTGCCAACAGTGTGCACCTTGCTCCGCTCCGTAAGCGCCCCTCCTGCCCTTCCTCCTCCCCTCCTTTTTTCCCTTTCAACCCCCCTTTATGCCCCCCCCCACCTCCGCCCTCCTCTTGATGGGCTCCCCAATTTCCTGCAGCGCCTTCAACCGCCGCCTGAACTGCTCCGGCCCCTCGCCCTCCTCCGCCTCCATGTACAGCCAGTCCTCCTCGGCAGCCAGGCGGGAGTGGAAGGACTCGCGCTGGGCCTCGGTGCTGACCTGCGGGGGGGAGCAGCGGGAGAGCGGGAGAGAGGCAGCGGGGGAGCGGGAGAGAGGCAGCGAGGGAGGTTGTGAAGGGCGTCCAACAGGGTGGCAAAAAAGACCCCTCCTAACCACACTCGCGCCCGGATCCCAGCCCCTCGCCCCCTGCCAGCCCCTCACCTCCTCCTCCCTCGCCCCCCCTTCCTCCCCTTCCCCCCCACCTTCATGACCAGCTCATCCGTCTCCAGCGCCTCCTTCATGGCGATGATGTAGCTCTCCAGGTCGTTGCGCGCCCGCGCCACCTCGCGCTTCACCGCCTCCGCCTCCTCCCAGCCCGCCAGCACTGCCCGGGAAGCAGCCAGCTGGTCGGCGGTGAGGGGGGGAGACAGCCAGCCGCGACCGCCCACAGAGAGGGGCACCTGGGGGACCGGGGTGGGGGGTGGATGGGGTGGTACGGCGCAGGGAAATGGCGCATGTGTGATTGCCGGGCGGTAGACAGCGACATGCACCCACCCACCCACCCCCCTCCATGCGGCGTGCCGAGTAGTACGGTACCTGCCCGCGTACGGACAGCGCTGGTACCACCGCCGCCGCCCGCGCAGCAGCAGCAACAGCAGCAGCAGCAGGGAGAGGGTCTCCCCAGCGGCCCCCTGAGCCCCTTATCAGACGCCCTCCCCTCACCCCCCTTGGTCTCCAACCCCCACCACCACCCCACCCCCACCTTTGCCACCTTGGTCTTGGGCACCAGGATGCGCCTCTTGATGGTGGTGGCGGTGGTGTTAGTGGTGGTGTTGGCAGTGGCGGTGGTATTGGATGCGCCCTGCGGGGGTGGCGGGGGCACCGCGAGGGAAGAGGGAGGAGGGAGGCGGAGGGATTAGGCTTGGGAGACACTGTGGCAGCAGCAGCCCCCGCCAGGCGCTGCAGCACTGGCGCAACCTGCGGCTGCGGCCACTGCTTGATAAGCGCGGCAACCTCCTGGCTCCTAGCTGCCCACCCTCACCTTGCCTCTCACCGGCCACCCCCAACAGCAAAGCCTGCAAAGAGGGGATACCCGCAGGTCCAACATGCGGGCGATCTTCCCCCACCACCACCCCACACCCCTACGGTGATGTTACCTACGGTCAGGGTCAGTGTTTCCGCGGCTCAGTTCACCCAACCCCCCCCCCACACACACACACACCCCGAGGCGCACACGCACGCACCTCCTCTGTCTTGACAGCCTCCTCGCTGCCGGGCTGGGCCGCCTCCGAGCCTTCGCCCTCACCACCACCCTCGCCGCCACTGCCATTCTCCTCCTCGGCTTCCGACTCGCCCGCATTCGAGCCCTTATCCTTGTCTGCCTCCTGCTCGGCCTTGCCTGCACGCGGCGGACCCACATCCCTCACCGGGCCACGCAGCGAGGCCGCAGGTCCTACCACAGGGCCCCCAAAGCCCGCCACTCCGCTCACCACACACATGGCGCCCTGCTGCCACCCCCTCCTCCCCACCTTCAACCGCACAGCAACCATCTCCACCCCTACCTTACCCTGTCCAACCCGTACAGCCCCCCTCCCCTCCCCTAGCCCTCCCTCCGCATCTCCACTCTTCCATTCCACTCACCCCCCTCCGCGCTGTCCTGCTGCTGCTTCTCCTGCTGCTCGCCTCCCGCCCCCGCCTCCACCGCCTCCTCCACCTCCCGCTCCTCCATCACCTCGTACTCCACCACCGCCTCCACCCGGTCCAGACGCAGCAGCCCGCTGTAGTCCGCGTCGAACCGCAGGGTCACCTGGGGGGGCAGGGAGGGGGGGGGTAGCGGGAGAGGGGGAGGATGGGCGGCCAGGAAGGGGGGTCACAAGCAAGGCTCCATGCAACAGGCTGGAGGAGGGTGGAGCTGCAGGCGATGTAGGCTAGCAGGGGGGAAGCTAGCAGACAGCAGGGGGGGAGGCCCGGGGCGGCTGCGTTGAAGCCCGGTGGCAGGTGAGGGCAGGAGGCGGACAGCCAGCCGGTGGGGTCGAGGCTGCCGAGTCGCTGCTAGGGCAGTCCCTCTGCCCGCTGGGGACCCCCGACCACAACCCCTTCCCCTCCACACATACACACACACAACCTGCTCATCCTCCCTTATTGCCCAATCATCCTGGTCCCCAGGCCCCCCCTGCATTCCCTCCCCCCTTCCCCCGTCCCCCTGCCCCCCTCCCACCTGTCCGCTGCTGTTGTACCTGCCCACCACCTCGTCCACCCCCGTCACCTCCCATTCTGCCAGCGCCGCCTCGCGCACCCCGGGCGGCAGGCCGTGCGGGGTGGAGCCGTTGTATGCGAGCGAGAATCGCAGCGGGTCGGCCGCCAGCCGCTCCAGCTTGACCAGGCGCTTGGAGGGCAGCTTCTTCATGTAGGGCAGCAGGTTGCGCAGCTTCAACAGGGGGGGCTGGGGGGGGAGGGGGAGGGGGAGGGAGGGGAGGGGAGGGGGGGTTAAGGGGAATAGCTCAGGGGCGGAGGCCTGCCTGTCAAAGAGCTTTGGCCTCTGAAGAGGCGCTGGTATGAGCTGCCCTGACTGCTGCTGCTGCCCCTTCCCTGCCAGCACCTTCCCAATCACCAGCAGCCCCTCCTCCCAGAGCCTCAGCGCGTGCTGCCTAACCCCCCCCCACTCACCTCCTCCTCCCGCACCGCCTCCCCCGCCTCCTCCGCCGCCCCCAGCACCACGTTGTCCAGGCTGAGGCTGACGCCGTACATGCTCACATCCACCATGCCGAACTTGCGCAGCCGGAAGCTGGTGGACAGGTTGGCGGCGAACAGGCCGGCGCCCAGCACGGCGGCCTCGTCGGCGTCCAGGTGCCTGGGGGCCATGGGGAGGTGGGGTGGGGGGTAACAATTGTGGGGTATTAAATCGGGAGTGGAGGAAGAGAAGCAGACAGTCGGTGGATGAAATGGGCTGGGTTGGCTTGTGCTTGTTGCTTGATGCGCGCGAGGGGTTGTGTCCAGTGCCAAGGGGGGCAGGGAAGGGAGGGGCGGTACCGGTAGGGGCTGCCCAGTCGAGACTGCCCCGGGTTGAGCGCTCGTCGGCATCCGTGTCAAGGAGCGCCCACACACCGGTACACCCTGCAACGCAGGAGCTACAGGCGCTGCCAGCTGCTCCATCACGCTTCCGTCACCCGCCCCACCCACACCTCAGCCAGCCTGGCACTTCGTACCGGTCTCGTCTTTACGTGCGTTGTCGCATCACCCCACCCCCACCCCCACCTGTCCAGCCCCCGGCCTCCCAGCACCTCCGACAGCGCCGCCTGCAGTCGCGGCACCCGGCTGCCCCCGCCCAGCAGCTCCACCGCGTCAATGTCCCCCGCCGCCAGCCCGTTCCGCTCCAGCAGCCGCCGCAGCGGCGCAGTGGCGCGACCGAAAAAGTCCGCCGCCAGCCCCTCGAACGCCTCCCGGCTGATGCTGCTCTGGAAGTCCCGACCGTCGTACAGCTCCTCCACGGAACACGGCGCAGCGGAGTTGGCGGACAGCATCTCCTTGGTCCGCCGCACCTGCCGCCGCAGCTTTGCCATGGACTTGGGCAGCGACAACACGTCCACCGCCGCCCCACCCGGCCGGGCGGCCTCCCTGGAGCTGAACTCCGACGCAAAGTGCCGCGCCAGGGCCATGTCCAGCAGGTTGGAGCCCAGCGAGTCGTCCCAGTCGACATCCTTGACCTCCAGCTGGTTGTAGGTGCGCGGTTTGCCCGCCTCCTTGACTGTGTAGGTGCTGTACTTGACCAGCGCCACCTCGGTGGTGCCGCTGCCCATGTCGTACAGGATGATGGTTTGGCTGCGGTTGGTGAAGTCGCGCTCGATGCCGTACTGCAGCGCGGCGGCGGTGTGGGTGTTGATGAGGCCCATGAGGTTGAGGCCGGCCAGGCTGGCGGCGTCGGCCAGGGCCTGGCGCTGGCGCTGGCCGAAGAAGGCGGGCACCGTGATCACGGCGTCCAGCACGGGGCTACCCGCCTGGGCCTCCGCGATTTGGCGGGCGTAGTAGAGGATGGAGCCCTAGGGGAGGGGGGTTTCAGGTTCGGGGAGAGGGGTTTGGGGGAGGAAGGCATACATTAGAGGGTAAGAGACGTTTGTATAGGCATGCTGGCCAGCCCTGGTCTGACCCTCGATATGGGCATGCCAAGGGGCAATGGGATGGAAGGGACTAGACGGGAACACCGGGTGCTTTGCTGCCCCGTACGTACCTCCACACCCCATAGCTAGTTGCTAGGTCGCGGGGCATGCATGTTGCAACCCAACCTAGCTACTCACCACCAGCTCCTCGGGCGAATACACAGTGTCATCGCCAATTTGAATACTGGCAACTCCGCGTTTAGGATGGGCAACCACTTTGTAGGGCAGGCTGTGCTCTTTCAGCATGGCTGCGATCGTCGGGTCGTCGGGGTCTTTTCCTAGCAGATCGCGGGCCCGCTGAAAAATAGTTTCTGGATAGCGAACTGCAAACGAGTAAGCCTCCTCTCCCAATAGTCGTTCGCCGTTAACGACGCCTACTAGAGCGGGTGATTTGCGCTTGCTCATTTCATTCACGGCAACAGAAATTGGCGTCCGCCCGGGTTTAACAAGGCAAACCTTGAGAAATTCACTGCCTAAATCAATGGACATAAGCGCTGCGTTCGCCGCGTGCGCCCATAGCGCCACGCAGGCGAAAGCAAGCGCGGCCCAGCGCCGCATCTTAACCTGTCTTTGTTGCCAATGACACAGATCGGCTGATATGCTTAAGGTAAAAAAAGGGTGTGTGAAGTGAAAATAAGACACGGCATCACCATGCGACGTGTCCAGTACCTTCCTAACTGAAAATTGGGCGGGGTAGTTGAGCAGACGTCTGGAGATGCGCAGTGCCGCTGACAACACATGCCGCTGAAACATTTTACTTTGCACATAGTCTGGAGATATGTGGATTGTTACGTCTAGGCTCAGCGGGATGGCCCTGCGATAAGCCCGCGGATTGCCGACATCCATATGAATGGAAATGCCCCTGCCATGCTGCCAGCTACGCCGCTCCGAATTAAACTCGTTTGCAGCGAACTCACGCTGTGGCGAACTAATGTGGGCTTTCAAACGACTTACAGGTTCTTGCACCGTCCCCGACATCCAGTTGGGGCTTTTGCTTGCATCATTTTGCGCTTGATGCCATGCCGACAGGTCGTAACGTCCAGGTCACACGAACACAAGTAGTAGTGTCATGGTAACCCAACCCAGGCAAAGAACCCGAACCACCTCGCAATTGGGACCGGCAATAACCCGGACATGTACACGAGCAATTACACCGTGCCGTTGCACTAAATAATAGGGGGGTCATTAGGCTGTGCACATAATGCAGTCCATCCAAGCTCTCAGTTTGTATCGCCACCAGTAGCTACTAAAGCTGCCGACACCCTACTAATCCACCATATTCCGCCACCTATCAGGTATCATGTACTAACAGTCGCAAACTATGCATGTGCGCAACAAGACGCGCATATGGCTCCTAATTGTGGGTTTCTAATCGATCTTAACTGCGCCGTAAATCTTGCGCACAAAGATGTAGCACGAGTAGAACCCAATCGTGCCTGTGAGGCAGAAGAAGCCGTACGACACGATCAGCATGTACCCGAAGTACATCAGCATGGGCACCGTCTTCGTGATGTCCAGCTTCGAGTAGAAGTAGAAGGCAGAGTACGCGAACAGGTACAGAGCAGACGAGCCCGAGGTGAAGAACGCCCGCCACCACCAGTGGTAGTCCTCCGAGCACAGCTGGAAGTAGCACAGCACGATGGTGATCTCCGTGCACGTGATGATGAGAATGACAAACACCAGCGCCAGGAAGCCGAACATGTAGTAGAACTGGTGGAGCCACATGGAGGTGAGGATGAAGAACAGCTCGATGAATACGGCTCCGAACGGCAGCACACCGCCCACGAGGCACGCGAACAGGGGGTTCATGTACCAGGGCTGCTCTGGGATCTGGCGGGGGATCTTGTTGGTGCGCACGGGGTCCTCAGGCGCCGGCTTCTTGTAGCCAAAGTACGAGCCGACGAAAACCAGGGGAACCGAGATGCCGAACCATAGGAAGCACAGAGCGAACAGGGTTCCGAAGGGCACGGCACCCGACGACCGCTGGCCCCAGATAAGCAGGTTCAGCAGGAAGAAGACGACGAAGCACACGCCGGGAAACATGAGGGCAGTGCGCAGGGTGGTCTTCTTCCACTCCTCCCCGCGGAAGCTCTTGTATAAGCGCGAAGAGAAGTAGCCGCCAAAGAGCCCCATGAAGACGAACATCATCAACATGGCTGTCATCAGGCCACCGCGGTTCGCCGGCGACAGGAAGCCAAGCAGCGCGAAGATCATGGTGACAAGGCTCATGCCGAACAGCTGCACGCCAGTGCCAACGTAGCTGGCCAGCAGGGACGAGTTTGCTGGAGGGCGGAACACATCGCCGTGCACCTGTGTATATTTAAGGGCAACAATAGATATGGTCATAATTTCCTGGCGCCAATAGCCGTAACTGTTTAGTACCCAGAGCGAAGAATATATAGACCCATACAAAAGACAACGTTGGCAAGATAGCGGAGGCGCGCCACTGCCCGTCCATGTCGGGGTATGCGCGTGTAATTCGCAGCTTTTAGCGCATAGATGTCTGGATAGTTGTGACGGTACTGCTAGGAGCGGCCATACTTTACTAAGAGAGTGCGGACAGACCGATATGCTCATGGAGTGCATGGAGCAGGCCTTACCAGCTTCCAGCCAGTCTCCTCCTGGGCATCCTCGCCAGCCTCCAGCTGATTGTAGTTCCGGATGTCACGAGCCAGAACCCGTGTCATGATCACGGCCACCTGTGATATGAGGGGTGCTGGCATGTAAGCATCCCTGCCATGTCGTACAGGGTTGAAATCCTTAGGAACTACAGAAAGGCGGATAACCCGACTCACCATGCCGGACAGGAAGAGGACAATCATGACCGAGTTAATGATGGAGAACCAGTGGATCTGGTCGTCCATCATCAGCAGGTAGGTATCCCAACGAGACGCCCAGCGGATATCACTGGCCTGCACGAGAAAGCGCCAAGCCCATGTGAGATATTTTTTGACGTTTGGGGTTTCCTTGGGGTTTGCAACAAAACCCGCTCAGACCAGGCACTCACCACAAACTTGACGTCGTAGGAGAAGATAACCTCCACCCCTTCCTGGATTGGCTGGGGTGGCAGGTTATGCGTGACGGAAGCCATGCGTCCGGGGTTGCAGGTGTTCAGGATAGGGCTGGCCTTATCCCATGGTGCCTCATAGTCGTGTTTCACGCTGAACGGCTCGACCTCAAAGCCAACAATACGGGCCAGGTCCGTCTGAGCGTCCTTGTGGTAAAGTATCGTGAAGCGCAAATGGTTATGAAGGAAGAACTTCACCTCAGTCTGGCCCTGAAGTGGTCAAAAGGGTAGGGTTAGGTCAGCGCAAGTGTAAATCGTATGAACGTAACAGCGACACCAACCTCCAGTGAGGCCTTGAAGCCAACAGGGAATCCACGCTCATAAGTCTTTACAAGAGAGCCAGAGCTCTCGTCCTTCCGCATCTTGACCATCGCCACTGGCAAGTTGTCCAGGATCCTGCGCAACGGGCATGTTAGTCTCCTCTTCGGAGCTCCCTGAAGCTTATTTTACTCACATGTTAACCCTGTAATCGTCCTCAACCTTCGAACGGAAGGCCTTGGCCTGTGCGCTGCTGAGCGACTCGATGCGACATAGCACCTTGCATTGCTCGTCTACGCGCATTTGAATCTGCACGCAGGCACCTTCGATTAACCACGGCTCTCCACCCACCCCGGCGACCAACTTTGTATAGCCAGACCTGGTAGAGTGAGTTTTCGATGCGGTCACCACGCAACACCTCGCCAAGGTTCTCCGCGGACTGGACGATCTTCTCCGGCCGGCAGTAGGGCAGCGAGTAGTACTCATATGGCAGCTGGTTCTTTATGGATGAAAGCTTGTTGACCTTGAGGAACAACACGTCTTTCTGCAAGCCGGAGACAAAGGTCCAGGTCGGCCATGAGGAAAGGGGCGATCATGCCGCGCCAAAGACTTCTGTGCTCTCCTGCTGCTAGAGTGGCTCCCGCACCTTCTTAAAGTCCTGTGGTGCCACTCCTGGAAGGTAAAAGCCATATGCATGTTGGGCCAGTAGGCCTAGGAAAGCCACCAAACCTAGCACTAGTCGCGCCATGGTGACGCGCTCTACAAGTAGCGTTCGAGTTAGGGTGAAAACATTACCAATAAATGTGCAAAAGAACCGCATTTAAGACGTTGGCGCGATCCCTCATAAATGCTGCAGTGGTCGTACATTCTGTCTTCCTGCATGACGCCTTGATTTCAACACGTAACTGACAGTTATAGCTTTTACACAAAATGGCATTTCTACTAAAGGTTTGTAGACAACTTAGGCAGTGCTATGGCTCCACCCGCGAATTTCCCACCACCGATATGCGCACTTTTCATGACATCTCTAAGAAGCACAATAACTGAAGTATGTAACGTTAAGGTGTTGCATGTTATTTGTAGGCAAAATTTGTCGCTGAACATGCTGCTTGAAGGACTGCGGGACGGGCCTGTGCCACCACGCGACTGTTTGCCGTATGCCACATAGAAAAGACGGATACGGCTTTCCCGATAAAGGGGTTACTGACCCAGGGGACATTTTCCTAAGATACTTGCACGGCTAACGAGCAGCCCCCAGTTACCGCGCCTAACGAGGTATGAGCCCGCTAGGCACATAATAACTTAGGACTCTTGGTAGCCCTTAGTTGCCACGTGCCCAGGTTGGCCGCTTAAATGACATGTCGGTCGCAGGAATGCGTGACGCTGACAAGGAGGGAGTGCAGAGTTGGCAGTGGCGTATTCATATCCGGTGAACTGCGCATAGAGAGTAGGGGCCAATCTGATGGATTGGCACGCCGCACCTGAGTCGTGACTGGGGCACAGCCCCAAGGCCGAAAAGCAACATATAATGCGTACGGTCGTCCTAAGCTGTCCCTAGCCAATCCATGTGGCATGGTTCGTGACTTGAAAGAGATAAAACGTATCTCGACCGTTTGCCACCGAACCGGAAACGTTGGCCAGGCGTACACCTGCACCCCCATATGGAAAGGCTTGCGGCCAGGGCAGCTGGGGCACGATGAATGACTCCGCACGGCAAACTGGGCTGCCGGGAGGTATGAGGATAAGAAGCCGCTGCATGTCAGGATAGCACTAGTTCTCTACCCCCGTCAGTTGGCTTACTAAGGCTCCCGAATGGTTGCATGCCGCCCAAGGACCAGGGCTTCCCCGCAAGTGGTGGTGTGTGTGCGGGAGGCAGAGAGCCAAACGCTGTGATTACAGCAACTACCCGTTAGCCTGATGACGCCCTACCTAACTGCATCTAACACACCCGAGAATTGGCCCCACGCACGCCCATTCCATGCACGCCGACGCATACACACATGTGCATCGTGCATGCCCCCGTCCTCCAACCAACACCAACGGCCGCACCCATGCTACCTAACCAACCCTCGCACAACGCCAACAATTGTCCTCCAACTCCTCGGCGCCCGCTGCCCCGCCTGCCCTTGTTCCAGCTGCGGCGGGGAGGGGCGCCGGCGTCACCGATGTGTCTCTTCACCACCGCCGGTACCACCAGCACCGCAAGCACGCCTCGCCAACCAGCTCCTCACCGTCCAGTCAAACCAGCGCACTCAAATGACGACCGACCATGGCGGCGTGCGCTTCCGTCTAGTCACGTCACCGTCAGCAGCATCCTCACCCCCGCCGGAAGTGCCGTAAACCACATTAGCATTGCACCCCAGTGCAAGCCGGCGGAAGACGGAGATAGACACGTGTCAGAAAGGGGACCACACCCACACCCATTACTATCTGAAGTCCATGTGTGTCCAAACCAGGAAAGGGCCCACCAGCAGTGGCATTAGGAGGCTAAAAGGCGTCCCCCATACGTTGGCCAGGAGGTTGTGTGTACCCAACAACACCGGGCCCCCGTGTGTCAACGTCCGAGCATGTAGGAGACAGCGCCAACCACCCAAAAGGTCCTGGTCACATGCCCCTTCTGAGCATGCCCATACCCCGGTTCACCGTTATCGAAAATCGCTGTGATGCAGCAGTATGCTGTCCTATTAGTGATAGTCACCAAACTCACACACGGGAATGATATACACGCACACGCAGAGGTACAGTGCACACAACAACTAGGAAGGAACCACCCCACACCGCTACTACCAGTGCTCATCTCAAGGGCACGCGGCTAGGGCCGTGACTAGGCCGCCACCGCCCGAACCGGGCGGGCGGCGTTGGTGTCCAAACCAGACAAGTAAGTCTACAAAACCCTGGGGCGAGGGGGTCCACGCCACGCTCGTGCACATGCGTCGGGCCCCCCTCGCTTAAGAAGGCGCGGCGCGGGACATGTGCGCACGCGCCGTGTGTCAAACCAACTATAGCCGTACAACTGACCCGACGTGTGTTAAGAAAACTGGCCGCGACGTGTGTGTATGGGGGGGGTGTACACCCAGCTGTCCTACCACATCACGCCATCATCTTTTGACCGCAGTACGGCACCCCACCAGCATGACCGCACGCAGCACGCAGAGCCTCACTGAGCTAGGCAGTTGGGAGGGAGCCGCTGGGCGGCCCGGGCGGCCGAGGCCCCGGCTCCTAGCAGCGTCTCATGGGCAAACGCATGGGCCCCATGTGTGTTGTTCAGTTCGGGAAATGGATTGAGTTCAAGCATATCATGCGGGGAGCCGCCATGTCTCCTACCGCCGCCAACCCCATGCTCCTACCACCACCACCACCGGCGTCCTCCTCTCATATGACAGTCACACCAACGCCCCATCCTCAACCATGCAAAGTGCGCCGCATGTCTTGTCTCACCCTCATCTCATGCATACCGGTATCTATGCCCTTTTGCCTCATCAGCCCCTGCCCGCATTCATTACTCCGCCACCACAGCACGCCGCAGCCCCCGCACCAGTCCCCTCTGCAGTCCCCTCCACCTGCTCCCCCCACCCCAAGCGGTACCTTGCATGCACCCGACGACCCATGCACCCGACAACCCACGCCGGCAGATGAGCGACCTCGCAACGTTTCCAGCATTCCCCCGCACTCAACACCCTCAAAGCCCCGACACACCTGACCCTCGCGCGCTTGCAGCAGCCCGGCAGCGGTAGAGCTATAACCACTGCGGCACCGCCACCCTCACCACGTTGCACGTGCACATGCCTGCTGCCGTCCTCCTTTTCGCGTTCGCGTTCCAACACCTCACTCCTCTTCGTCATGCTGCAGCGCAGCAGGGGTGGCAGGAGGGAAGCGGGTGTGCGGCCTCTCATGCCACCTGCTGGCTCGCACTGATCCGCTGCTGCGAGGCACTGGGGGCAGCGCCGCCGGGGGCAGCAGCAGCGCCCGCAGCAGCAGCGCCCGACTCGGCCTCGGCTGCTGCTGGTGCGGCGGGTTGGGGCGGCTTGGGGGCGTGTCGTTCCGGGGCCGGCAGCCTGCCGTTCAGCTGGGGGCAGCGGTGGGAGCCGACCGGGCGGGTGCGAGGGGCCGCGCGGGAGGGGTGGGGAAGAGGTAAGGAGAGCGGCGGGAAGGAGGGTGTGCTACGATGCAAGGGTGCGCCCGGGTCAAGGCCAAGGTGAAGCAGCTGCGTATGTGGGGCCTGCCCTGTCGCTTGGGCTTGGGTGCCTGGCCCCATCGCCACCTCCCTCCCTCCCGCCCAGGAGCATGCTACGGTCATGGTCAGTATTGGTTGCGGCTCAGTTTACCTAAGCCCTCCACCATTATCCCCATTGCCCCCGCTCCCCCCTCACCTGCGCCACCAGCGCCCTCCGCGCCGCCCTGCTTGCCTGCACGCCCACCCAGAAGCGCTGTATGCACACTGCGCTGGCCAGGATCTTGTCCAGGCTCTGCTCCAGCGTGGGACTGTACAGGAACTCCATGGAGCGGAAGTTGGAGCTGGGGGGGAGCGGGGGGAGGGGAGGGGATAAAGAGGAAACAGGGAGGGGAGGGGAGGGGAGGCGGGGGGTCAGAGATATACCCAAACCACGGGTTAGGGCAAAGCATTGGGGATAGAGGAAAGCAGTTTGTCACGAAAGGGGGAAGGGGGAAGGTAATGAGGAAAGCCGAACTGGGGGAAGCTGGGAGTCACAGTCGGTCAAATCAAAACCCAGAACGCTGAGACGCAGCAGTAGGCCCCCGCTGCCGCCACATCTGCATGGCACCCTGCGGCACGACACCCTGCTCCCGCCTGCTCGCATGCATCCTCTGCCACTGTCCTCGCTGCCACTCTTCATACACACAGATCCCCCCCGGCCCCTCCCTCCCCCCCCAATATGGGATTGGGACTCCGTTGATGCACGTATCATTTATCCCCCCCCCAAGACTCACTCCGCCATGCCCCACAGCTTCTCGTCCTCAGGCACTGACACGGGGTTGCCGTTGCCGTGCAGGTTGAGCAGCGTCTGGATGTTGGCCTGAAGGGGGGGGGCGGGGGGGAGGAGGTAGCAGGGGGCGGAGAGGGGTTTGTGCATGGGGTAAAAAAGCGTACCAGATCAGCACTGCAATCCCAATCCCATGGCCCGATTCCCCGGGTGGGCAGGGCAAGGTGGGTGGCAGGTAATGGCAGATTGGGAGGCAGCCCAAGCGCGCGTCTAGTGCAGCGGTGCGGGCGGGATCTCACCCCTCGCTCTGCGGGCTTGTCAGCTAGTTTACCACTATCCCACCACACATGGGAGTTTCTTCTTTTCCCTCCCTCCCTTCCCCCCCGCCCCTCTCACCGCTCCCGCCCCCCTGGCCTTCGCCTCCTGCCTCGCCCGCTGCGTCTCCTTCACCGCCATGCGCACCAGCTCCCGTGCGATGTCCCGCTGCTCCGGCTCCCCCAGGTCCAGAGAGAAGGCGATGCCGTGCGGGTCGGCCAGGCAGGCGTACACGTGCCAGTAGCCCAGGCGCTGGGGGGGGGAGGACGGAGGAGGGAGGAAGGGATGGGGAAGGAGGGAGGAGAGCAAACAAGGAGTGAAGCAACCGAATCGGAGAGGGAGGGGGCAGGGAAGGGAGAGGGGTGTGAGGCAGGGGCCCTCCGGGACGACCCAGATGAGATAGCTCGCTCCTTCTTTGAAGGAGGAGGAGCACAGCAGCAGTGCCTGCTGTGTCGAGACTCCAGGTCTACCAGTACTCGCACCGACTGCTGCTGCGGGCGGCCCATACCTTACCAGCCTGCTAGCTGCTACTGCGGCTACCCTTCCCGGTGCCCGCCTCCCACCCGCCCGTCTGCTTGTTTCCCTCCACAGCACGGTAACCCTCTTCCCCCATCCCGCCACCTCTCACCCTCCCCCCCTCCCTCCCCGCCCCCCCGCCCCTCACCGTCATGACCTGCCGCTGCTCCCCCGGCGTGAGGCGCAGGTAGGTGCTCTTCCACCCGCCATCCACCACCCGCGGCCACAGCACCACCATCGCCATCACACGGTCCCCCTCCGTCCGCAGCGCACCCAGCACAGCAGCCACCTGCGGACTGCTCACGTAGCGCGCCGCGCACCACACATTCAGCGTCGTCCGCACCCGCCGCGCGCGCTGCGTGGCCGCCTCACTGGCCCCCCGCGCCACCGCCTCCAGGCTCTTCACGCGCTCGGGCGGCATGGCTGCCAGCAGCTGCCGGCGCACCTCGGGCGGCAGCAGGCAGGGCGAGGGGTCGGAGTGGTCGTACAGGAAGCGCGCGGCGGCTAGGGGCGGCAGCGCGGCGAGCAGCGCGGAGACGGCGCGCAGGCCGCCCTCCTGCCGCAGCAGCGCGGAGACGGCTCCTGCGAGGTGGGTGGTGCCCATCTTGGTGGCCAGCAGGGGGAGGTCCTTGGCGCTGTGGACCAGCAGCAGCAGCGCGGCGTGGTACTCGGCCTGCGGGGGGAGGGGGGGTTAAAGACCATACCAGACCAGAGGAAACCACAGTTTAGGGCAAAGCAATCGGGATAGGAGATGGCAGGGTGCAACAAGAGCGGGGGGAATGAGGGGTGCTAACCGAGCTGGCTTGGATCTTAGGCAGCAACTGGTTGTAGGTGGATAGCATCCAGAGGGCCGAGGGGATAGGAGCTAGGAGGGGACGACGGGAAAGGGGACACGGGCAGATCGAGATACCGATAGCGGGTAGGGAGAGGAGGAAGTGAGGACGCCCTCCACGCCGCACAACCCTCAAACCCCCTTCCCCTTCCAGCTCTGCTCCCCAGCCGAGACCACTGAACCAGCAATATTCCCTCAGTCTCCTACCCCCAGCCCCCTCCCTCAGCCCCCCTCCTCCTCTCCCCCCTCCCCCCCCGCCCCCTCACCCTCAGCGTCTCCCAGTCCTCCTGCTCCTCCTCCGCTCCCCTGCTGTCGCGCCCGCTCCGCTTGCCCTTCTTCCGATCCGGCCCCGCACTCCTCCCGCCGCCGCCACTCCGGCTCGACTTGCCGCCCATGCTGACCGCCCTTGTCAGCAGCGCCGGCTCCCCTGTCGCACCCGCCCCACCCGCTGCCGCCCCAGCCCCCATACCCGCTCCCGTCCCCGCCAGCCCCCCTCCCGGTGCCCCCGGCGGCGGCCCCCCCGCGATGCTGCCCGAGGGGCCCAGCAGGCCCCCCGGCGGCCCCCCTTCCAACCCGCTGAGCAGCCCCTCAGGGGGAAACACGCCGGTCTTGCGGAACAGCGGCTCGGGGTTGAAGTCCGCAGCGGCGGCCCAACCCAGGGAGGCACGCAGTGGGCTGGAGGGGGAGGGGGAGGGGGAGGGGTCGCTGGAGCCGCCGCCACCGCCACCGGCGGAGGAGGAGGTGGAGGTGGTGGCATGGGGGTGAGCTAATCCGTCGCTGGGTGTTGCGAAGGGCTGCTGCTGGGGCTGCTGCTGGGGTGGTGGTGCGGGTCTGGAGAGGAGCTGTGCGACGGTGGCGAGGGGCAGGTGCATGAGCTGCAGCGCGGAGAGGCGCGGCTTGGGAGGCGGGGGGGCGGGCTGGGTGGCTCTGAGGGGGAGGCGGGAGGAGGGGAGGAGGGAGGGAGGGGGAGCGGGTTGGGACTGGTAGGGGGTTGTGCAAGAAGGCGGGCGGCGGGGTGGAAGTAGGGACGGGTGTTGCTGGACAGCGCAAGGGAGGGCTGGGGCCGGTGGGGGCCGACCAGGGGCTGAGGAGTGGGGAAAGGAGGAGGGGCTAGGACGAGCGTGGTGGGACAAAACTAAGCGATGAGCCTGGGATGAGGCTCGGACTGGGTTTGGGTAGCGCATGCAATACATTCCGCTTCACCCCCATCCCCTCTTAGGCTCCTTCCTCTTGGCCCCTACCCCCCCCCCCTGCCCACCTGCGCCTGGAGGGCCCTGCCAGCGACACGCGCGTGCCGGTGGGAGGCGGCGGGGGCGGGGCGGCCAGCTTGCGCACCTGCGGGCGGGGGGGCGCGGAGGAGGGAAGGGGAGGGTGGTGGTGAGGGGGGAGAAGCAGGGGTGGTGGGCAGGTGAGCTAGGAGTGGTTGGGTGCGGACCCGCAAGCCCCCACCCCACCGGACACTGATGGGTGCTGCACGAGGGCAGCAGCAGCTGCTCCCATTCCTCCCCCGGCCGTCCCTGCCAGTGCGCCAGTCGCCCTCCGCCCCCCCCCTCCCGCTCACCACCTACCCAGAGCCCCCCACCACACCAAACCCCAGCTTCCTAACAAACAGCCGCACAGCTACCCGCCCCGCCTCCCCCCCATGGCTCATCCGCATGGCGTCAGGCTAGGGCTCCTGCGTCTTGCCCGGTGCCAGCACTCCTCCCTCCTTTCCCCTCCTGCTATCCCCCCCCCCACCTGCAGCAGCGCCGCAATGTGCATCACGTTGCAGCCCCGCAGCCCCGCCAGCAGCTCCTCCAGCTCGGCGGGGGAGGCGGCGGGGGCGGAGGGGGGAGGCTTCTGGGGGGGGAGGAGAGGGGAGGGGTGGAAAGGGGGAGGGAGGGAGGCTGAGAAAGGGCGACGAGACGAGAGAAGGTCTGTGACTACAGCTGCAATCCCAGCTACGGCGAGGGAGGGGCCTGGCAGGGGTGGGTGGGCCACCGGAGGGGCGGAGCGGTGCGGGCGGCGGCCAAGCAGTGGCCAACCCAGCAGCACCCCCACATGTCAGGCAGCGGCAGCAGCGGCTCAGCCGCTGCTGCTGCAACCCACCCATATACACCCCCCCGCCTACATATTCCCCCCCCGCCCCCACCTTGTACGTCACGTAGTCCAGCCGCAGTACCCCCGCCCCCGGCAGCGTGTAGTCGCGGATGCGCACCAGCCCTGCGCGGTCCAGCGGCTGGCCGTTGAAGGAGGCGTTCAGCCAGTTGCTGAAGTACCTGGGGGGGGAGGGAGGGAGGGGGGGGGGGAAATTATATAAGTGAAACAACGAGGGGGGGAGGGAGGAGTGAATGAGAACTAAAGCAGGGAAGGAGGTCAAAGGCCATCGGGTAGGGCCACAGGATAGGGCAAACAAGGGGAGGGAGGGTGATACCGGTAGCTAGTTTGTTTCCCCCTCCCTTCCCGTCCACGTCCCCCCTCCCCTCCCCCTCCCCGCCCATGTTGCAACCCATGTTGACGCCTTATCCCTCAGTTAGTTGTTTCCTCTTTACCCCTCCCCGCCCTCCCCTCACTTGTTCTCTGTCCAGCTGCACTCCAGCGCCGACGTCAGCTGCAGCCGCAGCGCCACGAAGCGGTCCACCTGCCGACTCAGGTTGAGCGTGTAGCGACCCATGGGTCGGGTCATGTCCAGCGCAACCAGGTCACCAACCCTGCAGGGGGCGGGGGCCAGCAGTCGTCAACACCACCATCGAACAAGCCATACCAGCAGTCAGGGCCACTTGGCAAAGCGGTTGCCGTACAATGGCACGACTCAAGCGAAGTGGGGTGAAACACACACGCCAGCCCCATTACAGCCCCTATCCAACTACTCCCCTCCATGCACCGCATCCCCTGTTAATGTCCCTGTACAGTAGGCCAGGTCTCTTCTCCCCTTCCTCCCCCCTCCTCCTCCTCCGCCTCCGCCTCCGGTCAACCCCTTCCCAACTTCCCTCCCACAACCGCTCCTAACCCCCGCCCCACCTTCCCTCCCCCACCCCGCTCTCACTCCCCACCCCGCTCCCGGACCCCACCCCTTCCCCTCCCCCTACCAACCCCCAATCCGCCCCCCCTCCACCCACTTTGCCCTCAGCGCCTCCTGCTGCGCCGGCGTCAACCGCGGCAGCACATGCTGCCAGAACGCCAGCGGCTGCGCACTCCGCGCGTACAGCATCTGCGCCGCCGACACGCACTCCGCGCCCTGCGTGGTGCGGTCGAATCCCGCCAGCAGCGCCACACATTGCCAGGGTGTGAAGAAGCACACGCTGCCCGCCGCCTGCACCACCGCCAGCTTCCACAGCGGCGAGGCCACCGAGTCGCCCAGCAGCCCCGCCAGCCAGAGGGCGACCAGGGGGGAGAGGGGAGCGGGGGGCTCGGTGGCCAGCAGCGCGGGGGCCTTCACGGTCATGAGGAGGCTCCCCTGGGGGCGGCAGGAGGGGGGGAGGGAAGCGGGAGGCGGGGAGGAGGCGTGTGTAAAAATGAGAAGGACGACTTGATGTGGGTACCGCCTGCATGCCTAGCAAGGCCGAAGTCAGGCTTACTTTCTACATTAAACGGTACCTGCAGCCTCTTGTCAAGAGCTGGCCCCTGCAGACTGCGTTCCCACACCGCTCTCAAGCCCTCCCTCAGCCCCTTCACGCACGCCACCCTCACACTTTCCCAATGCTTTGCCCTGACGTGTGGTTCCCCCGCGGTTCCGCCACCCCTTCCCCCCCCCTCCCCCTACCTCGCTCCACGCCTCCAGCGCGCTCAGCTGCTCCAGCCGCGCCGGCCGCCCGTTCAGCTGTATGTTGACCAGCTGCAGCGCCACCCCCGCCACCCGCCCCGCCGCCACCGCCGCCGCCAGCTGCGCCCGCATGCGCAGCAGGTACGACACCAGCACCGCGGTGGCGGGGTGGGAGAGGTCCAGGCAGTAGACGCCGGCGGGGGAGTGGAGGTCCAGGTGGGGGGACTGCAGGGTGAGGGCTTGGTGGCCTGCGGAGGGGCCGGAGGAGGCGGGCGAGGTGAAGGAGGCGCCGGAGGAGGCGATGTCGCGAGAGGATTCTGGGCGGGGCAGGGCAGGGCGGGGGCAGAGGGCAGAGGGCAGAGGGCAGGGGGCAGGGCGAGGGAGCGGGCAAGGGAGCAGGCGAGGGAGCGGGCCGGTGAGGGAGTTAGTTGAGAGGGGCAGGAACTGTCGAGGAGGCAGGCTGCACGGTTCCCCCCCCTCCCCCCCGCCACGATACCACCTGACGAGTCCTCGCACCGCCCCCCCCCTCGGTAGGGAACGCTAAACAACACTTGTTGTGTGGCACCCTGCCGCTCCTATCCCCATTGTCTTGCCCCAACCTGTGGTTTCCTATGGTTCGGTATGGTCTTTGACCCCCCCTCACCCCTGGTGGTGGGTCTCGATGCGCTCTTCTTGGCCGCCCCGTCCTTGCCCGCGAACATGCGCCCCTCGCCGCCACCGCCGCGACACAACACCGCGAGGCTGGGGGCGGGGTGAGGTGGGTGGGTGGGTGGGTGTGGGTGGGGTGAAGTGGGGTGGGCGTTAGGAGAAGGCAGGTGGGGGACAGGATGAGCGCCTCAGGTGCAGGGTGGCAAGGACAGGCGTGGAGAAGATGAAAGAGGCGTCAGGGCTCAGGGGGTCCGGGACAACACCAGTACCACCACCATCAGCCCCCCAGCAGGGCCCTCTGCATGCCCGCAGCTGCCCAGCAGCCGGCCCTAACCTGCTGATTGACAAAGCACTGCAATGGTGTGCCAGCGGGCTTTGCGCCTCCGCCCGGCAGCTTCCCACCCCGCGCCTGCCACCTCACACACCCACTCCTTCCCTCACACTTCCCCCCACCCGCCTCCCTTCCACCCCCCTCGCCCCCCTCGAGGGCGTCCCTAGTCGGGCTACGGGATTGGGACTCTAGTGGTTTGCATTTCTTATATAATTTCCCCCTGTCGCCCCCCTCACCTGGGCAGGAAGGGGTTCACCTCGTCCCCGCCGTCCGAGGACCTGTGGCGCCATGGAAGGAGGGGGGGGGGGGGCAGGGAGAGAACAGGAGGGGGGTGCGTCAGGGGGTTGGGGTGGGAGTGGGGGGCAGGGGACAGCGCGGTGCAGCCCGCGACAGGAGTCACTGAACGGCATGGGGCGGTGCGAGCATGAACGGCATGGCAGATTGGGATCATCCAGGGAGGGAGGGAGTCGGCGTTACATGCCAGACCAGACGTCCGGATGCCCCAGCACCCCACCCGCAACGCCTGAGCCGCAACCCCTGCCCTCCGCCCCTCCCTTTCCTCCTTCTCCCCTCTCCTGGCTCCCCCCCTCCCCCCCCACCATGCTACCGGGCTACCATGTTTGCACCCCATGGTGAAGCCTTGTCATACAGCTCGTCAGTTGCTTCGTCAGTGTCTCATCATATATATTTTTTACCCCACCTGTCCGAGGGCGGCGCCACGTTGCAGTTTGCGATGGACACGTGCAGCGGAGCGGGCGGCAGGTGGGGCGGCGGACCCGCCAGCTCGTCCGGCTGCGGGGGCGGCAGGTCGGCGGCGTCCAGCAGCGCCCGGGACATGGCCTCCATGCCGTCAAGGATGATGCTGGGGGAGGGAGGGGGGGGAGGGGGAGAGGTTAGTGATTGGGGAGTTGCGACGCCTCTCTCTTTCTTCCATTACCGTACCCCTAGCAGCCCCTCCTTGCACCATCCCTGTAGCCCTTGCCCCTTCCAGTTACCAGCTGCTGTCCCTCCCCTCCCTCCCCTCTCCTACCCCTCTCCCCCCTCACCGCAGCCCCGTCAGCCCCAGCGGGTTGCCGTCCAGCATCAGTGTCAGCTGCCCCCCCGCCAGCTGTGCACCCAGGTGGCCCGCGGAGATGCGACGGAAGGAGCCCGCGCCCACCGGACTGCCGGGCGAGGAGCCGCAGTCAGGAGCCGCTCCCCCGCTGCTGCTGCCGCCCTCCACTCCGCCACCCAGCCCCACACCGGGCTTGAACGCAACGCTGTTCTTCCGAGACAGCGCGCCACGAATCGGCGTGTGAGGCGGCGACCCCGCACTGCCTCCTCCTCCTGCTCCTGCTGCGGCGGCGGGTGCCATTCCCGTGGCACTCCCTGGCTTCGCCGCCCCGCCTGCTGCTGCTGCCGTCCCGCCTGCCGCCCCCCCCTCCGCGGTCACCCCCCGGTGGTGTCCGTGTCCGCCCCCCAGGCTGCCCCACCCCTCCGCGTACCCCCCTCCCGCCACCAGCCCGCCCGCCACCTCGCCCAGCCTCCGCATCAGCTCCCCCACCATGATGCAGCTGCCGGGGCCCAGCGTGTTGTGGGACAGGTCCACACGCAACCACTTGCCTGGGCAGGAGGGGGGGAGAGAGAAGGATATAGGGGGAGGGAGAGGAGTGCTGTGGGGTGGGGTTGGGGTGGTGGGGGCGCTATCTCGCGTCGGCAGTCCAATCCGTATTCGAACTCCTGCCCCATACTTCCCTAAGTCTGTATCCCGTACGTGTTCCGCACGCTTCCTCTCCTCCCACCCTCTGCCTTTCCTCCGCCCGCACCGCACCGCCACGCTCCCCTCCTTACACCCCTTTCCCTTCCCCCTCCCAAGCAACCTAACACCACCCCCTCCCCCCTTCCCTCCCTCTCCTCCCCCTCCTCACCATGGCTCAGCAGCCCCTTCACCACCCTCGCGCCGTCCACATCCCCAAACCCGTTATGCGCCAGCCCCAGCTCCCGCAGCCCCGCATTCCCCGCCAGCGCCCCCTCCAGCACTCGCGCACTCTCCCCCCGCAGCGCATTCCAGCTCAGCTCCAGCCGCTGCAGACTGCCGTTGCTGCCCAACACATCCAGCAGCGCCGCGCCGCCTGCGTCACTGACGCCGCAGCGGCGCAGGTCGAGTTCGCGGAGGGAGTGGTTGGCTCGCAGCCCCTCCGCCAACTGCATGACGCCCTTGTCGCCCAGCTTGACGCCGCAGAGGTTGAGGTGGTGCAGGCCCAGCCGGCGGACCTTGTCGCGGGCGGAGGGGAGGGCGCCGCTGGGAGCCAGGAGGGTGGCGGGGGAGGGGGAGGAGGAGGTGCCGGCGGAGAAGGAGTGGGAGTGGGTGTGCGATGAGGAGTGGGGGTGGGAGGAGTGGGAGGGGTGTGGGTGGGAGGAGTGGGGGTGTGGATGGGAGGAGTGGGCGTGGGAGGAGTGTGGGGCGGAGGCGGCCGAGGGCAGTGCCGCCGCCACCGCCGCCCAGTCGGCTGCTGCTGCTGTCGCTGCCAGGTCGGGACTCATGCCCAGTGCGAGGGCGAGCGGCAGCGCACATCGCCAGGTGAGGTTGGTGTTCTGCTCGAGGGATAGGTCGCGCACGCGGGGCGCGTCGGGCGCGGAGAGCAGCGACATGAGCTCCGCCACGTCCTCGTTGGACAGCTTGTTGCCCGCCAGACACAGCCGCACTAGCTGCGGGGATTCCTTGAGCACCTCCCGCAGCAGCGGCATCTTGGAGGTGGAGATGCCGCGGTTGGACCACTGCAGGGTGGCCCGTGGGTCGGCCGACCCGCAGCCGCCGCCTGCGCTGCTGCCGCCGCCGCTGCGGCCGCCCGAGTCGGCTCCGGGGGACAGCGGCGAGGGCGCCCGGCGCACGTTGACACCCAGGTAGGAGGGAGGCTCGTCGGCCTGCAGGGGCGGCGGGTCGGGAGGGAGGGGAGGGTTGCGGCCCGGTGCTTAGGAAGGAGGTGCTTTCGCGCGCATGGACGACCGTGTTTGGGCTGCTGTGATGAGTTCGGAGAGGGCCGGGGGCATTCTACCCCAGAAAGCCAACAAGCGCCCGCACATCCCTAGACCGTTCCCCCCTCCTCCTCCTCCTCACCTTCCCATCCGCGGTGCCCGGCGCGTGCTTCAGCCGCCTCAGCTCCTCCACATCCACCAGCGGCAGCCCCTCCCCGCCACCATTGCTGGGCGGCCGCTCCTCCCGCGCGTGCGCCGCCGCCACCGCCTGCAGCGCCGCCTCCGCGCGACTCAGCGCCCGCAGCTGCAGCGTGCGCTCCATGGCGCCGCTCAGACTCCAGCGGTCGCTGTTCATGATGACGCTGCTGCTGCTCACTACGGCACCGCCGCCGGCGTTGGCGCCGCCTCCGGCGGCGTCACCGGCTGCGCTGCCAGGTGCGGCGGAGGCACCCGTGCCGTCCGCTTCCGGCCCGCCGTCGCCATGTGACCCCCGAGCGCTGCTGGATCCGCCGCTAGCACCGCCGCCGGCGGGTGCTATCAGCCCGCTGACTTCACTCAGCGCCGTACTGCTGCCGACGCCGCCCAGGCCGCCTGTGTAGGATCGAGCGGTGAGCGGGTAGGAGCCGCGGGGCGACTGGGGCGCGGAGCAGCTGAAGGGCAGGGGGCCCAGGTTGGTGATGCTGCTGCTGCGGCCCAGTGCCAGCCCGCCTCCGACGGGTAGGGGTAGGGGCAGGGGCGGCGGGTCGCCCTCTGCGGGTTTGGGGCTGATGGGCGCGACTGCCTGCTGCTCGGGTGCTGCTGCGGAGGGCTGTGACGGGGGCGGGACGATGGGGTCGGGTCGCGGCTGCAGCTGGTTCCGGAGCCGCTCGTGCTGCCGCTCTAGGGCCCGCAGCTGCGCCCGGGCAAACGACATCTGCAGCGGGAGAGACGGGGTGGGGTAAAGGAAAGGTCGGCTGGGACGGGAGGACACAGCCGGAGCGGTACAGTGGCATACCCATTGTGGTAACCCACCTGCTGTAATAAACAGTACCCTCCTCCCTCTCTCCTCGACCTCCTCCCTCCCCCTCCTCTCCCTCCCACCCACCTGCTTCTCCGAGAGGTGCAGCTCCCTGCCCAGCTCCGCCCGCAGGCTCTTGACCGCCTGCGCCAGCGCCGTCATGCTCACCTCGCGGGGGCCCAGCAGCGACTCCAGCTGCTGCAGCGCGGCGGCGGCGGTGGCGCGGTCGGCGGGGCTCACCTCCTGCAGGGTGAAGGGGGGGAAGGACAGGCGGGGGAGGCGGGATGAGGTACCGGTGGGCGCGATGCGACCGGGAGGCGGGGGGGGGTGGCAGTGTGTGGTGGGGTGTGGGGTGCGGGGCGGCCATGCAAGACCCCAACGGGCTCCCTCCGCCATGTCCAATGTGGGGTGCGATGCCCCCTGGCTCGTGCGTGCTTCGCCCCAGCCATGCATGCTGCCAGGCAAAGCGTCCCTGTAGGTACGGTGTTGCCACCGGCAGCCACCTGCGCCAGTTACGGTACCCGCCCAGCCGCATCTGTCGCATCAGCCGCTGGCGTCAGCGGTAGCTACCCACCCACCCACCCCTTCCTCCCGTTCCTCACCACTCCCGTCCAGCGAACATCTCCGACCACCACCCCGCTTGATACTCACGCCCCCAATCAACACCGGACCGCATACCCAACGCACCCGCCCCTCCCACCGTTGCCCTCATCATCATCATCATCATCCCCATCACGTGCACCCACGCCCTGCACCCCTTTACCATGCACCCTCTCATCCAGTATCGCCGCACCCTCCCCCCCTGCTCTTTACCCCTCCTCTCCACTCAACACGCCCCCCCGCCGCCCTCACCTGGTCACTGCCGTACAGCACCTCCACCGCCTGCTGCGCCATGCGCCGCGCCTCCTCAATCAGCGCCGCGTCCTCCCGCGACCCGAACCGGTGCACCATGCGCGGCGGGCTGCTGAAGCCCCCCGGCGGGCCGCTGGGCGGGGTCGGCAGTCCGGACCACGCCGCCGGCACCAGGTGGCCCGCCAGAGGCAGCTGCATGGACTGCGTGGGCGGGCGGGAGGAGGCCAGCGGGGGTTCCGGAGCGGCCGCCATGAGGGAGACGGAGAGCAGCGGCCCGGAGGTGGTGGCGGCGAGGGTGCCGTTGAGGGTGGCGGACAGGCCGGAGAGGAGCGGCGGTGGGGGCACTGAGGCGGAGGGGGACTGGGTGCGGGAGTGGGAGTGGGGTGTTTGCGGGGTGATGGGCGGCATGGTGGGGCCGCCGGCGCCCCCGCCCCCGCCGCCGCTGCCGACGCCGTGTTTGAGTGGGGAGGCGGGAATGGGGGCGCCCGCACCCAGGCGGAGCAGGCGAGAGGTGGCATTGTGGGGTTGGCCGTTGATGTAGAGGGCTTCTTGGAAGTAGGATAGGGTGTCGGGTGTGGGGTCTGAGGCAACCCCTGTGCCGGCGGGCTTGTCGGAGGTCCCGCCTCTGGACAGCGGTGGCAAGCCGCAACGGCCGGAATTAGAGGTGTGCGACAGGTGGCTGGGCGAGGTAACAGGATTGGTGCCAGACGCGCGTCCCGTTAAACCCAGAGACGTATGCGGGCGACCCGGCCGGTTGGGGACAAGTGCTGGTGACGAATCATTAACGGCTGTATGAGGGCGCTCCTCACGTCGGTCCGGTTGGTCGCATGTTGATGGCCTACGCGACCAATGCAGAAGCTCTGCCAATCCTTCGCGCTTCCGGCTCATTCGTGCTCATTGGTTGTGGTAATTGTTAAGTGCAGACGACATATGAAGCTACAATACGCAAGCTTGTCCGAAGTTCGTCAGTTTCGCAATTAAGCCATAGTAAGAAACAAAGTAAATGTAAGAAGCTTGGAAGTAAGTCTGCAGCGTTACAATGAAGTATCCCGGATTCGAAGGCGCTGACCATTTCTGCTTTTGTACGGATGGTCATTTAATGGCAGGCAGCCTCGCAGGAATCGAACAATCAGTAGGACACGTTCTTTCTAGTTTAGAGAGACTTTCTATACGTTATTACAAACCTATTACTGGTCCAACTTCAGCTGCAGCCATTCCTGCAATTGTGTCGAACAATTACTCGCCCGTTGAACAAGACCTACTTGTGCAGGGCCGTCCTGTGTAAAGGCCCGTTTTCCTAGCCAGTAAATAGCGATAGCTGCGATCCAACCTTTCTTTCGTCAGTTCTTAGTTGGCTTGTGCGGGTTACGAGCCTACCCAGGCTGCCTCCACAATTCGTGCACCTGACAAAGCCGACCACCACACTGGTATTCGGACTCGCGCACGTAGATAGAACCAGCCACGACCAAAAAGGGTATATGGAGTGTGAGGCTTGCAAGGTTTGAGTGTTACATACAGCCCGCTCATACGGGTCCCTTACACCATCAGTAAGAAGATGAATAGAGCCAAGTATCGTCTTCAAAAAACTCCATGCAATTAAGGGATAAAGCGCCGGCACACGGTGTGGTGTTGCACGTCGAAACTCCACCTAGTTCTTGGGTAACTTGGTATACAAAATATTCCAGCGGGGCAGTGAATCACCGTACGGCAATCTTAACACGTTGGTCATCTTATCTCCCAGCTCTCACCGACCAACCCCCTCCGCCATGTAGAATAGTAGTGACGATTAAACGAGGGTATTACTACTATCCACGCTTTGTGCGTAGGGATTGCATCGTCATCTGCATCAAACCGAATCGCCATCTGCCTTTGGCAGCAGCGGCCAACCAACGAAACTATGGACCCGACACATACCCCGCCGTAGCGTTCAGGGGTCCGCACCAGTCACCACCGAATACCACCTCAGCCGCTGCTCTGCCATGCACACAAGGGCAGGAATGGCAAACTAAGCGTGTACATGGGAATAGGCACCCCTACATAGCGTCGATGCGAAAGCGCCAGAACGACGAGCGAAAGGGTATTTTCGTGGCACAACTCAACCGTCCTAACCCGGTTGCCAACCTAGTCACGTACGAATCAGCTACGACAAATTCTCCAGGTGCACAACACCGTCAACAGAGAAGCCATCCAGATGTGCCGCCCGAAGTCCCCTACTAGAGCACAAACGCTGTGTGCCGCAAAAAGACTCTTAACTTCGCGGTTGAATTGGCTATCTCTCCCCTTTCCCATACTAAGCCAACGCCTTGCTACCCGACGCATACACCAACACACCCTACCTGCCGCGTCAGAGCGCGACCGAGCTGGCGGTTCGCTTGCTTCGATGGGCACAGCAGCCCAGGCATAGCCACGCTCCCCATTCGTTCTGCGGATACCCAGGACGTCCCCGCAACACCCATAACACAAGAGCCTTTGGCAGTGCGAACTCTCATACGCGACATTCCCATGAGTTGGGACGAATAGAGCACCGGGCAACAGCAGCGGGCAAGCGGCCATCACCGTGCAGCCTCCACGAAAACCGCTGCCACTAGCAAAACTGCCTCACGCCATACATACCAGTCCCATACCTAACCTTGTACATGGCAAGGCCTTCCATCCAGTCTACGTGAAGAAAACAGCCACTCATGAAAAGGGCAGTTTCGCAGATCCTTAGCTCTCAGGCCGCCACAGGCGCAGGCCAAAATATGCGGCCCAGGCTCAATAGGCATACCAGGACAAGCAAGCACCAGAGCTCGCGAACCAACAGCATCCGACCTCTCGGCACACCCCTCCTACACCAGTAAACGTACAACGTGCGTCACTTGCGGCGGTCACCCGTTCCATCTTGAGCGCCGCTAACTGCCCCAGTCTGCATGATAAAGATTGGCCAACTCCTGCAAAGAAGAGCACAAGAAGCATGGGCTAGTACGAGCCCCATGCGTAACGATCATGCCTCAGCATCTTATGAAGAGTGTTGTGTATAACATATATAGAACTGCCCAAGTCGAATCATTCGATGGTTCCGTTTCTTGTGCAGCTTATGTGCTCTCCCACTGTCGCATATATTGAACAGCGGGGACAACCGCTGTTAACGTCACCGAAAATACACCTTTGCCGTGCATAAGCCACGACTCCCGCGTGTTTGCTTATGCATGGGTTAGTTGCATCTAATCCAATGCCTGCTCCTGTGGCGCCTGCTGTTGGGCCGCCGGTTGCAGCAGCTGCTGCTGGGGCTGCTGCTGCTGCGGGATGTGCCTCGATGGTGGCACCGAGTGCTGCGAGTGCGCCGAGCTGGACTGTCCGTCGCTGTCCCGGCTGCCATCCACCTTGACCGGCGTCTTAGAGGGTGAGACCCGGATCGGCAGCGACCCTACGCGAGCAGGCAGGCAGGACAGGGGTTCATGACACAGATATTCGGCGGAATTTGCCGTGCATGACCCCCAAACACCGACACTCATACAAGACATACACGCCATGACACAGCTTAACTTGAACAGATGGCCACGAGTCGCGCAACAATACGCAGCGATCCTGGCCTTATGGGGCGTTGTTAGCCACAGGGCCCAAGCAGCTGCACACAGCTTACCAAGCAGCGCGCCGCTACAGTTGAGCGCCGCCAGGGCCCCCTCCGCGTGATGGAACTGCGAGGAGGGCAAACAGAGCGGACGGCAGCGAGTCATTACCAGCCGGCGGACTATGTATGCACTTCGTATGCATTCACCGTGGAGGCGGTAGGAGGCAGTGACATAGCACGGGTCCGACGGGTGGGTCAAGGCACGGCGAGTGCAGAACAGCGCTGCTAGGGACATGTGCGCGGCTCTCACCTCCACAAAGGCAATGCGTGTCGAGTGCGCGTAGTCGCCCAGCAGCCGAATCCGCGAAACCTTGCCTGCAGGGCAGAGCAGCAAGAGGTGGGGCGGGCAGGCTCTGCTGTGTGAGCACGCTGCCTCTGGGGCCACAGCCACCGAACCAAGGTAAACCATCAGTTAATACGCTGGACTACAGAAGGAACAAAACCCCTTGAAGCCCGCAGGTTGCACCCCATCGTTGTACCATCCCATGGCGCGCTCACCGCACAGCGACTCGAAGAACGCGCGCACGTCGTTCTTGTCGACCTTCTTGTCAATGTTGGCCGCGTACACGGTCCGGCTGCAGCGCTCCACCTCGTCCGGCGAGCGCGGCATGAGCTCCTGGTTGACCGGCATGATGGCGGTCTTGGAGGGCAGCACGCGCAGCGGGGAGCTGCCCAGCACGCTGCCCGTCTTTTCGAGCGCCTGGTAGGCAGAGGGCGAGAGAGAGCAACGGGCACAGGAGGAGGAATCGGGCATGTCGGATGTAGCCGAGCGATGGGTACCCCCCTGAAGCCACGAAATGCGGGGGGTATGGAGCGTGGAGGACTGTAACCACACCCAATCACATGGTGTAGGGCGCTGAAATCTTTTCTGTAACCACGCCATTTCCTGTGTCGGGATGCTAATCGAGCCGTGCGAGCGCTGCCTCGCATGGGGTCCCTCCACCTCAGCTGGCAACCCTTTTAGTCAACCCACCTTCTGCGCGTACTCCACCTCTAAGAACTCAATGAAAGCAAAGCGCATGGCGCTGTTGGGATCGCCGCATATGCGGCAGTCGATGATCCTCCCGCAATCCGAGAAGAACGCTGCCAGGTTCTCCTCGGTCAGCGTGCAGTCCACGTAGCTGATGTACACGGTCCGCTTTATGTTGTCCTCCAAGCCCTTCTGTGGCCGCTTCTTTTTCTGTGATTGCCCCTGCCCCCGCCCGCCTGCTAAGTGTGCTGGAGCTCCACGGCCGGCCTGCAAAGACGTCGGGCGACGAACGTTCGCGTCAGACTTTGGCAGTTAGCATTTTCTGCAAACACTTTTCCTTAAGAATTCCTCTCAGACCCACCCTTCCTTGACGAGGTCGTCCGTGCTGGAGCGGCGGTCCAGCCTGGTAGAAGTACTGCGTCTGCGATGGCCCAGGGCCGGCCGCTCCACCGCGCGCGAAAGGTCCAGGAGCATGCGCAGACATTGCAGAACTACGGCCTCTTGAACTCCCAAGCTGTAATTCGTTAAGACGCTCAGCAAGCGCGGCTGCATCGGTGAAGGCGCGTCTGTCAGCCAACGGTTGCATGCTCGTCGGGATACTGCTGTCCTTACCTGTGGCGTCCTCTTGAGGCATCGCTGCCATCCCAGCGAAAGCGTATCCTCGCAACGCGTCAGCGGTTGGCATGGCGGACATAGGCCCTACGGTTGCCCTTCAGTCAGTGGACGTGGCATTGTGCAGGACCTATCCGCTTACTTCCTACTTACCCGGAGACGGATAGCCATAGGCTGGCCCAAAAACCATTCCTGGTGGTATCATTCCAGGAGCCATGATACCTGCGAAGTCGGCCCGCAGACAAGAGCTTTTGATAAAGTGAGCTTCCTTGCAACGCCGCCCCGCAAATCCCCCTACAATGCCCAGATGGTTATGTAAAGTTCCCCATAAATAGTCCATACCTGGCGGGTAAGGCATCGGTACAGGCACCCAAGCTTGTGCATTTTGCCCTTGGTGCATTTTTTATAACCCGTAGCAGCCTAAACAACTGTTATTCTATATTCAATAAACGTATCACTCTAAACCTCCCCGATAGGAGCTCAGAGCTTATGTGTGATAGTTGGAAACACGCAATTCTCCAACGCGCCGTACCGCGGCAAAAACTGTGGTTAACGCGCGGTCGTGCCTTTCACAGTTGGGTGTTTTCCCTTAGTTCAAACACCTGTACACATAATTCAGTATAATACATCGACAGTGACCTCGGAAGTGCTTCACTTACCCAGTGACGACGCATGTTATCTCGACGCCGAAGCCAACGCCCGCCAGGAACAGGACGTCACATATGTCTTTCATTTTTTATGTTTTCCTCGCTTCTGTCTTACGCCCTGCGTTACAATTTCCTGCGGGATAGTTGGGTCGGGCGCTCGGGCCGCCCTGGTTACTGCTGCCTAGCTCACGAGTTCGTTCAGTGTCAAACACGGTTGTGACGCGTACCTGGTAGGCAGGTCCCGGGCTCCTCGTAGGTTACCATGGTCAAAGGCTGACAGCTGCAGTGGTGGCCGCAGCGCCGCACATAAGAGCGATGCTACCAGTCCCTGCGTTTCTAACTTAATTTTCCAGCGACTGGTGTCCGACATTCGCTTGAGGATGCCGACCGCTGGTCCTAGGTCCGAAGCGACCTAGGCGTACGGCGGCCGTCTTGCGTTTTCCCTTTCCACCGCATTTCAGTATAATGTAACTAATCCTTATTGTTTGCCAGGTGAATGGGCGCTCAAATCAACCTTGCCCACCTTCAAAGCGTGCTTCCAAATCTGTCCACGTACTTTTCCCAGCAAAAGACGCTTATTGCTTGTAAGATTCTTATGCTTTTATCCTAAATCAATAACAGTGCAGCCGTTTGGGGCCAATACTTCGCGGTAAAGAGGACTGTTGATATTGAGCCGAGTCGTCATATCAATTAGAGGCTCATGAATAGTCACCTAGATACCGGAAAGAATACTTCACGCAATAAGTCCATGGCGAGCGACGATGGAGATACCATGTCCTCAGGCTACGATTCCGACTACAACGATGACGATGTTGAAGTGTTTGAAGATGCCGTTGAAGCGTTCAACGATGACCCCGTATTCAGCGAGGATGTATATTCCGAAGACACCGAAGATGCCGGCGAGAGGGCTATGGTGGAGTTGGGGCAGGCTGCTGCTGATGGGGATGCATACCCCTTCATTGACATAGGCGTATTTGTGAGTACAGCTTTGCCATACAGCTTGGCCCTTCCCTTACATCCGATGCCGGCAAGCTTAAATGTATTCCCCCTGGGTAGTCTCTCCTCTTTCCTTGAAAGAGTTGTTCATGCTGGATGGCACTTCCCTTCCCTTAAGCTGTGTAAACCCCATTTTCCCATGCGTTTACTTCAGCGGGTACCCTGGCTAACTTCATCTACGCGCTTGTATATTGTAGGAGGTTGATGGCTTTGGGAACTGTCCTTGTTAGGTAGCATGAAGGGGGGATAAACGGGTGTGATGAATTCAATGGTCGGATTTTGGCCCTATGCCATTTGGAGGGCCTCCAACCCTACCCTGAAGCCCCTGCCAAGCCACCACCTGGGAAACCGACCATCGCAAATTGCGCTGAAACTTTGGGAACTGTTCTTGTTAGGTAGCATGAAGGTGGGGTTAAACGGGCGTGACGAAATTCGATGGTCGGATTTTGGCCCTATGCCATAAGGAGGGCCTCCACCCTACCCAAAGCTTTATTTCATTGATATGGGCTCCCATGCTGCTGGGTGCAGGCTCCCATGCTGCAGGGTGCCGGTGCTGCAGGTGGCAGTGCGGGTGGCGGTTCTTCTTCTGGGGCAGCGTCAGGACGTCCCACCGCTGCTGGGGGTGATGAAGTAACGTTGTCATGGGGAAGGCGTGGCCGTCGTTCAGGGTTCCCAGCCCGAGAGGGTTACACATGCAAGAGTCTTGTTGGCAGATGTGCACTGGATGCAGCGCGTCGTTTGGTTAGGAGAAAGCAGTCAGATGGTCGCACCGTCAGCAACCCATGCTCAGTAACGGCTTTCGTCTTTAACACGGCCTGCTGCTGTCACACCTTCAAAGCGGACAAGTTCTGCATGCATGTCCTGGCAGTCCGTGCTTCTACTACCAGTGCCTTGGAAACCACCAGTGCCAGTCTGTGTGTTTTTGTGTGGGTACAAGTGAGACCAAGGCCGGGTGGAGTCAGCACTATGCATGTGTCCTCCAGAGGGCACTATTGGAAACACCCTCATGCGTGCAAGCCTTTCTCGATGGGCTCCAATCATGGAAATCCTAGGAAAGGTTGTTGCCACAGCAACATCACAGGCGCCCAGCTTGAGGACATACCAGGAGAGCAGGGACCGGTACAGAGGGGTAGCAGCACTGGCACCACAGCAAAGTGTTGTTGCCCCGTGTATGTTGCGGCTGGCTGACTCGGTAACACATGGAGCTACCGGCCTCCCTTCAACGTTCCCTGACGGCGCACCTTAATCATCTTAGCAAGCTTATTCGAGGAGGGAAGGTTTCAGGGCATAGACATTCTCCTTTCGGCCATGGAATGGGGAAGCCATTGAGCTTCGCTGGATGGGAGGGCTGACGACGCGGTCGCGAGCGCGCAACAATAGTGGTTTGTCCCGAAAGGACACCAATCACTTCCAATAATCATCGGGCAGCTAATAAAGCTTTATACAGCACAGAAAGCTGCAGAAAGCGGGAATCCTTATGGCGGGTGCCGTACGCCTAGGTCGCTTCGGACCCAGGACCAGCGGCACCCATGCTTCGCTTGATGTGCTCAGTAGCTGTCAATGGTCGGTTGGTACGAAAAAATGGGCATCTGGCAAAAGATGGGCGGAACCTGGAACCCCATGCACGGTCTCCACTACACCAAGTCTATTACATGGGGTTGGCTCAGCCTGATACATTTGGTGGGTCAGGTGGCACTCTTAGACGCGCAGCGAATGGTGATTGCCGAACAGCTTGCGTTTGTACTTGCAGACTACGCCGTTGACTCAACAGACTGAAAGTCCCGCACAACTGCCCAGCAAACACGCATGGGGTCCTGAAGGCCGCGTATGTGCTCCACCCATTTCTTCGCACCGCAGTGGGTCCCAAATGCAGGTGCCCCAGCCGCAGCAACCGCCTGCCGGGACACACACCGTTCAACCGCCAGGGAGGGATAACCTGGGGGCCCTAAATACCAGCCGAGCAAAAGCTAAGCCTTGCTGCCCTCTGGGCCGCACGCGTTGCACAAACGTAACCCAGCGAAAGAATCCCTAATGCCAAAGGGCCACACAAACCAACGCCTCAGCCTACAAGCTCAAGCCCCCAAGCCAGCCCACAATATATATAACAGGCTGCCGGTTAACTTTACACCACTTTAAGAGAAGCCACCCCTGCCCTCATCATCCCCATCCTCATCACATTTCCGCCAGCAGCTGCCTCAGCAGCCCCGCTGCCCCCGCGCTGTCCACCTTGGCGGCACTGGCGGGGAAGACGCGCGCAAAGGCGGCCACCAGGTACGGCAGTACGACATCCAGCATGCAGCGCGAGGCGGCCTTGAACAGCGGCAGCTCGCTGGCTGCGGCCAGGGCGTGCGTGTGGCGGTAGTGCACCAGGCTGCCGGCCGCCTGCTCCAGAGCCGCTTGAAGCAGCCTGGGGAGGGCGGAAGTGGGGTGACATGGGATAAAACAACGATGTTCAGAATAGTGGTGGCCCATAGATAATGCATCCGACGAAACGATGCCTACTATGGTAGCCAAGGCGAATAAGAGGGTAGGGGAGGGGATTGGTGGGCATGTGTGGGAGTCCTGAAATGGGTCGGTGGAAGGGAATGTCAGGTGTTTGAAGGGTTGTGTGCTCGACTGCTCGTCCACGACCTGGTCGGTTGACTGGGCGGTAAGTGGTGAACCCGTCCTTCCCACTCCCCGTCCCTCCCCTATCGTGCAAGGAATCATGGCTTCCATGCGCAACTAAACCCAAACCCAACTGCATTCTTTTCCGTACCCTACCGCATCCCGCCAGTAACGGGACGCCCTTGCATATCCCCTTCCCTCCGCCCTCTATGGTGCAGCCTCGTCCATGGACCCCTCCCTTGTCTCCTCGCAACCCTCCCTCCCTCCCTTCTTCAACGCATGGTTAGTCTGCTTATCCCTCCCGCCGACCCCTCCATTTTAACAATTATGGTTTCATGCAATCCACCATATCAACTTGTGCGGAATGTCCAAATCCTCCCCGCCCCTCCCTCCTCTCCCCGCCTTCTCTCACCCCGCCAGCGGCTTGCTGACGGACAGCAGCGCGCAGTGCCGTATCTCGTTCAGCGCCGCCAGCACCCCGTTCACGTACACCGCCAGCGGCAGGTGCTCCATGATGACGTAAGGGGGGCCGCTGTCCTCCTCCTCAGCTGGGGGGGTGGGGGCAGCGGGGATGGGGGCGGCAGCAGCTCCGTTGGCCTCCCCCGCGGCGCCCTCCTGGTCTGGCTGGCCCGGCCCTGAGGAGCCTGGTGGGGGTGGGGAGTGGGGGTTGACGCAGGATGGTACTTACGGGGCCCATCCCACCGGGTTGGATATGGTGAAGAAGCGGTGGGGTGAGGGTGGGCATGCGGCAGCTGGGTGCAGGGTGCTGGCGCCGATGCATGCAGCCCGCGTCGAGGGCGGAACCGAGGGGTATCGCCCGGCATATACCGGTATCCCCAGCGCCCTCTATTCCCCCACACACCCTTCCCCACGGCCAACCCGTCCACCTTCCCAATGTGTCCCCCACCCCACCCACCCACTCTCGCCCCCACCTGCTGCCTGCTGCGCCTGCTGCCTGTCCGCCCGCCCCCGTGCCAGCACCGGCGCCGGCATGGCCACCCACTTGTGTCCCTCCAGCCGCGTGTTGAAGGCGTCCACCGCGGCGGACAGCTGCTCGCCGAACAGCTGCAGCGCGCACGACTCGAACAGCGGCAGCAGCAGCGCCTGGAAGTCCAGGCCCACACGGCTCAGGGAGGAGCCGCAGTACTGCGGGATGGGGAAAGAGGGGGGGGGCAGAGTCAGGGGGGAGGGGGGTAACGTGCAGCCCCCACCTCCCAGCCCACCCGCCATCAATCACCCGCAGGACCCCCACGCAATGCGCCTCCTTCTACCTCCCCCCTCTACCTCTCTCTCCCACTCTCCCCTCCTCCCCCTCCCACCATGCAGTGCTCGATGACCGACGCCAGGTTGCCCCCCTCGCCCACCGCCGGCAGGTGCCGCCGCAGCTGCTCCAGGTACAGCCCCAGCCGGTGCTGCACCCACGAGTGAAGCATGCACGTCTCGCGCAGGTGGGCCGCGGAACAACCCGCAGCGGAGGCGTCCTGGCAGGAATGGGGGTCAAAGACCATACCAAACCATAGGAATGGGGGTGGGTGGGTTACAAGGGATACATATTCCGCATTAGGCTGGTTTACAGAACTAGGGGGGGGGGCGGGTGGGGTGTCGGAGGAGCGGAAGGAAAGGACAAGACCCAGACCATAGTGTGTCCGTTATCCCAACTTCACCCGCCCACCCAGTCCAGCCGTCCCCCCCTCACCGTGGCCGCCGCCCCCGGCGCGCTGTCAAAGAACACCGCGCGGTACTGCATGACCGCATCAAACAGGTGCAGCCGGTGCACGTCCGTGAGCCGCTTCACGTACTCGTAGCTGTCGCCGCCCTCATCCAGCTCGGCCAGCAGCCCCGCCAGCCAGGCGTCGCGGCAGGTGAGGAACTGCAGGCGCAGCTGCGGCTCGGAGAAGGCGCCGATGCGGCGCAGGTAGCCCATGACGCGCAGGCACTCGGGCAGCTGGATGTTGGTGCGCAGGCGGCCCAGCAGCTGCTGCAGCATGGCGGACCCCACCGCGGATACCTGGCGGGAGGGAGGGGAGGGGGAGAGGAGAAAAGGATGTCTCTATGGGGTTCATGGGGCCATTCGTTTCTCCTTCCTTCCTTACTCCGCCGCCCCCAAGCTTGTCACGTTGTTAGCCTTTCCACCTCAGTCCTCACCCTCCCTCCCTCCTCTCTCCCTCCCCACCTCCCCCCACCCGCCTACCTGCTTGCCCAGCATCTTGACCAGCGGCACCTCCGGGTGCAGCAGCCCCAGCCGCCCCACGAACGCCTGCAGGTCCAGCGCCTCGTCGTACACCCCGTTGCGCACACACGTGTCCATCAGCTGCGGCACCTCCAGCAGCTCCAGCAGGCTGGACTGGTGGACTGGGGGGGAGGGTAGGGAGGGAAAAATTATATAAGTGAAACAACGAATCCCAATCCCATATCCCGACTCATGCAGTGAGCGCATTCGGAGGCACTAATAACACGCATCTCAAATTACTTAGGGAGGGAAGGGTGACATCAGCAGGGGGGACAGACCCGTCACGAGCGCGAACGGGGGCAGGCAGGAAGGAGCGAGGGGGCGAGGCAAGGTAGAGAGGCACGCCAGACTGCGGCCGGTGGGACGAGGCAAGAGGAGGAAAAAGCGCAGGGGAAGGCGCAGTCCTTAGGGCTGTCGACCTGGGAAGGGACCCCCGTCCGTGGCCCCGACGAAGCCCGCTGCCTGGGCCCCCCCCCCCACCTACCCTGCCACCACATGGCTACCCGCCGCCCCGACCTGAGGCCCAACTGCACCGCCCACAACCGTACCCTGCTACGTCCCGTGCTGTCAACCTGCCCTCCTTCCCCACCTCTCCTCCGGCTTCCCTCCTTGCCTGCCGACCCTCTTACCCGTTCCACCCTCCCACTCGCCTCTGCCCCTCCCCACCGGAGCGAAGCGCCACACACCACACTTTGGAATTTCTCCTCCCCCCCCACTCACTCGCCAGCTGCTTGTTCTGCGCGTGCTGCTCCTGTACGGCAGCCGCGTTGGAGGAGAAGGACTCGCACGCGGCAGCCAGCTCGGGGGTGGCCTGCAGGCAGGGAGGAGGGGAGAGAGGGGGGCAGGGGGCTGAGGGGTAGACATAGGACCGATCAGAGGAGGCCTAGCAACAGCTGTTCCTTTCCCTGCGCCTCGTCCCCCAGGGTTCAGTAGCCGCCCCTGTGCTTCCCAGCTATCGCGCACTCATCAGGAAACCAGGAAGGGGAACGAAACGCCCTCTACTCACAGCCTGAGTAGCCGTGCCCCATCCCCGCTGCTACACTGTATCCGAACGCCCTTCCCCGCCTGTCTAACAGCCCTGGGGCCCCATCCCATCCCACACATACAGCAGCCCGCCTCGCTTAGGGGCCCTGCCATCCCGAGCGTCCTCACTGGACCAGCCACGTCACCACTTCCATCCAGGGCCACGTGTCCACGCCACCGGTTCCCCTTCTACCATACACTTCCCCATTCACTTCCATTCACACCATGGCATTTCTCCGCCTTTCTCCCTTTCGTCGTCCCTTACCCGCCCCTATCCACCCCTCCCACGTGCCTGCAGCAGCGCATCCAGGTTCTCACACACCGCCCGCAGCTCATCGCTGATGCTGGTCAGGCAGTTGGCTGCGTCCAGGAAGGCGGTGTACTGCGACACGGCGGTGGTCTGCAGGTTGCGCTCCAGCTGCTCCTTCTCAGCCTTCAGCACCTCCGGCTCCTGGGAGGGGCGCCAGAGCCGCGGTCAGCCCCAACTACGCGCCCGCAACATCTGGCTCTGGGCCATGCGAAGGGTGCATGTGGCCATCGGATACGAACCTTTCGTAAGCGCTCAAGGCTGTATGACAGCAGCTCTGACATATACGCCACATCGCCCTGCCGCTGCTGTACTCCGCCCGAGGGTTGTGTTTTTAGGGGCTGACCGGAGGGCCTCGAGGCTACTAGTGTACTTGCCTGCGCACTATGGGTGCGCGGCATAGGACGGTCAGCCATGAGAAACTAATCCTACGTGTCGTTCATCCGATACATGGTGCAGAAGACGGGTGTGTTAATTTTCGATCGCCAATTCACGAATTCAGTATAAAGCAGGAAAAGGCATATCCTATGTACAGATTGCTTAGCTATGCTAGCTGTTTATGCTGTTCAGTTAGTTGCGCTTGGTTTTGCAGCATTTGTGCACGACAGTCCGGCAACTTCCAAACCAGGCATGATACCTGCGCTCAGCGCAAACCAAAAACCATTCCCCACTTTTAGACGAGTTGATCAAAATGGCGGATATAGTGCAAGTGATCAACGGGGAGGGCCAGTTCGAGCAGGACTCGGTCCAGCAGTTTGTCGCAGCAAATGAGCTCGCGCACTGCAAAACCAATTACCAGGTCGTCGCCATCATGGGGCCGCAGAGCTCGGGCAAGAGCACGCTGCTCAATCATGTGGTGCGTTTTGCGCGCGAAGCGACCGCTGGGTATCCCTCGTCGCAAAAAGTCATTTTCAGCTGCAGCTGACAAACCTTTTGTTCGCAGTTTGGCACCTCTTTCACGATGATGGACGCGCTGGCTGGCCGTGGCCAGACGACCAAGGGCATCTGGTTGTCTAAGTCGCCAAAGGTCACGGACACCACCGTGCTGGTAATGGACCTAGAAGGCAGTGATGGCCGCGAGCGCGGCGAAGACGACACCAATTTCGAGCGACAAAGCGCACTGTTTGCCTTAGCCGTGGCGGATGTGCTGCTTGTCAACATTTGGTGTCACGACGTAGGCCGCGAGCTTGCATCTGGGAAGCCCCTTTTGAAAACCATTTTTCAGGTATGGTGGGTAATGGAATCATGGGCAATCTGGGCTTAATGCACTTAGGGGAGGGTAAAACCCTTGGCATTAGGCTTCCAGCTACATACCATCTCAGGGGCAAGTGGCTAGTCCTGTAGCTTGACATGAGACACGCCGCATGAGAGCACACAAGACCAATCGTGTCCAAAACAATTGCTTAAAATTGTTTCGGCCTGGCGTTTTAGGCACCATCCATGTTGTGTCCATCCATGAAAGGGCACAGTCTGTGAGACCTCCTCCAACGTTTTCATTGCGCCTCCTGACCCAGGCAGCCCAGTTGGGAAACTAATGTACCTTTCGGGCATAAACCCACTGTTGCACTGTTTAATGGTACCGTCACTTGTCCTTGCGCCCAGCAAGAGCCCCCCGCCGCCTGAGAGTGTCCCCTCTGCGGAGTGCACACCTGACATGCACACCTAACAACCTCCTCCGCACCCCCCGCACCCTCAAGCACTATATCATTGCTTGGTTTCACCTGGGCCCCGCGTACAGCCCCACCCAGCTCATTTCTTCTTGTTACCCACTCCACCCACCCACCCACCCGCTCCTCCGCGCCCGCAGGTCAACCTGAAGTTGTTTGCCCCCGAGCCCGACCGCAAGCGCTCCGTGCTGCTGTTTGTGATCCGCGACAAGACCAAGACGCCGCTGCCCAAGCTGGTGGAGGTGCTGCAGGCGGATCTGGAGCGCATGTGGGAGGGCATTGCCAAGCCGGCAGCGTACCAGGAGTCCAAGCTAACGGACTTTTTCGAGGTGCGAGCGTGGGCGTGAGCGGAGAGGAGGGGAGGAAGGATGTCTTTGATGTCGATGCTCCAGTGGCCAGTGGTCTCTCACGTTTCAGGGTGGGGAGCCGATGCCCGTGAAGGGGCCCGGCAAGCTCCCACTAACCCCCGCTCCCCTCCTCCCTCAACTGCCCAACTGCCCACTCCCCCCCGCAGGTCCAGTACGCCGCTCTGTCACACTTTGAGGAGCGGTACGAGGACTTTGTGGCGGACTCGGTGCACCTGCGGAGGAGGTTTTCACCGGAGGGTGAGGGGGGGAGGGGAAAAAAGAAATTTCAAAGTGTGGTGTGATAATGATACAAGTTGCTGACAATCCCTGGTGGAATCAACCGTGAGTCGAGCCGAAATGGTGGTTAAAGCAATGCGAGCTAACCTTACCGAACTTACCAATTATGGAGCAACCTTACCATAGTCTTGGGCATGTGTGGAGGCTGCTGAAGGTGAGCTGGAGACCCACCGCGCCGTTGGGCATAGGCAAACAACAGGAACAGCACAACACGAGCACGCATAAAAAACAACACAGACTGACACACGATAAAACACGTACCTGCGTGCACAGGATATGTGCACCATGAGGGGGGGAGGGGAGGAGGAGGGTGGTGGGGGTGTAGGTGGATAGCGACAGGGCAGGTTGAGAGCATGGTCGGCACCTTCCTCCCTTCCTGACCTTCCCGCGGCGAGAGGCACGGCAGAGTGCTGCAGCTCCCCTCCTGCACCCTGTTACCAATGCCACCCTACCCGCGCCAAGCTGACACATTTCGCTCCGACCCTGCTCCGCCCTTCCCCTGATCCCTTGATCCTTCCCTGATTCGCCCTCACACGCCCGCCTGTCTTCCCCTCCCCTGCACAGCCGACGACTCGCTGGTTCGCGGCGACGAGAAGCTGCCGGGCGACTCGTTCGCGCTGAGCATCCGCAACATCTGGGAGGTCATCCGGGCGCAGAAGGACCTCAACCTGCCCGCACACAAGGTGGAGGGGCAGGCGGGGGGGCGCAACACTGCAGTCGGGGACCCTGATGCAGTAGGGACGCTTTGAGGCCACATACCCCTTCCTTCCTCGTTGGAAGCCCCGGGGAACAATGCAGCGGGCAGACAGCTGCCCTGTCTAGCCTTTCTCCTTACTTCACGTACATGTGAAAACGTGTCTTCCGCTGCTTCTGCTTGGCTGTGCCCCGCCTGTGCCCCACCTAAGCCCAGTCCTTCCCCCCCCTGGGACTTAGTTGTTTGCATTTCTTATATAATTTCCCCCCCCCCCTCCTCCTCCTCCCCCCCCCTGCAGGTGATGGTTGCCAACGTGCGGTGCGCGGAGATCGCGGAGGACCAGCTGCGTGCATTTGAGGCGGACCAGGCCTGGCGGGCGCTGAGGGAGGCGGCGGCGGAGGGGATTGTGGAGGGATTTGGAGCCCGGGCCAGCAGCCTAGCAGACAGCTGCATCAGGGGGTGAGAGAGGAGGGGGGGAGGAGGAGGGGGGCGAGGATCAAAAGAGGAGGCTAGCGAGTTGAAATTGACGAGGAGGGGGGATCTGCATCCACGCCAACTACACTGCATCTGCCCACTGCCATCATAACGTGGACTGTCCTGCTGGGGGGTGTCATCCCAGCAGTCCAAACCCCTCATGAGTCATGACCCACACCAGCATTGCGGCTCCAATCGGTGCTCCTTCACGCTCCTCCACCCATCCCTCCCCTCATCCTCCCCTCATCCTCCCCTATCCTTCCCTCATCCCCTCCCTCTCCCCATCTCCCCCTCCCCCCTCATGCAGCTACGAGGCCGAGGCGCTCTACTTTGACCCCTCTGTCCGCTCCTCCAAGCTCTCCGAGCTGCAGGTGCGGCTGCATGCGCTGCTGCAACCGCCCTACCAGCAGCAGGTGGCGGCGCAGCAGGCGGCGGTGCTGGCGGCCTTTGAGAGGGACGTCAAGCTGGCGCTAGTGGAGGCGATTGCCGGGGGGCCGGGAGACGGCAAGGGGGGAAGCGGAGGAGAGGGAGCAGGAGGAGCAGCGAAGGGGTTTATGGCGGCGGCTGCGGTGTGTAGGGAGCGGGCGGTGGCGGCGTTCACTGCCGCGTTTGGAAAGCACCTGCGGATTGAGGGTGAGGGGTGGGGGGTGGGGACAGGGTGTGATGTTGTCTGGGGCCGTTCTCAGTGTGAGTAAATGAAACTCGTGCGGTGGAGGGGAGGGACCGGGTTCGGGAATCGGGAAGTGCGCCTAGCCATGATTGCCTAATGACTCACGGCCCTCCCGCGGCGTCTCACTGCCTCTTGCCATCCTCGTCCTCCTTACCCACCGTGAACCCCCCGTACCTCCTGTGCCTCCCCCTTCCCCGCCCCCCAGTCGTCCCCTGTCCCTCCTGTGTATCGGAATGCGCTCACTGCATGAGTCGGGATATGGGATTGGGACTCGTTGTTTCACTTATATAAAATGTTCCCCGTTGATGCATTAATCTATATTTCCCCCCTTCCCCGCCCCCCAGTCGCCCCCTGGGACGGCTCTGCCGAGCTGGCGGCCCTGTGTGAGGCGCTGGACGCGCACCTGACCCGAGTGCGGGGCGAGCACATGTCGCAGGCGGTGACGCGTGTGGAGAAGCAGCTGGGGGCGCTGCTGAGCGGCCCCGTGATGGGGCTGCTGGAGGTGTGTGCGCCCGGCATGTGGGGGCGGCTGCACGGGGTGTGCAGGGAGGCGGCGACGGCGGCGGAGAGGAACCTCATGCAGGTGGGGGGGGGAGGTGGGAAGGATAGGGTGGGGAGAGGGTGGCTGGATGGATGCATGGTGTCGGTCGTGGAGGAAGGAGGTGGGGGGAGGATATGGATGGTGGGGTGGTAAGGTACGTCATGGGCCTCTCGTGCTCTACCTTGGCTGGGGGGTGACCTGCCTCTGTCGGTCGGTAGCCTCCTCATGGATGCATGCAACCTCGCTTCTCCTAACTTTGCCCGGGGCGCCAGCCTCCCGAATAGGAATGAGTGCATGCAACCTTCCTCATGCTACTATTGCTGCTGCTGCCGTTGTCCTCCCCCCCCCCATCCAGGCTCTGGAGGGGTTTGACCTGAGCGGGTCCGAGTCCGAGTCGCTGTCCGAGCGCCTGCGGGCCCGGGCTCGCAGCAGCATGGAGGGGCACGTGCGGGAGGCGGCGCTCACACGACTCAGCAGGATGAAGGACAGGTGGGCGGGGGGAGAGGGAGGGAGGGAGCGGAGGGGCCTGGGTGTGGGGTTGTGAGGGGGAGCTAGAGCGGGTAGTTGGTAGGGGGACGCGACTGGAGGACCGGTGAGGACTGGTGGCTGATGTTCCCTTGCTGCGTACTGCGTGGTGAAGGACCCATGGGTCCGCCAGCATGTGTAGTAGCATTGCTAGACAGGGGCTGGAGGGCCTTGTGTTGTTGCGTGTCTAATCCGCCAGCCGACCTCCACTTGCACAGTCCTCAGCCCGCAGTCCTCACCTCCGTCCCACCCATCACCGACACTCTTGCGCCCCCTCCCTCCCCTCTCCTCCCTCCCCCCCGCAGGTTCCAGGAGGTGTTCTCGCTGGACGAGAACCGCGCACCCCGCATGTGGGGGCCGCGGGACGACATACCCGCCATTGCGCAGCAGGCGCGGGTGGCGGCGGCGAGTGTGCTGTCGCAGCTGGCGGTGATGCGCCCGCCGCCCGAGGAGGGGAGGCAGGGGCAGGGTGAGGCGGGGGTAGGGGGTCGGGTAGGGGCTGGTAGCGGGGGTATGCGGTGGGCTGCTGGCGGTATGGGGAATGCAGGCGCGGGACTGTCTTTGCGCCTCTGCGCCATGTCGACCTGCCCGGCTTGATCCTGCCCTGCTTGACCCTGCCCTGTTTTGACCGTGTCCTCTTGATGCGCTAACCATGATCTCGGGTTCCCGCCCTGTCCCCCCCCATCTTCCCCCCCTCCTTGCCCAGCCGACCTGGTGGAGGCTGCCGTCATGCAGCTGGCCCGCACCTCACCTGCCCCCGCCTCCACCTCCACCTCCCACCAGCACGACTCGGCAGACAGCGACCGCTGCTCCTCCTCCGCCTCCGCCTCCACCGCCGCCGGCTGGTCCTCCGCCTCCATCGCCGCCACCCCCGGGGGCATGCCGGTGGACATGCTGAGTGCGGCCGCATGGCCGGGGGTGGAGGAGTCATGTGTGCTGCTGCACCCGCACGACGTCCGTACGACATGGCGGGAGTTCCTGTCGTACAGTAACGTACTGGTGCAGCAGGCGCAGTCGGCCCAGCAGTCGAACCGGCTGGCTAGCAACCGCATGCCTCCGCTGTGGGCGATTGGCATGATGTTGGTGTTGGGGTGGAACGAGGCCATGATGCTGATCTTCAACCCCATCTACCTGCTGCTGGGGGCGCTGGGCTTCCTGTTCCTGCGCAGGTAGGAGGAGTGGGGATAGAAGGATAAGGGGTTTGGCTCGGACTGTGGATTTGGGTTGAGGAAAATGGCCGCGAGTGGACGGTGGGTGTGGATGTGGATGTGTGAGGGACGGGCAAGGAAGCTGGTTACGGGTATGCCTGCCGTACGTCCCCTGCTTCCCACCTGCCCATCCCCACCTGCTCGTCAGCTTGTTTGCCATCCTCAACACGTTGCGGACATTGAGTTTTGTTCTTTTCCCCTCCCCGCCAGCCTGTACACGGAGCTGGATGTGGAGCGGGAGATGTCGAGTGGTGCGCTGCCGGGGGCCATATCGCTGGCGAACAAGTTTGCACCGGCGTGCAGAGAGGTAGGGAGCTCTGGGAGGTGGGAAGGCTGAAGTGGGCTACCAGATGCCGGGGAGGGCATGCGAGGAAGGGGGATAACGGGGGCATCGAGACCGAGGGATATCCTGCAGGAAGCACGGCGAGGCTTTCGTGGTGTTCACGGAAGGGTTGCTTGCGCGTATGTAGCCGTGTCGTCCCTACGTGACCCCGCGCTTGCGTTCTCCTTCCCTCTCCCCCTCTCCTTCTCCCTCTCCTTCCCTCTAACTTCCTCTTCCCCTCCCCCTCCCTGCCCCCCCCAGGTGGTGCGCAAGCCGACTGCCGCCTTCCAGGACTTCTTCCAGAGTCTGACGGGGCGGGATCAGGAGCGGCGGGCAGCGGCGTACGTGCAGCATGCAGAGGGGCAGTCGCAGCACACCCCCCTCCACACGCCGGAGGGACTCACCAGGCGCCCGGTGACAGGTGGGGGCAGCGGGAGCAATGCGATTGTTGGTGTGCAATTACTATCACAATTGCAGCGTGCTTGAAACAGCTTGAAGGAGGCTTTTTGTAAAATTTTGTTATTGGTTGGGTTCCCTAGAAGCGGCATTTTCCTTCGGGTGCTTCTTGTGCATGTCAACACTATGCCCTTGCCGGGTACTACCTTGCCGGGCACTGTCCTAAGCTGCTCCTTACACGACTGCCCCTCCACACACTCCCGCAGATGCTCCGGACTCCGCCTCCCGGGAGTTGACCGACCTCCGGCGGCAGGAGGGCAAGAAGGACCTGTAGACGGGGCAGCACCCTACGAGCGCTGCGAGGGGCGGAGGCGGGCGGTGTCACCTGTGCTGGAGAGGGACAGGGGGGGCTGGGGAGGAGTGTTGTGATGGCTCCGGGGCCGCCAGGCAGATACCGCATGCGATGTTCCAAATAGGCAGCTGAGCCGTTGGGGCCGGTGGGTGGTGGCAGCAGGTTGGGGTCCTAGACGTTTAGGGGGAGTGAGATGCGTGTGTTTGTGGGGATGGTTGTATCAGGTAGTATGGTGGAGGTGGATGTGCAGCAGGTTTGCGTTTGCTGTTGTATTGTATCATAGGGTCGACACCCGTTGCTTGAGCGCTTTAACGTGCTCCATGTTTCGGAGGTGTTGCGGAGGTGTGTACGAAAGCACTGTAACGCAGGAAGCAGTCTCGAAGTTGGTCGCTGGGAGCCTGAGACAGCTCATGTTGCATGTTTGCACGGCAGCTGAGGTGTGGTGTAATGCAAGGACTGGACTAGCAGTGGGGCCTGGTATTGGTTTTTAGCAGACATAGCCGTCCTTGTTACATCCAGACATGGCCGTCCTTGCTACATCCCTGTTGTTCCCCTGACCCTGTCAACCCAACAAGGATGCATCAGGATATCCTGATTCAGGAGTAGCCTCACCCGACTCCTATCCCAGTCCTTGTTGGATCAAACGCCCCAACCAACCCAAATCTGCTCGAATTGTTTTCACTGCATGGAGGTCTGCTACAGCAGCCCTCCGCCGCCGTTTACCCGACTCCCACACGCATTTGCGACCGGGGACAGCACGTGTGTGCCGTACCCCCCCACCGTCCAGCAGTTGCCCCACCGCCCCTGGCCGCCTCCATCATCACGCGCCCTGCTTGGGTGGCCGGGGCGGCTGCGGGCCCAAGTTCTCCTGCAGCCACCCCCATAGCTTTCTGACCTGTTGTATATGAGGGTAGGGGAGGTAGCGAGGACGGTAGGCGTATGGCGGTAGAGCGGCAGATGTGCCCTTCAGGCTTTTCACTCCTACCGATACGTGACTGTTATAGTACGTGCATTTTGCGCTAATATTAGAGCCTTTGTGTGGAGTTTGCGGGTGACATGTCCCCATGGAAGACCCTAGCTGGCCCAACATACACAGTAGGGCTTCTCCAGAGGCAAAGCAAGCAGCAAGGACAGGGACTAAGGTGTACGGGGCTCAAAGAGGAATCAAACGAATAAAATTGCGAGTTAAGGCAGGTTAAGGCAAGGTTGAAGGGGGAGGGCACGCAGCAGGCGTGCTGACGACAAACCCGTGGCTGAGGGAGGAGGCGCGGAACTCCCGCACCGGGGCAGGGGGTATCATGCATGGACCTGCATCTGGTGCTGAGGGCGGTGGGTGCAAGCCCGGGGGGAGGGGGTGCAGCCGTACCGATGGTGGGGTCATGTGAGGGACGCAATGGCAGGTGGCCGGAGCACACTAACCAACGCAACCGTGCACTTAAACATTACAGCAATGCATATGTAGTTATTGAGTGAGATGCGTCCGCTGTATACCAGAGAGCAGTGAATCTGGCACCTGCCTGGGCCTCCCCCGTGTGGCGACTGGCGAGCGACTCGGACATGTTACCGAATGGTAAGCCTATCGTGATATGGATCTTGTGAAGTGGAGTCGAATGGCGCTTTTGGGGGGCAATTTAGCGAAGTTTTCAGCGTTACCTCGAGTTTAGGGGATACTAGCCCAACGCCAAGCCTGTCCTTACGGTGTTATTGCTTATTAGCGCAGCATGAGGGGCTGGGGCCCGTACGCAATACCGGTATGTTGAATGGGTGAATGGCACATGACATGATTGTTTCTACACTCCTCGTGTCGCCCCAGTGATGCCCCAATGCAGCAAGCGTCCCTTCGCAAACAATGACTTCGACGCCTCCCAACTTTTAATGCTTAATACCCATGCTAGTACCCATGCATACCGTACAAAATACCGGTAACTGCTGAGCGCAATCCTTCTGTCCACGTCAGGAAACATGCTTTGCCCGTCAATACGTCAAACCTTCGTCCAGGACCATGTCTCATGCTGTGTCGGTCAATGCACAAGTTACAATGCATGCAATCTCATGAGATTCCATCTCGCCAGAAGCTCACCAGCCGCAGCAGCACCACTCCCTCCAAAGGGTGCCCCCCAGACCCTGCACCCTGCACCCCACACACTGCCCTACCCCACCATGCGTTCACCTCCCTAGCCCCCAGCCCCGCTCCCCAGGGTTGGCTTCTCCAGCTGCTCGTGTGCCCCTCCTCAGCGGTCGCGCGGGTGCTCCAAACAGTAGCGCTTACCGAACAGGGCTTGCCGCTGCGGGGGGGGGGACGGAAAGAGGAAACAACTAACTGACCGTGTGATAAGGCATCATCACATGCGAGGGATAAAGAGGGGTGAATGAATCCGCACAGGCTTATGGTGAGCGGTGGCCCTTGCATCAATGCCGTACATGAGTACGTAAGTACACCAAACTGCAACGCCGCAGACAAGCCAAACCTTCACCCGGGTTGCTTGCACCGAGATCCCCACCCCCCGGGAACCCCTCCTCTCTCAGTCTCTCTCCGCCCCCTGCCCTCCAGCCCGCTGCCCACCATGCTGGTGTGTCCGGTCACCAGCGCCGGCGCGATGTGGGGGCTGCTCATGATGGTGAGCACCACGATGTCGCGGCTGTAGACCAGGTTGGGCAGCAGCTTGGGCGTCAGCATGAAGCACTGCGGCGTGTTGGCGGCGGTGGAGGCGATCACTAGCTGCTGGAACACCTGCACGGAGGTGGGGGGGGAGGGAGGAGGAGAGGGAGGTCGTGGTTTGGGCTACGGGGTAGGAGAGTATCAGTACTAAAGGGCGGCAGGGATAGGACGGTAGGGCAAGCGCGCCGGAAGCCAGTCGGTGCAATCGAGCCTGCTCCTGGTCTGAAGCTGCTTCCAGGGGCTCAGCCACGAGATCGCCCCAGGGAGGTCTAGACGAGCCCGGTTTACGACGGGAAACCTGCAGGACAGTGCGTGGCGTCCGCTGCCCCCTGCCACGATCCCAAAGCCGCATGCTGTTGGACCAGGGCGGCCCCCACCGCCCCTGCGGCAGCGCACCCCCCAGCTGCCCGCTGCTGCTGCTGCTGGCCTGCCCACCTTGCGCTCGTTGATCGGGTCCATGCCCTGATTGATCTCATCCACCACTCGGAAGGGAGTGTCCGTGACAGCCTGCGGGAGGGCCGCGGGTGGGGTGGGGAGGGAAGATGGAACATGGGGAGAGGGCTGTACACATATGGTTGGTGGACTGCGAAGCAGACAGCCGCCTAAAGTCATGCGCGGTGACTGTCGACGTACCTGCTATGATGTCGTTGTATGATGCGCCACCATGCCACGCCACGCAGAGTGCAACCTCACACCGCAAAGCTTGCAGCAGCCGGCTTCGTGCAATAACAAACTCCTCATGTCCCACCCGAATGCAACCACACACGACAGTTGCACCCCCACCAGCACTCCTTACCACAACCCTTCCCTTGCCCCCCTTCCGCCCCCCCCCCACCTGCAGCGCGATGAGGTACAGGATGGTGGAGACGCTGCGCTCCCCGCCGCTCTGCCGGTGGGCGGTCAGCAGCTGCATTTCCTCGTGCGCGCGGAACTGCACCCTGCGCATGCACCGGCAGGCAGCACACCGGCGGGGGGGGGTGGGGGGGATGGGTGAGGTGGGTCCACCGGGGCCGGCATCCCGCAGGCAGCTCAGCAGCCCAATCCTCATAGCACACGCAGGCGTTAGCAGCCAGGTAAATGAACTTGCCCAGTGCCGGTTCATCTACCCTCCCCCTCCCTCCCTCCCTCCCTCCCCCCAGCCCGCCCCGCCTCACAGGATCTCAATGGCGAACTTGTCGTAGTCCTCGTCCTCGTGCAGCCGCACCTCCCCCGCGCAGCCGATCTCCTTGAAGTTGGCGGAGAAGGAGGAGTTGATGGTGGACACCATGGCCTGGATCTCGGGCAGCCACAGGTTCTGGGGGGGAATCGGTGGGCGGGGGCAGAGGGGGAGGTGGGAGACGAGGAAGAAACGAACCAACCATACGACAAGACTCCACTATAAGGAGCAGTGAAAGGGGGTGGGTGGAACAGGGAGTGAGACACGGATAGATACGGCTGTGTAAGAGTGTAGGGGATAGGGCCGGCTGCTGCCCCTCCTCCCAATCCCCCCTCCCTCCCATGCATGCACCCCCCATCTCCCACCCCACCCCACCCTGAGCTCCTCGATGCGGGCCCGCAGCTGCACCAGCTCCGCGTCGTGCCGCTCCAGGTCCGCCTGCAGCTGCGCTATGTCGGCAGCGCGCCTGGCGAGGGGGGGGGGAGGAGCGAGGGGAGGGGAGCAACACAGGGGGAATAAGTTCCAGGGCCGACGGTAGGGGGTGGGCGGAGCACGTGGCGTGAGGGGCCCAGGGGGGTGTGCGGAGTGCAACGCGGAGGGCAGGAGCCCAGCGGGCCACAGCTCACACAGCATGCGCCGCACATGCATGCGTGCGGTCAGCTGGGAGTGCAGCACCAGTGGAAGAACCGCGTGTATTAAGAAAACTGGCCGCGAGTAGGAACGTACTGATATTGTCGGAAGATGAAGTCCCCACAGAACCGTCGCAGGAGCCGAGGAATATGGTAGTCGTTTGTAGATATACCGCGTGTATGCACGTACGGCAAGGAGCAGCAGCCTACACTGCCCCCTCCCAAACATGCAAGCAATGGCACCCACCACACACACCCCAACCACGCGGCCCCCCCTCACTTGCGGTACTCTGCCACCACGTTCTGGTTGGCGCACACCACCTGCTCCGCCTCCGCCTCCTTCGCCTCCGCCTGCTGCAGCAGCGAGCCCGAGGGCACCTTCTCCCGCTCCAGCCGCTTGATCTCCTCCCTGCAGACCAGCCATGAGGGAGCAGCAGCAGCACAGCGGGGCGGCGCCGTTTTTCCAACAGGTTCCGGAGTTTTTGAAGCTTCACTAGGCAAGGCAGGACAGCGGCGGTAGGCTGTCTCGGCCTCATGAACGAGGAGACAACTGCTGCCTATGCGGCGCTCGCACGAGTCGCCGCCATTCAAGCCGCCCCCCCGCACCGCCAGCGCAACTGTGTCAGCAGCGGCCCCAACCCCACGCCCCTACCCCAACCCCCCAGCAGCACCCACTTGTCAGCATCCGTGGGCGGGTACTCCTCCTGCGCCCGCTCCTTGGCCCGCTTCGACTCCTCCAGCTCCGCCCTGAAGCGCCGGTCCGCGTCCTCCACCGTGTTGCGAGCCGCCTGCAGGTCACCCTCGCGCCGCCGGCGGGCGGCCTGCAGGGCCTCAAGCTGGGCAGGGGAGAGGAAGGGGGGGAGGAAGGAGGGTAGAGTGTTTAGGGTTAACAACCACAGTGAATTGGATTTTCAGTAAGTACAAATTGTTAAACACGGCAGTCACATAATAACGAGTGACTGGGACTTGACGTAACTGGATTGGATGGGCCTTACACATTTCGCGCTCTTGCTGTGCGCGAAGTGCATAAGGCCCATCCATTCCAGTTACGCCAAGTCCCGGTCGCTCCCCTTCTGCCGTCTTCCCTATATCCGTTAGGCTATAGTATGGAAGCCGTAGTTAGTGGGAGGAAGAGGGGGTAGGGAGGCTTGGGGGCTAGCCACTGCTGGCAAAGGGGTCGCCACGGCTCATGCGGTACTGGACTGCAGCTGCGGATATGCAGTACAGATAAGAATCGATGACAACGCAAGGTCCCTGCGCCGCCCTGCGCCCTCCCTTCCCCTCCCACTCCCCCACCTGCGCCGTCATCTCGCTCTGCCGCAGCTCCAGCAGCTGCCCCGCGCGCATCACCTGCCACGCCTCCTGGCTGGCGGCCAGCAGCTGGCCAACCTGGGGGGAGGGGGAGGGGGACACATGGGGGGAGGGGGTGCTGGGATAGTGGGATCAAAGAGGAGAGGTTACCATCAACCGCGTACCCCAATCGCCAACAATACGTCACCTGCCGAACCCCCTCTCCCGCGCGCCTTCCTTTCTACACGCTCTTCCAGGCCGCCGCCCACCCTCCCACCAGTACCCCGCACCCCACCCTCCCACCAGTACCGCGCTACCCACCAGCACGGCATGCTGGGATATGAGGGAGTGGATGTCATGCCGCAGCAGCGGGCGCCTGAGCTCGGGGTCGGGCAGCGCCTCCTTGTGCTGCAGCGCCCGCTGAGCGGTCTGCACGGCGCCCATCAGCTGGCCGCGCCTGACAGGAAGAGGGAGGGAAAGGTGGCATGCGGTTAGGTTGCTGGGTAGGGGGGGAGGTGGGGAGATAAATAATCATGTGGGTCCGCGCGACAAGACGTCTATAGCTAACAGGAGTAGGGAGGTGGGCCGGATGTTGAAGTGCGAGCGAAGCGGCCGAGATGCTGGCCGTTGCAGCAGGAACAGGGAGCAGGTCAGTGCATGGGTGCGTGTATGGGAGGTTGGGAGCACTTCACGGAGGCACGGGCTACACGTGGCACCACACCCTACAACGAACTGCATGAAGTGACATGCATGAACAGTTGAACACAGCAGCACCGCCACCGCCCCGCAGGTCCGGAGCGCGGCGGTGCAGCTCCACCCCCTCCTTTCCATGCTTGCAACCCATGGTGACGACAGCCTGTCAATCAGCTCTTCAGCTTCTACCCATTTACCCCCCTAGCAGGCTGGCCCCTGCAGCCTCCCCTCCCCTCCCCTCCTCTCCTCTCCATCCGGCCTCACTTGTTGTTAATCCGCTGGCACTCCGCGTTGTACCGCTCGATCTCCCTCCTGCACTGCTCCTGCTGCTGCTCGTGCTGCTGGCGCTGCTGCTCCAGCTGGTCGGACTCGGACTGCAGGGCGTCGCGCTCCTGAAAGGGGGGAGGGGGATTAAGCATGCAAGCAGGGGGAAATCAACTGAAATAAACTGGTGGGCGGGGTCGGGTGGGCGGCAGGTAGTGAAAAAACACCGAGCGGTCTGCATCTGAGAAGACGATCGTGGTACACGTCATGGCAAGGTAACTCTTGCCATGAGCCAAACGAGCAGATGCAAAGCGGCCGCAGTCTTGAACCTCGTATCATGTAGCATAGCCAACCAAGTGCCTGCCAGAGCCCGCTCCTCCCCCCATGTGGTTTCCTTTAGTAGGATTTGCTCCCTCTCCCTCCCTCCCTCCCTTCCCTCCCCACCCCCCCACCTGCGTGAGCTCCCGCTCCCTCTCCAGCAGCGCCGCCCGCTCCTGGTCCTCCTCCGCGCCCCCGCCCGCCCCCAGCACCCGCACCGGGAACAGCTCCCGCTGCTCGATGTTGCGCACGTCGGCGTAGCGGCTCTTGATGACCGAGTAGCGCACGGTGCCCACCAGCACGGTGCTCACGGGGGTCTCGCGGCCCAGCGTGTCCATGCAGGACACGGCGTGGCTGAGGGGGAGGGAGGGAGGGAGGAGGGCAGGGAGGGGGGTTGGGAGTGACCCATGGGTCCATGCAAGGGTAGGGCAGGGGAGTGTGGAGAGAGGAGGTCCCCGGGGGTGGAGGGAAATTAGGAGGAAGATTAACGAGGTCAACAAGGACGTAACGTTCGCAGGTTATATATTTATACGAGGTCTTAACAAGTGCGGAAGCTGCATAACCGACTCTTTGGAGCCCCTGCTCTAGGCAAGTATAGGCAGATTAGGTACACGCAGGAGGGTCCCCAAGGGAAGGGAGACATGCAGGCGGTGCGGACACCCTCAACACCGCGGCCCCTCGCTGCTGCAGCTCCCCCTCCGCCATCAGCCCCCAGCAACCAGCTTCCCTCCCTTCCCGCCCCCACATGCTCCCCGCCGCCCACCCCCCCCTACTCACTCGTTTCCCACAAACACGCTGTCCAGCCTGCACTGCTTGTTGAGCGCGTGCATGATGATGTGCGGCGCCTCAACCAGCTCGTCCAGGGTGTGCATGATGCCGTACCTGGGTGTGTGTGGGGGAGGGGAGGGCGAGATAGGGCTGAGCAGCAGCAACAACAGCAGTGCAACCCAGCAACCCAGTAGCTGCCCAGGAACGAGGGATTGTGCGCGGCGTGAGGCGGAAAGAGCCGGTTACATATGAGTGTTGCGGGCATGGCCGTTATCGGTGCACTGGCGGTGCTGTATCGCAGTATCGGGCCCACCTCTGCCGGGCCCCACCTGGCGTGCTGGCTGGCCGTCCCCGCCGGGTACTGCGGCTGGAAGGGCGTGGCGGGGTCGTAGGTGGTGGCCAGCACCTTGACGTTGTGCACGTCCATGGAGCGGGCCTTCTCAGCGAGCGTTGTCTCGTCCTCCCTGGAGGGTGGGTGAAGGGGGGTGGAGGGGAGAGGTGGAGGGGAGAGGTGGAAGGGAGAGGTGGAGGGGAGAGGTGTCATACAACGGCTTTAGGGAAGAGCAGCTTGCAGGGTTGTGCCATCCCTCCACAGCCTTACACATACTCGCCTTACTCGCGGCCAGTTTTCTTAACATACAAACCTCCACTCCCTTCTCCCGCTCCCCCTTTCTTCCCTGCTTCACTCTATTCCATTGTCCCTGACCTGTGGTTCTAGTCAGTCTCCCCCCCCCACCTGCACGTCACCAGGTAGGATCCCAGCCACGTGAAGCAGGTGTTCTCCACATACTGCACCGCCAGCGGGCTGCCCGCGCCGCCCGCCACCGACAGCTCCAGCGCCAGCGGCCCGAACACGGGGCCGCGGAAGGTGCCGTCCTCCCGGTGCTCCTCCACCCATGCGTGCAGCGAGGCGATGTTGCGGTGGCTGGCCTGCAGCCGCTGCAGCAGCTGGTACTTGCGGCTGTTCAGGGTGTCCAGGCGCTCTGGGGGTGGGGGGGAGAGGGGGAGGGGGAAGGGGGGTGGAAGAGGGAGAGGGAAGCAAAGGTGGGTTTGGGGAGTCAAGACAACGAAAAGCGGCTTTGGATCAGGTGAAAGTGGTTTGGGAACTTTGTGGTAACTATGCGGTGTACAATAGGAGCCGGGGGATCATACACATGGACACGGCCATACACACCCTCGCACTCGCCTGCACCCGCCCTCCACCCCTCACCTCTGACTCTCCCAATGTCCGCCTGCACTGCCTGTATCTGGCTGGCCAGCTGGTTGCGCTGCCCCTCGATGTTGCCCACCTCGCGCCGGCTGGCCTGGAACTGCTGCTGGAACTGCTGGGCGCGTTCAGCCTGGTCCTGAAGGTAGGGGGGGGAAGGGGGACAGAAGGGGGGGAATGAACAAGTTGGGGAACAATAGGTAGCCCAGCGAGAGGGTCTGAACCTCGACATGCCACAATGCGACTTCGGCGATACTCCCTGCTGTTGTTGTGGTTTGCCTGACCGTATGGTCAGGCCTCTTGGTTACCCGACTAGCGCCTTCACAGCATCGTTACCCGAGCCCGCCCCCCTCCTTGCCGTTCCTTCCACCCTACCACGACACCGCTACCCCCACCCCGCCTATCCAGTTCGTCAGTCTTCTTTATTTTTACCCCGCCTACCTGTGACGGCCGCTCCGGCGCGCTGGCCAGCTGCTCCTGCGCCTCCGCCAGCCGCTGCCGGGCCGCCGCAATGGCCGCCTGCCGGCTGCGCGCCTGGTCCTCCAGGGAGGCCAGCTCCTCTACCTTGTTATTCACGTCGTTGTCCTGGCGAGGGGTAGGAGAGGGTTGGGGGGGACGGGGGAGAGAGGGGTAAGATGATGGAAGCCTTTGACAGGAACAAAAGGCAGGAGGTAGCGGACTGCGGTGACTTCCACCGGTATGGGCGCTAAGAGTGACGTCAACATGCAAGTATGCCGGGCCAAGCGTGGTGCCCGTTGGAAGAGGGCGGGCATGCGGACATGCACGCACAAGACGCAGCAGCGTAATGCCCCCTCTGCAGCTCAGACGAGCTGAGGACCGCATCTCCAGCCTTGCACCCGGCACGGCAGTTCACACCATCCAGCAACTGGCTAGGTACGTACACCCACGTACACAGTATGTTCCTACTCGCGGCCAGTTATTTTAACCCACGTACACCCACGTGTGTGTTGCGCACCCAACACCATGCCCCCCACCCCCCACCCCCCAACGCCCACACACAATTTTGTCCAGCTTGTCCCGGATGTTCTGCATGCTGCGGTCCACCCGGCGGCCCTGCTGCTCCAGCTGCGTGCGCTGCAGCTTGACAGCCTTGATGTCCTCCTCGCGCTGCCTGGGGGGTGCGGGTGGGGGGGGGGGGGCGGTGGGAGGGGGGCGTCAAGGGGTGATGCGAGGTTGGGGCCCCCAGACAGGACGTCATGGCGTCAACGGAGCCCGGGTGCTGCGTGTGCGAGTGCGTGCGTGCTGGGCTGCTGTCCTAGATGGCTGTACGGAGGACACATGTCAGAGACGGACTCAGCCCCCGCCCACCACAGCGCATGCATGGCAGTTGTGCAGCCCACCACGGGTTCCCCACCAAGCAGCAGTACATGACGGGGACATCAACCCATGCAAGCGTGAAAGGCGGCTGCTGCGGCTACTGATTTTAAGGGACGATGGGGGCCCCGGAACAAGCACGGTGCCACCACCGGCCTCGCAACAAACAGCTGCCGTGGCCTGCACCAAGACCGCCAACCCTCCCCCCATGCCTCGAGGTCCCCCCCCTCCTGGCCCGTTGCCGCGTCAGTGTGTAATTTTTACCCCTCCTGCCCCGCGACTCAGTTTATCTAACCCCCCTCCTGCCTCACCTGATGGGCTGCGTGTCCTCCTCCTGCAGCGCCTCCAGCCGCCGCAGCTCCGCCCGCTCCTCCTCCAGCTTCTTCTTGGCGGCCTCCGCGGCCCGCGCCTTGGCGCACACGGCCAGCCACTTGGCCTGGCAGCGGAGGGAGCGGGCCTGAGGAGGGAGGGGGAGGGGGAGTGAGGCAGAGCGTGAAGGTAGGGGGTTGCGGGTTAGTGGTGGGCAGCTGCGACTCCAGGTATGCAAGGCTACGCAGGGATAGCGTCTGCATGCTCGTGTTGAATGCGCCAGCCGCCATGCCATGCCAGGTACCGCCGGCCATGTGCCAGCACACGAGCAGTGCTGCTCCCCCTGCGGCACTACCAGGGCGCTTCCCCACCCCACCCTGCCAGCCCCCCTGCCCCCTCACCTCCCCCAGCAGCCTCTCCCGCTCCTGGAATCGCTGGTAGTCCCGCTCCTGGCGCTCCTGGTCCGCCTGCAGCTTGGTCAGCCGGGTGGCGGTGGAGCCGCGGTCCTGGGGAGGGAAGGGGGGGAGAGGAGGAGGACACACAGCAGGCCAGGGTGGTTGGATAGAGGAGGGAGGGCTGGAGAAGGGTACGGTTTCATGATACATGGCGGGAGGTGTGTACGCCACCGCCCTCCTTGCACCCCTTAGGCACACCCGTTCCTCCCTCCGCCCGCCGCTCCGCGGTCCCCGCCCCCCACCACCCACCGCCGCAGCCTGCTTCTCCTCCTGCCTCAGCTGCTTGAGCCGCTGGTGCTGGTCGTGCAGCGAGGAGTCCCCCAGCGCCTTCTCAGTGGCCGCCAGCAGCTGGTACTTGTCCATGTGCGCAAACTCAACCACCTTGTCCTGGGGCAGAAACTGCGGGCAGCAGGGGGAGGGGAGATGGGGCGAGGGGAGGCGGGTGGACATGGGGGGAGAGTTGGGGTGGCATGCGAGCGCGGTGGGAGGGATGTTATGGGTGGTGGACAAGGTGTCTCTTGTCCTGCTGTCGCAAACCAGTCCATGTAGCCCAGGCGACTTAGGAGCCTCAGTGCGCCGCCTCCACCGGCCTCCTGTCCCGTACGTAGCACAACCCTCCACCGTTATGACACCACCCGCCCCCCACCTGGCACAGGTTGTCGAACTGCACGTTGAGCTGCTTGACCAGCTTGTCTACGTCCTTGGAGGTGGCGTCGCGGCCTGCGGATGGGAGGGGGGGAGTGCAGGAGGATGCGGGGAGAGACGTATTTACTTCCAAGGTGGCAGCGACGGTGGCAACCCGAGCCGTGACCCGGTGCATCGGCAGCCAGGCAGCATCAGCAGCGGCATCCAACGGCTTGAATGAGTTGAAAGCGGAGCCCAAGGGGCCACAAGCATGATGTGCGAGTACGGCTACACGTCGTACGCTCCCTAGTAGCCACACACACGACATAACCGTTAAGGAGGTGCCGGCCTGCCTCATGCGTGCTCCGTTCTTCATAGGCCATGTCCCCTAAGCGCCCCTCGTTCCTCCCCACCACAATCAACTCGCACCGTTGATGGTCCACTTGCTCTCGTAGCGGTCGGTTCCGTGGTCGTGCCAGGTTTTGACGGTGCGGCGCACCACGTGGTCGCGTCCCTCGCCGCCCGAGCTCAGCGTGATCTCCGTCCAGAAGGAGTGGCAGCCGCGGCGGACAAAGTCACGCAGGTTGTCAGCTCGACCCAGCGTCTGCACGGCGCCAGACAGAGGAAGGGAACGGGAAAGGGGAAAGGATTGAACGGTCGTGGCGCATCCGGACCATGCTTTAAGAAGTGTTCATAAGCTGTAGACGCGGACGCAGGCGCCGGACCTCCCCGGATGTGCTCCGTAGCACTCGGCATGGAAGCAGACCCTGAGGTCGCCGTCGCAACGCACCTTGGGTGAACCGTTCAGGCCGAGGCAAAGCGCGCAGACGAAGGAGGACTTGCCGGTGCCTGGGGGAGGTGGGTATAGTGCGCAGGGCAGGGTGCTGTTGGCAAGGAGTTGCCGCGAGCGGGGACTGCAGCCCGGGGGCGGGCATGCAGGAAGTGCATGTGGGGAGCTTCCTCGAGCGCCTTGTGGGTGTTCTGAATGGAGGATAAAGGCCAAGGCAGCATTGCCATGGCCAGGCATGCGTATGCAAGCAAGGCAGCCGTTTCCACGTAGGTGTTTTAAGGGGCTAGTTGGGTGTGTCGTACGCACCGTTGGGTCCTAAGACAAGGTTGAGACGTGGACCTGGCTTGATGGTGACGGGGCCGCCATAGGTCTGCGTGGGATACGGCGGGTCGCGGGGACACCGAAGAACGTCACGGTAAGGCAGTAGTACGGCCCCTTGGGGTACCCGTGCTTCCGTTGGCGCAGGGGGCCTAGTACCCTGGGCTCCGTGCGGGGCTATGCCCCTCGCTGAGCATATTGGAGCTGGCCCCCCTATCGGCAGGATTCCTGGAGCAGCGCTCAGCCAAGATGGTTGCACCGCAGACTCACCATGAAATTGTACACCTTGACTTCCTTCACAGCGCCCTTGGCAAAAGGCGTCGTCCTATGGGCAAAGATTGAGTTCAGGAAATGTATGAACAGCAAGGTGCTGTAACACTTACGTCCTCGGCCCTCGGCCAAATAAACGCCCAGAACCGGATGGCCCAGCGCCCTGTGCAGGTTCAGCTTGTTGTTCTTCACCAGCTTGCCCTGCATCCTCATTGTCGTCGAGATCGTCGCTCTCGTAGGCCTCATCCTCAGACTCATTGTCCTCCCACCCACGCTCCCGCTTAATAGATGGCATGGCGTTTGGTCTCTAGGGACAGCTGTCGGGCTAGATAAATCGCAGAATACTGACTAATGTCTTCAACAGGTTCCCATCCTAACCGATACAAAACAAAGGCGGGTTGAGATTAGCCTGAGGTGAAGAGGCGCAGAAGTTGGCCGTGAAGGCAGGCAAGGAAAAAGCCTTGCACGCCACTGTGTGTACCTTTACCCTTTGATACCTTCGCGCATGTGAGGGTCCTGAAAGCTGCCACACTTTCCGCTCAATTTCGATATGGTACGGCGCAGCATGGGTGGGCATGGATGGTATGTGCTGTGCTAGCACGCTTTCACCTAACGCCTGTGCTGTGCTGTACTCGCTGTCTCAGTACATTGCTTCACCCAAAGAGCTGGTTGACTTCCTTGCTTGTTCTTACTATCAGCAGCAGCGTAGGGTGGAACCATCTTCTAGCTACAGGCGTTCGCGCTACGAGCGCGCATTTCATTGTGATAGGAAGTCTACATACCTTGCAATATGGCTACCGATAGCCGAATGCCTGCAGGCATCGTAGTTATGCGGCATGGCAGGAGGGAAGACACTGCCAATCCAGCGTGGCACCTCACGGCCAAGTTTCCTTTTGATACTCCTTTGGTTGCTTCTGAAAGTGAAATATCAGGAGCTGCCGAACACTTAACCGGGCGTACCTTTGATGGTACGTGTTTTCGTGCTTCGCCTGTTGCGCTCCGTCGCTGCTGAGAAGCCATGCACCGTGCAGGTATAGCCATGCCGGTGTAGCCCTTTCCCATGCACGGCAGTCTTACAGACCTGGCTATACTTGCCCTACGGTCTGTCTGCTGTGCAGTGGTGTACTGCTCACCCTTCCTACGTTGCATCGAAACGGCGGAGCGGCTTTTACGGGAAATGGGGGCTGTGGATGTCCCCATGTTCATACACAGGGGCTTGAGCGAAGTCCACAACCCACGTAAGTGGGCAACGGGGTGATCGAATCGCAGAGGGAAAAGGAACCTCGCAAGCTTCCCAGCTCGGAGCCTCCAACCCTAAAGCCAAAAAAACTTTCGCGGCTGCGGCAAGCCCCTTCCCCGCCACCAGCTCCTGTCCTCTCTAGCAGCCCGATTCACACGGCATCACTTGACCCTTTCCATCCGCCCACCACAACTCCGCCTGCCCTCTTCACCACCCGCACAGAGCTCCTCTTCAAGTGCCGCACACTCACCCTGCGGCAGCGCCTGCGCCTTTGGCAATGGCGCGCCACCTACCGCCGCCACTCCCGGGCGCTGCGGTCGCGCTTCCGGCCCAAGGCGCGGCTGCTGGCGGAGGGCGACTGGCCGCAGGTGCCGGAGTCGGAGCACGCGGCTGCGGAGCGGCTCATGCGCGCGGTGCTGCAGCTGGCCGCCAGACACCCCGGACAGCAGGTGGGTGCAGGACCGGGCGGGGCGGGAGGGTGAGAAGGAAGGACTGACGAGCTGAATGACGGGGCTTCAACATGGGCGGGGCGGAAGGGGGGCGGCCGGCGTTGGGCTGCATGTGGGCTTGCGTGCAGGCACCCGCTTGGGATCTGGAGGCGCGGGCATGGCGTGGTGCTTGGGGAGTCATGCTGGGTGCGGCAAACTGGGTGCCAGACTGGGCCTGTCGCCTGGCCGTTGAAACAGCCGCTAAGCCAATAGGACCCTTGAGCCTTAGCATCCCTGGTGAATGCGTGTCCCATGCGACTGCATGGGAGTTCACGGGCATGTCTCTTCCTGCCCGCGCATGTCTCTTGCCCTTCGTACCTTTCACTGCCTCCCCTGCCTCCCCTGCCCCCCTGCCCCCCTGCCTCCCACCCCCGGCCGCCCAGGTGCTGGTTGTGTCGCACGGCAAGGCGGTGCAGGTGGCGCACGAGGTGCTGGGCGGCCAGGGGCGCACGCGGCAGGTGGACTTCGCGGGGCTGGTGGCGTGCAGGCCCAGGCGGCAGCCGCAGGCAGCACAGCAGCAGACTGGTGACGGGGTGGCCTGGTCGGCGTTCGAGATGGACCCCGACGTGAAGCCGTTTGGAGTGGAGTTGGTCGAGTCGGGGTGATGTGTGCAGGTGTCTGCGGTCGTGCGTCGCTGAAGTGTAGGGGATGCCGGTACATGAGGCTTCGTAGGGACGGTGCGACCCGATCATTCATCTGAGCACGATGATGCGGGGGTTGGCGCATGCATGGCATGACCGAACTGGTGATCTGGGGGCTTGTGGCTAAGTGACTAAGCAGTGCGCAGGTGGGGACTGTCTGTCTACTTGTGTGCCTTGGGTGGTTTTCTTGATATTCGTACTAGGCGCACGTCGTGAAGCCCTTAGTAAGCTTCGCGGAATGCAGTGCGGCAGGAGACGAGGGGCAGGACGCAGGTGGTGTATTTTATTCGTGCGCTGTGCTACAAGTGAACGAGTGTGCCTAGAGATGTGTTTAGGAACGTTCATTCGGTGTGGATGTTCCATGTTAATGCTGACCAACGATTTGATCGCACCTATTGTTTGAGCCTACTATTTTGTTTAAGTTGTCAGGTATTTCCTGAGGTGGTTACCAGTTGCCCAACCTCTTCTTGTCTTGCGTCTCCATTAGTAAGTATGGGGGTAGCATGTGCTCCCATGTCATGGCAGCCGTCTCACGTGAGGTCCAAGGCAAGATGGCGAGCGTTATCCTGGGTAAAAGCTGTGGGTTTGTATCTGCTAATATTACCGCGCGCTTAGGAGGCATTGCGGGCGGTAGGTAGGCCCATTTCACATCTGCTGTCTAGGGGCAGAATCATGATAACGTGGCTGCAACCATGGAGGCCGCCCACCTCGCGGCTGAAATGTAACCCAATGCCACACGTTGAGCGCCTCGCGGCCGGGCCTTGACGTGCAAGGTTCGCGAAACCACCATGGAAGCACAGTACGACATGCCAAGAACTCGGGCCACACCAAGCAGTGGCATCAGACCTGGTAGTTACATACCGTATCTACTTGGACGCTTCACTCGCAGGCCTTTGCCCCGAACAACGTGTCAACCAGCCGGCGGCATCCCTCCCTGTCAAGTGTCAACACAGCTCGGCTGACTACGGCCAACGGCGCTGCTTTCGACTTGTTCTGTTCGGCATAGAAATTGGCGTCCGAAGTTACAACCCGGGGATGCTTCCCTGGAAAACCCCCGGAAGGTCTTCCGAACACTGCCACGTTCACAGACCGCGTCTATATCACTATACCTGTTGTCTTCAAGAGCCCACCTGTAACAAAGGATGGGACGCCAAAACGCGTAAACGTGCCGGTATCAAACATACCATCACACCTACCTATGCAAGCCCTACACGGGAGCTATACTCTGCCCCCGGAGCTTCTTACGAAGAACGAGCGTACCGGTAACCATGTCCCAAGTGGCGCTCTGCAAAGCACACTCCCGCAATGCCGCCTGAAATGCACGATGATTTAATAATCCAATGCTTCCAATGCAACGACGATTACGCAGGCCTTCCGCGCCCATCCCCGGCGGTCAAACAACACACAACGCCGTGCCAGCCTCGCTTTCCCGTCCCTCATTCATTCAGGGTGCTTCCCAAGGCCCATGTCGTCAAACAACTCTGCACACGTGAACATATCAACGGACCCCCTCCTGCGAACAATAGCCCCGCCTATCCTACCTCTCCTACCCCCTCCCCAACCGCAACCCCGGCTACCTCGCAACTACTTCCCACCGCCTCCTCTCCCTCACATGTACCCCAGCCACCGCAGCAGCAGCGCCAGCAGCAGCACCACCAGTGCCGCCACCAGCAGCGCATTCCGCGACGCCCACTCCAGCGCCCGCCGCCCCTTGTCGCGCGCGCTCTGCACCGCCGCTGCCGCCTTGACCATCATGCGCATCTGCGTCTCCGACATGTTGCCCATCTGCCGTGCCATGAGCTCCGCCTGCGCCCGGTCGCGGCACATGCCGCTGGACATCATCATGCTGGCCAGCGTGTCCGGGTCCATGCTCTTCATCATCTGCACCGCCGACTCCATCATACCCGACATGTTTGGGTTGGAGAACATGGAGGCCATGGAAGCGGGGTCGGGCATGCCAGCAGCACCAGCAGCGGCAACCCCCGCACCGCCGCCCATCTTGCCCATCATGTCCTGCATGCGCGCAATGTCCTCGGGCTTCATATTTTTCATCATCTCAGCCGCCATCTGCGCCATGCCGGAGGGGAAGCCACCGGGCGGCATCATACCCGCAGCCGGGGCTGCTGCTGCTGCTGGCGCTGCAGATGGGCTGACGGTGGTGGAGGTACTGGGAGCGGAGGATGAGCTGTCATTGGTAATGCGTTCCCCGGCTCCGCTGGTGTTGCTGGTGCTGCCCGCTAGGCCTCCACGCATGGAGAGCGCCATGTCCTGCATGCGTTGAAGGTCCTCCGCCGACATGCCCTTCATCATCTCAGCAGCCATCTTGGCCATCTCCGGCGTCAGGTTCATCTTGTCGCCGCCCGGCATCATCTTGGTCATAGCCTCGAGCTGCTCGGGAGTCATGGCGGCCAGCATGTCCGCAGCGACCCGTGGGTCCATCGCGGGCAGCGCGGCACCGGGCGCTTCCCGGCCGCTGGTGCTGGCAGCGGCCCCCGAGGACTCCCGTGCACTGCTGGCAGCAGCTGCGGAAGCGGCTGCTGCTGCTGCTGCAGGCGGCATGCCGGATACCGCCTGCACGGCTGCCTGCACCTCCTGCGGCGACATGCGTTGGAAGCTCTCCGCTGCGGCCTTGGCCATCTCCGGCGTGATTGTCACGCCGGGGGGTAGACCCGCCGCACGAGACATCTCCTGCAGCTTGTCCGCATCCATTGAGGTCAGCACCTGCAGCAGCAGCACGCAGGCACATCATGGGCCGTTCAAAGCGGTTTCCCGACGCAGGCGTAACAGACAGCACAGGACAGAGCATGCATCCCCCATGCCGGACTGGCCCCAACTCCGTCTCCTCCATGGAGTGCCCACCCGACCGCTGCAGGCCTATCTCAGCAGGGCCTGTGTCCTCCCTCCAGCGTCACTCGCCGCGCACCTGTCCCATGCTTGCAGCCAGCTCGGGCTTCTTGGCCAACAGGTCTGCCACCCGCTTCATGGACTCGGGGTTGCGAGCCGCCTCCGGACCCCGCAGGTCGGGAGGCAACTCTGCCTGCACGGGAGGGAAAAGGCCAAGGGAGGGGTGGCTTGATGCGGACAAAGTGGAAGGACTGACCTGTCCCGCCCCGCCTCGCAAGCCCCATGCCCGCAAGCCCCATGCCTGCAACTCGTGCACAACGGCTGGCGGCTAGACATGGTGCCCCTTCCTTCCCTCACCCGCCTACACCCGCCTCTTCACCGAATCCTTTTGCGCCCCGCATCCCCCACCTGCAGCTGCGCCACCTTAGACATCAAGTCCATGTCCACATTCCCCATGCCGCCCCGCAGCGCCTCGGGCGGCACATCCACCCCCATCTGCTGCGCCATGCCCCGCAGCTGCTCATCGCTCATGCCGCGCATCATCTCCTGCGCCTGCTTCAACATCTCCGGGTTACTGCGCATCATCTCGGACGCCCGAGCCATCATCTCAGGATCCATACCAGCAGCCGCGCCGCTGCTGCCGCCGGTCGCCTTCCCAGACGCCGGCGTTGTTGACGTGGCCGCTGCTGCTGTGCTGCTGCTACTGGAAGCGCCAGCAGCACTGGCCGGCGGTGGTGGTGCTGACGCCGCGGCCGCTGCAGCTGCTGCGGGTAGCTTCCCCGCGGCCCGCAGCGCGCTGATCTGGTCCTTCGTCTCCTGCAGCTTGTCCCTGATGGGCTGCGTCTGCGAGGGGTCCGTCTCCTTGGCCAACCGCAGCGCCCGCTCCAGGTCCGCAGCCGCCTCCAGCCAGGCGCCGCTGCCCATGTGTGCCTGGCCGCGGCGGTAGAGCGCCTTCAGGTTGTCGGGCTCGCCTGGGGGAGCAGGGGCCGGGCAGGGGTGGGGAATGGGGGCGCGGTAGGGGATGGAATGGGGGCGGGAAGGTTTGGACTTGGGGATCCCTTTGGGTGGAAGAGGTTCTGGCTGCATGGAGCAAGAAGCACCGCCCTTTTGGCTACGGGATAGGAGGGCAGTGCGGTTATGGTGAACCATGCAGCCGGTAAGCATGTGGTAAGTAGCCCCGTGCACGGGATGACATCATGGCGGCTGCTGATTAGCCCCTGCGACAGCGCTCAAGGGGTCCCACCCACCCCATGCCAGCGTCCTACCCAACTTCACCCACGCCCGCCGCCTTCCCTGCTTACCTTCCTCACGCCTACCCCCGAGTCAAGTCCCAGTCCCACTGTCCCAGCCCTCCAGCGCCCTCACCTGACAGCACCTGGTTGCACTGCTCCAGGCACTTGTCGTACTGCTTCAGGTTGAGGTAGCAGCTGCTGAGGTTGAGGGTGCAGGCGCGGGCCAGGTCGCGCGCCTCCTGGCTGGTGAGGGACTCTATGTTGGACTTGGCGCGTTCGTACTTCTCAACAGCCTTGCCGTACTCGCCGCGGCTGTGCAGCTGGTTGCCCTCCTGCTTCAGCTGGTTGCTGGCCTGCGTAGAGGAGGGTGGGGGCGCGGGTGAGTCCGTGTGTACTAGGCCATGGTACACATGCATGACAGGAACGGTTTAACAGGGCTCAATTTGGGGTCTGGGGTTTAGGCAAGCCTACTGCCCATTGCGTAGCAGCGGTCCTGGTGCCAACGAAAGGGAGGCGGGTGCAGCATCTACTGCGTGGCGTTATTGGGGAGGACCGGCCAACAAGTACAAGGGGAAGGGCACTTGAGTGGGTAACCCAGCCGTTCCCATCACCCTTTACGGTGCTAGGTCGCCTAGCAAGCAAGCTAGCCCCGGGGAGACGGACGGTCCCCCAAGCTGCACATATACAGCGGAAACCCAGCAATAATAATCCTTGGGCCTCACATTAATAACATACTGTGTTCGCCCCGCCATCTGCGCCTGCGCTTGCGCTGCTTGCCGCGCCATCGTGTCCGGATCCATGTTTGCCATCTCCCGCTTTGCTCGCTCCCAATCCTCCGGTTTCATGTTGTTCATTTGTGCCATAGCTTGCGCCATCATGTCCGGTGGCATGTTGCGCATCATTGCCTGTAACTGTTCTGGAGGCATCTTCCTCTGCAGCATTCAACGTTCGGAATTCAGCCATAGCCAAACTCAGACAACATACAACATTATTAAGAAGCTTGCCATTTGCTCCATAGCGAATTGCATCGTGTTTGCGTCCATGGCGCCAGGCGGCTACAGATATTCGCGTAGGGAAGTTGCTTTGCGCGAAGTCTGGTTGTATGTATGGAAACACTATGTCCTGGAAAAGAAGGCCCGCAGGTTGGACAAATAGTTTTCCCTACAGTATGAATGTTTTCAGGCTCCAGCAAGGAGCTTGTTCGGTTAGGTAAGCACCGAGGAAAACCTATATAATATATGCTTATGTATGTTACGCACACGTTCGGTTGATGTTTGGTTTGGTACTTTTTCCTACCCCACATGCAGCATCCATATGGGATCTGCACGGTTATAAATTGCCCAGCCAAACCTAATCGCCCAATTTGCTTCGTGCACAAGCATACCTGACTTCCACACTAGTACGTTTTTTGCTTAGCCTTGTCCTTTCTAGGGACCTAGCTTGCGGGTTCCCTACCACTTGAGGCACAGGGCAGAATCGTTGGCCTTTCTTCTATACAAGCTGCAGTTGTGTAAAATTTAACAGAAATGTTGCTTGGAGGGCCGCAGCGCTGCGTGCATCGCTGTTCACCCCGTTCGGGAACCGTGGGCCGAGTGCCGCTTTCACGCTGCCGCGTCGCCTCTGCCGTTGCCGCACCACCAAAAACGACAACGTTTGATGGATTCGTGGATTACATCTTAGATCTCCAAAAAGACATCCGCAAGACCGCGGAGGTGAATACTTGCAGCTAGGATACGCGTAACCTATCGCCATGAACACTACTAATTTCGTATTCATATCTTCAGGATATGGAGGACGATCGCTCGAAGAGATTTGTCGAGGACCGTTGGGAACGGGACGCCAGCAACCCCAATGCCGGTGCGCCGCTTGCGCAGCACAATGCATAATGGTTATCGACAATTTCAGGGGTGCGCTCATAAAACAACATCTGTATTCGATTAAAAAACCTTATTATTGCTCTTATATGGGTTTATCTTTGCAACGTGCATAGTATTACTAATCAGTGTCACTTTTGCCCACAAAAGTACCCACTTCCCGCTTTCTCCAAGTTAGCACGGGACCCATTGGCCACCACGACACACCTTCACATGCCACCAGCAACCCCTCGCATGCCGTTAACTCCACACCCTTGCTTTGCCTTCCGTCCCATAATACGCCTCGATGTGCGCTCCTAAAAGTCCCGGCCGCCATACACTGCCCCCACAAATCGCGCCACCCTCCCTCCCTCCCACCACATTGGATTTCCTTCTTTTACCCCCCCTCCGCCAGGCTACGGCATCACCTGCGTGCTGGAGGGCGGGCGGGTGCTGGAGAAGGGCGCCTGCAACATCTCCGTCATCCGCGGCACCCTGTCCGCCCAGCGCGCCGCCGCCATGAGCTCGCGCGGCCGCAGCGCCATCGACCCTGCGGGCGGGCAGCCCTACGCCGCCGCCGCCATGTCGCTGGTGTTCCACTCCGCACACCCGCTGGTGCCCACACTGCGAGCGGACGTGCGCATGTTCCAAGTGAGGGGGGCGGGGGGCGGGGTGAGGGGTGAGGGTGTGGGCTGGAGGGGTGCGGGGAGACCAGACATGAGGTCTAGGGGCGGGAGGCGCTGGGTAATGCCGCAGCAGCATGGCTTTTGCCCTCACGGTGCTTCCAACCCTTGCGCCAGCCCTTCCCCACAATCGCTTTCCACTCAAGCTCAGGCTTCCCGCATCTTATCCGTCCACCCTGTATCCGTATTATTTCCTCGTCCTCATCACCCCACCCCCAAAAACCGGGGTATGACTGATCCCAAGTCGACATTACCCCCTTCCACGCGCTCCCACCCCTGCAGGTCGGCGACGCCGCCTGGTACGGCGGCGGCTGCGACCTGACCCCCAGCTACCTGGACGAGCAGGACACCGCGGGCTTCCACGCCTTCTGGCGGCAGCTGTGCGACCAGCACAAGCCGGAGCTGTACGGCGAGCTCAAGCAGTGGTGCGACAGGTAGGAGGGCGTACGGCACATGCGGGACAGCCCCCGCCAGGGGGGAGGCGGCAGTGGTGGGGTGCGGCGGCGGATGGGGGTGGCATAGTGGTTGCGAAGAAGTAAGGGCTGTAGCGATAACGTCCCGTGGGGTTGCGTTCAGGTTTGTACGCAGGCCCATCAAGCGGCAGAGCTGTTCTTTGGCTTCACCTTCTCCTTCCTCCTCACTTGTATACTCCATCCTCACTGCCGGCCCTCCTTCCCCTCCTTCCCACACTTTGGAATTTCTTTTTTCCCCACTCCTCCTCCTTCCTCTCTCCCTCCTCCCCGCCCAGGTACTTCTACCTGCCCGCCCGCAAGGAGCACCGCGGGGTGGGCGGCATCTTCTTCGACGACATGAGCGCCCAGGAGGCGGGATTCGACGTGGAGACGTTCGTGCGGCAGGTGTGTGTTTGTGGGGGTTGGGGGGGAGTGGCGGGGGCAGGCATGTACGGCAGATGGGGGAGGCTAGAGGAGTTGGGCTGAAGACGAAAGGATCGGAAGTAGCGCTCAAAGCTGCTTTTGGCACGGCGTATGCGCGAAGATGGATAGCGCATGCAAAGGTAGCACCGTTATTGTAAGGCGTTGCCCCTGCATTGGTTCTGCAGGTGGGTAGCGGCATCCTGCCCAGCTGGGCTCCCATCGTGGCTCGGCAGGGGGGCCAGCCCTTCACGGAGGAGCAGCGGCAGTGGCAGCTGCTGCGGAGGGGGAGGTACATAGGTGAGCGGGAGGCGGCGGGCGCGAGCGGGAAGGAGATGGTGAGGAAGAAGGGGGGGATTATATAAAAGGGGTGGTGCGGGGAAGCCTGGGGTCATGAAGGGGGGGGCTTTAGTGGCCAAGTATTTGATATGCTGAGTATGCTAGGTACACCTTCCACCTGCCTGGCCACCCCCCTTACCACCCCACCACCCACACAGTCAGTTGTTTCCTCTTTATCCCTCCTCCCCCAATTCCCCAGAGTTCAACCTGCTGTACGACCGCGGCATCAAGTTCGGGCTGGACGGCGGGCGCATGGAGAGCATCATGGTGTCCGCGCCGCCCCTGGTGGCCTGGCGCTACAACGTGACCCCGCAGCCGGGCAGCCCCGAGGAGCGGCTGCTGGCCGTGCTGAGGCAGCCCAGGGAGTGGGCGTGAGGCGGTAGGAGGCAAGTGGAGGGAGAGGAAAAACGAAATTCCAAAGTGTGGTGGAGGGAGTGGAGGGAGAGCAGGGACAGGGGTGCAGCAAGGTTGCTAAGAAAGGGGGCTATTGGGGGTTGGTGGCATTGCGTGCTGCTGGTACCTGCCGGTACCGATTGCTGTGGCTTTGCTGGCAACATTGGGAGCTGACGGGGCGGATGTTGCTGCGCTGGTGTTTTCCGTTGATGGGCATTCGTGTTGTCTTGTGTTGCTGCGTATTTGGGTTCGGCGGTCGGAGGTTTATATGCTGTACGATAAGATTTGTAAGGCTGCAGGCACAGCGCAGGGGGCACGGGGGCTGCGTGCCGGTGCCTGAGGGTCTGGCGATGGCTTAGCCGGGGTAGTGGAAGGACTACCCCGCTTAATAGGTTTGGCGGGATGTTGCTCGGAGCTCGAAACGGTTATGTGATGTATGTGTGGCGTATCTTGAAGGTTCGTACTGGTGGGTGATGTCTGTGGGGTGGTCCGGCGGTCCGACACCTCTACGTTGCGCCGTCTGGGCTCGCCGGCCGCTGGGCCCCAGTTCCGTGTCATGACCGCCGACCGCCGTGGCGGCATGCAGGCTGTCGAAGAACTGCTGAACAAGGTTTACTTCAACCCGCCAGGGGCTCTAGGCCCAGTCGTGGGCGGCTATTCCTAAAGCTGCGCCGTTACAGGGTGCGACGCAGTGTCTTGACATCCCAGATGCGCGCTGCGCCTAGCTCCGGTATTCCGAGTACGGCGGCCAACACGCATCCCGTTGCGCACCTGGACCACTGCCAACCGGCAGCATGCATCATGTTGGAATGCGCCAGCGCCGCTTGCCTAATCCGCTATCATTGTACCAATACACGCCACAGGACGCGCATGCTGCCCCACGCTTATACCACCACGTCTGTGTTGGCATTGCATGCATGCAGCATTCAAGACCATCTAACTAGCAATAGCCACCTAATCAGCTTAGGCCACTCAACCATAACAGACGGTTGGCGGTACTGTCCGCTATCAGTAAGGCGGCGCCCTTATGGACAGTACCCATCCGAGGTTCCTGACAGACCCCCTTAATTTTTCTCCTGCGTGCCCCGTTTATCAATAGTAATACATTACACCACCCTTTCCTCTCTCATGCAAAATCAATTCTAGTCGTTCTATACTTGCAAAGGGGCTCGCTCGTGGCTCAAAACCCGATTTCCTAGTATGCTTAAAGGTGCTCAGTCGGGGGAGAGGCCCCCACAGCCACAGCGGCACCACCCTCCTCTTCTTTCCCCTCCATTGGGACTCCAGTTGCTGCGCGTCTCATTTATTTTCCCCTCCTCCTCCTTCTGGTCTTCGACAGTCACGGTCACTACTTATCGCGGCTCAGTCCATCTGTGCTCCCCATGTTGACGCCTTATCCCTCAGTCAGTTAGTTGTTTCCTCTTTACCTCCCCCTGCAGCTGCTCAGTCGCGCCAGTCGGCCGCCGTGGGCTGCCCGTTGTTCCCGCCGCCGCCCGCCTTGCGCGAGTCAGTCACCTCCTTCACCGACCTAGGGAGGGGATGCCGGGGGGGAGCGAGGGGTGAGAAGGAAGGAGGACTTCCAACAAGACCTCAAGACACTTCGTTGATTAACCAGTCAACCTAACCATGTAGGAAGGGAAACCCGCGTTTGCCCAGTTCCTAGTTGCTGTCCCTGATGCCGCTACGAGGTCCTAGCTAGGAGTGATGCCCAAGCCCAAGGAGCACGGCACCAGCGTGGCGCCGTAAATCCTTTCTTCCAAACCCACATCCTATTGACTTGGGTTTCACATTAAAGGGTCCCGTGTGGACTGCACCCAGAACAACCTACTTGTACGCCGCTTTCCCCACGGCGCTCTGCTCAAATTGCGTTTGCCGCTGTGCAGCCTGTAGGCGTCAGAGGATGGGGGTTTCGTCAGATATCTGGGTTGCGGCCGGTAACCTTGGAGAAGCAGGGAGACCAGTTTGGTCGTATGTCCCGCAAGCAGACCTACCCGCTCCGCGGCTAGGGCGCGAGCTTCCCGGTCCTTCTCGGTGTCCCGAGGGCCCCCGGTGGCTGCTTGGGTGGTCCTGTTGGAAAACAGAAGCAGGGATGTTGCAATTTTCGCGGCAATCAGACGCTCGTAACAAGCGCAGCCCGGAGCCGAACAACTCCAAACTTACCCTTGGAATGTTGTATATCCACCTTGCTTTGTGTTGGGCTCATCGCCACCGCAGCAGCAGCTTACCAACGCTCCCATAGGGGCTGGAGACTACCAGACGGTTTCGGCTAGTTAAAATACCGGCTTTGACTTGCTAAGCAGGATAAAACCAAGGGGATTAACAAAAGATGTTAGGGAGACGTGAGAGGACCAGTTCGCCCAAAGTTAGGGTCGTGCCCAGCTAGCGATGTAAGGAAGTAGGATTTAAGATTACGGACACCAACAGGCAACTCGCAATTCAGGACTACTTCCTAGAACACTTCGGTGAGGAAGGAAAGAAGGTTTCGTACGGAGTATACGGATATTGGACGAGTCTAAGACCACCGGGTTTCTGCTCCTGCAGCCACACACGCTTGTGCCAGTCTGCTTGTTAAAGCCATTCTTATTGGGCCCCTGAACTTCTTACAACCAACGCTTCTCGTGATCTTACCTAGCCAAGCCTGAGCAAGGTCGCATTTCTCTTTTCGCTACATACCTGATAGTTTTCTAAGCACAAGCTTTTCGATACTTCCTTAGTTACTTGGAGCATAGCCACCAAGTGGGCAGAAACACGTCGAAATGCCTCCTCAGACCCCACCCCGCTCGGGGTGAGTACGCCTGGGATGTCGCTTACCCATTGACGGAGTTAACATTTTGGTTTATCTTCCAATTTTTCAGGTATCGTTCAGGCAAAGCGACGTTTGTCGATGAGTCCTTGTTTGCCAGCAATAAACCACAGCGTACTCAGGTATGGTACGATAAGGATTCTATTGTAACTAATAAAGCTTATGAGCGTTATGGAAACCGTGGGTACCGATATCCGTGACATCATTTGCATGCCGCGGCCTGCTGCAGGGTGATACAGCTGACGCTAGGCCGCTTAAGCTGACCGTGCCAACGCGTACCATCAGCCCTAAGGACCGCGATGTCGTTACCCTGTCAAAAGGCGACCTCACCCGCATGCTTAAGCCGTCGCCCATTATGACTGCTGAGGACGTCGCCAACGCCAAACGCGAGGCGGAGGCGAGGCGCGAGCAGCTGCAGGCAGTCTCTAAAGCGCGCAAGGAGAAGATGATGAAGCTGGAAGAGGAGGCTAAGAAGCAGGCGCCTCCGACGGAGACAGAAATCCTCCAACGCCAGCTGAACGATGCTACCCGCTCCCGTGCGACGCACCTGCTCCTTGAGCAGAAGGACGCGGTCAAGAACATGAACCAGATGATGCTGTACTCCAAGTGCGTCACCATCCGTGATGCCCAAATAGAGGAGAAGAAGCAGATGCTGGCGGAGGAGGAGGAGGAGCAGCGCCGCTTGGACCTCATGATGGAGATTGAGCGCGTCAAGGCGCTCGAGCAGTATGAGGCACGTGAGCGGCAGCGCATGGATGAGCGGCGGCGGGGCGCTGCCGTACTCAACGAGCAGATCCGCGAGCGTGAACGGGAGCGCATCCGGCAGGAGGAGCTGCGTGATCAGGAGCGAGTGCATATGCTCAAGGAGATGGAGCGGCTGAAGGAGGAGGAGATGCAGGCGCAGATAGAGAAGAAGCTGCAGGCGAAGTTCCTAATGGAGGAGGTTGCAGCAGCCAACTCGGAGCAGATCCGGAGAAAGGAGCAGATGAAGGTCCGGGAAAAGGAGGAGGACATGCGGATTGCGGAGTACCTGCTACAAAAGGAGCTGCGTGAGCAGGTGGGTGGATGGGTGTTTGATGCGAGACCTCAATCTGTTAGCCGTTGCTCGTGACTAGCCCCACATGCCAGTACAGTTTATTGGGTGCGAAGGGGTTGCCTTCCGAGTACAGCTCCGTGGGATGTTTGCCCAACAACCACATGGCAGGCTGCAAGCATACTGCCCTGCAATGACTGGTGAACCCGGGATGCTCAGCCCTAAAGCTAAGCCCCAACCGCCCGTCCCCACACATGGCCTCCATGCCTGCAGGCCCTAGCCGCTGAGAAGGAGCGCATTGCGAAGGAGAAGGAGCTGGAGGTGGCTCGGTTGCGCGCCATGCAGGAGCGCGCGGCGGACAAGCAGGCGGAGCTGGACGAGCTGCGGGCGCGGCGCTACCAGGAGGCCAAGGAGCGGGAGTGGCGGCAGAAGGAGAAGTCGTACGCAGAGCGGCAGGCGGCCATGCAGCAGGAGCTGGCGCAGGCGCGCACAGCGCAGCAGGCGGCCAAGATCAAGCAGAAGGCGGAGATGGCCAAGCTGGAGCACGATGAGTTCATGCGCGTGCTGGATGTGAACCGGGCGAAGGAGTACGAGGAGCTGCAGCAGGTGGGGGAACTGGGGTGGGGTGTCGTGGGCGGATAGGTGCGAAGTAAGCAAGATCTTGAAGCAGATCGTGTACGGGAGGCGGAGGAAAACCAGCTAGGAAACAAAGCGACCCCTTTTGGGTAGGCGACGTATTTGAGCAGGGGGTAGTGCTGGGCGTTGGGTGGATATCATGGGGGTGCTGTTTGAACCCCGTACGCACACGTAGCCTCACGCAGTCACGCTAACCTTTTAAGCTTTCCACCTGGTCTAGTTCCGTGCCGCCGTCCCCATGCTGGGTTTCCTGGTTGTCCGCCACCTTCCCGTACGCGCAGCCTGCACATACGTATGCACTTGGCTTAGCCACACGCCAATCCTTCCTCCCGACCCCGCCCCTCTCCTTTCCCCTCCTCCGCTCCACCCCACAGACGGTGAACGCCATGACGCTGAACGCCAAGTACAAGGAGTCGCTGCTGGCGCAGATCCAGGCGAACGAAGAGCGCCGCAAGCGCGAGCGGCAGGCGTACCTGGAGGATGGCGCGCGGCTGCGGGAGGAGGCCGAGAAGGAGAAGCAGCTGCTGGCACAGATTAAGGAGCGGAAACTCGGCGAGCTAGAGTCGGCGGGTGTGCCGTCCAAGTACCGAGCAGAGCTAGAGAAGATGAAGGTGAAGATTTAATGGCGGTGGTGGTGACCTCGGGGGCGTCGGTAGAGCCTGGTGCTGTAAGCGGGATAGCACCTGCGACACATGCATGCATGCATGCCAGATGGGGGCGATGGTGCATGGTTCCTTTTCACACCTTTTCGCACGCCGCTAGCGCAGCGCGTTGCAGGAACTGGGCTGTAGGTGGACACACGAGGGGGTGTAGGTGTTGTAGGTACCCTTGAACTGACAGACTCCTAACGCATGTGCCTGTATCTAGCGCATAGATAGGACTAGGTAGGATAGTACGGACGCCGCATTTTCATAGGCAGGAGGATTGTAGATAGGCATTCACGCAGCAGTTACAACCGCGGCCGACAACAAACGACTGTGTCCATATGTTTCTGTATTGCGCCGTGAACCTCTTGGGAGCTCCCTGGGGGGAGCATGCAAGGGGGCGTGATTGCTGATTTTGTACGGCGTATGTTAACGAGCGCAGTAAGTGTGCTCTTAAGTTTCAGGCGCTTGGGTTAGGACACGTGGTCCGTTTCGGCTGTTTGAAGTCGTGCTTATTTTAAGCACTTGCTCTGTATAGTGTAGGGGATAGTGTTTGGATGTAATGAGGCATGTTATGGCTATGCTTCACCCCGCACATAGCACGAGGAGTGCTGTTTTGATGCCGCAATGGTCATCCTTGCACCCTACGGCGTGCATTACAAGGTGCTCCATAGTAACAAGGCGTATCAGGCGATAAGCCACCTGATGTGGGCATGCTTGGCTCCGGAGAGACGCGGGTTTGGGATTAGCATCATGCCGGGGTTGAGCAGCTCTTGGGCACGTGGGGAGATGAAGGGCCGTTGCGCCGCGACGGGAACACCGCTTGGCCAGACAATTACCAGCTTGTGCACTTTTACCCCTCGTCACGAAAGGTTATGCATGCATGATCATAGCCGCACGCTAGCATTGCCACTGTATGTGTAATGGGCTACCTCCCAGAATCTCTGCAATTACAGATTTCACCACCTTTATTGGGCCCAGTACTAATTCACCTTTTGACTTCACAATATTCCGTCTGCGTATTCGATTGGCGCGAAGCATGTACTAGTAGCTCCTAAAGGCCCGCCCTTAGGGTGAATCCCGGAAGGGTGATCGCTTGTTTTTCCTTTACGTATATAAAGCGTACCGTATCACATATAAGATTACGGCATGGTAATTGACACTGAAGTGCACGATAAGCTGGTCAAGTAGGGTTCCATGATTCGCGGCCAGCGACACAAGTAAGCGTGGCCCACTGAGGTTACCAGCAAATGGCTACAGTAATGCTTGCTGTGAACGTTCCCAGATAATTGCCGAAGCTCCCGACGGAACAGGTCGTGGCAAGTGTAAGACGATGCACAGACGCGGTAGCACGAGAGACGACACAGCGCTCAATATCTATTGGCGCAAGGCAACAGCATTACTTGACGATCGCGATCGACGCATCGACACCAGCAGCTGCGTGCTACCTACGGACGCATCGGCATTCTTTCAGTCACCGGGATGGGAGCTGCCGGAGGTCGCGACCCACCGCGACGCCCTCAACGAGGCCAAGGGCCTCCTTGACGACCTCGACATCACCACCTGGGACAGCTACGCTCAGGTCGCCAACTACGCCGAGTTCATCCGTCGCGACCTGCGCAAGCAATTCCAGGTGGAGCTGGCAACCGTGGCCTGGGCCAAGATGTACGAACTCATCGTGAAGTACGACCTCCTTCCAACTTATTCATCAACCACCACAACCACAGCGGCATCAGACACTCCATCAACCGCATCACTTTCCACCAGCCCCAAACCGAACCCCTATGAACCACCACCTCGTTCCACCACCTCCACCAGCAGCCCCGGCCACCCCGCTGCTCCCGCCTCCCCCGCCTCCGCCGCCACACCCCGTCCCTCCCCACCCACCGCCCTCACCGTGCACCTCTGCGAGGCCCCCGGCGGCTTCGTGGCCGCCTGCAACCACTTCCTGCGCACGCAGCGCCCCGACTGGCGCTGGGACTGGCTGGCGGTGTCGCTCAACCCCTACTACTGCGGCAACGACCAGTTCGCAATGGTGGACGACGACGCCTTCATGAGCGCCACGCTACCGCACTGGCGCTTCGGAGCGGACGACTCGGGGGATGTACGGCGGCCGGACAACATCCGAGCCATCTGGGCGGAGGCGCGCCGCCGCGCCGCAGCCGCAGGGGTGCCTGGCGCGCTGCTGGTGACGGCTGACGGCGCGGTGGACACCTCCATGGTGCCGGCGGCGCAGGAGCTGGTGAACGCGGCGCTGCACTTCGCGGAGGTGGTGGCGGGGCTGGGGCTGCTGGCGGCGGGCGGCAGCCTGGTGTGGAAGGGCTTCACGCTGTGGGAGCACCCCTCGCTGAGCCTGCTGCACCTCATGGGCTGCGCCTTCCAGGAGGTGGCGGTGTGCAAGCCGTGCGCGAGCAAGGTGAGTGGGGGGGGTGCGGGTGGGGGTAGGGAAGCACGTTCACTCGTGTGGCCTAGGGCCAACTCGTGCGCCCCGAGCCGCATGGCGAAGATCGGGACTCATCGCAAAAGATTGGTACGCGTTGCTAAAGAGCGGTGCCCCCCCTCCTGCTGCCCCCGCAGCCATGCAACAGCGAGGTGTACGTGGTGGGTCGCGGCTTCCGGGGGCTGCCCCCGCAGCTGCTGGAGCGGCTGCTGGACATGTGCGGGGAGGACACATTCGCGCAGGGGTGAGGGAGCGTGGGGGGGGGGCAGGGGGCGGGACGTGGGGCACGGGGGCCCTTGATGTTGCGCGGGAGGCGCAGGAGGTGTGGACAGCAGCTGATGCAACAACACGGGGTGCGCCTAGGGTGTCTGGTGTCCCGGTGTGAAGCTGCATGCACCGCTGCATGCGCCTTGTCTGCCCAGATCCCTCCGAACCCTTCCTTCAGACAACCACAGCCGCTCACACCCTTCCTTCCCCTCCCCGTACCCCGGCCCCCCTCTGCTGCCCCCCTTCCCCACAGTGCCATGCTCCCTCTCTCCGCCCTGCCGGCCCCCTTCCTCTCCTCCTCCCTGGCCGCCTCCCAGCACTTCGCGCAGGCCACCGGGGAGGCCATCCGCGACGCGCTGGACAAGGCGGGGCTGCCCCCGGGCGGCCCCACCGCCACCGCCATCCGCCGCGTCAAGGAGCGCTTCGCGGCCGAGTGGTTCCTGCGCATGCAGCTGCTGCGGCTGGATCGGCGGCTGTTCGTGGCGCCGCAGGAGGCCATCGACGGCAGCAACAACAGCACCAGCAACGTGCTGGGACGGCGGCGGGAGCTGGTGGGCACGCTGCAGGAGCGGCAGGAGCAGTACCGCCGGCGGAGGAATGACCTGGGGCTGGATGGGGGCGCCATGGCGGCGGCAGCGCGGTTGAGCAGCAGCTGCGGCAGCGGAGGAGGGGGAGCGGGGTACTTGAGTCTGGGGAGCAGTCCCGGGGGGCTGGGGTACGGCATCCTGGGGTGTGAGACGGCGGGCGGTGGCGGCGTCGGCGGGCTGGGCAGCAGCGCAGGACGGGGAGGTCTGGGCTTTGCTGGGTTTGCGGAGTTGGAGGACAGGGTGGAGGCGGTCGCTGGCCGCGACCCGGCTGCTGCGACGGCGGCAGCTGGAACTGCTGCGGGTGCGGATGGTGGGGTCGGTGGGGTGGGTGGCGGCAGCGGTGGGCTGCAGGTGTCCGGCACCATTGCCAAGCTGATGGCCAAGATGGGCTACCGGGAGGGTGCCGGACTGGGGCGGCAGGAGCAGGGCATAGCGGCGGCGGTGCAGGCGGTGGGGAATGCTGGCCGCGCGGGACTCGGCCTGGGCAGCAGCGCCAGGAGGGAGGAGGAGGAGGAGGACGAGGAGGATGTGGGTTTCGGAGGCTTGGGGCTGGGAGCCGCGCGGAGCGGCCTAGGGGCGGGGCTGGCATGCGGGTCGGGAGTGGGCCGCGGCTCCAGCGGCGGGCTCGGGTGGAGCCGCGGCGGTGGTGCTGGGGGCATGGGCGGCGGTGACGGGGACAGCAGCAGCCCGAAGGGTGGGCTGGGGCTGGGGTTTGTGCTGGCAGGCCGGGACTCTGCCGCCGCCGCTGCCGCTGAGGAGGCACCCGGCAGCACTAGCGGCGAGGACGGCGGCCCCCTGCCCCCCCCTGCAGCCACCCCCCTGGCGCCGCCCCCGCCTCGGCGGTGCTGGGCTCCCGCGTCTGACGCCCAGGTGCTGCGGAACACCCTGCCGCTGACGGCGACGGAGGTGGCGGCGTGGGCCGCCCCGGACACCGCCGCTGTGGATGCTGCTGGGCGGTGGAACAGCGGCGGCGAGGGAGGGCAGGGCGATAGCAGCACGGCTGCGGTAGGCGGCGGCCTCAGCCTGGGCTGCCAGGTTCCCCCCGCCCGCCTGACCAAATCCAAGCTCATCACGGACGACCATGTGCTGGTGGCGCTGAGGCGGGTGCGGGACGCATATAACGCAGCGGCGGCAGCGGCCGCGGCCACCAAGCCCAACAGCGCCGCCGCCACCCCCAGCGATACAGACCAGCCTGCGCCGGGTAGCACTGGAGCGGGAGAGCAGGGGGGCGCGGCGGGGAGGCCGGCGGGTCAGGTGGCAGGCCGTGGGAGGCTCTGCCGGCACCTGGGGCCACTGTGTGTGGCTCCCAGGCGGAGGCGCGGTGCGGGCGCGGGTGCGGGTGACGGTGCAGGCAGTGCGGGTCGCCCCTACTGGAAGCTAGCCTCACTGGACGCAGCCCTCGCGGTGTGCCGTACGGCAGCAGCAGCAGCAGCAGCGGCGGCTGAGGCGGGCGGAGCCGCGGTTGTAGCCCCATGCGCGCTGGATCTCTCGCTGCATAGCGCCGGCGCCACGGATTACCTGATACGTGGAGTGGAGCGGATGGCGGCGACCCGTGGGTCAGCAGGTGGCGACGGCGAGGAAGCGGTTGGGAGGGCAGGCTGTGGGCCGCGGCACCGCTGCAGCCACCGGAGCAGCAGCCTCAGCAGTGCAGTCGGAGATAGCATCGATGACAGCAGCAGCGGGAGTCCTAGCAGCCGTGGGGGCGAGAGGGAGAGCAGCGGTGGCCGTAGCAGTAGCAGCGGACACGGGGACGAGGAGACGCTTAGCAGGAGCAGCAGCAGCAGCAGCGACGGCAGTGATCCCGGCAGCAGCAGCACTGCCGATGACGAGGCGGATGGCAGCAGCAGCAACAGCAGCAGTAGCCACCATGATAGTGCCAAGGCAGCACCGTGGAGCTCTGTCCTGCTGGCCACCGCCGCCTCCGAGGCCTACCTAGCCCAGCTGGGGCGCCCCGACCAGCGGCGGCGAGTGCGGCTGCTGCAGCTAGCAGGACAAGACCCGCATGCACTCTCGCGCGCAGCCCCCCTGCAGCTCTTCACGCCCGACACCAGCCGCACCCTAGTCCACCTCGCCGCCCAAGCCATGCAGCCCGGCAGCGCTCCCACGCCCGACAGCCCCGCAGCCCCGACCAGTGCAGCAGCGGCAGCGGTAGCAGGAGCGGCAGCACCCCGGGACCCCTGCGGCACTAGCCATAGCTCCCAGCACGCCAGCGACAGCAGGGAGGCAGCTGCGCCAGACGCCGACCCCGCTGCAGCTAACAACCCTGCGCCACACGCAAGCCCTAGCAGCCCCGCTAACAAGAGCAGCTGCACCGCCGCCGCCGGCTTCCATCTGGTCCTAGGCGACCTGAGCAGCCTGCGCCACACCCGCTGCGGCTGCCCCGCCGCCAGCGCCGGTCCCCTGGAGGGCGAGTACGACACCCTCTACCGCCGCCGGCTGCTGTGGGAGGCGGGTACGGCACTGGGCGCGCTGGCCCCGGGGGGCTGTGTCGTACTGCGGCTGGGCGACTGCCTCACCATGTTCTCCGCGAGCGTGCTGTACGTGCTGCACCGCAGCTTCGCGGGGCTGGCGCTGCTGAAGCCCTTCGCCTCGTGCGCCTGCTCGCCGGAGCGGTTCGTGGTGGGGCTGGGGCGGCTGGAGGACGGGGGCGTGGGGGCGGCGGCGCTGCTGGGGGGGCTGAGGGCGGTGATGGAAGTGGAGGCGGTGCGGGAGGAGGGCGCGGGGGTGGGGGTGGGGATGGGGTTGCCGCCAGGAAAGCCGTTGACGGCAGAGGGCAAGGAGGGGGAATCGGGGGCTGGAGCAGTGGCAGCAACAGCGGCAGAAGCGGGTGATGGCAGCGTGTCGTCTTCGCAGCAGCAGGAGCACCTTGCCGGCGAGGAGGAGCGGGTTGCCGCGTCGACAGCGCCCTGCAATGGCGCCCCCGCCGCTGCTACCGCGGAGACGCTGACTGGGCCCCAGCCTGCAGCAGCAGCAGCAGCGGGCGATGACGGCGGGACTGCTCGGACACCCGTGGACGCGCTCGCAGTTGTGACCTTCATACCCTCGCTTGGCGGGCAGAAGGGGAAGGACGGGCAAGAAAATCAGCAGCAGGTGGAGGAGGAGGAGGAGGTGCGCGCCGCACCACTGGACGGTGCGACTGGGGTCCCGACTCCTGCGCCTCTGTCGCCAGCTGGCTGCGAGCAGCGGGCAGCCGTCACTGTAGCCAGCGGGGGCGCCGACAGCGGAGTCCCCACCACCCCGCCCTCCGCCTCCGCTCTCTCCCAGCCCCCAGCCCCCGCCAGCACTCCGCTGACGGCCCCGACAAGGCGGCCGCCCATGTCGCTTGCCGGCGTGGTGCCTCCCTCCGTGTGCGTGGCGGGGGAGTTCTACGTCTACCTTGCGGGCCGCACGCAGCAGCTGGCGGCGCGGCAGGTGCGGGCGTGCGAGGCGGCGCTGGCGGCGGCTGCGGGGCCAGCGAGGGAAGGCGGGGAGGAGGCAGGCGGCGCGGAGGAGGAGGATGAGGCGGGGCGGTATGAGGAAGTGGCACGGCGGGCGGAGGAGGCGCTGGCGAGTGGAGCGGCGCGGTGTGACGAGAAGAAGGAGCAGGAGGGTAAGTGGGGAGCCAGGAGTGTCAGCGGGCGCTAGTACCGTACATCAGATATGCCGGTACTCCGTTTTGAAACCTGTACACACAGTCATCAATGCACTTAATGACATTATCATACAATGATTTGCGTGCTTCTTATATTTTTCTCTTTCCCTTAGCCCCGCTCACACCCAAAACCCTTATCCCACCCTTCCCTTACCTGTTCAACCGCGCCTGCCCTGCCCTGCCTGCAGACCCGCTCCCCGGCCGCGCGGACAGCGACCAGGACCTGCGCCGCAAGTACGGCGGCATGTTCCGACGCGCCTCCGAGGCCTTCACCGTCGGCTCGGCGCCCCCGGGCTCCGGCTGGGTGCGTGAGGCGGCCCTGCAGCGCACCGCCCCGGTGGCAGCGGCAGCGGTGGCAGCGGCAGCAGCGGCGGAGGCGGAGGCGGGGGCTAGCGGCTGGCCGACGGCGGGCCTTGGCTTCGTGGGCACCGGCAGCAGCGGCAGTACGACAACGGCTCGCATCGCCGCCGCCGCCGGGCCGCCGCCTGCTGGCGAGGGCCCCAGCTGGAGTTACACCCGGACCCCCGGAGGAGGTGGAGGAGGAGGCAGCCGGCCTATCCCCTCCTCTTCCGCCGCCAGGGGGGCTGCTACACGCGAGCATAGCGGCGGCATTGCGGCTGCCCGGGAAGCTTCTTCAGGTGCGTACGGCGCTTCCATGTACGGCAGCAGCCAGCCGAGCGGCACTGGCGGCGGCGGAGGGAGCTGGGGTAGGCCGGGCGGAGGCGGCGGTGCGGGTTCGCTGCGACGCAGCAACGGCGGCAACTCCTGGCGACCGCCGTCAGTGTACGGCGCGAGCAGTCCGCCATCCGCGACGTCGACACCCTTGGGTGCAAATACACCGTCCGGATCCAGCACGCCGTACTGTGCAAGTCCGCCGTACGGCAGGAGCATTCCGTACGGACGCAGCCCGCCTCCGTACAGCAGTGCTGGGGGAGGTGGCGCTGGCAGTGCGATTGGCCGCAGCTTGCCGAAGCATTACGGGTCGTCTTGGCAGAGCCGGGCGTCTGGCAGCTGGGGCTCCCATCACCACCACCATCAACACCACCACCACCATCAACACCACTCGCAGCACGCGCTGGGCCGTTTGAGCTGTAGCTGGGATCGCAGCGGCGGGGATCAGAGGACCTTGGCGCAAGGGGCTGCGATGGAGTCTGTTCCAGGGTCCTTGGATGCTGCCGGCGTGGCGGTGGGTGCCTCGGGGGAGGTCGGGTGCATGGGTCCCGCAAGCTTTGGTAGCAGTGCCAGCGGTGGCAGCAGCCGTGCACCTCTGTTTGCGTATGGTGGAAGGGGCTCTGCAAGTCGCAAGGAAGGGCCCCCTGCGCTTACAGCTGGGTTTGGCAGGCAGCAGCAGGTTAGGAGAGATAGTTGGAGGTCAAAAGAGGTCCAGGGAATGCATGGCGTCGGGTTGACGGATGGAGCTTCGGGCACACAAGTGTCGCAACAGGTGGATGAAGAGGGTTGGGAGAGGGTTGTGGGGTCTGGACGGCGTCGCGTCCAGCAGGAGGTGTGAATTTGTTGTTGTATCATGCCCCGCATGATAAGCCTTTATGGGGGATTGTGATGTAGGAGAATTGGACTTGCTTTGCTGCAGAAGAATTGGGCAGTTGCATCTCCTTGGCGTATCCTTATTGTGTTAATACGTAGAACACCAGGACAACCTTGTGTACTCATAGTAATGCCGTGGTTGCCGTGAAGGTACAATGTGCAGTTATGCGAGTTTGCGAGCCATGCGGATTATATATGCCGTACTGTGCCTTCGAGGTCTTCTTCCTGCGCGTATGCTTGTTTCATAGCGGTATCTGTGAACTACCAATTCTTTTGCTTCTTTTTGTTCCTTTCTCCGTTTTACGCTACCTGGACGTTGCTGAGATGTCTCCAGGCGCAAATGGGAATGTCGATGACGAGGATTTGGATTACATCACCTCAGACGACATTGCTCTTGTAAGTGGCTGGCGGTTACTGACAATTGTTTCAGCCTTATGAGCCCGGCCATGCAACATAGCTAGGTAGCTTTGGCTACTAACGTTCTCTACCTACTGCTGTTGCCTTCCAGTTTCGTCGGACGCTATTGGCTCGGCGTTTCCCCGGCCTTCAGGTATTAGGGCTATGGCGACCTGGAACCTACCTGCCCTCACTTGCCCGATTGAAGTAAGGAAACGACTGCTGTCTCGCGCAGAAAATGTCAGACGCGGATCTTATTGCACTAATACGCGCTGAGCGAAAAGCGACTGGGCGGAAGCTTGTTCCCGAAGTCCGATTGCACCCCAAAACGACTTTCACACCACCACCGCCCAAGCGGGAGCAGCCCGCTCCCCGGGTCACACCGTTTGTACCCTCCAATCCGTTTCAAGCAAGGGAGCAGGCGTCCCGCTCCAATGCCGAGGTAAGTTCCCTGCCGCTACTGCAGCCTTGTGCTGCTGCCTCAGGCTGCCTTAGCTAAAGCAGCTCTTCTGCTGTATACCGCAGCGCTTCACTGGCGTTGACACGCCCTATGAGGCGCACCGAGACGACTTCAACGAGGGCAGGACAACTGATGAGAAGCGCCGAGTGGCTCCTTTCGTACCGTCCTGCGCGTCACAGGTATGCTGAGCAATCCTGTACTAGTGATGTGGGTCCAGCCGGGCATGCCCTGCTCAGTTGGGAATGGAACAGCCCATAAACCGTTCCTATCAGCGCATGTTACGTCCAGGCGTCATGTGGTCCCCCACCTTCCCTTACCGTGCCAACTTGCCGCTGCCATGTAGGCCCGGGACGCCATCCAGATCAAGTACTTCCTGAACAGCCCCCAGGAGGCGGCTCCCCTAGCCCAGGGGCTCACGCAGCAACAGCCGCGGCCATGCGGGCCCACGTCAGGTCGGGCAGGGACCGCAACGCAGGGCCAAGGAAGTTGAGGAAGCAGCCCGAGCCTTCAAAAACTGCCGAGATGTATTTAAGTTGGTGGCTGCTTCGGGCGCATGCTATGCGTCATGTAAGCGTGGCGAGCACTTTGCAAGGATAGGGGGTTGCATGGTTTGCGGCTAGCAGGATTGCATCCACGTAAACCGCCTCTCAAGTCTGATAGCTGGGTTAATTTAACCTGTGGCGTAACCTGGTAAATTCTTGCGACCCGGTCAATGCATTGTGGTGTACGGCGCTGTGTGGACAGGTTTGCTGCAGGGCAGCTATTTTTGATTGGCACCGCAGGGTTAGATCTAAGCCACACCTTTGGCTGCGAGCCTTGTTCTATATGTATAGGCAGGTTGGTCAGTGTGCAGTGATGTGCACGGTGGTGTGCAAATGTCAAATACATCTGGGCAACATGCGGTTGGTCGTGTAATCGCTGCGCAGGTTGGCCATTTGTCCATAGTACCTAAGGCGTTAAAGACGTGCCATGTGTTTGTCAATCCTTTCGAGAGGGAGGATGCGCCGAATGCGGTAGGAGAGGCTGACCATGTTTTCCCGGGTTAGCGCAATTCTTACACTTGTACCTCAAAGGCAAGAGTAGGCAATTCATATGCTTTTTTATCCACCCCGTGGCTTTGCTCTGCGGAACTTACCTTCATGATTTATCTCCCCGTGATGTACGTAAGGTTTTGCATTTCCACCATGTGGGCGTAGGATCGTGGCCTCACTATTACCAAAGCATAGCTTCCGATTGCGGGTTTTGTTACAACCTCGGTTGGGAATCCATGTTGCCTCGGTTTCCTTGTAACGCTGGGGCATAAAGGAGCCCGGCAACGGCACGTCTTCTTGCGCCGGCTACGGCAGAACGGCACATAGTGCAGTAGCTGCGCGCCGTAACATAAGTGAAGGTTGCAGCATTTTGGCAATAGACGATTACAACGAGCAAGCCCCAGGTAAATTAGAATGCGAAGGTTACAAGGGGGACCAGGTAAGGCTTACGCATTGCGCACTGACGCCCAACACACGGTTGTACGAGCAGTCGATCGCGCCAGAATATTGTCTTTGCGGTCGTCGAATCCTCATATCGATTATTGCTACTTATATCGAACTAGAATCCCTGCGAAGCTGAGATAAGAAATCCTTAGGAAGCGTTCACCGTGAACAATTATTAACTGCCCTACTTGTATCTGGAACTGCTTTACCTCTCGGAAATTGTAACTAGAAACTGAAATAAAGTTGAGCTCAGCGCTATGGCGAAGGGTCTAACTATCAAAGATGCTATCAAAGTTTTCGAGGAGCGGAAGGGCGTCGTCGCGACAGAGGCTGAAAAGGTATATAGCCCTACATTCTTGTCATAGAAGCAATCTGAAAGAGGGCGTTCGGAGTCCTGACGTGTAACATGCATAGGTCGAGCTACACGGCATGATACCTCCAATTGAGAAGATGGATGCCACGCTATCCACTCTCAAAGCATGCAAGTAAGTCATTTGGTATCCGGCCGGGGCAGGTATGTTGTCCGCGGCCATGCTTGACCTTAGCGAATCCCGACAGGCACCTGGCGCTATCGACGAACAACATCGAGAAGATTAGCAGCTTGTCAGGGATGGAGAACCTGCGGATTCTATCCCTTGGGAGAAACCTCATAAAAAAGATAGAGAACCTGGACGCCGTGGCGGACACACTTGAAGAGCTATGGATTTCCTACAATCAAATAGCGAGCTTGGTGAGTGCTGCAGTAGGGGGGGTGTGAATTTGGAGGGCTTGGCCCGGAGTGGCCGTGGAGTAGGGTAAGAGACGTGGGGAGGGTTGGGCCCTGTTCAGTGCACGCGGAGTTTGCTTGTTGGCGCTGTTGCGAATAGGGGGTGGTGCTTTGCGTTTCTGAAGCAGTATAGCAGCAAGCAGTGTTTCCAGGGCTGGCCTCTGGACAGTGCCGGCCCTCTGCATGCATCCATCTTATGTTACATGCTTTGCCCTGCCATTAAACCCTGCAAGCACGTTTTCGTACAGGCTTGCGCCATCAGCAGTGTTGATTGAACTTCACCCTTCACACTCTGCTCTCCTAAACCTTGATGCAGCCGCTCACACCTTGAACTCCTTTTTAGGGCTCTCCACACGCCCTTCCTTTTCTTCCCTCCTCCCCGCTCTACAGTCTGGCATTGAGAAGCTGGTGAACCTGCGCGTGCTGTTCATCTCCAACAACAAGATTGCCAACTGGGCGGAGGTGGACAAGCTGGCGGTGCTGGAGAAGCTGGAGGACGTGCTGCTGGCCGGCAACCCGCTCTACAACGACTACAAGGACAACAACGCGACCAGCGAATACCGGATAGAGGCGAGTGGGCCGGCGGATGAGGGCTGTGGAACTGCCAGCAAAAGGGGTTCGGTGGTGCATGGTGGAAGGGACCAGCTAGGGGAGGATCGCGCGCTGCTGTTTTGTTTGTGTATGCTAGGCTGGTATCTTTATTTATATCAGGGTTATGGCACGGCCCTAGGCGCAATGGGACTTTGGGATTACCGGTACTCATGGGGCCATCTGTCCTTGACGCGCATGACCTATTCCGCAGGTTGTGAAGCGGCTTCCCAACCTCAAGAAGCTGGACGGCATGCCGGTGGACGTGGACGAGCGCGAGCAGGCGAACGTGGCGCGAGGGGCGTGATGCGGGGCGGCCCGAGCACGCCAGTTGAATGCCTCTGACGGCGGCTGTGGCGTGTCAACAATGCATGGTGCATCTTACTCTGCAGCAGGGCCACAGCAATCCTATGCGTTACTTGCTTTCCTTTGCCTGCTATCAGACGGGTCTGCAACCTGGTTACGTCGAGGGTGGGGCAAAGCGACAGCAACCCTACAGCGGATATTAGTCATGGTTGCGTGGGGCAGGCGAGCGCATGGGCATAGCTTGGCGGATGCCGTACTTCGTACGGCACTGAGCTTGAACGGCGTGGGCTGGTTTCCTCCCTGGGTGCCCGGGTGCCCGTAACCAACTTCCACGCGCCTGTCGCACAGGATGATAAGAGATGTGTGGCGCATTTCAGTTGTACTACTGCTCTTCACTGAACACCTAGTCGTTTCGAGTAAGAAGGGGGCGGCTCCGGCCGGCTGTCACGGCCGTGGAACCAAGGGCATGCTAAGGTTGTACGAAGGTAGTGCCAGCAGCAGAACGCCTGCCTTCCAAGTTTCCTTGTCGGCGAGTAACACAAGAGGAACATATTTAGCTATATTGCGTGGACGTGAATATTTTTCACGTAGGTTCTGAGTGTTTTCTGGCCTGTATGCGCCAGTATGGCATGTACTCTTTCGTTGCGCGACTTGAAGGTAATTCTGAAAAAGCAAGCGAGGATTGACGTATAATGAAATACCGGTAGGGATGGCAGTGCCTTGGCTACGGCGATGCTGCCTGTCCTGTGGCAGAAGTCTTCACTTTTGGCCTGAACTTTTCCGATAGCGCAGCGTCTAAAATTCTCTGGAGGTAACGTTTTTCTTAAGACGAAAACCAGAGCACCTGGATTGCAATGAACGACGGTACCGACAACCCTACCAACCAGCCTCTACTTGAGGCGCCGCTGGATGGACGTAAATTTCATATCATACCCGTGGATCGTTGCGCTGGACGAACCTGCGCTGGATATCTAAAAAGGTCTCGAGAGGTCCAATATACGCTCAAGCAACGGGCATTACATACCCTCTACTTCCCTGATCCATGGGTACGATGCTGTAACACCTAAATAAGGGACGTGACGCGGGTCCCCTAGACCTCAGTACGAGTCAGCGAGCTATATGGGTTGGCGATGTGCCGACAAGTCCACAGGGGCGTACGACGCTACTATGTAAACCTCGTGACCAGCTCATCACACTCCAGGAAGGGCACGGAACTGTCAGCTAATACCACGCCGCAGCCCCTCCCAACAGAAGCACAGCAACCTACTGGCCTGCTTAAGAGTCCTAAAGCACAGTATTCGCAGATAGACGTACAAGCTGCCGTGCCACGTACGAATTACCAACCTGTCACCAAGCAGCGGCATGGTTAAGCATACATAGCGTCACCGCAGCAAGCAATGAAGCACCTATAGCCCACGCTGCGCACACCTGCACGCTGAGGACTACCTTCACCCCGTTCACTCTGGGCATGGTGCACCCCGTTCCAGCAGCTCACAAGCATTCACTGCCCAAAGAAATAGCCCATCCTGACAACCCCGCAGCACCCACCCACCACCACCGCGGCACAACCACAACGCGCCACCCTCCTTTCCACCCCCTCTTACTCCCACTCAATGGTGCCGGGCGGCTTGCTGGTGATGTCGTACACGACACGGTTCACGGACCGCACCTTGTTGCAGATGCGGTTCGACACGTCGCGCAGGAAGGCGGGCGTGAAGCTGTACCAGTCCGCCGTCATGCCGTCCGCCGACGTCACCGCGCGCAGTGCAACCACATGGCTGTGCGTGCGCTGGTCGCCCTGCACGCCCACCGCCTTGACCGGCAAGAATACGGCAAATGCCTGCCAGATCTCGTCGTACAGGCCGTACTCCTTGATGGTATTGATAAAGATCTCATCCACCTCTCGCAGCACGTCCAGCTTGTTGCCCTCCGTGACATCTCCCAGCACGCGCACCGCCAGGCCAGGGCCGGGGAAGGGGTGGCGCTTGATGAACTGATCTGGCACTCCGAGAAGCCGCCCGATGGACCGGACCTGCACAGCGGGTAAAAGGGAGGCGGACGCAAGGGACAAGAGGAGGCGGGTGGCATCACTGCAGCAAGAGACATTGCGCATGCGTGCATGACATGTTACTCTGAAGGGCGGCGGCTCCTTGAACCGTGTTGCGAGCTGTGAGCCGCAATATGGCCATCAACCGGTAGAAAAAGGTGGTTGGCAGCACTACCCAGGATGACGCCAATACAACTAGTGATACAGCATACCACTAGCATCTATCTGCCATGAGATGCAGGAACCGGTAGCAGGCACACCTCATCACATCATCCTTTTCCCCGCCGCATGCTTTAACCCCTCAATTACGCCCTCTTCCCTCCCCTGCCTCCCCCAGCTGCCCCACCTCATCCTTGAAGAGCTCCCTGAATGGCTCGATGAGGGTGAACTGCAGGTCCTTGGGCAGCCCGCCCACGTTGTGGTGCGACTTGATGGTGTGGCTGTGCTTCTGACCGCTGCCGGGAGGGGGGCAGGACTCGATCACATCGGGGTACCTGCAGGGGGGGGGAGCGCGTCGACAGGAACGAGTTGCTGGAAGGTTTGGGCCTAGTGCCCGCGGGGAATAGATCGGTAGCTAATGCGAGAGAACATCTCACCACCACCCTCCCGACATCTCCAACCTGTATGGCAACCGCAGCACTCTCCTTCGCCGTATAAAGCAGATAATCCATCCTCACCCCCCCCCTTCCTCGCGCTCAGCCTGCTTTCCTTCCTTTAGCCTTCTTTCCAACCTCACACCGCCCCCCCGGCTCATGTACCCTTCCCCCATCTCCCTTGCCTTCCCACTCCCCTCCCCACCCAAACTCACAGCGTGCCCTGCACCAGGAACTTGGGCTTCTTGCCCAGCTTGCCCTCCAGCTGCGTGGCGTAGGCCTTGAACACCTCGATGAACTCCGCCCCGATGGCCTTGCGCTTGGCCTCCGGGTCGCTCATCCCGCGCAGGCGCTCCAGCATGACCGCCGAGTGGTCCACGCAGGTGACGGGCAGGTGCAGGTGGTTGCTGAACGTGTCCATCACGCGTTGTTGCTCCTGAGGGGAGGCGCGCGGGGAGGGGGGCGGAGGGAGTGGGAGGGGGTTAAGCCCAGCGCACACCGAGAGCAGGTGCAGCTTTAGGCTGGCTGGAAGAGGCGGCCCGAGTCCTCCGGGGCTCCAGACGCTCCACGACCGCCCACTCTACAACCCTTACTTGACCGCCGCTCCCATGGGACGTGACGCGAAGTCCAGGATGTCCGTGCACTGGTGCGAATCCTCATTACTCGCACATTCCCACCTTCATCTCCTTTCGGTTCCTACTTATCCCCCCCCGCCTTCCCAAGCCGTCAAGCTGCTTCTTGCCTCCGAAGTCCTAACCCTCCGCCGCCTCCACTTCTTCCATATCCTACCTCTCCTCCACCCCATAGCCCCCCCCATAACCTCCCCTCCCCTCACAGGTTACCCTGTACCCCCTCCCCCCCTCACGTTGTATCTCAGCAGTCCGTTGTCGACGAAGACGCAGTGCAGGCGGTCGCCCAGCACCTTGTGCACCAGCGTGGCGGCCACCGTGCTGTCCACCCCGCCAGACAGGGCGCAGATGGCGTGCTCCTCGGGGCCAACCTGGGGGGCGGGAGGAGGGCAGGAGGTGCGTGTAGGGGAGGGGTGCAGGGGTCAATACCAAGGAGGTAGGTGCGGAGGCAGAGGTAAAGGAGGTAGGTGCCCCTTTCACCTCTCTTCCTTTCTTCCCACGCCCCTAACCTTCCTCCCCAGTCAACCCTCCCCTTACCAACAATATGCTACTTTCTTCTCCTTTCCCCTCCCGAAATCCCAGTCTCCAGCCTAACCCCCTCAACCCTTCCCACTCCCCGCACCTGCTCCGCGATCTTGGCGAGCTGCTCCTCCAGCACCTGCCCCATGTTCCAGTCGGCGGGCACCTGCGCGATGCCGACCAGGAAGTGCTTGATCATCTCCATGCCGTGCTCCGTGTGCATCACCTCGGGGTGGAACTGGAAGCCGTACACGTGCCGCTCGGGGCTCTCGATGGCCACGATGGCGCCCTGCAGGCAGGGTGAGGAGGGAGGGAGGCAGTGTGCATAGGGCTACTCGAAACGGGCTGGTAAAAGTAGAAGCTCATGAAGGGTTGGTGCTGCGCCGTCGTTGTCGTTGGTGGGTGGGCGGCCACGGGGGGGCATAAGTCGGCAAACCGGCTAACGCCCGGTAGGGGGACACCGGTAACTGGGCGCGGTTGCTGAATGCGCCTTCCCTCAGGACATGGTCCCGCCTCTATAGTGGCATAAACCCGGCTCGATCCCCCACCCCGCAGGCGAGCTAGGCCGCTGTCCATGGATCAACTACTGAGCATGGTTGGGCCTTGGGTAAACCCCACAGCCCACTCTTACTCCCACTCCACACACCCAGCCACACCCACCTGGTGGCTCTTAGCGACAGCGGTGAAGCCGGAGGGCAGCTTGACCGCCTCGTCGCCGTGGCTCATCCACACGTTGACGGTGGTGTTGCTGATGAAGGAGAAGAGCTGCGAGGAGGGCGCAATGTCCATGGGCATGCGGCCGTACTCCCCGCCGTGCACTGCAGGCTTGACCTCGCCGCCCAACAGGTGCGTGATCATTTGCATGCCATAGCAAATGCCGAGGATGGGGACTTTGTTCTCGCTGCAGTACTCGAAGAAGCCATCGGGCACACGCGGCGAGCCCTCAACGTGCACCGAGTTGGGGCCACCAGACAGGATGACGACGCGCGGGTTCACGCTCTTAATGCGATCCTGCAAGCATCGACGGCGAATTTGGTTTAGACAGCGTTAACAAAACGGGTTGGATGGGCAGGCTGGCTGTACCACATACCAGGGAAGCATCGCCAGGGAAGAGCATGGAAAACATGCACAGCTCGCGGACGCGGCGCGTAATAAGTTGCGTGTACTGTGACCCATAGTCTAGGATAAGCACCACCGCATGGTGTGTCTGCGAGCCGTTGGCCGACATGGCTGGCTGCCGCGTCGGCAACTCGGGGAAATATAGAATACGAAAGGAAACAAGCAAATTCTATTACTAATTCCTTGTGTTCAACTTTCGGCCCTTAGATAGAAACTTGACAGTAGAGTTGAGAGATAACCGCCAAAGTGTTCATGCAGCAGCCGCCGTACGCTCCAGTACTGTTGTGTATCTTTTTCCGCAGGTTTTGAAACACACGCTGCTCCAGCGTAACGCTTTTCATAACACCGCTAGGATTTTGCGCGATGTAGCCCTGAGGTGTGTTTCGTGCAGATGTTGCCTTCATAAACTAAGGGGTCTTCAGTTGATACCGGCGCTATGCCGTAATTATTAGGACTTAACATGGACCATAGAAAACGAGCGGTTGCATAAGCTGCAAGCTAAGGAGATCGCGGCGGTTTCGGGGAGGCGTTCTTAAGTGTTGATGCAGTCACGTTTCCCACAATTGCACAAGTGCTTAGCTATTTCTATGTTAACAGTCAATGCTAGCACCACTGTCCGTGTTCCAAACCAGCAAACCCTCGTGCCCAACCCGTACACACGCTGCTCCAAGTGGACTGTTTCTGTATTGGCTTGCCTTTGTAGCTTGACAAGACAAAAGTGCAACACATAGGACATAACCAAACAACTACATGAGCTTACAAACTGAGTCGTCTTGCTCTTTTTGGTGCCAGCGTTTGCATTTCGGTTCCTTCCCGTTGGCAACTATGCGGTAGCTTATGATCAAGGTTATCTGGTGAAGAAAGATTAGGCCGACCTTGTCTGTTGCTTCCTTGGGCGCCAATGGCGCGTGTAGGCTCTGTGTTAGCACTCATATTGCTTGGCCTCCTCGCATGGCCGTCAACTATTAGCGGTTCGAACATTCCTGAGAGCGCTCGAAAGCTTGAAGGCGGTGGGGCAGCCGACTCCGACGACATTGTATGCTTCATCGTCCGCACATATTGGGGCCATGGAGACGCCTGGGGTGATAAATCACTACGGCGGATACTGTGGTCCTTACGGAACCAGACGGTGGATAGGTAAGCAATCTCCATACGAGCCTGGACTGTGGGGATAGGTGTTGCATGGCCTGTGCTGCCAACCCGGATACCGGTGTATTGTTTCGGCGTGGCCTGCGCCTGAACGTCCTTCTTTGGAGTGCAATGGGTAATAACACGGTTGTTGTCAGCGGCTTCTCGCATGCCCTTCCCGATTACCATAGCAGAGCATATAGCGCATGTGCCGCGTCGCACCCAGTCTCTCCCTGCAGTTACTGGTGTGTATCCCTCCCTGCAGCTACCCTATGTCACCTCACCTTCGTGCGAAACTGACAGTGTTACGTCAGTGAGCCACATTTCCCCACCGGCTTGCTTTGTTGGTAGCCATGATGAAGCGTACGATGCCTCCTTGCCTGCCTGTTACACCCTCTTTCCCTGTCCTTGTCTTTAGCCCGTAAGTGGGAATGGCGGAAGAGCGCATGACTTTGCCGTCTTCGCTCTCTCCTACTGTCTCTTTTGTCCTCTCTTCCTGCCTCCACCACCCTGCCCTCACCCGTCTCCACCTGCCTCTTTCATCCCCTCTCTGCCTACATTTCTGACCCTTTTCCCTTTCTTGCTCCCGCCCTCCTCCATTCCCTCCACCCGCAACCACCTCACGGACCCGTGCGAATCATCCGTACGCAATACCCCCACCAACTTACCCCTCCCTCTCCCCCTCCACCCCCGCCCAGGTGGGAGGCGCTGCTGGTTGTGATGGACAACCGCCCCTTCCCCGACCTGCACCGCATCCTGCGGGAGCTCAACGACTCGCGCATCTGGGTGCAGGCAGAGTGGGTGAGTCCGGGATGGGGTTGCAAAGGTCGCTTTGAGTCGAGCTCTCCCTTACAGTGCCCTCCCTCCACTTGAGCCTTGTCACAAGGTTACTTCCTCTTTATCCCGCTTGAGCCTCGTCAGTCTCCCCTCCTCCTCGTTCCTGCAACGTCGCCCCCGTGCTCATGCGCAGATCAACTACAAGTACTACCCCAAGAAGGATGGCGTGTGGGCGCCCGGCTACCACAACAAACTGTACAACCTGACGGACCTCGCCGTTCGGGGTGGGGCGGGGCGGGGCGGCATGCGAGGGGAACCACGGAGGTGGCTAGGCTAGGCAAACCAACCTCTGCCGAACCCACCTAGCCCAACCTAAGCTTTAGCCAGGTTGCCAGGGCTGAGTGGGGCGACCGGGCAGTATGAAGCGGTGGCGAGCCTGGTTACGGCACATGCTTTCGGACTCAGTGCGTAAACAGACGCCTAAACTCCACCTTTACCGACCTCTACTGGTCTGGCACCCCTGGTCAAGGCCTCCTGCGACCCTTGCCTCACCCTCCTTTCCCTTGTTCCCCCCTCCCGCCTCTTGCCGCCTCCTCCGGCCCTCCTCAGCCTGCCCCGAGCGCACTCGCTGGGTGGTCATCACCAATGGGGATAACCAGTACGACAGCCGCTTCGTGGAGACGGTGTTCTCCTCGCCGCCCGACACGGACGTGGTGGCGGTGGACTTCTACAGCAGATACCAGCGACCCACGGGTGCGGCGTATGCATGGTTGGGGTAGATGTGAAGCTAGTCATATGGGTGGGGAGGGTTGCGGACACCTCTGCCTCGGTTGCGACTCAATCCGGGCTGGCTTCGCCACCCCTTGCCCACACATGCCCAAGGGCTATGGCGTGCGTTGGACGCACATGTAACAAGTCTAGCAAGAACATACCCTGGTGGCCGCGGACCTGTCGTATTGCCTCCGCACCCCCCGCACCTACTACCCTGATTTGCCTGGGGAATTATAGGTTTCCGCTACCTCGCTTCATGCAGAGATTCCTGCAGTTTTCTCTTCACCCCCTACCCCTGTGCGCCCCGCCTTCCTGCAGCTCCCCCCTGCGAGCGCTTCGAGGAGGGCCCCGGCCTGCCCCCCTGCAAGGAGAACGACATGCGCTTCTGCCAGACTGACCTGGCCGCCAACGCGCACCGGCTGTCGCGGCTGCTGGCGGAGGAGCGGCGCTGGGGGCTGGTGGACCCCACCGGCACGCACGGCGCAAACGACGGCATCATGGCGCAGATGCTCAAGTCGGCGGGCTGGAAGGTGGGCTGGGCAGGGAGCAGGGCCAGAGGGAGCAACGTGCCGTGTGTGGGCTGGAGGGGTGTGGGTAGGCAGCCAGCAGCAGCGGGTAGGCCAGGAAACATGCGAAGGCGAGTGTGGAGAGGCAGGGACAATGGCAGGGACATACACGCAGCTGTCGGTCCGTGGAGTTACATGGATTCCTAGGAGGAGAAGTAGACAGGGGTTAGGGGACTACTGGTTAGGACACCGCATTGGCTCGCCTGCACCGCGCCGAACGCATAGACAATCCTAGGCGCACCGGTGCGCTCTAGCGCTTTTACGCTCTTGGTTCGCCGGTCCCCTGTTCCATCCTGCAACGACGACCCCTCACCGCCCCACCTCCTCATCCCTGCACCCATCACTCCAGGTGCACTACGTGCGCGGTCGCTGCCTGGTGAACCACGCGCCCAGCCCGCAGCAGTGCGCCCTGGCCGGCGGCATCTGGGACGACTCCCTCAACTGCCAGGCAAGCAGCTTCGGAGGCAGCTGCGTGACCGTCAGGAGTGTGTACGACCGCATGAACGCGCATCCCGACATGTACGAGCTGCTGGAGCTCAACGTGACGTACGACAGGGGCAGCTTCGGGTACAGCAAGCACGACTTCATCGAGTTGCGATGCATGCGCACTGTGAACCGCTCGCTGTGGTTCCAGGAACAGACGTTCGGCCGCGTGTGTGCTGCTCAAGTGGACTTGGCGGCGATGCCGGCGGACCTGCCGCCGCACCCCTGGGACGAGTGGGTGCCGCCTGCGTCTGGGGAGCAGCACGGCGAGGAGGAAGAGCGGGAGAAGGCCGGCGAAGAGGGCGGGGAGGAGAAAGGCCGTACGGTAGAATGGAAAGGTGATGAGGAAGGAGGAGATGGGGTTTGGAAGCCTGTGGTTGGAAAAGATGCGGCGAAGGGAGAGCAACATCCCGAGCTGTAAGCATTCAAGAATGCAGTGTATTGAACGCCAAAGCCGGTTGTTGGAGGTCCCATGGACACTGGGACACTGGATGTGGACACTGGGGTGAACCATATGGTTACATGAACGTGCGCAGGGCTGGGCAAGTTGGTGAGGAGGTATCCGGAGGTGCCTCTGACTCTTTCGGGTGAGTGAGACGGCGCGAAGTCGTGCTGTCCATGCTATCACGCACGCGTACTTTGCATGAAGGTGTGTTTATCGTGCGCGGCTGGATGGGGCGAGCGCTGGGATACACACATGTTGTGTGAAGGAGATGCGGGAAGAAGGAGGATGCATGGACTCGTGTGATTCGGTACATGCAAGCTGACCATGCAGGTGACCCAGCTAGGCGAACCTTTGCAGCCACATTTGGGGTCTGGGGCTGCGTGGATGACTGCACCATGTTTAGGTTCGGTGAGCTGGGCCGGGCATTATTAACCCCGTGTTTGACACCCCCGCCCACGTTTCTTCTCAGGCTATCCTCCATGCCTTTGCAAGTAGGCCAACCGTCGTTAGCACAAGTTGCATAAATGTGGCCATGCCCTGTGCAAGGAAAGAGGGTAATTCACTTGTATGCCGCCAGGTACCGATAGAGGGATAAGCCTCAGGCTGCCTCAGGGAAAGAAATTGCAAGTGATCATGCTTTACCAGCGAAGGCCAAGGAGGCAGCGACAGAGAGAGAACACTATAAACGAAGCTGTGTCGCATATAAAGTTACTCCGATAATATGCAGCCGGAAAGATGTACTAAACCGAAGAGGCAGCATTCGTCAACAGTGCTGGTTACATAAGGTACACATGTGCATAATATTATGCATCATTATTTGTGCATTGATTTTGGACACAAGTCTGGGCCATTCTAAACTGCAGTAGCGCCACCTTGCTCCGAAACTCAACTTCCCGCGCAGGCGTCCAGATAGCGCAGCCCGGCTTAATAGAGATTAGAGAAACAAATTTCCACCATATAGTACCGGCATACACTATACTACTTTTACTATCAACGTCGCATGCAACGTTCCTTGCAAGCTGCTGCTAAGCACCTGTCCTCTGGTCGCCTTTAAGATTAAGCCTATCTAGTCAGGGCAATCCTATACATATCTAAGCTTATGAAGGGATATTGATGCTTATAGAGCTTTCCACTGCGCCGGAGATGCAACCGCTGTTGCGCGTCGAGATTCGCTAATTTCGCTAAATTGCTATGTTTCGTCGGAGCCTAAAACGCAAGCCACGGTCGCGTGAGCCATGCGTCGGGGTAAATACCGGTCATCAACCGTAGTGCGGGCCACTGCATACGCTCATGCTTTTACAGGGTCGCATGGTATTGTATAGGAAAATATCGCTCCTTAGCCGACGTGTTCCAATTTTCGACGGCTTGCAGCACTCCACAGTCTGGATCCCTCGCGCATACGTTTTGTCCCTACACCCCGCCTTCACCCCGCAGATGACACCTCTATTCCGCATCGCGGCCAGCCACCAAGCCTCCGGCAATCTGGCCCCCGCCATGTGGTCTTCATAGCTCCGCTCTGCTGTGCGGTGCTGGAGAGGGACATTGTTGGGTTGAGCGGCAGGTAGGAAGGCTTGGGAGAGGAGGCGAGGATGAAAAGGGCTGGAAGGAGTAGGAAGGAAGTTAGTTCGTTGGACGCCGGTGTGGGACTCAGATAGAGAGACAGTCTGAGGAGGTACGGGAAGTATAAATCTGTGGCCAGAGAAAGAAAGGGAGGGAGGTGGGCGTGACGAGACGCAATTGCTTGGGGCAAAATATAGGTAGCAAGACAGGTCACGAGGTATGGTTTAGGAAGAGAAATTCAAGCAACCGAAATCGCTGCGTGTTGCGCGCTGCTGTTTTGTATACTTCTAAATTGCAGTTCCCCTACGGCTTCCTAACTTTCGCCCCGGTTGCTCCGCCTGACCCTCCTTTCATGCACCCATGCCGCCTCCCTCGGCGGAGCCCCTCAACAGCCTTCCTCCTCGTTTCCTTCTCCAGCCCCGAGGTGACAGCACCAGTAGGGCTGGCGAGTGTATCGTACAGTGTCTCGATGTGTGAGACGCGTTAGCCAGCCTGCTGCCCGCACTCACCTCGGGGCTGCCGGCGCTAGCGGACACGGAGACCGCACGGACCGACGTCCTGGCATCCTGACGGTAGGGAAAAGAAGAGGGGTATGGTAGTGGAGGACGGGAGGTGGGGAGGTAGGAGGGGCCTATGAGGAATTGTCGAGGGGTGCGTGTATGAAGGTAGGGTCTCGGCTGGTAAACCGGTATAGGTTGGGTAACTGGAGTTCCTTCGTCGTGTGCTCGGCGCTCAGCAGAGGGGGCAGCTGGCACGGGGCGGCTTCCGAGCGCCATTCCCAACCAACCTTGCCCTTTTGCGCTACACCTCCCCACCGTCCACCCCCGTCCTGCCCCTTGCTTCCTCGCCTCCTTTCCTTCAGGCCTTGCAGCAGGTGTCCTTGTCCGGCTCCACCCAGGCCCCCGCCTGCCCGCCCCCGCGGCTATGGCGGCGCTGCAAGCGACCCTCCCCGGCAGTGGGGGCAGACCAGGAAAGCATTCCAGGTGAGGGGGACTAAAGAAGAGTTATAGAGGGAGATAGGATGAGCGTGTAAGGGGGTTATAGCCGATACCGAGTCCGCGGTAGCGATGCAATCGACCCTCCCGCTAGCTGAATAGGGTTGGCTGCGGAGCTGTCTACTGTTACTGCTAGTGTCCGCTATGGGGGATGCATGGAAACGGGGGCGGAGAGGTTCCGTGTATGGGAAACATGAGGGCCGTCTCGCTCACCCGCAGGCCCCCGCATCGCCACCCACCCCACCCTTTGCACGTCTCCGTCACCGCCGCCCTCTCCGCCCTCCCCCATTCCCGCCCCCTACATCGTTGTCACCACCACCACGGGTGCCTCCAGTTCCACCGCCAAGCCCCGCCATACCGTCACCTCGTCCTGCGAGCAGCCCCGGCCCCCTCCCTTTGCGAGCAGCCGGCCTTCGACGGTGTAGGCGATGGAACTGCCCCACAAAGATGTTGGCCTTGCTGGGTTTATTAACGCTAGAATCGTGGGACACGAAGTGAGTGGCGCCTCACTCGCTTCGTGTCCCACGATTCTAGCGTTAATAAACCCAGCAAGGCCAACATCTTTGTGGGGCAGTTCCATCGCCTACGCCGTGTTTGTACCCGCGCGGCGCCGTTCTTCCGTGTCGCAGCTCGGTTCATCTTGGACCTCATCCACTCTGGCTACTCACGGCAGCGCCTCTTCCGGCAGTTCGCACGACTCCTGGATGCTCAGCCCTTCTTGTACGCAGCGGAGCGCCGTCCCCAGCATGCCCCCGGCCACCACCCTCAGCCAGGCATCAACCTTTACCGCCAGACACGCGCCATCTTCCGGGAGCTCCAACGCCAGCCTCGCAGCTCAGGACGCCGCCATTGTTTGCTTCAGGCCCCCCGCGCTTGGCACTACGGGGTGTTGGGCTGGCTTCTGTTGGAGTGCGCCAGCCTCATCGACGGGTAAGTCCGCCAGTGTTTCGTTTTTAGTCCGTCTCTTGTTTGTTTGGGGTTTGTTCTTTGTGTGTGGGGTTGTGTTCTAGTTGGCTCCCTACGGACCGTCGGCGCGGCTGCTGGCTACCTCGATGTGCTGGCGACGCTGCTTTACACCTTCCTAACTATGTTAGCTCTGGCTTCGGTAAGCTTTTTGGTAAGTCCACACACATACTGGCTTAGCTAATTCGGGCTGGGCGGGTCGGGCTGGCTCACGTGTTGCAAATCATGTTGACGTCTTATCCCTCAGTCAGTTAGTTGTTTCCTCTTTGCCCTGATCAGCGGTCTGAGCGGCGCTCCGGACACCGGGCGGCAGCAGCAAGGGTTTCGAACTTTCGATGATGCCCCCAACCCAAGTAATGCTGCCACCGGCAGCGTCTTCACCTTCTTCCCCCTCATCGCCCTCCTCCCGTCAGCAGCAGCCAGGCTACAAACAGCCAGTAAAAAGCACGGCAACAATCCTATCGCAGCGCAGCCGGTAGGTAGCAACAGGAGCAGCAGCTGTAGCTACGGCATGTCGAGATGTACGGCGAACGGGTGTTTTTTGCCCCGCGGCAGGGGGCAGAGTGCCCGGGGAGCCACCAGTAGCGGCCACAGCCGGCAACATGCAACGGGTTATAGGGTGGTGGGAGCTCCTAGCGCGTCGCGACGCAGAGCGCGTTGCCGGCTGGCTTGCAGAAGTTGAACTAGCACAGCAACAGCAGCAGCAACGTGACCCTGATGGCGCAGCAGCAGCCTGGATACCTCCTAAAAGGTGGTCAAAGCGCTGTCGCACCCGCAGCTGCTGACGTGGCAAGGCGGTTGGTGGAGGCGCTGCGGGCGCTGGCGAGGGAAGTGACCCCTGGGTCGCTGTCGCCGGATCCGGCGGAGGGCGGGCGGTTCCCGGGGCTGTACCTGCTGGCGGGGCATCCGGAGGTGCGATCGCTGGTGAGGAGGGCTGGGGCGGTGAACGGGGGATATGGCGGAAGGGGGAAGGGTGAGTTTGGGAGAAGGACGGAGGCGCACGCGGGCGAGCGGTGGGATGACTTGTTACTTCTACCGTACCATGGCGAGTGGCGAGTATCCCTGCTGCCGTGCCCCCGCTCCCTCGAACATCGGTGTATCTTGTTGTTCCCTGTGACCGATTTGCACCGTTAATTCTGGCCTCAGGTGATCCAGCCATCCAGGGACTGGTACCCATACCGACATGGGAGGAGTCCCAGGAGGTGCAGCTGGATGCCGTACTAACGCAGTGGACGAAATAGATGCGTCGGGAGCTGGCGCCACTGACCCATGGGTCACCGCCGACGCCAGCGTCCACTACGGGTCCTGGCGGCCGGCCGGTGTTCGCACAGCCGCTCGATTCCCTGTGGCTGGGCTGAAGGTGCTGCTGCAGGTGTTGCAGCCGCCAGCCCTGGCAGGCGCCCTTTGCGCATGTGCTGACGTGGCGACAGCGCGCCACCGACGGCGCCGCCGCGAGGGCGGCGTGTACAACAGTGGAAGCCCCGGCACCGCAACCGCCGGGTTCTTTCCGCCACCTTGCGTGCGTGTCTGATGCCTCTGGCCCGGCGGATGAGCGGCGGGGAGCTGATGGCGGCGTGTACGGCGTATCGGCCGTGACGTCGACGCCGGTGTGGTTGCTGTAACGGCCGCATTGGTTGGCGCTGCATCTATTACCACTGACGCCTGTTTCTACAAGGTAGGACTGTACGGGACTCCCTTTCGACCTTCATTGGCTTCTCGAAACATACGCCATTCACTTCCATGTATGTAAGCATGTACGTACGGAAGTACGTATGATGTGTTAGGAAGCCTTACCACCTCCCTGAAGTTTCTGTAGTGTGTTTCCTGCCTTCTTACTGTTTCATCGCAGCTCATCACGGACCTAGGCGGCCTGCTGCCAGGGGCCCTCTGCCGGGACCGTCGCGGCCCCTACGACACAACCTGCACCTCCTGCCGCGGCAAATACATGGCGCCTCCTTCGTAGTGCCGTACAACGGCGGAGCTATGTGCCGTACAATGCGCTGTGCCGCGCAACCGCCGCCATGGCGCGTCTAGCGGCTCGACGGCGGCGGTTGGCGGCGGCGGCGGCCGTTGTCCGGCGTTCGCATCGGACTTGTACGGGAAGGCTGTGGTACGAGTGGTGATGGCGCTGCTGACGCCGACGGGGGGTGTCTCCTGCAGGGGTAAAGAGGATACAACTTACTGACCGTGTGACGTATGGTTGAGGGTGGCTTGACGGTGGCTTTTCATGACCATGGAAACACACAGGCGGATGCGACCGCTCTAGCGGTCGTCTTGGACCCCGCACGAGCCGTCGACGCCGGGTTTCCCGCCACTCCCGCCGCCGCCAGCAGCCGCCGTCGCATCTGCCCCGTCGCCGCCGACGCCCTCGCGGACCCATACGCCGACATTCGTACGGCAACAACCACCGACGCCGTTACCAGCATCCCAACACCTGCCTCTCCGGGAGGCCTTATCGTCGGCGCCGCTGCTGCCAGCGGCGCCACCTCCGTCGCCGCTGCTGCTTGCGAGCATGCCTTGGCGACCCTGGACAGCTACTGCTGCACCCCCGCTGCAGTGGCAGGGTGGCCCCATCCGGCGGTGGCGCTAGCGCTTCTGCTGGCGGCGGGGCAGTTGGCGGACGGCTCGACGGTGAGGTATCTGACGGCGGCGGCGGTGCCAGTGGTCCGGCTTCGTCGTCTTCGTCCTTCCTGGCGGCAATGCAGTGGCCTGTAGGGCCGAGGCCAGGTGGGCCCAACGGTTGTGTGGTTGCCGTACGACAATGCCCGGGGTTGCTTTTGGAGCGGATGCGGCAGGCAGCGGGTGAGTGCTACGGCGCATGCATAGCCCTCCTTGGTAGGAAACAAGGAGAGGAAACCGCAAACGTGGTTGGCTGGATAGACTATCGGCGCTACGCTAGCCTGCATGTGGTACACTGGGGCATCATGTACCGGCCTTTACTGTCATACTTTTTACCAGGCGTCCACGCATCCCATGTGCGAAGGCGTAACCTTTTACGTACAAAACTACGAATGGTTATGTACATGGTTATATGTACCATTCTATGCCCCCAGTCGTGCAATTGCTGCGAGCAGCGGCTGAGGCGCATGTGCTAGGCATCACAGCAGACATCTACCGGGCCGCCAGCTGCCGCCGCTGCCGCCGCCGCACGCTGACCTGCCGCCGCCTGCTGACGTGGCGCGAGATGTGGCGGCGCGGACGGCGGAGCGGCGCTTTCGGCGAAGCTGCGGCTGGTGTGTGGAGCACATGTGGGTCTACGATAAGGGCCCGCCTAGTCGCTTTCGCCTTCCTCTCCCGCCATGCCTACCGTATTTCCTGTCTCCAGGGAATTGGAGTGCATGAAGGAACTGTTGCGGTTGTGCAGTGCTCTTGTGTGCGGTGCTTGTGGCTTATACTGTGCAGTGCTGTCCTGTTCTGGTGGGGAAGACTACAGTGGTTTGGAGCTGAGGGCACATGATCGCGGATGCGTGCTCCGGGTGACTGGGGAGAAGAAGGGACAAAATGGAGGGGCAGGAAGGGAAGGGAAGGAGCGTAATGCATGGGTGTTTAATACCATAACAATACGGATCATACCGACATTACGTGAAGTAGCCGGGCATGGAGGCTAGGTTTGGCAGAGCTTCGTTTCATCCGCTGTTCCTAATTTGCCCTTTGCTGGGCTTCTTGGGGCCCTATACCACGTTGGGTGTTGAGTGCTACTTTGATATAAATATACAGAATTGTGTGCTCGGCGTACACGTTCCTGCAAAGGCCTTCCAGCTCCTTTGCAGCGGCGGCTTCCGTCCTTTCCGAGGGCTCCGCCATACGTATTGCTTTACGGAAAGGCTGCGTCACTGTGTGAAAACTACCTTGCACGCGTCTACGGCGATTGCCGTTGCCAGATGCATGGACAACAGCCTAGGCTCGTTTTGCCCAATTCCTTATTTGATGAAACCTCCACATGTTACATCATCGGACTCCAACGTTGGTTGCTTAACCTGCTAGGATAATGGCTGTATGCTGGTCTGGGCCGCCTCATGCCGACAGACCATTAATTGTCGGGCTGGTCGATCTGTTTAACTTACTCCGCATCCTGGCAAAGGCAGCCAATGCACAGTACACTTTTTTCTGAGACACGCCCAACCTATCGAAAGAATGCCACCGTTAGCATTGCTGCAACAGTCTTCCGAAGTGCGCAAGCAATTCTAGTTCATTTGCGCTTTTCGAAGCAGTCTAAGCTCACAGTCGTCTGCGTCCGATACCGCAAGGATTGCATCCCGGTACGACAAGTCCAGAAAACTCATCCACGCTCCCTAACGATGGTGCGAACAGCCAGGATACATACCGGCCCAAACACATAACCGCGGCCCATGCGCATGTCTAGACGTATGCACACGCGTTCCCCTACCGCCTCCTCGCCGGCGGCGCCCTCCCGTCCCCGTTGCTGCTGGGCGCCTTGCCTTGCTGCTGCTGCTGTTGCGCGGCCAGCAGGCTGTCCGCCTCCAGCGGGTCCTCCGGCGGTCCGTGCCGCGGCAGGCAGCAGCACAGGTAATCCCGCCAGCCGGGCCGGAAAACCTGGCGACCCACCTCCAAACGCAGAACGCCACCGCTGGTGCCGCCACCTTCCATTGGGGCAGTCCTATCGGTAGCGCCGTACACTTGCAACCGAGACCGGCCCTCCCCCTGCAACAAAAGGCGATGCAATGGATATGTCGTTCCGAGGAGACGGAACGACTTTACTAGGGCAGATGGAGATGGGGATATTCAGCATGTTGCTAACCGAGGGCCTTTGCCGATAGTGCATGGAAGCAGTGCACAAGAAAAACAAGTACCGTAGCTGTAGACTAACCGAAGCAGATGGCTATAGAGCGGGCGTCCACGAGTGCAACGCATGCGAGCGACAAGAAGGACGAATATGCGTACCTTTCCTGCCCTGGAGCCGGCTCGCCCTCGCCGACCTCGTCCCTCGCCACCATGGTGGTCGTCCCCGGCCTCCCGCCCCCCGCCTCCCTCCTCTCCTCCAGGGTCCCCGTAGTCGCGTGTCCCCTCTTCCCCATTCTCGCCTCCGTACGCCGACTCCGCGTCCTGGAGTAAAAGATCAGCAGCAGTGGGAGGAATGCCAAGATAATAGAAAGCCCTTGGCATACGTGCAGTACATGGGAGAAGGGCTAACGCAGATGCAATGTATGGTAGTACGACAGGCGCCATACGCTTTGCTTCAACGTACTCTGAACAAGTCTCGAAACATACGAAACATTAATGGTCTCGCCAGCCTTAATCAAACACCTGAATCCCTTTGCAAACGAATGCATGCACCTCGCGTTTACCCGCCAATCCCGCGTTTGCTCCCTGCCCGAGACCCACGTGGTGGCACCAAAGGCTCAAAGAGCCCCACCCACCTCGGGTATGCCGCTCTCGCCCTGTGACCGCGCGCGGCGACTCCTCCTCCGCTGCTTCCGGTTCCTCCGCCCCGGCAGCGGGTTGCCCTCCTCGTCGTACTCCTCTCCAGCCCCGCTGCAGCTGGCACCGGCCACGTGGCGACTGTGCGCGGGAAGCGGCTCGCCTGTCTCAGGGTCGAAGCCAGACAGGTCCTGCGTTTGTAAGGGGAGAATGTTAGTTGCTAACCCGCGGCAGACGTAGCAGCAAGGCGTAATCCTTTCTAGGGAGGATTTGGGAGGGCTGTGGCAGGATGCGAGCGGGGAGGACGGTAGAAGCGGAGGAGGGTAGGAGGGATGCGGGGAGGAGGCGCCCGATGTGGATGCGTGCATGGAGTCCTTGGGGGATGCGGCATGAAGGGGGGAATAGTGGGGGAATGGAGGGGTGCATGCAGGAGCGGTGCGAGGCGCGTGTAGGAGGGGGCTGGGAGGATGCGTGCGGGGTGAAGGGTTAGAGGGCGGGAGGGTAGGCGGGGTGCGGGAGATGGCGTGTATGAAGCCATTGGGGATGCGGCATGAAGGGGGGAAGAGTAGGGGAATGGAGGGGTGCATGCAGGAGCGGTGCGAGGCGCGTGTAGGAGGGGTGAGGGAGGATGCGAGCGGGGAGGACGGTAGGAGGGTATGAGGGATGCGGGGAGGAGGCGTGCATGGAGTCATTGGGGGATGCGGCATGAAGGGGGAAGAGTGGGGAAATGGAGGGGTGCATGCAAGAGCGGTGCATGCAGGAGCGGTGCGAGGCGCGTGTAGGGGGGGTGAGGGAGGATGCTTGCGGGGAGGACGGTAGGAGCAGAGGAGTGTAGGAGGGATGCTGGGAGGAGACGCGCGATGTGGATGCGTGCATGGAGTCATTGGGGTGGGGAATGGAGGGGTGCGGATAGGAGCGGTGCGAGGGTGCATGCCCTCCATGAAGCAAAGCCAAGCACCCTCTATCTCGGAAGCCAACCATGCCCTATTCATCCGCTTCCCTTCTCCCCCAGCCCCCACCCCCACCTGCTCCTCCCGCTTCCGCGCGCCGCCCTCCTCTTCATCCTCCTCCTCCTCGTAGTGGCTGTCCGCGTACATGGAGGGCGCCGTCACCTCCGTCATGGCGTCCGCGTCCAGCGTGGCGTGGCTGAGCCAGGTGGCCTTGATGGACACCTTGAGCTTGCCGCTGGGCCTGCACGGAGAGGCGGGCGGAGGGGGGAGGAGGGGTTTCTGTGAGGGCCGGGGTTTACCAATCTTTGGACACATGGACACAAGAGCGAAGGTGGAGACACGTGTCTACCGAGGAGGAAAGGACGCGAATACCGGTGGATGACGGAAACGGTTCCAGTGCACAGGAGCGAAGCAGAAGCATGGCATGTATCTGATTATAGCGCTTCCAGCAAAACGTCGATATGTGGTGTCCATTAGACAACTGGAAGTGGCAGGTCAACGGGCCTAATGGTCAACAGGCCAACTGGAAGTCATAAGGTGGTATGAACGCAATGTCGGTCAGCTCACTCCCGCACATTGCTCCTCTGCGAGACCAGGACATGCCAACCGTTTTCGCTAGCAGGCTTCCACCTCCGTTTCGTGCTCCTCTCAATACCCTGCCGTCTGCCCTGCCTCGTCCCCACACTGGCCCCCCCTTACTTGAGGTGCAGCAGTATCTCCTGCGGCTGCGCGTCCAGTGCCTCCGAGCAAAACTGCGCCATGTTAACGTGCACCTTGCCCACCGTCTTGCGCTTCTCGTCGCCCGGCTTGGAGCCCAGCTTCACGGACTGCGACGCGGCGGGGACGGACGTAAGGGTTGCGGAGGATAGGTATCGTTTAATGCTTACCCCATTCATTCCACTTGACAAGTCCACGCCCCCGCCTCCAAAAGAGCTCACTTGACCTCCCAGCCACCCCCCTGCTCCCCCGTCCCTACCTGCACTTTGAACGTGTAGTCCTTAGGCAGAAGCTCCTGGTGGTCCTTGTACATGGTGGCGGTCTGTGGGAACGGGGAGCCGGAGGGGAAGAGGGTGGGAGCAGGGGTAGGGGTTGGCCGTTTAAGCATTCGGAAGGTTTGGCATGGGGAGGCTGATCAATGGAAGACATGGTGGTGCTCGCAGGTACCAGTCAAGGTGGGATGTGTGGTGTGGGTGGGAGCGGCCGTCTTAGTGTGCATGCTTACCTTATTCCTTTGTGCTCTAGAACCCGACGCATTCCAGCCTAAGTCCCTTACCCCGACACGCACCCCAGGGCTTTCCCCGTATCCCTGTGGGCCATCACCCACCTGCCGCAAATATTGCTTCCAGAATACCGCATGCGTATTCGGGTTAACAGGTTCTGCTTCTGTGACGAACAATTTTGAGCCACGCTCCCAGGCAAAAGAGCAATGCGTGACTCCATCAGGGAGGTCGCCTGCATCAGAGCAAAAGTTTTATAGCATTTTTTACAGCACAAGGACTTCGCCGGCGCCTTACCGCATAAGTATGGTATCACTTCCAACTCGTAGCGCAACGCCATGCGCCCACGAGCTTTTTGCCCGATGTCCACCATACGCCGGCCAATTGTCTTGCCCATGATCCCTCATTAATTTGCACCTCAGCAGGCACGGTGGTTAATACTCTACTAAGCAACCGAGGTGAATGGCCTAGAAAGTGCTAGTCTATTCCTGTTAAACCAGATAAAGCTTTAAGAAATTCAACGAACGACGTGCGCTCAACAGTATTCAAGAGTGTTCTGCAACATAGGCTTGAACAAAACTCGGTCAACACAGTTTCTTGGTTTCCATGATCACGGTCGGTATGCAGTCTTCAGGTACCGGAAATGTATAATGTATGATTACACTTTTGCGTCTAGGAAACTGTAACCTTGGGTGGGACTACAGTGGTTGTACGGCATACAGGAGGAGCGCCTTCACTTATGCAATGCCTCTTACACAATTGGCTAAAACTGCTTTAAGTCATAAAACAAACCTAATCTTTAGGCGTGCGGAAAAAGCAAGCGGGCAATCTAGTTCACTCAGTCCTGTTGAGGCCCTCTCGGATCATCGGCCATTGTTACATGTGAATGGAGATTAGTCCTTCTATATCCGCAAACGTGCACTGCTAGTCTTGTTGAAGCCCACAGAAGGACATGGTACATGCCACCGCGCTGCCGCAACAACAGAAGGGCACGGAAGTATTCCTGGCAGCATCGCCTATTCTCATTCCCGAAGCATTGTCTTAATCGCATCGTGCGCATGACATGTCAAACTATAGCATCCAAAGGACAGCGCCATCTTGGACCAACCGCCGGTAGTGCCGCGAGCCATGTCGACGTCGGATACGCACCTCACGCGTGCCTTCCAAGTTTTACGCCACCAACACATCACCTGCTTACACTAGACCCACTCCATCCACAGGCGCTTCAACAGTCTCTCCAAGGTCGTATACAGTACCGGTACAAGATAAGTCTGCATGGGCTGTAGGTCAAAGAAAAACACTCAACGCTCAAAATCACTCGCCTACCTCGAATCACTTTGTCTCTCACCCTCTCTCACGCATTGTAGGCTGCGCACATGTAGCTTTCCATTTTCCCCGCATATCACCTGCCTCTCGTATTCGAGCAAAGAACACCCTCTCACGTTGTCATCCACCGCCTTCGCATAATGCTACACCGTGTCACTCCAACCGCCGTAAGCCTGGACCACAACGTAGTGGGGCTCTGCCGTACCTCCAATAAAAAGGCCCTGAACGGCAAGCAATGAGCCCCAGCGGCCCTGCAATACCGTGTGCAAAACGAGACCCCTGCACTGGTCAACGCCTCGCACCACCCAAGTTTCCTCCACCCACGGCCCAACAGCCACGGCAAGCACGAACCGAAACCTCCCTATAAGTGCAGGGGGTCCATATGCAATGATGCCACGGCAATCCGCCTACTTCAAGGCCAATTATAGGCAGCGGTGAGAGCATATGATGGGAGGTGCCTTCCTAACCCGGGTCACATGGTGCCAGTGTACGTAGTACAGCGTCCCTTCCATCTGTTATCCCAGGCCTGCACCAACCGAGCTTCCCTCATCGCCCCAACCCCTAACGGTATACAAGCAGCAGCCACTCTCATAGCCTGGCACGTATCTCTACGAACGAGATTCGAGGGCACACCCCCGACGCAACGTGTTGCAGCCCCTACCCGTCAGGTTTGCTCAAGTCCTTGCTTCCTGACCCCCTCACCCTCCGCTCATCCCATGGCGTAGCTCTCCTTGTCCAGGTTGATGACGGTGGACTTGGTCTTGACCATCATGGCCAGCGAGTTGCGGATGCCCTGGCTGCCGATGCCCGAGTCGCGGAAGCCCTGGAAGGGGAAGTGGTCGGGGCCGCGAGCGGGCGGCGCGTTCACCTGCGGGGGGGGAGGGGGCGGGAGGGCGGGGAGGCGGGAGCATGAGCGCAGGAGGGACGCTCAAGACAAAAAGACCTGAACACACGCAGTCTCATGCGATGCTGTTATCTTCTCCCCATGCCCAGCCCAACGTTTGCGTTACGTGCACACAACGTCACCTCACGCATGCCCCACGATTCTGTCATGCAGCCCTAGCCTGCTCACATTGGCCGCCCCTCCACGCTGAACCTGCTTCCCTTTTCACCCCTTTTCACCCACCAGCAATCCCGTCCTCTTCCTCGCCCCCACTCTTCCCCTCTACCACCTGCTGTGCCCACCTCTTCCAAGTATCCGTCTTTGCTCGCCCTCCTACCTTCCCATTGCACCACCCTCCTCGCCTCCCACACCACCCACCCTGGCCACCCTTTCCCCACTCCTAACCCCCTCCCCCACCTGCACCGTGCCCGTTTCCATGGCATCGCTAATGGCGATGGCTGCGTTGATGTCGCGGGTGAACACGCAGCCCTGCAGCCCGTACTTGCTGGCGTTGCAGTGCGCCACCGCTTCCGCCACGCTGGCCACCCGCATGACGGGCAGCACCGGCCCGAACGGCTCCTCCCACGCCAGCCGCATGTCGGGGCGCACGTGGTCCAGCAGCAGCGGCCACAGCAGGTTGCCCTCGCGACGGAACGCGCCGTTCACAAAGGTGGCGCCTGGGGGCGGGTGAGAGTGCGCGTATGAGGAAGTTAAGGCAGGCACATGAACTCGCGCCATGTTTCTGATATGCGGACAATAGGCACACCAGTAATGGGTGCAGCGGCCAGCACTCCTCAAACGCGCGGGCTGTTGGCAAGAACAGCTTTACGCACTCCCAAAGCGCGACCCAGCCCTGCAGACCGCTTTCCCTTGGTACCCAACCCCCCTCCGCTTGGTGCACTTCGCGTTTTTCCTGACCCCCGCGTCGTCCTGCAAGTCCTCTTCTAACCTTTCCCTGTCGCACGCCTTGGCGTTTCCGTGGCGGATTCAATGGCGGTGCTCGTTTTGTGCCTAGATACGTAAGTCGCAAAACGTTTTTTCCGGTCTCTGAATTGCTTGTACTCCGCCTTTTCCTCCTCGGTCCAATTTGTATGTCATGCGCGAGCACATGTGGGGCCTTGGACCGTATCAAGCAAATGGCAACACAATACCAGTGGACAGCTACATAGTCAGCCCCATTCATTCCGCTGGACGGTCAACAGTTATCACCCAGGCGGACTCGGTTTCGGTAGGGGCCGCTAACCCTCCCTTTGTCTTATAGCACCCTGCCGCCTTATTCACCCATAATTAAGGCCTAATTCGTGGTTTCCTTGCGTTTGCTCTTCTTTGCCCCCCCACCGCATCCCCACCCCACTTTCCACCCTCCTAGGCCCCCTTCGTGCCCCGAATCTCCCTCCTCCCCCCAGCCCCATCTTGCTCACCCTTCTCCTGTGCGTCCCGCACCAGCCCCTCGATGAAATCCGCGCTGCTGGACGACACCACCGGTGTGATGTCCGCGTCCTCCTCTGGCAACCCCACCCGCAGCCCGGCCACCCCCGCCGCCAGCGCGCCCACCAGCGCCTCCGCCACCGCCGCCTCCACCAGCACCAGCTTCACCGCCGTGCAGCGCTGCCCGCTGTAGCTGAAGGCGCCCCGCACGATGGCGCGCGCCGCCAGGGCCAGGTCCGCGTCGGCGCACACGATGGCCACGTCCTTGCCGCCCAGCTCCATCTGCAGCGGCACCATGCCCGCCTTGCGGCTGATGGAGATGCCTGGCGGGTGGTGGTGGTAGGGAGACGAGTTGTGCGGGGAGGAGGGGAGAAGGGGCGGAAAGTTGCGAGGAGGTTGGGTGAGGGGAGGAGAGAAGAAATGGGTGTTGCGTACACAAGCAAGATGGCAGAGGGTGTGCAATAGTGGGGGTGGTGAGAACATGCGTGAATGTTGTACCCCAGCTGCACCTTCCCGACTCCGCCGCCGCCTGCGAACCCCTTCCGTACTCACCGTCACCGCTCCAGCTTAGCTCCCCCCTGCCACTACGAAACGCCCAATGCAAACGCCTAGACCTCCTTATCATACGCCACAACCCCACAACTCCGTACCAATGCCTCCCTCCCTTCCCTCCCCTCTCCCCGCTCCACCCTACCTGTATCCCCTCCTGTGAAGGAGATGCAGTTGACCCCCGGGTGCATGGTGAGGTAGTCCCCTATCTCCGCGCCCCGCCCCGTAGCCACCGCCAGCAGCCCCGTCGGCAGCCCCGCAGCGTGGAAGCAGTGCGCCATGTGAAGCCCCGCCACGGCCCCCTGCGAGGGCGGCTTCAGCAGCACCGCGTTGCCCGCCATCAGCGCCGGACCCAGCTTGGAGACCGCCAGGTTAACCGGGTAGTTGAAGGGGGGGATGGCCAGCACCACGCCCAGGGGGACCTACAGGAGGGGGAGGCGGGGGGTGAGGGGTCGGGATGAGTGGGGAGACGTGTCGGGCCTTGTGGGTCAGCTAGGTGTGTTAGCGCCGCGGGCAGTGGGGGGCGGTGCGGAATGGGAAGGTTAGCTGAGAGCACGGAGAGGCTGCGCAGCCGGGTAACGGCACCCGCAGAGATAACCTGCACGTCCTGGACCCCTCCTAGCACGTCCCCTCTTGCAACCCAACGCTTTCCGGCGACCCCGCAATACATGCTCAATAGCGTGCCTTGGCGGCCCTACCCGCGGCTCAGGACGCGGCTGGAAGCCGGGCTCAGGACGCTGCTAGAAGCCGGAGGAGCGCCAAGAGCGGCCCTACAGCGCAACAACCCCCATCTCGCCGCCCTACCTTGGATGCAAGGCACAGCTTGTTCCTGGCGTGTCCCGGGAAGGAGTCCGCCGCCAGCAGCTGCCCCTCCCCGAGGAAGCGCAGTCCCTCCTCCGCGCAGTAGTCCAGCAGGTCGGCTGAGCGCACCACCTCGCTCAGGCTGTCCTTGGCGGGCTTGGCCACCTGGGTGGGGCGCCGGCGCGGAAAACGGGAGCGGGGAGAGGGTGGAGGAGGAGAAGAAGTGAAGGCCCCGAGTCCCAACGCCCATTGCCCGACCCACGGCGCAAGGACCGACGAGAAGGGGTTGGGGTGAGGTTATGGGCGGGGAAAGGAAAGACGTCACGTGTGGGCAGAGGGCGTGGGAGAGGATGCGAGCAGGGAATAGGAAAACGGTATAGGAAAAGCTGCGAAGTGTGGGTTGAAGAGGAACAGCCATGGGTAGGAGCTCATGGGTTTCGGTGGGTGTTCAAGGCAGAGAAGGGGAAGGTTACAGAGAAGGGGGAAACATACAGAGGGAGTAGGGGCTGTATGGGATGATGTGTTGCAAGAGATGCCACAGGAAGCCCGGCCTACCTCTTTGACGAGGCAATCTGCGATGGGCTTGGCGTGCTGACGCATAAGGGCCGCGACTTTATGCAAGAGCTCCGCGCGCTTCCAGAGCGGCGTCTTTGCCCATGCCTTCTGGGCAACTTTCGCAGACTCGAACATCTTGTCGACTTCCCCTTGCGTACATGCTGCGGGGACGGAGCAGGAAGGTATGAAGCTATAGTCTGCGTGTAACAACTTGCGTTCATGCTATTACAATTCCGCAAACTAACTACTTGTATATCTTAATGCCTGCGCCCCACAGAGGTCCTGTTGCCTGGTCGCCGCAAAGATCGCAACGTAGGTAGCCTAGCGCACGCCCAAGATCAGCAACCCCAACAGCCCAACAGCAAACATGCTCGAACTGTATAAGGGCAGCCATGCTGATAGTACAGAAAGCACATACAAGCACACCGCAATTAACGCCAACAGCATGCCTAGCGAATAAAACATCTAAAGGCACCTAAGCAAACCTCAGCAACCCTGCAAACCTGCCAAGCAATCCAGACCGCCCACCTTGAACTTGGTAGCACGTCTGCCGCGTAGATGGGTTTGTGACGCTTACAGTCTTGCCCGATTCGCTTTCCCGCCATTGCCCATCTAAAAAGTATTTGTAAGCGCCGTTTGAGGCAACTATGTCATTGTAGAATTCGGACATCGCCGCGCTTTGCAGCCACGAATAGGGCCGGGCTGCCCGAACCGCAGAAGAAGGGTAAGCTTTTGCCAAGGCGTAAGCGACGTTTGTCAGGGTGAGAAGCATCTGTGCTTTGAGGGCATGAAAAGGTGTTGCATGATACATACACTGTACGGCGCTTTCACTTCGCTCCTGTGTTGCCGTCACGACACCATTGAAGCACCAAGGCCAGCATACCAAGTAGCTGTAGTTTAAGTTGCTGATTCTGTGCTTAAGAAAGCCACAGCACCGTCTGAATGTCCTCCTTTCGCACCCATGAGCAGTTTCCCATCCGTTTTGAGGCGACCCAACACTGAGAACACTTTTCATATCCATTAAGGGTAAATAACGCAACGTCTTGCCTATTAGGTGACGCTCGCTTCTTCCCGCCTAAAAAGCTAGGAGCTTGGTGGAAGTCATGTTTAAGGATGAAACCTGCCGCGTTGATCGCAGTGCTGTCTGAAGCCATGGACCAAGGTCATTTGGGAGATGTCTGCGGGGGCTCGGACAAGGTTGCATGCGGATCTCCCAACTCGTTTACCGTGCTTCATGAAAAAGCACTGAGCCAACAAGTACGTTCTTTTGTTGCGCGTAATGTGTACTTGACCACAGCGTTTTTTTGAGGATCAATGCTCTCGATCGGCCTCAGTAACTAGGCATGTCTAATGATTGCCTAGCCCGTCGCAGGTTGTGCTGGGATGTTGGTGCCCCACGATGGATTTACTTGCGCTGGTGAGCGACGATGGACAGCTTGGTGTGCATCGCTTGGAGTGGCAAAAGCTATGGGTGGCGTGTCCTGATGCTCCCATTACAGCGCTCTGCTGGCGTCCCGACGGTGAGTGTGCACAAAGGCAATGCTTCCAGGCACCACCACTGAGCAAGCCTTGGCGGAATTCTTCCCTTTTTCCCGCCTCTCCTTCCCTCTTTCTTGGCCACATACATCACCATCACCAACTCATCCCTCCTTTACAGGCAAAATCCTTGCCACCGGTCACCGCCACGGCGCCGTGTCGCTCTACAACGTGGAGGCGTGCGAGCTCTTCCGCACCCTCCGCCCGCCGCACACAGCGCCCATTTGCCACCTCAGCTGGGTGCAGGGCATACCGCCGCACCCCGCAACCGCAACCCCAAACCTGCACCTTGCCTACCGTTACCGCCACACGCGCTTCTTCCCTGCGCCCGGTCCAGGGAGAGAGCAGCAGCAAGGGGGTGCAGGTGCGGGTGGTGCGAAGCTGCCGGCGGCAGGCGCGCCCGCTTCTGCCGGCAGTGGCGGCTCGGCGGCCAACGCCTTCCCGCACGAGTGGCCGCCGCCGCCTGACTCGTTGGACGTGCTGGTGACCAGTGACACAGCGGGGGGCGTGTCCATGGCGGCGTGCGGGGAGGTGGTGGTGGCAGCATTGCCGCCAAGGGACGTGGGAGAAGGAGGCGGCTCGTCGGAAGAGTCAGGGGCGGTGGAGTGCGGGCCCCGGGGTGAGGTGCCAGGTGCGGTGCAGGCGGTGCTGTCCCGCGACCTGCACACGCTGCTGGTGCTGTCGCAGCCCGCAGGAGCCGCCGCGGACACCGCAGCAGCAGCCCATGCATCACCTCCCAGCGCTGCGGCGCAGCTGAGTGTGTACAGCTGCGGCCATCTAGGCACCTGCCAGTCGGAGATCCTGGAGCTGTCGCTGCTGGGGGGGCTGGTGGCGGGGCGGCTGGAGGCAGCGCAGGCGGCACTAGGGGCGGCGGCCAAGGCGTGGCGGGGGGCGGCGGCGGAGCTCAGCAAGCGGCTAGACGAGCAGCTGCGAGAGGTGAGCAGGGTAGGGAGCAGCCTTGAGGGCAGCGCGAGGGGGAAGATGGCGGGTGCAAAGGGTGGGGCAGGGGGTGAAGGGCTAGCGCAAAGGGTAGAGGGATGGTGGTTAAAGGTTAGTGGGCACTCAGCTGAGGGAAGTTTCAGGTTACAATGGGCGGTCTGCTGGGAGGGTGCTCGATCAGGGCCTCCGCGGCGGTCAGTCCCTGCTTGCTTTCGCCGCCGGACATGCGGCAATGTTGCAGGCCCATGCCGACGAACTTCTGTCGTGTCCGTGCTTAGCAATCCGGGTAAGGGAGCAGGGTAGCCGATAGCTACACACGGCTCCGCACGTTGGAGGTGCTTCCCTCCTCGCCCTTCCCTTATCCTCGTCTCCCTCCGCTTGCCCCCCTGCCCACCAGGCGCTGGAGAGCCACGGTCACGACCCGGACGATGTGGTGGGGGAGCTGACGTGCATGCTGGCGTCGGGTGGGGCCACATGAGGGGGTCTTGCAGGGCGCACAAGGGTCGGTTGAGAAGCGTGTTTGGATGCTTGTGGCGCCGCGTTCCAGACTTGCGAACGCCTTCCCGAAAGCCCCTCCCTCCCCTTTCCTCCCCCTCCCTGCCTCCGCTGCAGGCCATGTGAGCCCCCCGCTGCAATCCTTCCTGGCCAGCACCCTCACGGAGCCCGGACTGCGGCGCCTAGCAAAAACGGTGGATGCGGCGCTGCAGGAGGTGCGGAAGAGAGCGGAGGGGGGGGCGGTTGAACCCTCAGTTCGGGCCCCTTTATCCCCCACGGCCTCCGCGTCCGCTTCCCCACCTGCCTGCCTCATCTCATTCCTCCTCACGTCGTCGAAACCCATCACGTACATCCAGCACGTTCCGACTCGCGGCCAGTTTTCTCAACACCCCTCCCCTCCACCTCCCCACCTCCCCCACCTGTGTCTCACTATATGTATATATTTTGTTTTCCCTCCCCCACCTGCAGGTATCCCGGCAGCTGCTGGACGGGGTGCTGCCGGAGCTGCAGCTGGTGGCGTTCGTGGCGGGGGAGCTGCGCGGGCGGGCGCGGGCGGCGCATATCACACACACGCTGGGGCTTAAGGTCGGGGAGGGGCGGTCGGGCGGGGGTGAGGAGGAAAAGGATGGGAGACGGGGGAACGAGGCCTTTTCCCCGTCGGAGCCCCTGGGGACGAGCGGAAGGGTACGTCGAGGGGAGAAGATCGCGTAGCGGAGCGGAAGGGTATTGGCCATTAGGTGAAGGAGGGGGGGCTGCGGTGATGTTTGGTAGCGGCTAGGATGACGGCAGCATGGTTTCACATTCCCCCGTTTCCTCTCGTTCTCATTCGCCGTGCCTCCCTTACGCCGCCCTCGCCTCACACTGCGTATCTCCCTAGCGTCCTTCCTTTGCCCGATTGGGCTTTCCTTTTACCCCTCGCACCCCATCTCACTCCTACTCCCTCCGCACCCGCAACCATCCGCCCCCACCTCCTCCGCTTTTCCCTCCCAGGAGCGGGCGGTGCTGCAGTGCGAGGGCGCGGCGACTCGCGCACTGGTGCAGGCGGAGGCGCTGCGGCAGCTGGTCACCCGCGTGGCGGCGCAGTACCGCGTCTTTTTCACCTGGCTTCTCAAGACGCTGCAGGTGGGCCATGGAAGGGGCGAGGGGGGAGTGGAGAAATACGCGAGCGGGTAGGGGATTCAACAAAGCTGGCGACAGGTGAGTTGTGGGCTTGCAAGAGGAAACCATGACGTGGGTTGACCTGCAAGGGCCCTACCTAGCTCCAACCACATTTGCGTATCCTCTCTTGCCGTTCGCTCGTCCTTAAGTTTGCCCCTCCTATTCCCGCCCACTCCCTCATCCCCCCGCCGCCTCCCAAGAGCCTGGAGGAATCCCGGCCCGAGGGCGAGGAGGGCCCCCTCCCCGGTGCCACCCCTCCCGGCGGCCCCGGCTCCCTGGCAGGAGTGCCTGTGTGTGTGCCCACGCTGCTGGCATTCCTGGACCCTGCGGAGGGGCAGCTGGCGTGCGACGCGGTGGCTCGCGACCTGGACGCCTCGCAGGCCACCCTGGGGCTGCCGGTGGGCTCGCTGCGCCTTCCCCCCCGCCTGGCGCCGCACCTTCGGGCGCTGCAGCAGGCGGTGTTTCCCGGGCCGGAGGAGGAGCAGGGGGCGGACGGGGAGGGAGAGGGAGGGGGAGGGTCAGGAGGCGGGAGTAGCAGTGGTGGTGGAGGCGGGAGTAGCAGTGGAGGAGGAGGGGTCCAGGTGTGGGTAGAACAGCCGCTGCAGCGGCAGCTGGCAGGGCTGGCGGAGCAGTGTCGAGCGGCGTTTGGGCATCTCCAGCGGGAGGTGTCGCCCTCACTGCAGCTGGTGGCGAGGGTAGGTGGGAGAGTAGGGAGGTGGAGGGTGGGGTTTCGGAGCAAGTGGTGGGTTGGTTCGAAAGACGCGGGTATGGAAGTGTTGTGGGCTGGGATTGCTGTGGGTCCCGACATGTTGAGACCTGGTGCAGGGTGAGGGGGTGGCGATAGCCCTTCGTTGCCTGATCCCAATGGCGTTCAATCACCTCCACCTGCTCTTCCCGCTCGCGCCTTCTGCCGCCCGCCCGCAGGTACCGCTGCTGCCGCCGCCGCATCCCAGCCACTCCCCTGCTGCTGCGGGTATGCACGGCTGCTGCTGCATGTCGCTGCCGCAGAGCCGCTCAGAGCCGCACTGCCCGCGGGGGCAGTCCGCGCTGCTGGCATGCATGCTGCAGGGAGGGACACTGCCGGCGGGGATGGGAGCAGGTGCCGGCGCGGGTGCAGCAGGGAATAACGGTGGCGAGGTGGTGCTCCTGATGCGGTTGACGGCTGTACAGCAGCAGCAGCAGTGGGGCAACCAGATGCCATCAAAGCGGACTGAGGTACGGCGTGCGACATGTTGCTGGCGGCAGGGGATGGGGCATTGGGGATTTTGGTGTTAGAGCAGGGTAAAGAGGTATATAAAGATGAGCTGCGGAGGATAGTTTAGGTGAACGAGTATCTAATGCAATACTGGCAACGCGCAACATTCCATCCGCCCTGCCACAGCTGATGACCCATGCGTCACTGCAGGTGCATGCATGTCTGCTGCAGCTGCCTGAAGGACAGCAGGTGCTTGGGGCGGTCTTCTACCGCTCAGCTCAGCTGGCGCTGCTGCTGGGCCCAACGCCGCAGGAGCAGGGGCACAGGGGCAACGGTGTCGAAGGGAAAGATGACAGCGGGGGGCTGAAAGGGTCAGGTTCTGGAGTTGATGCAGTGCGGGCCGCGGTGGTGGCGTGCCATGAGGGCTCCTGTCCCATGGGCGGGGTTCTGGCGCTCCTGCCCACCGCCCAGCTGGAGATGTGCACTGTGGATGAGGCGGAGGTGCAGGCGTTCAGCATCGCACAGGTGGGTGGATGAGCGGATGCCGTGGGGTGCCGACACGAAAATGCCATGAAAGGAGGGAGGCTACCCCAGCCCTTGCATTGAAAGCCGCCGGGCTTCTTATGGTACGTCTTCTGTGTTGGGTATGTGGGAAGGTGCTCCAGACTACTGTCGCGCAACATTGACCAGCCAGCCTGTTCCTAACACGGTCTTTCTGGTCGCTTGCTGGCACCTATGGCTTTACACGGTTTCCTCCCTCGACGTCAAGCTTCACATGCACCGGCCTTACATGTCCCCCTCTTCGCCCCCTCCTTTGCGTGCCTATCTCTCCTCCCATCCCTGGTTTCCCGGTACCACACGCGTTTTCCTGTCGCATTCGGCTCCTCTGCAGGTGTGTGCTGATCGCGGTGCTATCACGTTCTGGCCGGTTCCCGGATGCCGCCTGCGCCGACCCCCTCGAGGCAGCGGCTGTTGGCAGGCGCCGCTGCTGGTGAGCGGGCCACGGGGGCTGGCGGCAGCCTTCACGGAAGGATCTCGGGCATTCATGATTGATTTGGAGGAGGACGAGGAAGGGGAAGAGGAGGCAGAATGGAAGGATGGAGAGGGGGAGGAGGAGGTGACAGGCGGGGTGATGAGGAGTGGTGAAGGCGAAGGCGACGTAATGGACGAGGGCGGATAGGATGCTTGTGGTAACCGCTTGCGTGTCTGTTAAGGAAACTGGCCGCGAGTAGGACGGTACTACCGTACTTCGGATGTGTTGGAGTAAACGCACCATACTGGGGAAAGGTGCTTGACACGAGGGTGCGTCCAGCGGTCACTAAAGTTGGGTATCGTTCTGTCTGCCTTTTGCCTACTGTGCATTACGCGTGTTTTAGGCCTGGCCTTGGTACCAGGCGCCGGGTAGAACCCTAAAGGAACCTACGCCATCCACTATGCTTCCGTTGAACAACGTGCCTTATTGCATCAAGGCGAGCTCAGTTTTGGGCGCTTTGGGTGCATATGTCCCAGTTTGCAGAGCTCTGGTGCTGGGAAGGTTTGCAGGGCCTGCAGTGCCGTGAAGAATGAGAGACATGTCACGTTATGCACTCGGTGGACAACCTTTCCCAGCTGTATGAGCTTTAATATGCCTTTCGAACCTTTCGAATTGGGTCGCTGCACAACACAGGCTCCAGCTGCGACCACTACCGTACAGCAATATCGGAGACGACCGACGCTTCAGTAGTATACCACATCAACTTCAGACCCTCAATATCACAGCTTAACGACGGCTGAAGTACCAGTACGCCAGGCCGTCGTCTAGGCGCACTCCTAAGAGTGGCAATTTACCTTCCTGCGACGCAAGTCATCACAGTTGAGCAAGGCTTGGACAATTTTGAGAAAGAGAAACAACTAGCTATACAGTCCCGCGAAGGAGGGTCACAGCATGCGCCGCTGCAAAGCTGCTGAAAGCGCGGTCTCTGCCCATGCCAACTTCGGAAGCAGGACAAGCGCCTGCACCCGTACAGGAGAGGTCCTGTGCATGATGTTTGCTAAACCTTGACTGCAATTTTCTTAAAAGAGGTAATACAAGGAACTAGGAAGGCTCCTATGCAGGAACCTTGACGCCTCCATAAGCCTTTCAGAATCATTCCTGCGTAAGACGTAGCTAGAGCTATATCCTTAACGTCTAATTTGAGCTCACAAACTTTAACGAGTAGGAGGGGCTCGGAAAACAGAGCGACGCTACGTTACGGAACAAGAATTCAGCGGCACCAGCCTTGTTGGTGTTATAGCTACCTGTATGTCGTCTATGCTAATTTTCATGAAGGTTATTAAACTACCTGCGCAATCAGCACAGCTCCGCGGGTACGTTGTGCTAGTTCACCCGACCCAAATCGATTATGAATGCCACACAACCTGCTACCCGGTTGTAATCTGTTATGTTACTCGGAACGGATCCTCTTCGGTTATGTGACTACGACCACCGTACAATCCTCCATGGCCGTTTGCCGCGTATAAAAGCCTCCGCCAGGACTCTTTTTTTATAGTCATTTTCGCCCGTGCTACCAAGGCGGAAAAACGTAGAGTAGGTAACAGGCCCCGGACCCTCTTGCTCATGCCCGACCGATGGACTACAACAGCTACTTACTCCCTACTATCTAATAAATCCTCATAAGCAAGGTATGCTTAAAGGAGTTCGGGCATCCAAAGCGGATGAAGCTACCTGGCGGAGCATCGGTAAGCTTCGTCATGATCAATGTTCGCCTGGCTCCTGACCGCTTCAAAGCGGACGTAGGTGCTCCATAGATGATTGTTAATTAAATCGTCAAAGCTTTCGTGCTCCAGGTTCCAAGCACGACTTTCGCGTCGACATGTGGCCACCCGCAAGACCGAGACGTCAACTTCACGTTAATGATCACCTCCAGAAGTGATTATTTTCGAAGTCAAGCCAATATTTCGTCCCTAATTCCCAAGAACGCCGGAAAGTTGTTGCCGTCCGAACATAGCCAAGACCGCGACGACAATTTGCCTAAGTCCTGACTGTATTATTGTAGAGTAATAATATTCATAGCATTCATACATGACTAATTACATAGCAGTTAATTCTGAAGCAACCCCTCTTACCTTTCCTTGCTTCATGCAGGTACCCTCATCTAGCACAACACCTTTACTGCTGGCAACCACACCTAGCAGCCCATCTGGGTTGCCTGCCTTCACCACCAAGATCCATCCTATCACATGCAGGACTACTTCCAAGGGCTTACAACATGGTGAGCAGTAGCCTCAGTGTCTTGTTTTGTTTGCAATACATGCACTTGCTTGCCCCAGTTCTACAGCAACTTATCTAATCACTCCTGTTCCCCAATTGACGTGTTAACAGTTGGCTGCTGTGTGTCATGCACTTGTTTGCATAACATGCACTTGCTTGCCCTAGTTCTACAGCAACTTATCTCCCCAAGTGACCCTGCTTCATGCAGGTACCCTCATGCTTCATGTTGTGACTTGTTTTGGTTTTGTACTGTGGAGGGAGGCTGTTTTGGTTGTTTTCAGCCTTTGGTGGTGGTGGTGTTGCCCCTCGCCTGCCCAGGTGGTCAGAGTGAGGTTTTTTGACCTCTTAGGCAGGTCGCCCGTCCTTGGCCTTGTCCTGTCTGGTGTGTTGTCTGTTGCAGTTCCTTTCTCCTCAGTCAGCGGCGAAAAGCAAGGGCCTCGTGCTGGGAACCCATCACCCCATCTCCGGGTATCAGGGGTCCCGAAACTCGGGAATGTGTGGGGGTATCAGGGGCCCCAAAACTCGGGGGGTTGCATGTGTTTTTTTTACTGTTTTTTTCCGGTTGCCAGGGAAGCACCCCTGGGAAACACCACCTGCAAGCCCACCTGACAGAGGAGAAAGGAACTGCAACAGACAACACACCAGACAGGACAAGGACAAGGACGGGTGACCTGCCTAAGAGGTCAAAACCTCACTCTGCCCACCTGGACAGGCGAGGGGCAACACCACCACCACCGAAGACTGAAAACAACCAAACCAACGGTCGGTTGGACCGGCGACCCGACCCTTCCCCACTCTCGCCATCCTTCCGTGACTTGATCTTGAGGAACTCCAGCGCGCTGACCATATCGTTGACTTCTAGCGCCTGGACCGCGGCCTCGGCGAGCAGGAGATAGCCTTGGTCAAGCTGGGACTGGAAGCACCGCAAGGAGCAAGGCCTGAGCCACTAGCGGGTTGTTCTCGATGAGACGTTGAGACTTGAAGAAGTTACGAGCAACAAAAGCTCCAATAGTGAAGGCAGAATGCCGAACTATGGAGCAAACAAGCAATAAACGACTGCGCCCTGCTCCCTGCGCCCTGCTCCCTGCGCCCTGCTCCCTGCGCCCTGCTCCCTGCTCCCTGCTCCCTGCTCCCTGCTCCCTGCTCCCTGCCTGCTGTCGGCTGTTTGCTGCATGCCGCCTGCTGTTCTTCACCATGGTCGTCCCCCCGGGGCTCTACTCCTCTTCCGGAACTGCAACAAACAACACACCAGACAGGACAAGGACAAGGACGGGTGACCTGCCTAAGAGGTCAAAACCTCACTCTGCCCACCTGGACAGGCTGAACACGGGGGTACGAGGGGGTATCAGGGGCCCCAAAACTCGGGGGGTTGCATGTGTGTTGTTCTTTTTCTGTTAACTGTTTTGTTTGTTGGTCTTTTCTGTTGCTGATGAGTTGGCCCGAACTTCGCATCGGGTGGTGAGTTGGCCCTATGACCTCACGGCCTGACCAACTCGCTGCCCGAACAGCTCAGGGGCTGATAAGTTGGCCCGAACTTCGCATCGGGTGGTGAGTTGGCCCTATGACCTCACGGCCTGACCAACTCGCTGCCCGAACAGCTCAGGGGCTGATAAGTTGGCCCGAACTTCACATCGGGTGGTGAGTTGGCCCTATGACCTCACGGCCTGACCAACTCGCTGCCCGAACAGCTCAGGGGCTGATGAGTTGGCCCGAACTTCACATCGGGTGGTGAGTTGGCCCTATGACCTCACGGCCTGACCAACTCGCTGCCCGAACAGCTCAGGGGCTGATAAGTTGGCCCGAACTTCGCATCGGGTGGTGAGTTGGCCCTATGACCTCACGGCCTGACCAACTCGCTGCCCGAACAGCTCAGGGGCTGATAAGTTGGCCCGAACTTCACATCGGGTGGTGAGTTGGCCCTATGACCTCACCGCCTGAGCAACTCGCTGCCCGAACAGCTCAGGGGCTGATGAGTTGGCCCGAACTTCACATCGGGTGGTGAGTTGGCCCTATGACCTCACGGCCTGACCAACTCGCTGCCCGAACAGCTCAGGGGCTGATAAGTTGGCCCGAACTTCGCATCGGGTGGTGAGTTGGCCCTATGACCTCACGGCCTGACCAACTCGCTGCCCGAACAGCTCAGGGGCTGATGAGTTGGCCCGAACTTCGCATCGGGTGGTGAGTTGGCACAGCTCAGGGGCTGATAATGAGTTGGCCCGAACTTCGCATCGGGTGGTGAGTTGGCCCTATGACCTCACGGCCTGACCAACTCGCTGCCCGAACAGCTCAGGGGCTGATAACAGTTGGCCCGAACTTCGCATCGGGTGGTGAGTTGGCCCTATGACCTCACGGCCTGACCAACTCGCTGCCCGAACAGCTCAGGGGCTGATAAGTTGGCCCGAACTTCGCATCGGGTGGTGAGTTGGCCCTATGACCTCACGGCCTGACCAACTCGCTGCCCGAACAGCTCAGGGGCTGATAAGTTGGCCCGAACTTCACATCGGGTGGTGAGTTGGCCCTATGACCTCACCGCCTGAGCAACTCGCTGCCCGAACAGCTCAGGGGCTGATGAGTTGGCCCGAACTTCACATCGGGTGGTGAGTTGGCCCTATGACCTCACGGCCTGACCAACTCGCTGCCCGAACAGCTCAGGGGCTGATAAGTTGGCCCGAACTTCGCATCGGGTGGTGAGTTGGCCCTATGACCTCACGGCCTGACCAACTCGCTGCCCGAACAGCTCAGGGGCTGATGAGTTGGCCCGAACTTCGCATCGGGTGGTGAGTTGGCACAGCTCAGGGGCTGATAATGAGTTG